ACAAAGATCATATATGGATTGTTACATTTTAAGCTTCTCACAATAATGAGTATAGTATATTCGGAACCAATAGTTTCCTGCCTTAGGAATACTATATAATAGTTTAACAATTAGTAAAATTATATTAGTTAATAAATCCATCTCTTTCGGAATATAGATATAAAAAGTGCAATACAAATTCGAAGTGAATTGAGTATACACCTGAATAATATCTCGAATATACATTCCTATACCTATCTTTCGAATACTTGCGGTTAGTAAGATTAGAATATATTGATACAATCGTTGGATTGTTGGGGATTATATTAATATAGATATTTTATCAGTATCATTATATACTTGAATAACTAGTTTCGACTTACAGAATTCAGTATCTATTTTTTTGTTCTTAATCTTATCGACAAACTATAACTTGAAAATATATATACCAAAAGGAACATCCGAAAGTGGTACAACCTCGAATACACCCTTAGTTGTCAATCCATTAATTTCCTTCTTCCTAAACTTCTTATACATAATGGGATTCTTAAGATCGGCAGCAAAACATTCAGGGTGGTAATCCTGTATATAAACTCGAATCTGAGATATAATTATTTGCAGAAAAGATATCAGAATAGGAATCTAGTCGTTCTTGGATAAATCTAAAAGGGATTCCTCTAGATTTGTTATATATATAACCGCTAAAAAAGGCGATATAACTTTGCTAGATTTTGACAAAGTTATCTCAAAATCAATATCATAATCAAATTCCTCAACCTCCTCAATACATCCAGCTTCTAATCGCTTATAATACAGTTTTACTAATATAAACCTAAACCTTATAGATCCATAAAGTAAATCAAAAGTACATATCTCCCCTTCCATATTAATGAGTGAAAAAGATCCTTTCCACTCACCAATAACTATTTCATTACCCTCCCTCCAGATCAAAACCTTGCTATTCGACAATAAATTATAAAGTACAGTCATAGAGGGTTTATTGCGTATATTCAAGGCCTTTTGTACTTGTATAGAACTATATAATCTGCAAACCTCTATTATAGCTTTAGAAATCGTAGCAGTACACTGCTGAATAGTAGATATCGAAGGGCTGGTGTCGATTATGCAGGGAAATATCCTAAAAACGAGTAAGGTAGATATTAAACCATTAGATCTAGCAATATCGTTAATTGCCTTTACAGCTATCTGGAGTATAGCTGCCTTGCAAACACTGAGTTTATGAACTTTTTTGTAAATAATTTCATAAGATCTGTGTAATGATATATAAAATCTCTTAACAATACCAATCAAATAATATGCCTCTATAGGGATTATCTTTATCTGAATGGACATTGACATAGTATATTATTGAAACTCTTTTCCAATAAAGTTGATATCAGTATTATGAGTAATATATTCTGGTGAATCAATATATGTATCGATTTAGTACTCCCGGAGTTTATTCTATGTATACTTTGCAGATACATTACTTAGTTATTGAGTGGTTTGAAAGTGTATAGCTTTGTTAATAATATGCAGAATCGGATTATTGTTGATATAAAGTATATCGACAAGTATGATATAGTTGAATTCAAAATCTTTATTGAGCAAAAAGAATTTGAATCTGCTAAATAACTTACTATAGACTTGATAATAGTGATAAAACTTAGTAAACTATTTGATCGCCTTAAAGTTCTTGTTATGCCCGGAGTGTTTAAGCATTTTATGGAACTTACACACAAATGGATAGCTAAATCAACAGTGAATTCGTTGTAGCTCAACTTTAATGAAATAGCAATTATTATTACTAACAAAATAATTAATCAATCCTTTAATATTGATATTTTATAGCAGAAATGTATAACCAAATCGTTGATATACAGGATAAACATCTTTAAATATAATAGCAATATTATTAAGATTATCATATTTAAACCTAAATCTATTTATATCGGTTAAAAAAAGCAAGAATGAAAGATCGGCTTCCATTACGTTTCATTCTATTTCCCCAAATGGAAGCTCAGTATAAAACGAATCGATGGAAATCGTTACTCCAATGCTGTACTGGATTGTTACTTGTTTAGTAGTAGCTGTATCGTATTTAACATCCTTAATCTTTTTTTATATCAAATATTGGTTGTATTTGACAAATGATCTTTTAGCTGTATCTGTATCGATTATAATACCAAAGAATGTATCAACACCGTATCGCTTATTGTTTGTATTAAATGTTTCAACTGTTAACTTATAAGCGTTTGTAGTATTGTTGAGATTAATCGTTATTGAAAAACCATTATAAATATCTATGAAGATAAAGAATGTTCTGGAAACTCTTTCAGAACTGTTTGTATCAATAAGATATTGATTAATAAGATAATTATCACTATTGTTACTATCATTATCACTATCATCATCTTAATTATCTTCTTGTTTGATATCAGTAACGAACTGCTTGTATTGCTTCGTAAAACTCTTGTCATTGAGTTTGCTGTACTTGGTACAGTAATTTGTTTTAAGTCGGTTTTTCTCCTCCTATATATGCTTATAATATCTATAGCCCTTCTTCTTACAACCAGGAAAGTAATAATCGTTCTTACCCTTATCAGCCAGTATAGGAAAAGGTTATTGTCTGATATATTTATTATAAGGTTTTTGGAAGGAGGAGCCCAAAGATCTATTGTTGTAGAAATATTGATCTGTAAGGAATATCTCAGGTAATATATCCTACTTCGGAAATGCTTTTTGATAAAAATCGATAGCTTGTTTAATCTGATTAATGAGCTTTGTAGTAGTTAAATGAGGGTTGTATATTATAGAATAGTATTCCGGAATACTATTGTATACAGACAAGATCCTAATATAGTATGATTGGGAGTTGTGCATATTATTGGGAATAGTATATTGAATAAAGTATAAATCCGTAATTATTGTATTAAATATTTTCTAAGGTTCCTTAATCGGGTTCTTTTCGATATAGTTTTTGAAAGTGACTTTGTTTTATTTGAAAAGTATATTTCGTTAATATTCAGATCTTTCAAAATTGTTAACCATTATCTTGTATACACTATTATATATTTTAGGAAAAATATTGAGATTAGCTTGATAAAAGTCTCTAGTAGTGTTTGAGAGCATAATGAGGAATGTTGTCAAAGTTATTTTAATTGGTACAAATACTTTATAGTAATACTTTGTAAATATGGAGATTTTTAATTGAAAGGAATTATCGATACTCTTATACTTATCGTTATCTCTATAGATCTTAGAGAAATCAATAAAGCAACGATTCTGATTATATTAATTATTTTCCCAGTAATTAGAATAATTATAATGATCTCTATTTCCATTATCTCTACCACCGTCTTTACTACTACCTCTGCTACTACCTCTATTGTCTTTACTACCTTGGCCATTATTATTATCATTATCATCTAAATCGTTATTGTTATTAGATGATCCTATAGGAACATCAACTAATAGAATTCTAAAATCTAGTAAAGGTGTATTTTGTATATCCCCAGATTAAAATGGAGATTAAAATAAAACTAATTCTTCTATTATTAAACTACCTATAACTTTGTTAGGTTTTAGTAAAATTAGTTGATTAGCTATATCACCATCTTGAGATTCAGAAAGTTCGATTTGTGATCTCGAACCAAGTCCGACAGGGAGATAAGCCTATTTTATCAATACAAATAATTGTATTTTATTAAACTGATATTCTAGAAATTGATTTGTAATCTAATCATAATATTTATTATAATCAAATATTTTCATAAAAGCATTCTCGATACTCATATTAATATCAATATAAACTCCATAATATCGTAAAACTATACGAAAATTATATAATATCAACTTATTAATATTTCTTAATATGCCTTTACAAATACAATCGAAATCGAATATAACTATATCCTGAAGAGGTGTGTCGATAATCCCTATATCCGAATATGCAGCCTTCCTAAAAAGAAAGTATTCATCAATATGATGCTTTGTTTTCAACCTAAATATATATCCTTTATAAAACTACCTGACTTTATTAAGATCTTTTGGAAAAGAATAATCCTGAAGTTCTCCTTTGAATTCCAATTCCTTTATAGTTTCCTGAGCTTTTCTTTTTTCAGTTGCTTTATCAGAAGAAATGTAAGAATCAAGGGGAGCAGTAGGCTGAGGATAAAGAAAAGTATTAGTTGTATTCAGATCTTCATAATAAGAAGTATTGAAATCTACTTGTAAAGAATCAATACTATCGATCGTTGTATTGATATACCCTTTTATGTTGATGGATTTATCGAATAGAACCGATTTCTTGCTAATATCGGATTTCTTATTAAAATCGGGTTTCTTGCCGGTTTACTTAAAATTAATATTAGCATTTGCCCAGGATATTATGATGCTAACAATGGGAAGTAAAAGAAGTAAGAATAAAAAGGTATTTCAAATAAATAAGTAATTTGTAATATTACTAATTAATATTAATTTAAAAAAAATACGGAAAATATGATTCTCATTATATATAGACCCCTAAATATCTATTTGTATTTAATCTAAAGAGCTAGCTAAATAAGGGAAATAGTAGGCCTTATATAGACACTACTAAAAGAACTAGTTTCCTTCGCTTTCGCCTAATACCTTTAATACAGTTGCTATTGTATGGAAGTTATTCCTTTGAAGTGAATTCCTTTGAGTGAATTCCCTTGTCCACACAATTAATATAAGGAATATCGAAAAAGTAAGATTAGATATGAATAATTCAATTAAATCTTTATCGAATCTTTTTTTTAGATTTTCGAAAAGCCTAAAATTGAAGTATGAAGGAATAGTGATCAAATAGTGACTTTTTGGGAGGATCACTATCCCTCTTAGGGTAATGGTTATTACTAATGCTGATTATCAAAAAAATCCTTAGAATAATAGTTAGAAATTATATATTATTCTCTTATTTTATAAATTATTATATAGGGGTTTCGATAAATAACAATCCGATCATTCATCTAAGTAGTAGCGTAGTTGATCGTATTTCATAAGAATACTATATCTATTTTAGTATCCTCTACTCTTGCTTGTATCGCAGTTATTCTCTCTTTTGTAAATGTATCTGCTTTCTTCTCTCTTATCTCTTCAAGTGGATATATAAATCGAATAATGTTCTTTGGGCCAAGTCTAATGATTTCAGATCGATTAGCAAACTAAACTGAAGACGATGAACTCCTTTCCTCCATTCAATCTCTTAGTTATGAGTTGCTACTCACGTGAAATATGTACCACCTTGTCTCATAGATTCCCAGATTACATCCCGAAATTCCTTATCCGCATCCTCCCCATCAAATTCTTCCATTTCGAATCGGTAAACAAGCCATAATTTGAAGGTTTCTATATCCAAGTCTCTGCATTCACCACAGTATTCATATAGAGCTTCTTGGACCGCTTCATCCGACATCAGATTATCCAGAGTTTCCATGTCCTCTTCATCTGGCTCACCAATCGGTGATGGCCAAGATACAGAATCAGGTCCACCTATTGGAGGTGGCCAACCTACTGCAATACGTTTCACAACCCTAAAGCCAGAGAATGGCTCCCATCTATAAACCTCGGAATTAGTTATAATTTCTTTCATTCATAACTGTTAACGTATAGCGCTTAACGAATATTGAAACACAAAAATAGTTCTTGTTTCTGATTAGCAACGCCCAAAAAGCTTCGAAACTCCAAAGATGTGAGGTCGATACCTCCATGGTCTCTGATATACTGAAAAAGTGTTGGTTCTGATAAAAGTTCCATAGTATCCAATGCTAAGTCCAATAGTCCACGATTGCTAAATAAATGTTCAGTAATTTCATTCCACCTTGGACATGAATAAGTTACTGTCGGAGGTTTTATGTTGAAATAGTCTAATGAATCATCACTTTTTTCCCAAGAACCATGCTGTTTACTAATTCTCGTTATTACTTTGTTCACGGCTATGAACCTTTCGATCTGGCTCCTAGTTTGAGGTGGACCGTAAGGCCACCCGTACCCAATGCTGATGCCACTATCATCTATCTGAGATTTCGCATCAGGATGATCTTTTGAGAGGTATCTCATCCCTCGTTTCTCTGCTCTCATTTTCTTTGCTTCGGGTCCGAACATCCTGACATTTTCCCAGAATCCTTCGGTGAAAAGACTTGAATACCACTGCGTTGGCACCGGCCAATAATCATATGTATGGAATTTATCAGTCTGACCTCTTCTGGGTTTTCTATTCAATGCTGGAGCTTTTCTAGATGTTTGATAAGTTTATTTTTGTCGGTGAACCAGCTTGTCTTGATGATACCCAAATTAGGGAGACCAGGACCACCACGACTATACATCCGGGTCATGAGAGACATAGGTTGACCACCCCAGATCTGTTTATAAAATCAGTATTCGAATAGTTGCATGAGAAGGGAAGTATTACATTCTCAATAAACGAGTATCCTAATTCAGCGAGAGGTTTGTCTTCAAAGTAAGGCTCATTTTCACCCTCGGCCGCCGTATCGTCACAATTAACTTTCTCGTTGATAATAGACCTTCGTATAGCATGCTTAGTCACATTGAAGATCAGATAAAGAGTTCGATTATCTGCCCGTCACCTTTTCAGTTACTGCAAATTCATGAACCAAAGTCGTCGCAATTCTCAATTGATTTCGCATCCTGCATGTAAATATCAATAGGCGTCACATATTCAATATCCAAGTAACTCACTTTTCGCCATCTGTCAAATCATCTCTTAAAAGAGGTTGCGCCAAGTCGGTAGAAATAAGCACCTCAATCCTATCATAAATTGTATGGTTTCTTGTTATTGCGTTACGGCTTGTGCGAGATCGAGGCATACCAGTTGCAACATCTTTATACCCACTGTGAAGTCCAAATACAACTTTAGATGTCATGTTTTGGATTGAGTTATCAAGAATATGCGGAGAAGAGCGGCTGGTTCTTTCACTATGAGTTCTGGGGAAGAATCGTTGTAGTTTGATCTCTTTGATGCTTTTGGGCACATCTTCGTAACTACCATTGAGGAGTGCATCTAGCCTAGGCGGTACATCAGCTTTTGAATTTTATAATTCGAAATAGATTACTGCACACACCACAAATATTTGCATTCGTTATGGAACATCATTGTTGCCAACTGTAAGCAGGGCTTTAATAGATCCCACAAAACTGGATTATCTGCCTAGTGAGAGAGCACCATTATCTTAGCCTATATGTAAATTGTGCAAAGAATGTTTATTGCAAATACTCACCATCCAAAAACCTTTTTTGGCCCCGAGAATTGGTATTGCTCCCTTATGCTTCGGCATGTCAATTTCTGACACCCATTTACCTTTTTCGAAACAAGGATGAATAGGGTTCCGCAGAGTATGAAGAAAAATATCTGTTTCCAAAGCTGCCAAGCAATTCATGTTGTGGAGATCGAATTCTGTGAAACCGTTCAATCTCTTTCTTTGATATCTTTCCAGTTCATCAAAATCTCGTTTCCAGTTGCTCCCCTTTTTACTTTCGTGAGGTTTTGAACAACACTCTCGAGGGGTTAATCCGCTTTTTCCTTCATTGCCCAATATTCGATGATCGACAGATGAAAATTTTCCTATAGGTCGGCCGTACTTTTTCGCAAGGCCTGTACATCCGAAGGTGTAGCGAGATCGTTCGCCTACTAGTCGAAATTAGTATGGAGGGGGTTTTCCCACAATTGCAAGAGGGAAGAAGGTTTGTAAATCTCACTCAATGATAGCAATTGTCCTGTGGTGTCATAACTTATTTTGCCAATCGTTTTTGCCTCATCCATAGGAGTTAAAAGATCCGCCATACTTTCAAAATAATTTTCCCACCATGGATGGCAATGGAAGTTAGCTCAGGTAGGGGGAGGTTATGTATGTACCCTCAGCTAAGGACGTTAAATATGGTCGTAACCACAATTTACTTTAGAATTAATCTCTGGCTTTAAGTCTTGTATTCTAATAGGGACATCGTTGACTTGAATGGTAAATGTAATTTTTGCGAGTGGCAGGCAACTCAGTAATCCTTTGTCTGCAACCAGCTAAAAGGAGTGTATCACATCAGAAAATTCCGAAGAAATGTCCCCGACAATCCAAGGATCCAAAGATCAATGAATGAAAAATAAATTGATACGAAATAGACAAAGAAATATTTAAGTACATTAAGAGACAGTTCAATTACTCTGATTGTAGAATTAAGGTTTTATCAACGCAATTGAAGATAAAAAAATTATTCCGATTATCGCTTTGAGGTGACTTTAAATTATGACCTTCTGCAAAACCGGAAGCAGTAATTCCTGTTTTATTCATCAAAGAATCTACCTTGTATATCTTTATGTTGTTCTGCTCAATGAGTGTCTGCTAGTTCTTGCGCTGTAGGATGATGCTCTGTTGAAACCTGTTCAGTTTGAGCCTCCTCATCTGCTTTGTTGTCCACGGTTCCTCTCAGGGTTCTTCCTACTGTTGTAACATCAAGACCCGGATATAACTTTTTAGATTTGCTCTCTTGCTTCGCATTGTTCTCTGTAGACCCCAAACTTTCCTTCGCAAACCCCTTGGAGGCCTGTGATTCCTTTCCCTTTTTTGCACATCTACAACATAAATAGAATCCAATTCTTGACCTGTATCTCCGGAAAAATCTTGCGAAATGTGGAGTATCTGCAATGATAAGTCCAATGGCGTGTTCGGTGATGGTAACTACATTTATAGCTGTTGCGTACCACAAATGGTCGGCATGAGTATTAATATACACACGCCAGTATATGTTTATGGCTGCGGAAAGAACAGCTCTATTAATAATAAGTATAAAACCTTTTTCTTCAGGAATTCGAACTCACAAGAAACCAGTACTAAAAACCAGTAATATGCCCAGTTTTTTCCGCATAGTCATCATTTCCAGTCTACTGACTGCTACCATCGGTACAAGGAATAGATAGACGTCAGTGACTAGACCAAAGATGCCTTTTGGTAGATTGAGAGCTTGCGCTCTGATGGCATTATCTGCAACGAAATAGATTGAAAGTGGGAATGCCCAAACACCGCCGGTGACGATAACAATAAAGTAGAAAATTGTGGTTACTCCCATACCAACATAACATAATATCCTGATTACTTTCATGATGGCGAAAATTTCCAGATACATTAAGAAAATGGTGATTTTGATTAAGCAAATGGACAGAGGAGGCATTATTATGTTCAAAGCTATCGAAGTGCGAGAGCGCAAAGATAAAACTTTATCTAGTGAGGCATCCCACGAGTGAATACCGGTTTGTCCAAAACCGCTCGCCCCAATCTGGAGGGTGATCGTAAAGTTAACCAAGACCCTAAGAAGTAGGCATTGAGGAGTAGCATATAAATCTTGTGCTTACTAATATTTCGACAAAGGTAACGATGGTAGCAAGAACAGCAAACGTGAAGCAAACATCGCTCCAAGCCCAATTTATAGGATGTGATAATCTGAAGATCACCCATAACCTCATCATGATACATATTGCTATGGTGAAGAAACCAAAAGCACAGAATCCCCAAATAACAGGTTGTATAGAATCCGGGTCTGCAAAGTTCGGAGTCACTCCTGGTGGGGGAGGGAGAGCTCCAATTCCCGCGAGAACCGAGGTTGGGATTGTCGAGGCATCGATAGCTTCGGCACGCTGAAAAACCATTGGAGCCATGGTCGTAGAATTATGCGCTTGCAATGAAAGTTTGTATGTGCGTGAAAAAGAGATGCGTTGTTTTCACACATTTAGGAGAATCGATGATTCTAAATACCCTCTCAATTACATAGGGGAGCATGAGCAATAGAAAAGACACCTCTATCATGCTCCAGCTTTACATGTCGATCTCAAATTTGTATGTAGATCTCCAGAATTGAGAATTTTCCCTTTGTTCTGTTGGAGATGAATAGAATTTGCCGAACTGTGCGAGTCTATAGTATGTTTAGCACCGGAAAATTCCTCCTTGAGGAACGCTGAAGGAATCGTTCTTGTAGGTGCGGAAGATGTGTAGAATTGTTAATCCTATGGATCTTGTTTATATATATTGAACCATTCGCACCTTCCATATTTATCCCTAACAACGCAGCTAATTCAATTGGCTACCTATGGATCCACCTAGTGGATAGTAAGAGCAGACGTCGAAAAAGGTATTCGGCAGCACAAGAGGAAAGTAGTTCAATGAGATGATTTCAGGGTGTTACTTGATTGATTTAGAGTGAATTCATACTGAATGCCCCAAAATTCACATGCTTGGCTTTGAAGGGTGGCTACCCATAAAGAAGTGAAGGAGGAAAGAAAGAAAGTAGACAGAAGCGACAGAAGCAATGTCATTCATGATCTGCATGACCATTTAAGAAAGAGATCATGTGCATTCGGTACAAAGAATATGTAAAGATGCTGAATAATATTAGGCTTAATAGCGGGAATGTCTACAAGTTCAATTTACTGTTCTGAGAGGATTCGATAAACTTCGTGCCGAGCTCCCAAACCTTTTGAACTCTGTAAATTCGAGTAGATGATGACAAAACACGGTAGTATTCGGTTGATGGTGGGGTGCAATTCACGAAATGTTCTTTGTTGATCGGGTGAAAATTGATAAAATCATAATCATGATTTGTCGATTAAGAATTCGGTAGATTTAGCATTGTATGCGATGTCATGCGATGTAGTGGATTTTCAAGTCTGATTCGTAGCTGTGATGGGGTTGCAGTGGTATGATATGGTGAGGTCCTAGATTCCTGTCATCCCTTAAGATCACATCTCGCCCGAAATCCCCCATATCCATGCGGCCTAAGTGAAAGATCAATGAACCAGAAAACACAAAGGGGTTTTTGATTCGGGTCTGCATCGATAGTTAGAAAGATGATGCATGGTCTCTGGCTTCTTTTGAATGTCGCAATGTAATCCGAATATTATACATTGAACATTTAAAATAGAAACAAATTGGAAACCAACCATGGGGAGGAAAGCTGCCATCTACCCCTACTTTCTACTGGTACCTCGATCCTTTCCTCTACCATCCAACATCTTGAACCTCTTTTGGAAACCTTCACCAGTTTGCATACCACTCCCTCTGGGACCATCCTCGACACTTCTCTTTCTGCTCTTCTCTAGAACATCCTTCATTCCACCACCGCTACCACTCTTTCTCTTCGTCAACCTCTCAATTCTATCAATACCCTCACCCAGTCCTCTCCATTCTTCACCACCGTATCCAGCATCTTGTCTTCCACCAGCTTTGTTTTTCTTCGCCCGGTCCTTTTTGTTTTCCTTTGGCAATCTGGTATAATTCCTCTCTTCGTATTCTCTTCTTTCGTCATCCTCCTTCTTCTCCTTCTCACTCTTCGATCTTCTGCCACCAGCTATGATGTTGGAACCGATACTTGCCTCTGCAATTGGAGCAGTGGACAATTCCGTATTAATAAACTCATCCAAGGTTGCAGATTTGTTCGCTTTTCTGTCCTTCTTTTCGCGACGTTCGGTGGTAGGCATGGCGGTTGCAGTGATGCGAGGAGGTTTGTAAATACCATCAGAGGAATGCTTCGAGTCATCTTCTGTAGCAGCGGCAGGTCTAAGAAGAGATGAAGGATTTGGTCGATATTGTAGATCGTCAATTTGTGGGTTCTCAAGAGGTGCTCCATTTCCATCTGCATCACTACCATCCTCAGATTCCGAATCGTCTTCATCGCTTGGCGCATCACCTTTAGTTCCAACTGGTTTTGGTGAAGGCGCAAGAGCTCGAATGGCATCGTCGGACGCTCGGAGTACTTTATCGATTTGATATTTTAGTCGACCTTCCAGTGGTCGAACGCCCTTCTCAAGGTATACCCTCAATTCCACCAACTTCTTCACCACCGCATTATCCAATTCTTCTTCATCCTCGCCTGATACATCTTCTTTTTGGTTCCTGATCTTGAGAATTATGATAAAGACTAAGTTTTGAAGATATGATAGGAGAAGCTCATTTTTCACATCTAGGAGTGAAATACCATCGGTAGGAGGTTTGATGAGCGAACTCTCTGGGGTTGATTCGATCGCCGAATTCAATGATTGAGTAAGAGTGGTCAATAATGCCGGAAGAGAAGTTTCGACGGCCATTATTTCGTCGTTTCTTTCAATTGAATGTAATGTGGGTAAGAAAACCGTGTGTATGATTTATCGGGTTATGGAGAAATGTAAGAATTTCCACTTGAAGAAAGAAGATTTCAATTGATTGTACGAATCGATAAGAAAATTAATTTGTCAGGGGGAATAAATTTCTGTTTGCGCCGGTCAAACATTAATCCTTTTCCGTGTTTCATGCGGCCGCTGCGGCGAGGCCAGATTAATTGAAAGGTTGTCCGTTCAAGTTCCCTAGAGCAGTAGCAAGCAACGAGTAACAATCAAGGAGTTTATCAAGTTGATTATTTCAATATCAACATCTCATAATTATTTCTCAAAGTTCAAACACATTTTAAAAGTTAGCTGTTATCAAGCCCACTTCATATGAGAGAATTTACACATTAATTCTTTGCTGGCATTTCATGCTAAATTAAACATAAGGATCAAGGGCTGGATCTTCGTAAGCTCCCCTTTCACAAATAACGTTTCCCTTGGGATTTCTTGGATTACATCCTCACGCTTAAATCGTATCAAACTCACAAAACGACAGGTAAATACTCTTCGTCATGCGTTTAAAAGACCTCAAACCATCTGCCGCCCTTGTTGCGACCTTTCTCGTCGCTCCCGAACTATCCTCAGCTTTCTACCTTCCTGGTGTTGCGCCGACATCATACTCACCCGGCGCCAAAGTCCCCTTATATGTGAATCGACTTACACCTGTCGGTTCTTATGACGATGGCCAATTAAGATCAGTAGTATCTTTCGATTACTATCACCCGGCCTTCCATTTCTGTAGACCAGATCCAAAACCAGAATATGTCTCGGAAAGTTTGGGTAGTATTCTTTTCGGTGATCGCATCATGACTTCGCCCTTTAACCTGAAGATGGGAGTCAACGAGACGTGTAAACAACTTTGCGAAGAGAAGAAGTTTGATCAAAGCTCGGCACATTTTGTGAACAGAAGGATACAGCAGGGTTTTGCGATGAATTGGTTAGTTGATGGTTTGCCAGCAGGACAATTGATTGAGGATGAAATCACACAAACGAGGTTCTATAGTCAAGGATTCGCATTGGGGAGTAGCGATCAGAAAGACATGCACTTGAACAATCACTACGATATCTTTATCGACTATCATGAGGTATCTGCTGGTCAAATGAGAGTTGTTGGTGTTATTGTTCAACCTTCGTCGAGGACAATGAATGAAAATCCAGGGGACCCAGAATGCGGTGCTGGTGGACCGCAAGTGGTACTTTCAGAATCTGGAGAGACAGCTGTCACGTATTCGTACAGTGTCTGGTGGCAACCTTCAACAACAGCTTGGGCTACCAGATGGGACAAATACCTCCATGTTTTTGATCCAAAGATTCATTGGTTCTCTCTGATCAACTCCGCCGTCATTGTGGTATTTCTCGTCATCACAGTCCTTTCGATTCTCATGCGAACTTTGAGAAAAGACATTCAAAGATATAATAGACTCGATTCGATCAACCTTGATGACTTATCAGGAACATCTGCTGCTATCGAAGACGGAGTTCAAGAAGATTCCGGATGGAAATTGGTACATGGAGATGTATTCCGTACACCAGGACGTCCATTGATTTTGAGTGTATTTCTCGGCAATGGAGCTCAATTGTTTGTTATGACGGGCTTTACAATTGCATTTGCACTTTTGGGGTTCCTTTCACCATCCAATCGTGGATCTCTTGGTACTATTATGATCCTTCTGTATACTGTACTCGGTTTTATCGGAGGATATGCCTCAGCCCGTGTATACAAGTCTTTTGGTGGTGAACAATGGAAGCTCAACATTGCCTTGACTCCAACACTCGTCCCGGGTATCGTCTTCAGCACATTTTTCCTCCTCAATCTCTTTCTTTGGGCCAAAGAATCTTCTGGAGCAGTACCATTCACAACAATGCTCGTCATTGTTGCCATATGGTTCTTCTTCTCCTTACCTCTATCGTTTGCCGGAAGTTGGGTTGGGTTCCGTCAACCACCTATCGCTTCTCCGGTCCGTACCAACCAAATACCACGTCAAATTCCTCCTTCCACGTCGTACATGCGTCCAATTCCATCCATGCTTCTCGTAGGTATCTTACCATTTGGAGCAATCTTTGTTGAACTTTACTTCATCATGTCCTCCATTTGGTTTTCAAAGGTTTACTACATGTTCGGCTTCCTCTTTTTATGTTACGGTCTCATGATCATCACCTGTGCTGCTGTCACCGTTCTTATGATATATTTCTTGCTTTGTAGCGAGAATTACCACTGGCATTGGAGAGCATTTATGACGGCCGGTGCTAGCGCTGGTTACGTGTTTGCAAATGCCATGATCTACTGGGTGACAAAACTGCAACTTGGTGGCTTGGCGGGTAGTGTACTTTACATTGGGTATAGTGCATTAATCTCGTTTTTGTTCTTCATCCTTACTGGTAAGTCCACAATCCATAACAATTCAATACGAGATGATACTAACAAGCAGGTCAGGTTCGATCGGATATTTTGCTTGTTGGGCTTTTGTCCAGAAGATTTATGGATCTATCAAAATCGATTAGGATTTGACTTGGTTGGGCCACAATGTCCCTCCGTCAAATCACGATATGTGCGATTATGTGAGATTGCGGGCGCGCTGGAAGGGTTTGAGAGAAAGGCAAGTCATCTATGTACCATACAGCTGGATTTTTCTTGATTTCGGAGGTATCTTCAATTCAATCCGTGTGATGCGATGATTAAAATATTTTATAGCGACGGTCCAAAGAGACACGGTGAGGTGCAAAGGCGTTTGATTAGGGTGGGATGTATTAGTACGCAGTGGAAATGAATTATCACTTTATTGTGTCATAGGATTGCGGCGGTCTGGAAATGATAATTTGCCAATGAAGGCCATGTGCAATAACTATTACGTTGTCACCTTTGTCTGCTTATGGCACTAGACTTGTTCTTTTTTCGTCAAGTAAGCGCTTTACTATCTTGGTATTATTCCAGTGGATACTGCTGTACTATCATTACTCGAGATTGGTAAACCAACTGTTGGTTTTACCTATTTGATTCTACAAGTTTTTTCTGTCTTGGACATTGCTATCAAGCAAAATCATATTTACATTGCAGAATTTCCTGTCCTTTTTTCAATCATTTCCCTTTGTCTATTGTATATCCCTATTATTTGAAGTCCAAATATTGTCGCCCTGAAGATGAATGGTCTTGTTCAACTCTCGGAGCTGAAGGAAGTCTTGACTCCTACTTGCAAGATCTTGACGGATCCCAATGATCTTAATTTTGCAGAGTATCTAAAACGATGGACGGACATTGACTTGAAGACTCCTGGAGCTATCGTACTCCCTACTTCAGAAACTGATTGCCAAAATATTGTGAGAATTCAAAGCACTCGAGCATTGGTCTCTTCCTAACACACGGTAATAGGTAAAATGGGCGTCGAAGAACTCTATACCTTTCGTGACAAAAAGCGGAGGTCATAGTGCATGGTCTACTATTGGAAGTGACGGAATCATCATTGATTTGAGTTTATACAAGGGAATGGAGGTGTACACAGAGTCTGGTACAGCAATCATTAAAGGGAGTATCCTCTCTAAAGAAGTAGCAGTAACTCTTGCGGAAGCTGGGTTCTTCACTGGTATGCATTATTTAGTCTACTTCCAGAATTCTTGGGGGGCGTAATTAACTTTATATCTAGCTTTGGGAAACGGTAACACGGTGGGAGCTATCCCATACTTTCTCGGTGGTGGCTGTTCCATTACTTCATCTATCACTGGTTTTGGATCAGATCAAATTATCTCGGCTCGTGTCATAACTGCAGACGGGGAATTGATCAATGTCACTGATGACACACATCCGGGTCTGCTTTACGCCATACGCGGAGCCGGACAACATTTTGGTCTTGTAACACAGCTTGTCATAAAAATCCATCCTTTGAAGAACCTTGGAAACGACGACGGTGTCATTTGGGTTGGAAGTTTTGTCTTTCCACTTGATCGTGCTTGCGAAGTAACTTCTGTCATGAAAAATTTAATGAACAATGATCAATATGCAACGGCTGGTCTTATGATGATCATGGCTCCACCCCCGACAAGAAATCCATGTTTGGTTATTGCGGCTCGTTACACCGGAAATCCTGACGACGCGGCATTGGCATATAAAGATATATACGACCTAGAACCACTTATTGCTAGTGGAGCGCCGGTACCAATTCAAAATGCAAGCGATAGAGGGGAGGCACTCGCGGCTAAGGGGGGCTTCAAACGATTCGGTATTGTTGGCCTGCATCAGTTCGATGAAGAAGCCTTTCTTCGGATAATTGCAATCTGGACAGAGATGATTGCCGAATGTCCAGATGCAATAAATACTGCATTCAATTTTCAATGGGATTCTCGGCCCGCAAAGAGGCCTGGTATTGAGTCAGCCATGTGTCTTCACGACATTAGGTATTGGCAGTAAGTGGAAGATTCCTCTTACTTTCACAAATGTTTCACAGGCTAATATGTTTAGAAACAATTTCATCTGGCATACTAATTCTAAGAACCGATCTAAAGTAGACGAATTCAATGAGCGGTCTATTGCAATAATGCGTGGTAATGATGAGGTGAATTTTGTAGATTTTCAGAATGGTACTCGAGCTGGACCTATTGAGCGGAGATTTCGAGGAAACGAAAGGCTTAGTAAGTTGATGGCCTTGAAGAAAGAATGGGATCCAAGAGGTGTATTCACGTCCGAATTTCTCTATTGATTTGCAAATATAGATACGAATGACTGATTCAACTTTGTCTTCAAATTCCATATATGAGGATGTTGAGTGTATGATCAAAAGGATACTAATCCATAAGACAGTATTTACTAGGTTTTGAGCAACTTATTCATTACACTAGGTCCCTATTAGTCTAACAATCTGTTTCAGGTTGAGTTTTATGATAGATTCAGACTTGAATAGATCTTTGTTGATTCATCTCATATAGTCATAATAGAGAAACTTTTGTAAGAGTTCTAGAACCTACTTACTATATATATAACGCTTTTCCGGCAAAAATATAAGATTATTCACCTTTATATACCCTAGTTTATTCCCTATAACTTTAAGTTCTTTTTTTAAAAAAAATTATAAATTGTTTTATGTACAAAATTTGATTAAGATTCAATTTCTTAAAAAAAAAAATCAATTTGAAAAATAGTTATAAATTTTTTTAAAAATCTATTTTTAATAACATGATCCTTTAATAATAATTAAATAACTTTTTGAGAAGAAATAAATAACTTTTAAGCTCTTTACTATCAAAGTATTCAATAAAATCCGATTTATAAAAAAAGTCTCAAGAGATGTTATCGTGTATATAGAGTTTGAAATACTAAATCAAGTTGCTCATTGTTTTTCTTAATATATTGATTTTCTTACTATCTAAAGGGGGACGTTAGCTATCTCCTCTTCTTCCCTAACACAGACTGTTACATTTTCTCAGGAAGCTCGCAAAGTACCACTTTTAATCAAAGACGTAACAAAGGCCACAATCGCACGTATTCCAATTTTGGCAATTTTGTCCCCATCACCGAGATTTGGATCAAAGGAGCATACTGTGAGAGATACAGGAGCCGCTTCCATTGGTACCAGGCCAAGACAATCTACAAGCTCATGCTCGAGAAGTCCACCTGGTGATTCGTAGCCGTTGACCTTTCCAAGCGATTCGTCAAGCACATCGAGGTCGAGGTGTACAATAGCCGGACTATACACTTTCTTTGCAAGCTTCATCTTCAATTCCTTGAGATAGTCAACTTTCTGGTCACTGTCACCCCATACAACATCAATTTCCGACTCTTGCACAAACTTTCGCTGCCCATCTGCCACGTCTCGAAGTCCAATATAGAGATACTTAACCCAACTAATTGGTACATGACCGGGAATCGTCTTTGCCAAAGCATGCCAGGACAGTCCAGACGCCATAGACATGCCCATTGCATCCAAATATCCATTGGTATTTGTCGAGGGTGTTTCGAGATCATCATGTGCATCAAAGTAGATAAATCCAGGATCCCGAAGTCCAATACCAGCTGCCACACCGGCGGTAGCCATACAATTCCCCGACAAAATAAGAGGAAACGAATTTGAGTTGCGTGCAGTCGTGACCGCTGTCGATATTCTCCGCAGGATTTCGAAACTGCGCCCTATCTCCCCCTCAAAACTTTCAACTGATTCAATCTCCTTTATTTGTACTTTGACATTAAGACTTTCCAACTCTCGAACAAGGCCCTGCTCTAGGATTCGATTTGGACCATCGCCGACTCTGTGGTTCTTGATGCCAACATGGTAAGGCGACAATATGATTGTGATTGTTGTCGACATTCTCGGAAAATACTGTGTGACCGTAGGAGGGAGGTAGTAGCTTTTAAAAAGGTGAATGAATGATGAAGGTTCTTTTTGGCTGGGGCATACAGAAAGGAAGTTGATGTTAGCAAAGAATGAGAAATCATGATTCATGTGGCGGATCAGCACCGGGTAAATTGTAATTATTACTCGGCCCACTTTACCCACTAGGTCTTTAAGATAAAACCTACATCTACATTGAGGTCACCTTTAGCCGTCCTTCTGCCAGTGAAACCAAACGCATGGCATCCTGCACATCTAGTACGATTTGTATAATTTGATAAGTTGAAGGAATGAATGGGTCAAGGGCACAGAGAGAAGTCGTGTAATGGAGGAATCATTACTCCTTGTGAAGCGAACCAGTAGAAGATTATTGTCGGCGGTGTCTTGATTCCGATGAGTTTCTGATAGGTTGGATGGAGTGTTTAGGAGAACTTTACATTTGGAGCATCTGTAAATTTAGGATTCGTCACTTCAGCAACTGGATCGGTGGGTTCTGTTGCTTCTCCAGCGGATTATTCTGATGCTGCTTGGATTTGTTTACGAACTTCGATAGTGTTCTGATTTATTCACAGGATTGGTACAAGAACGTGTACTGCGCATCTTAGTTAGTTTCGGCATGATAAAAAGTTGGGTTGATGACAAGTACAGAGCGTTATGGTCGAGACCGAATTGCAAGTTGGGATTGAATGGAGGATGACATGTTTGCAACGCGAGATGCGCGACAGTCACGTGATTCAAAATGGCCAATCTCGGTTCAAATGATCATAAACAAGGCGGCAACTTTGGTTATTTGTTTTGATCGCATCCAAGTGGTATATAGCAGTGTCAATGAATCAAAAGGTTTATGAGTCTCCGAGTCAATACTTCAAAGCATCCCTCAGTTTCTATTCTCTTCAATACATTGCAGATAATGAAATTGTCCATCCACTTCTTGAGCTAACCAACTTTCAGTAATGGCGTCATCACCTTTGAATCTAATGATTTTCACGAACAGCTTTCAAAGCCAGGTCGCACATTTGTATCATCTACGGTGGCAAGTTGTCGCTAGTTGACACCTATTTACATTTTCTACTCCATATAAACCATCAGAAGCCAACATTCATACGATATCCAGAGTCATGCCATCATATCAAGTGGTGATCATCTTGTCTATTTCCTCTCAGCGTCAATTACTATTACTATCTTCATCTTTTAATTGTCATTTCTCAATTGTTCCCAAAGCCTTGGAGAGCTCTTGCACAGCTATCTCATTCTTGGTCTAAGTCGGATACCCCACTTTCTGGCCACCCCCCTTTTGGGCCACTTTTTACACCAAAAATGGAAATTTTAACTCTCTCATTTATGGATAGAATTTCATGAAAATTTATATATATATAATTTAGATCGATTTAAGCTTATTCTAAAATTTTCAGATTTTTAGGATTTTTCTGTATTGAGATCTAGAACTTCAAAATATCGATTTTTAAATTTGTATAGGAATCACATATAAATTTGAAACTTTTATAAGATCTTTAATAACTTTCGAATAAAAATTGCTAAAAATATATTGTAAAATTTCACTATCACTTTATAATATATTTCATATAATAGATTCAGAAAAAATAAAAAAATTCTCATAAATAAATATTTAAAGGGGTACCCTCAAAATGACAGGGATTATTTATATTACTCTAAACTCACTGTATACTATATCTCTATATCTATTAATTTTTTTGAATTTTTTTTTGAATTTCTATATAGATTCAAGCCCAAATATCTCAGAAATATATATAGTTTTCTTTTAATAATTGTTGTTAAAAAGTTATTAAAGGTTTTATAAAAATTCTAAATTTATATGTGATTCCCATACAAATTTGAAAATCGATATTTTAAAGCTCTAGCTTTCAATACAGAAAAATCTAAAAAATCTAAAAATTTCAGAATAAGCTTAAATCGATCTAAATTATATATATACAAATTTTCATTGAATTGTATTATATATTGATAGAGATATTAATAGGCCTAAAAAGTGATTTTTGGTGTGAAAGGGTGGCCCAAAACCCTGTTGGCCCGAAAGTAGGGTAACCGACTTATTCCTTATTTTTGTAGTGTATTCCTTTCTCAGTCGAGAGTTGACTTCTGTACTTGGTCTCAGTTATTATACAGTACATCAATAACTTTTAGAGTCACTATCCCATCTCGCGACTGTCAGAATGATCTGAACACCAAATTTCTAAACCTCAATTATCATTCAATATCAAAAAAACAGCGCAATCTTTCCTTTGTAATTCTTTGAGGAGAGTTAATTTCGACTTTTCTGACAGTCGTGAGCCCATCTCCACCTTCTGAAAGACGCCCTTGAGAGTACCAATCAACCCCTCAATCTATTAATTTTGGGGACTATAAGGAGTCATTATTCATTAAAGGTACTTCAAAATCGAAGGAGATCTCATCCTGGGACGACTTGCATCAAAAAGATTATTAATCCTCTGCGTTGCTTGGAGTGATGCTCGACAATGCTGTGCATTCCATCAAATTGCAACTTTATTCGTTGTTGTCCAGAGGCCCCTCTTTCGAAATATTGCATTGGCGAACCGATTTTCTTATACTACTTGTCCCCATCTGTCTTTCACTTTCGCGCTTTAAAATATAACTCTTAGTGATTGGTCTCCTGTAACAGCAGAAGTTGAGGCTTTTGCCGCGCTAGCTGCACCTCCAACACTTGACAACGGACTCATCAATGGTACAAATACCTACAACAATTCTGATACCATCGTTAGTTCGCATTTCGAAACAACTTTCAAGAGTGATACTCGATATCGAATTCGGCTTATGAATACCACAGCCGACACACATTTCAAATTTAGCATTGACAGTCATACCATAAAGGTAATTGCGGCTGATTTTGTTCCAATCGTACCATATATTTCTGATACAATTGCCATAAGTATGGGACAAAGATATGATATCATTGTTACTGCGAATGCAGCAGTTGATAATTATTGGATGAGGGCAGTTGCTCAAACCGTCTGTAGTGAAAACGTCAATGCGGATGATATCTATGGTATTATCAGATATAACAGCACTTCTACTGATGATCTAACTTCTGTTCGTTGGGCAAATGCTTTGACTGACGAACTTTGTGAGGATGAACTCAGGGGTTCTCTTGTTCCATACGTACCAATTGTCGCATCGAACTCTCCGGCAGAAGAGGATGAATTCTCTGTTATTACCAACAAAACTAATGGTGTGATTTGGCAAATGGGAACTTATTCTTTCCTTAATCAGTGGGACTATCCAACATTGTTACAGTCTTACGAAGGCGATGATACATGGGCAGCAGAACAAGCAGTTTATCAATTACCAGAAGCTTGGATAATGCATTGTCATATTGCTTGGCATACTTCAGAAGGATTGGCTGTCCAAATTCTAGAAAGAGAGAGTGAACTAGTTGATCTCTTGGACGGCGACTTATTGAATGCAAAGTGTGCTGCTTGGGATTCCTATGCTTTGGCTGATAATGTAATTCAGCCTGACTCTGGTACATAATTGAGGGATCTTGTAACATTCTTCTCAAAGCGAGCAATTATCGTCATCTATGTTTTGTATTAGGTCCTTTTTTGAGAACAAAGAATGAACAAAGAATTATCATACACATCTATGAAGGAACTTTTCAATTTCCTTTAAATTATGAATTATACAAGTACCACAAAACAATGCCTTTGTTAACTTACTTAAATGCTCATTGAGTTGCGAAAGTGGATTCACCAACTTAATGCCTGTTTCTGATCAGCCCTAATACACAACAACCAACGGATTAAAATCTTTTTCAAACAGAATGTCACAAGAAAACATTTCAGACACTGCTCCAGTGGAGGGTGAGACTGATCTTACATTCGGCCTCGAACTCGAATTCATCTTAGCTACAGTGGATGAAGGTAAGCCTGATCCCCATCCCAAAGATCCTCGCGAGGTAGATGGTAAGAAGCTCAGTAGCACGTTTGTGATCGACCAAGAAATCGGTAAGAAATTAAGAGCTGTTGGTATCCCAGCAATTGTTGAGGAGGAAAAGCCCACGAAAGAGGAATACAAGACGTGCTGGGTCATGAAAAGCGACATCACCGTTGGCGATGACGAGGACGGGCCCGGCAAGGTGACTCAAGAGTGGAACGAGCTCTACACGAAAAATGGCATGGAGATATCTTCTCCTCCGTACTACTACACTAAGCCGGCGAAAGATGCGATCACTAAGGTGTTAAAAACGATAAGGGAAAATTACAGAGTATGTGTTGATGGTACTGCGGGCTTACATGTTCATGTAGGTAACTCGTACAATGGTCTTCAATTTCCAATCCTTAAGCACCTTTTGGCAATTGCGCATACATATGAGCCACTATTAATGTTAATTTTTCCATCGGAGCGTGTATCGGACAATCCCTGGTGTCCTCCTCTTTTCAATTCTCGTCTTACCAAAAAGCACCCTGACCTCACACGAGCTGAGGTTCTTGAGAATATCCTAGGATATACTGACAACGAATCGTTGCTCTACGATTTTGGTGAGTCATTGGGTTCAGGTCGCCTTGGGTTCAACTTAGTAGGTCTAGCGACTCCTTACAAAAATGAACAACGCACCATCGAATTTCGACACCATCATGGCTCTCTTGATCCTGAAGCTATTCTCAACTGGATACATGTGTGTATAAAGTTAGTAGAAAAGGCCTGTTTTGCCAAAAGTGATGAATTGTCCACGCAATTGCGACAAGATATCGCAAAGCCGATCGGATTTGATGAAGGAGATCTTAGTACGATTGACTTCTTCATGTGGCTCGGCTGCCCAGCTCAAGCCTATTACTATTGTGCCAACATGGTAACTGACAAAGATGCACTTAAACAGAGGATCGAATATGATGCGACATGCCGTGAACACTTCCTCAAGTGGGCTCGCCATCGTCTTCAAGTCGAGGCAGAGGATTCTGGGGAGGACGAGGGACAGGATAGCTCCAAAGAATCAGAGCCAACTACAAGTAACTCTGAATCCACAGATGAGAATGAAGCTGACCAAGACGAAGGCAATGATGAGAGCGGCGATAGTGGCGAAAATCCATCCAATTCAAACGAAGATGATTCATGATGTGTAGTTCCGTTCTGCTTTCTCTCTTAATATAGTTGGTAGTCAGCCTAAAGTCAAGCAAATAACTTAAATAATAAACAATATAAAATAATCCCCCACATCTCCCATTTCTCCCATTTCTCCCATTTCTCCCATTTCTCCCATTTCTCCCATTTCTCCCATTTCTCCCATTTCTCCCATTTCTCCCATTTCTCCTCCCTTCTTCGATTGTTTTCAGAACGAATATTTGATAGTGGTTGAATTGCTTTGTAAACGTTACGTGGAGTGCGATTGCCTGTGACGAGTTTTGATGATAGTTATCTAAATTACATCTTGATAAATTTGAAGTTTGCTTCTGTGTTTAGTGAATTCCTGAAAATCTTACAATTTAAAGAGTTAAGTAGTCGGTACTATAAATATTTGGAAGCGGCTAATACTATCGGCTTGATTAACTAGCTTTAGGACATGTGCTTTTTGCCAGGAGCAAATTAGTTATGATCAGCTTCAACAAGAGCTGCATAGAATATGGCTCACGAAAGCGTCTAATGTTAAATGATTTAGCAAGATATAGAGGTATATCACAGTGACCATACAAGTGCGGGAATTTGGTGATAGACAAGAAGATGGTTAAATTGTTTTTATTAGTACGACGGGTGGTATACATTCGATCGTGCGTCCACTTCCATGCATCTTATGCCCTACAAGCTAAAGAAAAAAGTTGACATTCAAAATTATATATACTCTTGCATTAACTCACATAAACTAGATGACAATCGGGATTTAGAAGGGAGACTATTCCCCTATGAATCTTGCATCGAAGTTCCAAAGAAAAATACTTAATTAAGAATTCCCAGATGAACACTGTCTTGAACACGTTTTTAAATGATGACTTTGACAATTTATAAACGCATACTCAACCCTTACAAGACTTGGTAGTCACCACACAAACACGCATCTTGTCATTCGGAGAGTAGAGACCCTCATCATCAAACGAAAAATTATCTTGTGTCAACATGCCTCAACTCAGAGGGTTCTCCTCCATTGATAACAGCCCACGAAACGTTTTTTAATAATAATGAACCACTTGAGTGGCCCCAGAGAAAAGACCCGGCACTTGCCAAAGGCAAATCGAGCTCCTATCAAATAGTCAAATCCAGAACGACTGATCAATCGTAGAATGCAGACTTCGGCTTTAACATACCAGCCACGAAGAACATGGTCGATCTGATTCTGACGCTCTGTATACCGCCACACAATTCGAAAGTAGTGGGCGCCTAGTTAATGCTTTAAGGACAAATGCAACTTTTCGGCGAATTTCACCAATGATTTTGCGGATGTTATTGCCACCAGTATTGACACAAAGTATCGGTGTAGATGAATTTCTTCAAGCTATGAAATTTCACCTATGCCATCAGCTCAATACTGCTGGAAAAGCAACACTTGTTTCTTTGATTCAATAGCTATACCCCGAGATTCGTCAAATGAAAGTATGTGATTGGTTCGTTGAGCAATGCATAGCATTTAGCCGTTTGAGGGATTGATGTCAATTATAGCTCCCTAAGCTTGAAAACTCTCCAGGGTTTTATAGTGGCTTGAACAAAATGCAAGTATGTGAATGCGATATTATCTTCTCCACAAACCATTACTCTGGATCATCGACGAGCAATTCTGTTAACCTTGATCTGTCACCGAAAGAATATTCTCCTTTTTTTTGGACAGAGATACCTTTCAACTGCTATGAGTCCTTACTGTAGAATGTATCAGTACTCTTTGCTAGTTTCAGGGCCTTCTTTCGGGATGATTTTGTTACCATGTCGTGTATCTCGTGAAAGATGTGGTTTGTGAGGACTTCTTTATTTTTAATTGTTGAGGAAAGAAAGTCTTCAATGCAGCTTGGAGATCATGTGACATTAGTACTGTTATTCAACCTAGCGCTTAGGTTATGGTGGAGACTGCGCTTATTTTTTCTTCCTCAGAGATCCCGAAAAATTTCATTGTATAAATTGAGTAAAAGTCTTTGAAACATTTCTTTTATTCTTTCTGTTAACCCTACTTTTTTTTCTCAAGCTTTTCTTAATTTTTTGGAATATTTCACATCTGTAAGGTGTCGAACAACCAACATTCTTCGGAACGGCTTCATATCGCTTCCATCCTTCGACTTCCTATTTATAGGATATCGATACTAGCACAAACATGTCATAAACACACAACAACCCTCCTCTCACCTCCCCCCTTCCTAATTTGACACAATCAAAGATGGACAAAATAATTGATGCACGATTCGATCGAGTTGAAAAGGCTCTTGTCAATCTGATAGCTTCAATCTCCAAGTATAGTCCTGTACCTGCTTTAGCCCAAGACCTTGTTCTTGCGGATCGAGAGCTTAATGATGGATTATCACTTTGTGCGTCAAGTCTTTCATACCTATTCCGCCCTTCTATCACGCCCATTTAATTCTATTTATTAACAATCTCTTCACAGTAAACCAGCATCAGCAGAATACCCATACTCTTGATACTCTCCATGCAACCTCTGCAGCCCTCGATACGAAAATTCGCGACTTTCTTATCCTTCTCACCAGCACACGAAGTGAACTTCTCGGCACTCCATCCTCTGAGTATCCAGAGAACAAGAATCCAGTAGAGTATGAAGAACTTCTTAGCTATGCGCGAAGAATCTCTAAATACACAGCTCCGCCGGAGACTCGATCTTCTAAACCTGAAGCATCATCACCGAAGCAAGAAGAAATTGCGACAAATGGAAGCACTACACCCAGTGTTACTGTGACTGGTAATGGAGCGAATGGAAACGCTATGGATACAGATATCCCTTCAGTGACTCCTAACGGATCCAATCCGCCCGCTGCAAGTCAAGACCAAGCATCACAACAGCCTTCTCAGTCGCAAACGGCTCTTGATGCAGAGATTGTACAAGCTCTCAACACGAAACTCGATGATCGTCCATTCCAGCCATGGGCTCGTGAAGAGGATATCAGAGGGGGTGCATTAGCAAATATCCAAGCATTGCTTGACAGTGGGATCGATCCTGAAGGATGGGATCCCGAGCTTGAAGAACAAAAGAAGAGAGAGAAAGCTGAAGAGTTAGAGAGGGAGAAAGAGGCACAAAGAGTGAAAGAAGAGGAGAAACACAGAGCGGATATGGAGAGAAGGAACAACGCTATGGGTGCTGGTGCAGGCGCAGGCGTCGGTGCCGACAGACCAAAGGTGTTCCAACTTGATGAGTTTGATGACGACGATGATTGAGGGACATCGTAAGCTTTGGTAAGTTCGGTGCTCTTTTTTCTTTGCACATTTTGATACGAAACTATATGATGATGGTAAAAAAATCGATTAGTCTTGAAGACAAAATACATGGTTACAAATATTACGCATGCGAGCCTCTCTGATTGTTCAGCTACATTTTATGTCAATTATCCGTACTTAAGTTGAATGCGGCTAACAATATTCTCTTAGAACATGGCGACAGCCCATCAGTTGTGTCATTGTCGCTTGTTGAAACATGTCGATGATATTTCCAAAATCTCGACCATCCATATTGTTTCACATCATTTTGATAAGATCTTTGAATCGGCCTGCGTATTTCAGCGGGGAGGAACACTGGTACAAGCATCACCATAGGCTGTCTTTATCGCGATATGCAAAGACCAGACCGTTTTCCAGACACAGTACGTTCCCCTCAAATTTTATTTTGACTTTCCACCCCGCAATGATTAGACACGAGTTTCATGCACCACTCATATAGCCTTCGGGTCGTTGATGAGGAACAAACCACTTTTGAGAATGAGCAATGGGATACATCACTTCTTTTGACATGATTTGAATTCCTGAAAGGACTTCCGCTAATCATTATGATAGATATTTGCCAATATTTGATTGTGAGTTGGTGGATGGTCGTTGCTCTCTGTCGAAACTCTGGAAACAAGTCTTTTTGCCTAAGATATTCAATTCTACTATGATTTCGCTTTCTACGTAACATGTGATAGTTACAGAAAGTGTATGTTCCATGGTGGTGGCATCTTCATATTCATTCCCTTAGGTTCACTCAGGGGTGGCATAATAGCAACAATAATGATAATGATAATTGAAAATTTGAGTGGAATAACATTTGGTTGGAAAGATAACCCTGCGTCCAAGCTATACTAGTGATCCTTATCCTAATTAACATATGTAATGGCCAAAAACCATCCAGTCGATGTTCCCAGCATATCGTTCCTCAGACCATTTGCAAGCTCTTGTTTACAGAAAATCGTTTGGATCAGCCATGCATGCTATCATATCCGTGCACACTTTTGGTTGTCCCATTTAAACCTATTGAACACCGTACGCCCACGCCACGCTCCAATGAAAATGATCAACTAATAAAAGTTCACAAAAGTCTATTCTTCCATCCATCCATCCGTACCGTACCCTACCCTAGGCGCAAGAAGAGCTATCCATCCATTCTTTGGTACAGTCAATTCCCGGGTGATATTTCTCTTGTCTTCTTCCTCTCCATTCGCATATTGAAAGACCTCGTTCCTTGATGTCAGTGGACAATCATGATCTTTCATTAACAGTCCACCTTCTCTTTGGCGCATGTCCAGGATCTACAGCTGGGCCCGAACTTGCTTGTAGTCTTGGTGAACCCCATAATCCCAAGGGAGCAACTTCATCTTCCTCTACTGCACTTATTTCTATCTCTTGGTTCTTCGCCACGGTTGCTTTATTATCTTCTTCAACTGCCGAAGTCGATGTCGATGAGACTTGTGTTTTCGCGTTTGTTCCATCATCTCCAAAATTCAATATCATGCTATCACCATCCGTGTCATCATTTTCATCGACGGATTCCCTAAGCGGAGGAGTGGCGCTCCAGAGCCCAATAGATGATTGCCTGGCCGGTGTAAACGTGCGAGGCTGAGAACTCGCTATGCTTGCTGTTCTTCTGATACTGCCCAGACTGGAGTTCATAGTCGTGGAACGATTTGGATCTGCAGGCTGACGTTCACGGAATGTAGACAGATTTGCGATAGAAGGATTGCGGGAAGAGACAGTACTATTCGGAGTAGATCGAAGGTGCTCTGTATTTGCTAACAGTTTTATATCATATTCGTTTGCGATTAATGAATTCTTCGAATTTGTACGAGAATGTGCCTTAGATGTTGCACCGGGGGAGGAAACGGGGATCTCTTCGGGTGTAGGTTTCCGGACGGCCATAGTTAACGATGCCATTCCGACGTCCATTAAAAGGGGTTGGTTAGTCAAGGCACCAATGAGTGCATTGCATCCGGCGCCATGAGTGACCAGGATAAGGACCAAATCCGTATCTTCATCTTCATGATCTTCGTCAATGGAAAAGTGCTTTCCAAGCTCTGGGCTAGAAGGAGTCTTGGTTGCCATTCTATCAAAATTCACACTAGTATTATACCAATCTAACATGCTGTGGAGGCCTTTGCGGAATCTTTTATGCATCGAGGGCCATTCTTCACCGTATTCACCACCATTTCCCCAACTCAAAGGCTCGCGCATACTGTCCCATTGATAATCAACATCAACACATGCATCTCTAGCGTGCGTAGCATATCCAGGTGGTATAGGATCAGATGTAGAAATTGCATAACTCGGAACAGGCGGTTGATAAATGCCGTGTTCAGAAGTGGGTAGATTACCATCGGCCTTCAAGCCTTGACGACTTCCATCACTTCCCACGCTACTCAAACTGCTTGTTCGATCTCTTCTGGGTAGCGCATGGCTCAAACTCGACACTGATGGGAAATCTTTTTTCTCGGCTGTAATAGGACTTCCCCACCCACCCGGAAAAGGTTGGAAGGATGAACCTTGGGCGGAGAAGTCTCGCACATGTATCAAGCTATTGTGATCCTCTCTTCGTAACAGATCGGCTTTAGCACCGGCTACCATCATAATAGAGCTTGGGGGCGGAGTGATATGTTCAAAGTAATCCGGAGCCAGCCATTCTCCGAGAAACGCATCAACTCGTACTATCGATTTTTTTATGTTTTCAGTTTGCCCGATAATCTTGTTACTCGAACTCGACGCAATAGTCGTAGTCTCCAGGAGTGGGGCTAGTCTAGGCGAGTCTGTCGATGTAGTCGGGCGGACTCTGGGTGACGAGTGCATCTGCGAACTTTTGTGCTGGGAATGTGTGGAAGGGGATCGCTGAGAGTGATGTGTATGACCCGGGTTTTGTGCGAGGCCAGAACTTATGGCAACTGATGTCTGGACGCAGCGCAAAAATGGCGAGGTATGTATAATAACTTTGTGCCTTCTCTTTCTATTTTTACCTCCATTTTGAACATCTCGACCAACAAACTCATCGTCCGTCTCACGAGTTCGTAGGATGTTAGCTATACGGGCACCGAGAGCTCTTGATTGCGACCATCCACCATATGTAAGAGGCGGATCGTATGGAGTCGGAGTTGTGAGGTACCATTGATTATCTGCTTGATCGAGGCGAGCACCATGTCTATGTGAAGGGTTAGATATTACTGCCAGCAAAAGAGTCCTTTATGAGGATATATGTGAAACGGTAATGTTAAACATTTGTTTACACGACAAGAAAAAGAACCCCCAATTTGGTGATGATGCAATTTGGACCGTTAGAGATCTCTTACCTGACAACAATGATAACAGCCGGAGGCCTACCCATTGTTATTTGCTGAGAAATCTTCGATAGCAGAGCATACAGTTAATGGTAAAGATGGCTCGTTGAAATGATTGTCAGAGGGATTTTAAAAATGAACCGTCGATGTACAGCAAATACTTAGTGCAAAATTATCTTGGAAATAACTCAAGTGTCTGAGAATTGTTTGAAACGCGGGTCGCGCGGGGCGGGGCATGTCAGAGCATGTGATAGCTTCAAGCCTTTAATGAAAGGCAGAAAGTAATTTAAGGCATCAATTTTCAGGAACGTAATTGCAAACGTGCTGACGCGCCCTCGAGGCGCCCAGGGGAAGCTCTGACGATTGGTAAGCTCTTGCTGCGCCTGTGCCAACTGACTTCGAAGAAATCAGTGTTAGAAGATCACATTAATTGTACAAACCGTTTGACAAGTTTGACAAGTAGCCAAAGTACAAAAGAAATTTCTGGAAAGGCAACCCATTTCGATATCGAAATATATTCCATCATGAGGTTATCCAGCTTCATCCACCTTCCCCTGGTGTTTGCGCCTCTATTCGCACCTTTACTTGCAACTGCAGAACATACAAGCAATTGGGCAGTCCTCGTATCAACTTCGCGATTTTGGTTTAATTATCGACATTTAGCGAATGTCCTCTCTCTCTATCGTACAGTCAAACGACTAGGAATTCCAGATTCTCAAATCATTCTTATGTTACCCGACGATATGGCATGCAATCCTCGAAATGCCTTCCCTGGCACAGTCTACAGTAACGCCGATCGCGCGGTGGACTTATACGGAGACAATATCGAGGTGGACTACAGAGGATACGAGGTTACAGTAGAGAACTTTATTCGACTGCTGACAGATAGAGTTGGTGAAGAGATGCCGAGAAGTAAGAGGCTTTTGACGGACGATCGAAGCAATATCTTGGTTTATATGACCGGTCATGGTGGTAACGAGTTCTTGAAATTCCAAGACGCAGAGGAAATTAGCGCATTTGATTTGGCAGATGCATTTGAGCAGATGTGGGAGAAAAAGAGGTTTGTTTGACTGCGACCTCAGAGTAAAGCATATACTAATTATAATTCCATAGGTACCATGAATTACTCTTCATGATCGATACTTGCCAAGCGAATACCATGTACAGCAAATTCTACTCTCCCAATATCATTGCGACGGGCTCTTCGGAAATTGATCAATCATCATACTCTCATCATGCTGATAATGATGTTGGGGTTGCAGTCATCGATCGATATACATATTACAATCTAGACTTCCTTGAAACTCAAGTTCGAGAACCTGGAAGTAAGAAGACGTTGGGTGATTTGTTTGATAGTTATGATGAATCTAAAATTCATTCGCATCCAGGTGTTAGATGGGATCTATTCCCGGGTGGAGAGCAAGGAGGTAGAGAAAGATTACTGATGGATTTCTTCGGAAATGTGCAAAATGTGGAAGTTGACAAGATTGCAAACGACACGGAATGGAAAGAGGACCTACTTTCACTAGGTAAGAAGATTGCTGAACTTCGTGAACGAACTGAAGCAGCGGAAAAGAATGCCACGTCCTCTGCTCCACTTTCAGGAAATCATCCGACTCGCAAAATACGTGCTGCGAAGGTTGAAGTAGATAACTCTTGGTGGGCCAAGAAAGCTGTGGGCGCGTGGGCTTTAGCAGGATGTTCACTTGTTTGGCTTGCAGGAACATACTTAGAGTCGGCATAGGTTCTTGTATTTTATGCCCCATGTTATATGCCACCTGCTTTTCTATTGGCGGCTTCTATGATTGGTTATTCTAAAAATCCGAATATCCCAAAATGATTTACGCCAAAACTGCCTCGACTGCAGCATAATTTGTCCCGGCACCATGATGAATCTTTCGGAGTTTCAATCCCGATAGAGTGAGCAAGTTTACCCACTGCTTTTTCGTTCTCTCACGTCCGCTCAGCGTCATCATCGTCAAATCCATCCAACCAGCTTCGACATCGGCGGCAATTGGTGGAAGAACGATCTCCGAGATTACCAGTCTTGAAATCTCGGGTGTCATTGCATCGGCAATGACTTTTAGGATGCGAACACAATCAACATCTGGCCAGTCATGCAGGCATCGACGGATGTAATATATTGGAGCTCCTGGTCATCGTTAATCATTACACATGCAAGGCACAGGTTTCGCAAGGAGAGAAGGAATTGGCAATACCTTTTATAGGTTGAGGTGTGAAGAAATCATACTTCATGGTCGTAACTTCGGGAATTGTATGACCAATTGCATCGATCAACTCATCTCGTTCTTGAAGTACCACTTTCCCTGGAATTTCTTTCACGAACTTCATGATTTGCTTCGTCACGTGTCCACTGCCGCCACCTATATCGACGACTAGCACAGTCTCATCGTTGGATTCAATCTCTTTCAATTCATCTTTGAATGGAAATATTCCAACCGTCCAATTGGTGGCTACGGTCTGGGCGATCATGGCCAAATTCAGGTTTTGGAATCGCTCTGGGAACGCGCCAATATGCTCCCACATATTCCTCTCCCCAGTTTGGTGCGCGAAGCAATATGGATTTAGGAGGTGATCTTCTGGACTTTTGAAGCCATTTTCGCGGAAAAACTCGTACATTCGGGCGTTGGCGAGGTTGTATTCATCAAACCTATTGATTTGCGTTAGAACAAAGTAATGGTGATTTGTGAAGCATTTTGGAAGGGCGTGGGATGTGCTATGGTGGAAGGATTTCCTGACATTAATTTGAATATTCCCCTAAGCTCTGGGGCCATATACACCATGGAGTATGGTGTATGAGCATATTCCTCTTCCCCTGTCTCCGCAAATGTTCCAACGGCCGTAAGGACTCGCATGAATCGAACTGGTACAAATTCAGTTCAAAAGCATATTGAAGGTGGAGCATAAACACTTACCCAGCAGTTCTTTCTCTACGCCGAGTTTCTCCGCTAATGCTGTAGCACTAGATGATGAACCATCGGTGGGTAAAGCATCAAATACACCCATTTCCAAGACTGCTCTCAAAGTTCCTGAATGTACTGACTATTCATGTGTGACGAATCTCAAGTCAGCTTGCATATTTCCCCTGCTCTACCCACATATGTCATCACTCAATAGCAAAGATTCATCGTGATTGATGTTCCTCGTGAAAGCCAGGCCTGTATTGCCAAACACTAGTAGACTCACGTTTTCAAAATTGGAAAATACCATATCCACCGGACCCCTTGCTTTCCTCACCAGCCTATCCGTTTCCATGAAAAGCTCTACATGCTTTTGGCTGATCTCTCCTTTGGATTGAATATCCTTTTTGGCTAGATTTTGAGTGGCTACTGATTCATAGGTATCAATTGCTTCACTGACTTTACTCAATTGCTCTCTCATACTTGCAATCTCTTGCGCCAATGATTCTGGGGATTTCTCCATGATAACGACGATTGGCTGGCTTGATTTGTAGAGTGCTCCGTGCAAGTGATCTATGTAAGTCGTATCGGAGATTTAAGTTGCATGAATCGACCGGAACGGTAATCAGTGAGCAAAGGCTATGGAGTGGGTAATGGTTTCGAATGATATGGTAAGACAAATGCCAAATGCAGGATGCAGGATGCAAGATGCAAAAACTTGCGATGTGAAGAGTAGGGTAAATAGTGAATGTAATGGTATGGTGTCACGAGCTACTCACCAGAGCGGGCAGTGAATACCTAAATCCACCCGCACAAAATTGCCCGCACCTACACGCGCACACAACCACACACACATGGATATTCCGGCATCAGAACGTGGCATTACCTTGGTCCCTATGCATACATATCACAACTTCATGAATGCATTCGATCCATCATCCGTGAGTGACAAATGAAGGCGAGGTGAGTGGGGTTCCAACACTTGGACTAAGGCTCAAAGTAGATGTGATCCGATAACACACCGACCATACATATCTCATACAGCAAATTATAGATCCACTTGTCGTTGGTGTGGACGGGAAATAATTGTCAAGAGGAAGAGGGGGGAGGGAGCGAGGGAGGGTCTTGGAGTCTGAGTCTTGGAGTCTTGGAGTCTTGAGTCTTGAGTCTTGAGTCTTGAGTCTTGACGCTTGAGAGGGTTCAATGATCAATCATCAATGGTTTCTTCACAATACCTTCATTTTCGTGGCTCGTATGGTGGCTTCACAAAACGGAGAGGTGGACGGAAAGATTATAACTAGAGATCAGAGGAGACATTCAATTGGTCAATTCCGAGGATAATTGAGGGGTTTTATTTCACACTCACTTGATAATCGATATATTATATGATCTGTATCATATTTTATCATAAAAGTATCATATTCTTTGCCATGTGTATGTTATCATTGAGGTCCATGATACAGATTGTATGTACCATGCTCGAGCCATGTAATTATATTGCCTAGACATATAGTACGATTACCTATATACACACCGCCGTTCGTAAGAAGAAGACAAGAGAGAAGAAGATGCTTAGGTATTACAATGATTATGTAAGATTATATTATCGTGAGTGGGTGAGTAAGTAACCCTCAGTCTCCCTAGGTACGTACTCTAGGTATACTACACATATATAAACATATACATAAACACATAAACACATATATACATATAAAAATATACATATATAGGTACATATAAACATATACATACATATATACATATACAGATATACGTATATACCTACATACACACATGCACACATCCACACATACACCTCTATCTTCTGACCGGGGAGTTGGATCCCACCATGCAATGATACCCTACATCTACACCTCCCTTGGTTGAAGATCTGATATGAACACATGCACACATGGACCTTTGATCCTTTGAACCTATCACACAACAGAATTGAATGCTTCCTTGGATCTTTACCGTAAGTTGAACCCAAGGAGCCGGAAAAAAAATGAATCAAAAAACTCGGAATTATCTCAAACACGTTTCTGTCTCCATTTATCCATTTCTAATCCACCTCTGCGATATTCCTACTACGAATAGAGACTAGATACTCACATCACATTCATCCTCCGAAAACCCTATCCATTCACTCCGTACCTAGGTAGTCTAGTGAAATTATATCAATCTTTAAATCGATAACGATATATTTCTTATCTCTTATATCGTATAGATTTATACAACCATACACATATACACATACATATACACATATATATCGAATCACTTTCATCTCCTTTGATCTCCTCCTTCATATATCTACCTAGTATTCATTCATACTCGTCTTCGGCGGACATACACACATCCATCCATTTGCAATCAACCTACCTACCGACGTATAAAAGGCGGCCCGTGACGCAGCGGTTGGACTAGATCATCATCAACATATATAAGCTTTACCGGCAATCGAATTCTGTTCTCTCGTGTGTCAATTGTCAATCATCATATTATTGTAAAGAGTTTCCAAAAACATCGATACCAAAGTCCGCGTAGCCATGTCACAATCAACGGGAAAAGATACACCACAAGCGACAGCAGCTTCTTCAGATCAATCACAACAGAATATCCCACAAGCTACAACTTCTACCACCTCGGTCCCCCCGCAATCAACAGAACCAACATCCCTCGATCAATCCGCCACTGCCACAACTGGAAATCATGATTATACACAAACCGAAAACGTAGACCAAAGTATCGCCCATCAAAGTGATGGAGATCAAGATGATCATGTCGAAGTGGTAAGTAAAGGAAGCTTTCTTTCACATCCTTGTCAGGATAATCATAATCAATCAAATATCATGTGAACCATCCGCCACTTCACTTCACTTCAGAAATACTAAGAACTCCACAACTGTAGGATACTCATAGCGATGCTGATTCCAGTTGGGACGACGACGATGTATCAACAGCCTCTACATCTATCACTTCATCCATGTTAAACTACACCTACGAAAATGGTCGTCGTTATCATGCCTATCAGTCCGGTTCTTACCTTCTTCCTAATGATGAGGCCGAACAACAACGACTCGATCTCAAACATCACGTGTTCAAGCTCATTCTGGGTGGGAAACTATTCTGCGCACCTATAGATCCTAATCCTCAACGAATCCTTGATATCGGAACCGGAACTGGTCTTTGGGCAATTGAGTGTGCCGATGAATTTGCTTCCGCTGAAGTCACCGGAACGGATTTAAGTCCTATCCAACCGGGCTGGGTACCACCGAACTGTAAATTCATGATAGATGATGCTGAGAACGAATGGTTGTTTTCTAACAATCGACAATTCGATTTGATTCACTGGAGAGTTCTTGCATCTAGTATATCAGATTGGCCAAAATTGTTCAGTCAGGCTTATACGCATGTTAGACCCGGAGGATGGGTTGAAGCACAAGAGCACGAGGTCCATATCGAGAGTGATGATGGTACTGATCTCAATGCTGGAGATCTGCAAAGATTTTTTGGATTGATTGATGAAGCAAGTGTTAAGAATGGAAAGATGATGGATGAAGTTGCTGGAAATCAAAAGCAGTGGATGATTGATGCTGGGTTTGTCGATGTTCATGATCAAGTCTACAAGGTACCCATTGGCCGCTGGCCCAAAGACAAAAGACTCAAGGAGATTGGTATGTATTATCAAGCTCAATGTTTGGATGCCGTCGAACCAATCAGTATGGCGTTATTCACCAGGGTTTTGGGATACAGCTTTGAGGAGGCACAAGTGATGATGGTGGGACCAAGGAATGATATGAAGAATCCCTTGAATCACGTTTACATGAAGTTTCATTTCGTTTATGGAAGGAAGCCAGAGTTTTAATGGTGGAGCTGCGGGATAGTGGTGTAAAAAGCTCGAGGTTGCAGATATGGGGTTGTTTGGATGATCGGTCCTTTGGGCAAAATGTAGTGCCTTATCATTGGGGTGGACTTTGAGATGGTTCGATCATCGCTTTTATGGGAGCTTTCAGTGTGAGGATTCAAACGATGCCTTGTCTTATCAATGATAGTATCTCATTCAAAAAGAGGAAACAGCTCGAACATTCATATATAGACATGCAAACGCTTGATTATTTAGCTCTTGCGGTTGCACTTAGGAATATTTAATTACATACTTTGAGATTCATATGAAAATAATTTTAGGATAGCCCCTCTTTCCTGATTACGTCAATTGATAGTAAGTTATTTTGGATGGCTTTGCACACGAGGAGGTGTATGTTGAGTTGGACACACTCCCTTCAGTAGTTCTCCAGAAACATCGTTCCTTTGCCCCTTTTTAACACACTGGTAAGACCGATTAGTGAAAATTAGTTGAAATCGCATCTTTGGGTAGAGAATTTGCTCAAAGCACGGTGTATCATTTATCAACAGAATTCAAACTGTAAAGGGCGGGGTCAAGATCACCGTTCAAGGGGGATGCTCTAATATTACTTTACATCTTCAGACTGATGAACCAGAGACGGTCTTCTTTTGCCCCATAAGATGAGATGATCTAGAAGTTTTAATATCATTCTCATTGTCATATTATCGCCGTCATCGAATAATCACCCGCCTCCCAAGTACCTAAGAATCGAAATCTTCATCCACCCTCTCAAAATACCTCTTCAAATCATTCACCGGACCACCGCGATCCCTCTTTCTGATTATTCCATTCCGAATACTCGGTTCCGATCTCCACGATACCGAATCAAGTAAATACACCCTAATCAAATCCGAATCCATGGTATTTTGCCACACGTATGAGATTGAATCGAGAGTCTTCTCGAAATCATCACGATCATGACCGTCACATCGATTTTTGATACTCCTACGAAACTCTTCATACTTTACGATACAGCAATTCTTAAGAGCGGGTATCTGAACCATATCTGCGAAAACATAGAGTTCTAGTATTTTTCTCATGGAAAAGTGGATTTTCTCGTTGACTCTCTTGTCGATTTGGGCAGCGAGAGTGTCGAGGAACTCTTTTCCGATCGCATCTTCGAAAAGTGTCTCCGCCTCGCCTTTCCACGTTTCGTTTTCGATAGCGTCCATGAGTGCCTTGATTCTTTTCTTAATTTTTTCGTTGCTTTTTAATGGATCTTCTTCACTGTAATTATTCTTCTCGCTTCTTTCGAGGGAATCTCCAATACCTAATGTACTCTCCTCTACTACTTTTCGCTGAGCTTCTGTCTCCCACTCTTCAATTTCCAGGCTCGAGCTACTGAGTTCCCGAGTATACAACCAGCCCATGAATAAATCAAAGATTTCTGTATTTGTTTCGGGGAGTTCAATGGTCCCTGTATTTGTCTCCTGGAATCCAGATGTGAAAGCGGCCCGGAAATAGGGGGAGGTGTAACACATGAGATCTTTATGGACGGCGAATTCTTGAGATGAGGAGCCTACGTAGATACGGACTATGGGACTTCCTAGCCATCTGAGATTGTGGTTAGTGAGACTTTGTGTGAGAGGGATGAGAGAGAAATGTGTTTAATGTGTAGGATATTTGTTTCGCTTACCTTGTCACTTTACGGAGGTCCTGGGCTGGGCTCATCTTGTCTATCGGTCAATTACTAAAAATTCTTGGTTGTTCGTGCAGTGCCCTTGCTTTGGAAATAAAAGTAGAGGACACTTTCACAAAATGGTACTTGCAACTGGTAGTCTTGATTTAGATAATTTGTTTCCTACGGTAGAGACTACGGTAGAGACTACGGTAGAGACTACGGTAAAGACTACGGTAGAGACTACGGTGCTGGCAATCTACTAGTGAACCACCTGAATAAACGTAGATTAGTATGGGCTGTTGAGGATTACAGGTAATCTATTACTCTCAAACTTTTCGTAGCCGAATGAGAAATCAGAGTAAAATATGTCGGGCATGACATCGATTGAATGCTGAGAGTTTTCTGGGTCCAACTTCAACTCGTATAATGGAACCTGACGCCGGGTACCATTCAAAACATTAAGATATCTACACAGATTCTTGCATAGTCTACACGTATATGTCAGATTTCTCAGCGTACCTGTTTCGTTAACACAGATTTTCTTAATAAGATTGGGCAAGTAAATATCAAATTCTGGCTAGATCAGATATCATTTTCGTTATTGACCATGATGAGACAGAATTGAAACATAAGAAAGGTCGCAAAGTGAGCACAATCTTTCCACGACATGCTCGGCATAAGGATTTCTATCCATAATGTGTAGTGTCACTTCACATAAGGATATACTTATCTCATGTATCTGCCTCTACACCCGTCGATTATTCCCTCTAGTTGGTAAAAACAACATTCAGTAGAAGAAACCACCGCAGCTACAGGTTAAAAAATTTCTATTGTTATACGTCGTATATTATCAAATAACTCAATCCTGAATATCATAGCTTTCATTGTTAGAATTCACGAATGGAGTATGGCAATATTCGGATTGACCTAATTCTCCAGCCGTCCAAAACGCGGAAAGCATGGAGATTTCCCGGTAATCCCAGGAACTTCTTTCTCTGTATCTTCACCGTGTAATCAAGTATTTCTCTAATTTATTCTTAATAATTGCGGTGTACCGTAACTCCGAATAGAATTCAGAGGACTTTGTCGAAATCCTCGACTCCTCGCAGGGAATGTTTCGCGGTGTCGATGACCAGTCGAGCAGTCGCTCATCTAGTAGTCGTCAAAACCATATCCCAACTTCAAGTGCGAGTCTAAAGTCAGAGATAGCACTTGTGCGGAAATTTTTGTTACCGCTGAACGGAATACTAAGGTAGAGAAATACTTTTTCAGAATTATCTGGAGGCGCTGATAGGCAATTTCTTGCGAGTTTTGAATTTTCAAACCATTTGCTGGAGGATATGAAAGGAAAGTTGGACTCGTTTTATTAGAACAAAATAAAAAAAGTCCCTCCTATATCAAGAAAACACATTTGTTGTAATTTGTCTTGAAAAAGTTGTTTCTCATTGTGGTATGTTTGTTTAGTTTTTTTACCCCTAGAATTAACCGAGAATGGTCAAGAGAATGTTGAAAATGTCAAGACTCTTCGAAACAGCTTTTCTCAATCCTGTATTCTGATCAATTGTATCTGTGACTACTAAAGTACATGATAGTAACCTCAAAGCTTCTACTAATCTCTGGATAAGAAGTCCATTGATAATGATCTTTGGTTGATGACTTTCTTGATTTCAATGCTGTGGCACCAAAATTTCGAATTTTAAAAATCAAATCCCAAGTCAGATTTATCTTTACCTCATTTCCGTAAAGTTTATGAGATCTATGGTGCCTCGACAAAAGACTAAGCCCATCTTAAGTCTCCGTCAGGGTACCCAAAAAGAAAAGCCGAAGTGAATTCGCGTGCCGTTGAAAATTCAGTATTTATTTTCCAACTCCCACACCACAACTTCTTCCCAAAACAACACACACACTCTTCTTAATTCATACCCCAATTTTGAATTGAAGAGTCTGTCTTCTCTAACGGTTCATACAGTTTATACTGTCTCGAACCTTGCACTTTGTTCAGAATTGATTGAGAAGAAGGATCTGCTACCCGTAAGTCTTTTTCGCAGCTCCCCGATGCGACATAATAGTGAAGCTTGTTTTTCCCAGATGACATCTGACACTCATCAGTTTCGATTTCCTTTCACCGATCAATTCAGGGCCACAACGACGGCATTTCTAATCCTCTTTTGCTACTCTCAAAATTCGTCGACCGCGATCATTCTCAACAACTACTTCGAATTTCCACGGAACTTCGAGCCACCTTGTTGCTTCATCAAAAACCCAGCAAGGTCACTTCTCACGTTACGTTTCCTATCCGAAGATCTGCGAACACCTTTTTGCCATCAGCATCTCAAGTCATCGCGCCAGCTTTGTCCATCAATACAACGCGTCAACGTTCTCTAGCAAGTGCCCAACGACTCCTCATTAACGCAACAATGACGAGCTTTCTTGCACGAGAGCTTCAACGTCAGAATGGGGGTGTAACCCTTCAACGCATCCCTTCTACACGTCGTATCTGCAACTATGAACATCGTAAGTAATCCCTCTCGACATCAAACACAAGCAATGTTTATTTAACTCCATGTACATCTTACTAATATCTTCATAGTCCATCCAATCTCTGCCAATATTTGCAGTGGTCTCCTCACAGACGTAAAGGAGGTGCTCAAAGAAGCCGAAAGTTATCAACGACTTCAAGAAGAGCTTTTGGAAAAGGCTGTCAAACAGGCTCAGCTTGCAGTAGACATGTTGAAAAATCCTCGCATCATTCCTAGCCCCGATTTCACCTACGCAGAAGACGTCAAATTCCTAGAACAATTTGCCGTAAGTTACAAGCAAGGGGTTGGTCTCAGCGACGATACTCACTGCAACTACATCATCAAAGTCTCTACCGTCTTGAAACGAGCACTCCCCACACTCGATGACGAATACAAGAGCATCTGTCCCTGGTCTCTCATTCTCAAGGTCAACTTCACCGATCTCTGTCCACACCAACCATTCTGCAAGCACAAGCAGAAGTACACCCAGTCTCAAGTTCCAGCAGGTCATCCCCATCCGCCTGGTGGCACTATCCATAGTGATGTCATGGGCTTTTGTCAAGATGATTATGCTGTCCAGCCTGGTAAGACGAAGCCTGAGGGTTGCAAAGTCAAGAAATACTGTGCACTTCGCCACAAGGAGGATTGTAGCGGTAAGGCAAACCGTGATGCAATCATACTCTATGCAGTAGCTTGTCTTCATAGGGATGGACTTTGGGAGTAAGTAGTATTGAGTCGGACAAATGGAGCTATCAGCTTCATTTTCCTTCCTTGCTGCGTATAATAGAATCTTTTCGGTTGAAGGGCTTCTGATTAGGTATCTTGAAGGGTTGGATGTTTAGTCTTTTTAGAAATAAATCATCAACTTCTCGTAATGTTATCTCTAGTTTTGTCCATACATGTGATCAGATATCGTGGTGCAGTGGACCAAAATTTATGTGGAAAGAGTTAATTAGTAAGACATTTCCTTTAAAGTCTTGTAGGACAGCGGTGTTCCTTGTACCACTGACACCGGTGCCTTTGAAATGCTTCTTCAATGACTTTCCTCATCCTTTGATCACCGTCATAATAAATCTAGACTTTTCAAGGTGACGTTCAATGCGTTCAAGGTTCTCGATATATCTTGCTCCAAGGGTAGAAGATGTACATGGTATCGTTTCATTCCAACTCTACAAAGTACTGCTAGTATGATCTAAATGCTACTTGCATGTACACGTCTTTTCTGCTATAAAAGTATCCATCAATTCATCAATATCCTAATTCAATCCTATCGTCACCCCATGATGTTTCTTCCATGAAAGAAATCCTACCCATAAACCTTGAGCAACTAGGAAAATCTCGAATTTGTGTTCGATCGACTGCTATTACCCGCTCCTCCACACCAACAACTACCGTCTCCATCTTTCTCAACTTGTACCACCACATCCACACCTTTACTTAAAAGAAATGCTCTCGTTCTCGTTAAAACATCTTCAAGATCTGATCCTCTGGTCGCAACAACATGCATGACTCCCAATACTGTTTGATTTTTATCGCCTAGCCAAAACTTTGGAACGGTGTAGGCTTGAACTCCACGCAAATCACTTACACCAGCCAAGGTGTTTCGTAAATTGTATTCGGTATCATCAGGCACTGTTAAAAGTAGTTTTTTCGCACTACTTTTGACAAGAGGAATTGAGGAAAGGAAAATGAGAATTGCGATGAGACAAGATGCGAGAGGATCCCAGCCTGACCATCCAAGAAAGTATATTAACACGGTAGAGACAATGACTGCAGCACTGCCCATTGTATCTGCAAGCACATGGAGAAAGATACCTCTCATGTTTTCGTTGTCATGCGAATGGCCACCGTGTGAATGTGAATGTGAATGGTCATCGTGTAGAATTGAGGGCTGTTTCTTATGACCGTGATCGCAAGATCCAGAGTGGGAATGAGAGTCATGGGAGTGAGAGTCGTGAGAGTGGGAATGAGAATGGCCATGCGAATGGCTATGATCATGGTCGCCGTGGTCGTGTCCGTGATGATGATGACCGAAGCAGGCCATGCCAACTAAGTTAACTGCCAATCCCAAAGAACTGACAACAAAAAGTTCCATCAATCGTTTTGTTTCTCGTCCTTCTGCTAATCGTTCCGTCGCTTCTATCATAATCTCAATGCTAATGAGTCTGTAAACCGTGTTAGCGAGTACCACACAATTGGGTAATAGTTACCTACATGAGAAATACTCCATTACCAAATCCCGACAAACTCTCAATCTTTCCAAATCCGTATGGGAATCTTTGACTCGGTGGCCATTTACTTGCAACCGCAGCGAACAATCCCACTCCAAGTGCTAAGCAGTCGAAAAACATATGTATGCTATCGCTCAATAGACCAAGGGAATCTGTAACGAATCCGTAAAATGCTTGAACGATCATAAAGGCAAAATTAAGACTGGCAGGATTAGCATGATTCTCCAATGGCTTGGTAATACCAACCTCATAAAATAAAAGATCCTCCTCGAGTCCTTACTCGCCAAAATTGCATGGAAAAGAGGCCATTTGGATGCGTATGGCAGTATCAAACTAGTAAATCGTGATTTCGTTTCGGTTGTCGTACCATGCGAATGGTTGTGGTGGTCATGATCATGATGGTGATGGGTGTCAACATGTACGTCGTTCATCGGAGGTTCATAGGTCCCATATGCTCCTTTCTCGAAGGTGGCAGACATGGGAGTCGCTTCACTATATGGCGGTGACGGCAGGTATGATGTTGAGTTATCATGGCTGTGATTGTGCGCATGGGCATGCGAATGAGAGTGGGAGTGAGAGTGGCCATGATTGTGTTCATTTTCGTGTTCATGTTCATGTTCATGCTCATGGAGAGTTTCGGAATGATCGTGCGAATGGCTATGTAGACTTGAGATTGATTGATTCAATGGTCTCGACCTACTTGCAGAGTATTGCGAAGACCTGCTTGAATGTGAGGATGAATGGGAATGAGAATGTCCATGTCCATGTCCATGGTGACTATTGGTAATTGCTGAAGCCGGCAACGCATAAGATGAGGCCATGACTTCGTTAATTCTGGAATGGATCGAAGGAGCTATGAAGCCCGTATATATTCAACCCCTCTCCACATATGTTGTCGTTGTCCTTAGTATCTCTCTCTACCTTCCTTGTTTTGATTTGCGCCGAGATAGGTCGGCTTCGGTAGATAGTAGGAGCTTTGACGGTGAAAGTGGAGAGACAGAGTTGTCAAATGCAGCAAGAGATCCAATTTAATATATATTCTCACTCAATTCTCAAATTTCCATACTCAATCCTTCGATTCAATCATTTGCCGATGTTCAATGAGCGTCTTGTTGTGAAGTGAGAGGAGGTGTTGAATTGAAGACAGAAAGGAAAGAAATGGAGAGTTACAGCATGAGCAAGGTACGCAACGTAACGTACACAAACGAGTACAAGCACAAGAATCCAATACCAATTCAGGAAATTCTCTCGAAATTATGCTGATGATCCTCCCAACGAGCCAGTAAGGAAGTTCCATTCAACCCCAGATACCTTTCTTGGAGTTTCCCCCTGGATTAACAAATCTGTGGCTACCGGGGAAAGGAAAAGCATTTCAAGGTTCTGCTGAGTACGATGTACGGAGTATGGATGGTATGCAACTTCAACTTCGAATACGAATAAATGCCATCGAATGAATTACGTTAAAATGTGACTTCAAAGCAATGTTATCCAATCAATTATGTTAAAATACCGCTTTCGATCAACGTCATCCAATCAATCACCTTGAAATAAATCCCACTTGCCTTTTTGAAAGATAACGACGAGAAAATGACTGGAACGGTAAAATGACAAGGATATTGTCCGATGCTAATCCATTTTGAGCCAATACTGCCTATCGTCACCGCCGGACACCGACTTTTTCTTCATGGGTGATCTGTTTCTGATGAAGTGAAGCATTGAAGTGGAGTGAAGAAAAGGTTAAGAATACATTCTGATACTTCAAAACTTTATACTTTATACTTCATACTCCAAACTCCAAACTTCACTTCTAAAAATATCTATTTACTTCTGACAATCTTTATCATCTTCTTCTTTTCCTAATCAAGCTTGCATCAATTCTCAGATATGGAGGCATAACCTAGGTAGCCAATTCTTCTATTCATAGATAGTTTTTGACTGGGTGAAGGGTCATTGTCATCTGGGAGTGTCCAAACTTCATCTGAATCTCAAGAAACCACGTCATGCTAGAGAATCTTCTAACATTGGCTACAATCATTTCTACCATATTCACAATCACCCTCTTATTAATACCCAAACAATATATCAAACACTCGCCTCCAATGGCTACTCAAAATAGTGCAAATGTCGAGCCGAAGATCTCTGTTCAGGTTTTGGTCTTGGGAGATATCGGGCGAAGTCCTCGAATGCAATATCATGCTATGAGCATAGCAAAACATGGAGGAAGAGTTGATCTTATTGGATATGAAGGTATTAAAGCTTACCTAGAAGCAAGCTTCCTTGATGACTTGTGCTAACAGTTACATAGAATCTGAACTCCCTTCTGGCTTAACAGATAATCCTCTTATCACAATCGTACCTTTACCGCTACCACCAACAAATTTACGAGATGGTACTTTACCATTCTTCTTCGCAGGTCCCTGCAAGGTTTTATGGCAGATTTGGACCTTATTTTTTGTTTTATGTTATACTACAAAACCAGCAAGATGGCTTTTAGTTCAGGTAAGGCCTCCGACTCTTACACGCAATGATCTTCTAACATTTCTAGAACCCTCCCTCAATTCCCACCTTCTTCGTCGCATACCTCGTCTGTTTGATACGCAACACTCATTTAATAATTGATTGGCATAATTATGGATGGACCATCCTAGCAGGAACAAGAGGCCCGAAACATATCTTCGTTCGACTATACAAGTGGTATGAAGCTTTCCTTGGATCATGGGCACCAACAGCTTCATTCACAGTTTCGAAAGCAATGGAGCGCCAACTGCGCGAAAGTCCCTACAAGATCAAATCACCAATCTTTACCCTTCACGATCGACCTGCTTCCATTTTTCAACCGATTACCGACGAGGCGAAGCGACGTGCTTTTCTTCAACGTTTACCAGAAACAAAAGATCATGTCGATGCAATTATGAATGGAGATGTAAGACTATTAGTTAGCAGTACATCATGGACTCCTGATGAAGATTTCAACCTTCTTTTGGATGCGCTCGTTAAATATGGTCCATTTGCCGAATTTGATTGCCCACCAATTCTTGCCATCATCACTGGAAAAGGTCCACAGAAGCAAATGTATCTTGATCGAATTGCCGAACTCACTGAAAGCTATGATTTGGTCAATGTTACAATCAAGACTGCATGGCTTAGTATTGAAGATTACGCCTCGTTACTTGCATGCGCCGACCTTGGAGTTTGTTTACATAAGAGTAGTAGTGGTGTAGATCTACCCATGAAAGTGGTTGATATGTTTGGGGCAGGATTACCAGTGGTTGGATATGATCAATATTTTAGTTGGCCTGAGTTGGTCAAGGAAGGTATTAATGGATGGGGATTTACAACAGCGAAAGATTTGGCCGAGATTCTGGAGGAAGTCTTCAAGGATACCAGTGGAAAGGAATTGGCGAGATTAAAGAAAGGGGCTATCGAAGAGGGAAGAAAGAGATGGGATGAAGAATGGGATGGAGTTGCTGGGAGACTTTTGGGATTGATTGACTGATTGAATGAAAAATGGAAAGGAACGGATCCTGGATGCATGTAGTTGTAAATAATGTATAGGATATAGTGTATCATAATTTCTGTAGATGTAACGTCGACGGACAAAGCTGCTTGGGAACATTGGCAGAAAGTCATGGGTCAGTTTACGATGCATATATTATATCAAATATTAAAATCATCAGCCCTATCATAATAATAGTATCCACACTTCATGTAGCTAATTTCGACCCCAGTCCTGCCATGAGAAAGTTGCATGCTACAAAGCGCTTCGTACACAGGTAGGTACATAGGTAGGTAAGGGTGTATAACTATGATTCAATTGGACCAATTGTCAATCAGTTCTTGTCAAACTTATGAATGAAGAATCCTTCTCAGAGGCGTAGCCAGGATATGGCCAAGGTGGAATACAACACCAACATTGATCATTTATGGATACCTAGTATATAAGAAGAAGAAGAAGAAGAAGAAGAAGAAGAAGAAGAAATGCAGCTAGATTGAGGTTTCTTTTAGTCTCAAGTGTGATGCTGGCCGGTAAGTGAACTGTTGTTGCTCAGAGGAAAATGAAGAGGAAGAGAGAAAGGATAATCTTGATGATTCATTGAGCTGTGTGAATGAAATGACGCTCCGCTGGTCCGCCGGAGGCCACTGCCGTGGGGGCAGTCTAGGTAGCTATTTGACATACGTTTTACATTTAGACATTTGATTGGAGGTGATTTGCTATGGCAGCTATGGTAAGGAAGGAGGAAGAGGCGAAATCTTGTTCTGGTATTGTGGGTAGCTGGAGATGATTGAGCCGTGAGTTGTGATCCGTATATCCCGAGAGTGTTGTATATCCGGGGGGGAAGTAGAAGACGTTACGTTGTTCTTTTGTAGCCATTCATCTTTGCTTGTGATCTTACCTATTTATGAATCAATAGAAAAACATAAACAGACCGAAAGAGTTACGGTACCTATCATTTCCTTCTCCATGGGTTTTCTAAAGATACCTAGTAACCTGCAGGTCTCAATGTAATGAATTATGTAATCACTCTTTGGTGGTATACGATAGATTACCTGATTACCTACCTTATAGGGAATTAGGGTAATTTAGGTCGGTTCTATATCGGATATTCAACCGTATTGCAACTGGCGAATTTACTTTTTGTGATTTAGATTTAGGTTGTAATTCTTCCGAAGAAATGTTTAAATCGGATATAAATTAGACGGTTGTAGAGCTCTCAACGGTTGTAGAAGGGTTGTAGAATGGATGTATTACTTAGTAATCTTGAAAGTTGGAATGGAAGCTATTCAGAGTAATACTAGGAGTTTAATCAATCATATATATACTCTCTATCCCACCCATCCCCCCTATTAGAACCATACTCGACGCCACCAGACTAAACTTTAGCTAATTCGAATTATTCTAAGTTCAGATTTTCAAAATGTGTTGAATTTGAAGTTCTACAGCAATAGCGAGTTCTTCGTGTATAAATTTTATACATTTACCGGGGTATTTGCTAGCGTATTTATCAATATCAATTAGATTGACAGGGGTAAAGGGGATTATATAAGGATATACCCAGATTCAAGCCTTAAATCTAAGGAACCTCGGATAATCCCTACATTCATCTTATATATTCAACTACCTCTTATTTCCAACTATTTATTAGCCTTAACTATATTAATTCACTTCAGAATATTGAAAACTATAGTTTCTATTTAAATCTGATTAGAAACGGATTTAAAATTCTAAATGGATGTATAGCAGATGCACTAATTGAAGTGGTTGTAGATCGGTCCTAAAAACCCCTCATTTCCTATACGGTAGGCTCCTAAGACGACTGCGCCACAATCTCAGGAGCAATGACGCCGCACGCTTATGTTCGCCCGTATTTCGTATTGATTACCCGCCTCACATGTTTCATTCATGATTAACTTACTCACTCACTCACTCACTCACTCGCTCTCTTCCTTTCCTATTTTCTTTCATCAACTTTGAATCAAAACTTCCTACTAAATCATCTTTCTTTTCCTAATACAACCCTTTCAACTACCACGATATCAAATATTGAAAACGCAAACGATCGAGAATTTGTATTGGATAAAGTCGACATTATGGGAATGCTTCCAAGAGAAATGCTCCCAACTATGGGGCTGGCGAAAAGAGGTCTTGATGCATTTCGGGGTACAGAATCACCAACTGAAGAAGTTCAAATGCCGGTTTGGGGCGCCGTGATGATCGCAAGTACTGTTGTTGTGTTCTTGATCATGGACTTTATGGTATGTTTACAAAATGACAATTAAGGCTACTCTCTTCATGCTATTCTTCTTGGGTTCATGAGTTCATCATCTAACTATCAGAATAGGTTGAATATACCTTCACCAGACTCATTCCTACCCTTCTTATGGTCGAATCTCCTCAGGCAATCCTATTCGAACCTCTCACATCTGAAGATCCCGATGCGAAACTCGACCACAAAGGAGATGCTGAACCGGAACTGTTACTTGTAAAGCAGAAACCCATTACCTCAAGCTTTAAATCAACCATCAAGCACCTTCGCGCCCGCGCCGGAAAGCAAAGTCATTTACGTGGTGTTGGAATGCACTTCGTCAAAACCTTTGTCTTGGGTCTACAAATGAACTTCCTCTCTATATTCCTCCCCAACATCTTCGCTTACCCTCTTGCGAATGTCCTCTGTGCACCTTTCAGTTTGGCATGGACGCACATTGTTATCTCGGACCCAAGCCCACTTCCATGGTTCAAGAGAATGCCAGATGTTGCAACTATCAAGAAGGTTATTCCAGCAACAGTTGTCTTTGCTCTCGCCAAACAAGCCGCCATTTTCCTCCCAGGTTACCTTGCTCTCTCAATCGGTCTCTTCGAATCATTCGAGAGTGAACCTTCAAAGATGACCCCGCAACAAGTCTCAGCTATGGGTATCCAAACAGCTTCCGTCATTATTCTAGCCGGTGCCCTTGCTTTCCTTGTTCTCATTCCAGCAAGTGTCAGCCTTATTCGTGTTCAAGCTTCTCTCCTTTCCGAAGATCATGAATCTATCGTACCATTCGACCGTACATTTGGTGGACGTATTTCTGAAGATGGTGTCTTGGGCACTCTTGATGCATGGAAAACTTTTGACTGGAACTCACGTGTTAGACTTTTGAAGGCATATGTCAAGGCTGCTGCTATGGAGATTGCCGTCGCGACTTTCTTCAGCGTCGTTTTATGTGCAGAAGTTCTCATGGTTCTTGGTGCCGATCACAAAAAGGTTGTCATCGGAACAGATGGCAATGGAGCACCTATTCAATTCGAGATGTAAGAGGTAGATACTCTTCATATCAATAACTTTAACCGATCTCAACTCTGTATTATCTGGTGGGAACTGATACTCTTTATGAGATGTTGGTCCTGAATTTTCGTTTGTTCAATGGGAGGTAACGGAAAGGGGTTGGATAAGAGGCGAATTTTCGTGCTACGGTTGTTCTCCCACACACTACATTACTTCACATATATTTATGACTACTTAGCGAATGAAATTGATACTCACTTGTGCTGATATGATGAATGTTCTTGATCTAATCTGTGAATTTTGACTCTGTAGTTCGATGTTTACGCAACGTAATTGTTGCAAGAGTATAGAACGTTACTCTTACTTCATACTTTGTCATCAGATACTTCATACTTTGACCTATCTGATGACAAAGTATGTCCATTTCTGACCTAAAATATACACACCTCAGCTCTACCTCCATATCATTCATATTCAGCCTGGACTTGGTCATATACTTATACGCATACCAACTTGTAGTCTCTTTACCTTTTAGTTTTCAATTCATCTACATCTATTGCAGTCACTGAAAAATTCCTATCTTATTATGGCCTGCCGAGCCTGCCTATCCTATCTCTCTAATTCTCTTCCCTCTTCTCTAACCTATGCTCTCGCAACGACGAAACGCTCGAGCCCCGGATCTACTAGGTATGCAAGTTACAATATCCACCTTTCCAGGGATTTCTCAAAGGTCTTTGCCCCCATTGGCCCTTAGCCCTTGGCTACATTCCAGTCCAATTAATATCCCCAGATTTCATATTATCCAACCAAGTCCGATGTCCGAGGTATGTTTTGGTTATTTAAGTCCCCGCGCATGCGGGAATGGGATCGGATGATTGTTGTATTTAGTGATATGATGGAATTGAATTGAATCATATTCATGTGATTAGAACTAGGGACGTGGAACTAGGAATTGGTGGCTTGTTGCAATCTTTCTTTCGATTTTGCATATTGTATACTATATTTCATATCTTGCGTATACTTGAATATTATTTTGATGCAATTACCTGGGATAGCTACATACAACCATCATAGCTAACAGTACATCTCCTCCAACCCACCCCGCAATCATTTGAACCAAACCTCCTCGTCTCAACATTTCAAAATCACAATGTCAATACCACCACAAACACCCATTATCGTTGGCGTCGGCGATGTGATAAATCGTTCGCTGCAGGTTGAAGATGCGATTGAACCATTGGGACTTATGCTGCAATCTCTCTCGAAATCATTTTCGGATACCGGGATTTCCCATGATCGGGAGAGATTGGGAATATTACGAGAAAGTGTGGATGATGTGAGAGTGGTAAGGAATTGGACATGGCCGTATGTGGATGTGTGTCAGAGTGTGTTGGATGGGATTCTGGGGGAAGGAAAGAGGGGGAGTGATAATTTGGGAAAGGAAGTGTATAAAGAGGAATCGGAACATGGCGGGAATTCGCCGGTGAAGATGTTGGATGAAGCGTGTCAGAGGGTGGGAAGGGGAGAGTCGAAAGTAGCGGTTGTGGTTGGGGGAGAGGCGTTGGGAAGTTGTGAGTCTTTTTTTCCTTTTTGGTTTTGTGTTTTGTTAAAGTTTTGTGTTCGGTGATAAGGGTTGAAGTGGATTCGAGTTGAGGAGGGGTGTTGATGTGATGATCTGGAGATGGTGAAAATCAGGTACGGGAGAGAGACTGAGCAGGAAGCGAGGCCGAGGGAGAAAGGAAAAGGGGAAGATGCTGCACGCAGCACTACAAGAAGCGATATCAATCGGGTTAAATTGATCTCTCAAATGAAAATTAGTGCCATCAAGCGATGCTATACGCTGGTGATGATAGAGCACACGGCATGAGAGAAGATGCAATGATCCATAGCGAGAACAAAACTCAGTTCAAAGGAGCGCTGAAATTCGAGAAGGGGATTTATGACCAAATATTTACTAACGATTCCCATGAGCTTAGTGATTTCATCCGCATCAAAGATCGGTACATATCCTTCGCACTGGACGCCGCCAGCCGGTGACCCAAGAAAGATTTTGGCTTTACCGAAAGGAGTTGAGAGTATGTATTATTTTCCCTTATTCTCCGAACTGGGAATTTTACAATGTTGCCCCTGGGGCTTCTTGGTTTGGTTCCCGTTTTGAATGCAAGGGTATAAAAACAAGGTATTAGTCGAGATACAAGAGCATTAGTGTTTACTTGTTGTGAAGTCCAGCGACTTTTACATGTGTAGAATATTGATTCCGACGAGCACGAAAGACTGCGAAGAGACGATCGCGAAGAGAATTTGAGAGAAGTTAGGGAAGATTTTGTATGATTTCGCACACAAGCAATAGTCGCCATCAATACCAAGTGGAACAAATCACCGCTCTAGACTATATTCTCATCTCCTTCATCTTCTTGCCAAGAACCCTTGATTACAACTAATACCCCTATCTTAGCACTGGGAACAATCCATCAAATCGGTCTCCCAATACACATTTACCCCCTGTACGAAAATGCATTTCGAGCCCATCGTCATCAATCTCAAGCAGACAATAATGCCGAATCTGCAAAGTTATATGCCCAATTTGCTGCTGTCGCGGCTGGGAATGAGTTTGCTTGGAATAGGGAGTCGGCGGGAAAGTTAAGCGAAGAGAGTATTGGAAAGGTAGGAAAGGGGAATAGAATGATTTGTTGGCCATGTGAGTTACATTCTCGGGACTTGAAGAGGTAAAGGGGGAGGTGAGATGAATGGAAATGTTAATGGATGTTATAGATCCCCTCCTAATGAATGCATTCAACAATGTCAACATGGCCGCAAGTTGCATCATTACTTCTGTTTCATTTGCCACCGAGCTGGGTATTCCGGAAGGTAAATGGATATATCCATTAGGTGGTGCCGGGATGCGCGAGAAGGATAATTGTATGCTATCTGTCTCCTTTCTCTCGCGTTGATTGAAGAAGCGAAATTTAGTAAGACAAAAGCTAATGGAAACAGTTTGGGAAAGACCAAATTTCTATTCCAGTGAAGCTTTAGAAACAGCACTTGATTCGGCATTGGATGTTTCGGGTTTGGAGACGAAGGATATAGATGTTTTTGATTTTTACTCGTAGGTACACCTTCACAAGATCGGCGGGGGAGGGAAACAGTTAGTTATACGGAACATAGACCATTCAGCTGACGAAAAGTATAGATGTTTTCCAATAGTCCCGAAACTGGCTGCTCATCACTTGAAGATTCCTTTTTTGGATCCTCCAAGACCAATTACTTTGTTGGGGGGCTTGACATCATTCGGTGGTGCAGGGAATAATTACAGTCTACATGTATGTATATCCAAGTCGAGGAGGTCTCCTAAACAGAAGACCCTTTCGTCGCACACAAAGCACTATTGTCGAGCTTTATGGATATTTCATGCCATTGAGTATGAACTAACAAATTGCAGGCTATCACTGAAATGACACGGCAACTTCGTGTCAAACGGGGTCAATTATCTAATCACAAGAACGCCGGAGTTTCAAACGGTCTCATCTTGGCAAATGGAGGAGTATTGACATATCAGCACGTTGTATGTCTATCCACACAGCCAAGAATTGACGGAAATAAATATCAGGATGGAAATCCTTGCCCAAACATCGTACAGAGTGTTACTAGTGATAACGGAAATAGCTTGGAGATTGTTGGTCCTGAAGGGGTCGAGAAAGGAGCATGGGAAGGCATAATTGAGGTGAGAATTACTATTATCTTGAAGGGAAAATCTGCACTGGCGGATATTGAAAGAAGCTGGGATTATAATGATTAAGTAGAAGAGATTTTATGTGCAGCTAACAATTTCGCAGACATATACAGTACAATTTTCAAGGAATAATGAGCCTCAAACTGGATTTGTAGTCGGAAGATTGAAGCAGACAGGAAAGAGATTTCTAGCAAATGTTGCAGATGACAAAACATTGGGCAAATTGATTAAGGAAAGTGAAGAGGAGATTGTTGGGAAAGGGGGCTGGGTATGGAAGGAAGAAGACGGCAAGCGAAATTTATTTGGGTTTGAGAGGGGGGCTAATCTGTGATTGAAAAGATTGAGAAGATAGACTGCCGTAGGAAGTAAATCAAGGGAAAACTTATTTTGGGTCGAGGAGAGAATTAGATTGTGATAGTGATATGAAGAAGCTTAACAATCCGGGAAGAGAGTCGTGAAGATCCATAAAACGTGATACGGGTGCGAGAGTGATTGGACGTTTCACAAAGATAGCCCTCCGGGATCTCAAAGTGAAAACAATTCTACGACTGGAGAAGATGAATTTTGAACAGTCGGGATATCCTCAGGAGAATAGCGATGATAGACATCCGTACACTCCGCAATCAAGAGAATCTCGATGATATCCGCGGATATTGCATCATGTGCCAAACACTGATTGAGATTGAGGATGAGGAAGTCACTGGCGTCGTATTTCCTTGAAGCTATCGTGAAGTCATCTGGACTCGGAGACCCGAATGTGGCGTTAAACTAGCTTTGCACTCATAGATAAAGGAGGATCCTTGGCTATGCCCTTTGCCGACTACCGGGAAACCATGTTTATGAGGATCTGATAAGGCTATCGTCTAGTGTTTGGGACTTGAATCCGAACCTGTCAGACTAGTTCTGTGCTCAGGCTCAGATAGCAAAGGGAAATCCTGAACTGCCCTGCTTCATGTAGCCCTTATCGACGAGGATCTCGATGCATATCCGAAGATATGATATCATGCGCTCTTGATACTCATATGGTATACCAGAATCGCCCATATCAACTTTCTTCTGAGCCCATTTTGAAGTCATTTAGATTTGGACCCGAACCTGTCAAACCAGTTTTGTGCTCTCAAGTACGGATCAGGGATCCTGAATTGTGCTCTTCAACGCAGCGTCAAGCTCCCGTGTCCAAAGAGGATCTCGATGAAATATCTCTACAAATCTGATGACCTTGCCGGTCGCCAACCCCCATAGGAGATTGACAAACGCCTTGGATTGGCTTTCCTTTGAAGCTATCGTGAAATCATTCCATCTCGGGATAAGATCCCTTTGTCAGACCAGTTTAGTGTTCAAATTTAGACAGATAACGCGGGTCTGCCCTCCTCCGCAAAGATATCCGGCACTCGGTACCCTATCCACGGATATTATCTAGATTTGAATCAGATACAGATATTGAAATCGGCGAAGTAATGAGGGGAAATCTCTTGGATATATGGTCTCGACCCCCTTGAATACTGATAGAGCTGAGAAAATATATGTGTGTAAACAGTCTTTTGATGTCGTATTTCATCGTAACACTAGTACGAGAATGACAGAACATGGTTGCTTTGGTACGACCAGGCACTGTATATACATGCTGGATACCCGCACCAGATGTTTTGACAAAATCCCGAGGTACTCATTCGTATAACCTTTGAAGAATCATTCCGATACTTGAACCCCTGATCTTTATCTGCATATATCGGTCATGTCACCAAACTACAACCATATTACCACCATTTTATCGTTGTCCATAGAAATACGACATAATCTGATCTCGATGATGTTATTGGTATGTGACATTACCCTGTAGTAGGTATTGAAGCATTGTCATGCAAATTAAATGGCAATTGTCTTGACGGTGAATGATTCGTCGGACTTGAGGAGTTTCTCTCTGGTTGTTCTTGATTGTGATAGAAAGTCTGAAAAGAAGGAATCGTTGGAAATGTCAGTTTTTTTTTGCCAAGAAAAGGTATGAATTGAGACCAAAATGAACCTCGTCGTCGACTGAGCTTTTCAAGTACTAGTATATTAGAGGTTGAGTATATCTTCATTTTAGAGGTACTCGTATATCCGCACGTGCTCGCATTTATGTATGAAATCACCCCGCCTTCCGAAAACAATCATTTGTATTGATTGACACTCTCACACTTCACTTCACCTTCACCTAAATTAAAAGAAAAGGCACGGACTTGACCCCACTACATCCGCCGATACGCTAATACCTTCCCTCGTACCTCGTACCTCGTAGTATCGTTGTATCTTGAATTCATTTGTACTCCAGTACATCTAAAAACATCCTACATATCCCAACATCTATCAATTCAGAAGAGTACAGTCCAGTCGACAACATCGAGGATCCTTCGCACCACTCTCTCGAATCAGAAATATTTGACATAACGCAGCAATATATACATATACCCAGGTCCCGGTATCCTTCTTGGACCCCAACTGTTCACGGTACCTTCTCAATAGCTCCCCCTTCCGACTTCTTGGATTTGTATCCTCAAAAGGTACGTAGCAGTGCATTTCTGGTGGTTGAATCGAATCTCCATGTGCGACGACTTCCTGTTGATCTTCAATCATTCTAATTCACTCATAGGTAGTATTTAGTATATATACTCGGTACTTTTCCACCATCTGCGACTTTCAATACATCCAGAGTCACCTCCTCATCTACAATCTCCTCCAACTTTGACATCAGTTTTATATTCCGAGGACTCCTCGGCACATTCGACAATCAAAAAGATGGGAAGCGCAGCAGCAAATCTGCTTGGCAGACAATTGAAAGAAATTCAAAAGGCAAAAGATTTACCTGGCATAAGCTGTGGGCTTGTGAAGGACAATATTTTTGAATGGGATGTTATGCTCATGTTGAGTGACGAGTGCAAATACTATGGCGGTATGCTCTATTGCTCACCTCCCTCGAAGTCTTTTGCAGCTCATACTAACAATAATTTCTAGGCGGCAACTGGCGCTGTCTTCTCTCTTTTCCCGAAAACTATCCACATGCACCTCCTACACTTACCTTTTGCGATCCAATTCCATTCCATCCAAATATCTACGCGGATACAGGTGTTCTCTGTATATCCATTTTACATCCATCGGGAACAGACGACTTTGGATACGAAGATGCAAGCGAACGATGGACCCCAATTCAAACACCAGAAACCATCTTGTTAAGCGTGGTCAGTCTTATGAATGATCCAAATGATAGTAGTCCAGCAAATGTGGACGCGGCAAAGATGTGGAGGGAAGCACAAGCAAATCCCAAGGGCAAGGAGATGAGAGAGTGGAAGTCAAGATGCAGGGCATTAGTCAGACAGAGCTTGGGGGACTAATGCAGGATGTTTTCTTCCTTTTTGAGGAGACGGTCGGTTACAATTTGAATTAAGAATGTTGTTGAGAGATTGATATCTGAAAGTCTGGGAGGAAGTAATTTGTCTATTCAGGAGTTTCATCTACGATTGTAGCACAACATGGGGGTTGATGTCGATTGGGGCGTTGCATGCTCTGTATCTTTCGTAAAAACATGGCATAGCGCGAGGGGACGAGGAGCGTATTAATATCCAAATCTTTTGGAGAAATTCAGACATTTATACCCGTGAACTATCACTGATACTGGGAAAGAAAAGAAAAATAAGTCTATCATGCTCCTTTGAGTCGGAGTTGTCAATTGTTGCGTAGCTCATTTGGTTGTCCATGACTGTATACACAGCACCAGATATTATGACTTGGTGATCTTTGATATTTTGGACTCAAAATCAATTGTTAAGAATGAATCTTCTTGGAAAAGGATAATTAGAGGTGAAAGCCGAAGATTAGTACTGACTATTATATGATCGACACTTGTCGGGTACTCATATTGAAGTGTCTGTCTTCCTTGTTAGACCTGCAAGGGCAACCAACTACTATTAAGGTACTCTGATGGATTCTTAGCTCTACAAAGTTTTGGACACTTACCAATCTTCTCCAAATCTATGTAAAGTCCCATATCTCATACTTCCATTTAGCTAGTCTCCCATGAGAAAGCACTCTAATCGTCAGAAAAGTCGTCATTATCACTCAAATTCATGATTTATATCTTCAAGTCGAATCCAAGTTCTATCGGATCATTTCAGTTTTCTTGGATTCTGGGATCCAGAGAGATCCAATCACATCACATAGAGTATCATATTACCCAGGGAACGATCTAATTGCTCTAGCTTCCAATAGTTATATCTTGGCGTCGAATATCACCACAAAGTAGGTAATATACTAACAACATGTTGTACTCAAGATGCGTGCGGTGGTCGAGCTAATGTTGTCACTCGACCAGACTAAAAAAGGCTTAATTTAGGGCTGCATGAACGCATCCGTCAAACCTATAAATACTCTGACAGCCTCCTCTTAATGCATGTCACTGCAGATTATACAATTTCGAAAAAAGCGCTTCAATTTTTATATTCGTACAACATAAGAACAGCTATCATATTGTCTCAATCACCATATACCGTCTCGATCATCGCATACCATTTCAATCCTTACCTGCTACTTCGGCCATTCGAAGAATTCATACAATAAATTATTTCTATATCCCCAACTGCATCATCAACTCCCATCACGATGTCTTCACAAACCCGACCACTTCATCTTCTCAAACTCCCCACCGAAATCCGTGATCGAATCTTCAACTACGTTCTCCTCGAGCATCCAGAATGGAGCATCATGATGTGCAGCACCTTTGAAGGCAGACTTATACACATGCACTACATCGATCCCAAATCCAAGAAGCTAATCCCCCGCTCCGAAGCCCGACCCCAAGTTCAAGTCCTTCTTATCTGCAAGCAAACCCATAGACAATACAGACACGTAATTTGGGAGAACCGAAGCTTCGCGTGGGATTGTAGTTCGCAGTTCGTAAAGGCTTTCAGGTTTCCACATAGGGTTTCTGTCGATGCCATCGATAATTTAACGAGTCTGGAGCTTTTCATTTGCTTCACGAGGAACGATCCATACCTTGCAACCTGGTCTCAGGCATGGAACAAACGGAAATATGAGATGGATGCTTTTGGTCGATATACGAGTACATGGAACGCTTTGAGACAGGTAAAGCTGCATCTTTTCGGCGATCGTGACGCTCCAAGGTCACGAAGTTTTGTTTATGGTATTCGGTCAAACAGACGTGGCTTCATGTCGCCGGGTAATAAACTTGATTTAATTGATTGTCATAGAGGGTTTGTCATGATTTTAGAATCATTGCATATAGCTGTTAGCAACATTGCGTTCCCTCATAGGATCAGACGAGCGAACGGTCGAGTGGAGAAGCTCACACAGATACTGGATTTGGGCTTGAAGTGGAATGACTATTCCGATAAATACCACAAGAAGAATTGGGCTACACTCACCGCTATCTTGGAAGCCTGCAATGCTGCTTTCGAAGGTGGAGAGATATGGATGGATGGTATTTTGTGCTGGAAAGATAATGTTGAGCAAGTGTGTATGAAGTCAATCGAGGACGTGAGGCGTTGTCAACGAATCATGATCAGTGCTTGATTAGGAGGTTCGGAATTCTACAGACAGTCTAACGTTACCTATTTGTTACTTGCTAATATCAATTCTCTAACCAGATATCCACCAGCGCACGTATGGTTCACACTCCAAATTGCTCATCGAATTCCTTTCGAGTAGGATTTTGAGCCCGACGTGAAGGCGTAAATCACACAGCGAAGAATGCACAAGAAGTTAAATGCAAAGAGGAGAAAAAGTCTACAAAAGAGAAGTGCAGCGGGAATGTTTTGAAATTGGAACCAGGGGATATATATAGAGTAAGGATATAAGAAAAGATCTAAGAACTTTCATCTTAGGTCCATGACTTGCTAGGAGGAAGAATAGAATTTTATTAGTCTTATAATTGTAGTCATAATGAAGAGAAGATAAAAACACAACTTCAATTACATGATAACAAACAACTAATTTGCTCCACCCCTTAAAAAGAACTGGCTCTCATCCGTATCCCCTGCAAAGCAACACCAAACATATAATAAGATATTATGACAATCCGATTATTTTACATCACGTAACAATGTAGGAGTACTGTCGATTGGTGTACTATGAGTCCCTTACGATACTAGAAATCGACATAGACTAGATTGATATGATTTTAGACTAAGCATAGAAATAATCATATTTCTAGTTTAACAGATGTGCTAAATCTTAAGCGTTGCTTAGAGACCTCCACTTGAAGAGCGTACAGAGATTGAAAAAGTCACCAATTTAGAAAGCAAACCACAAACAGCTTCAAGCATTTAAGACAAATACAAATCTTGTTGAATCATGAAATTGAGTGACTTCAAGCTCGAATTTACATCATATACTGTGCTGCACCCCAATAAGTCCACTCAAATCATCACCTTTCTTGATTTCCTTAACATCCATCCCCTTCACTCCCTCAACCCCCAAATCCCAAAGTTCATCCACCACCGCGTCTCTAATACCCGGGAACTTATGATAAAGCATCCCTGACAAATTCTCATTCATTGCTTCTGGATATACCAATGCTAGACGACCAAAACATTTAATTGCTGCTTTACATTTGTCGATTCGAGAACTAAGGGCTTCTTTTGCGACTTGGGCGCACAGAAGTTGATATTGACTAGATCTTAGGAACACATTAGCAAATGGTAAATCAATCAAGATGATTGGACTACTAACTCAACTGCGACATTCTGATACATAAGTCCCATATCTAGTAAAAGAGCGATAGTCTCTAGTGTACCAACTATCACCTTCTCATTCTTCCGATGATGGAATTTTAGATTTCTGACAAGTGCAGCTCCAATAAATTCTCTATTCGCTAGGGATCCTTCACAGAAATCGATCAGAGCAGCGATGCTAACGCGGCGTAGATCTTCTGTTCCTGCGTGAGTTGAAGTTACAAATCCTTCCAATAATTTATCCGTCCACGAAGGAAGCCATTGGAGTTCATTCGTGGCTGTGTTCGCGGATAGGCGATCTAAACTTTGCAGGTCTAGTATAAACCGGAAATGTTCATAAGAAGAAATAGAACTTTGCTCAAACGACAACACCTTGGAACTGAATTACAAATTTGTTAGAAGTAAGAAAGGATATGGGGCAAAAAGTCAACGAACCTAGATACAATCGTTGGAAGAATAGCCAAAAGAGCTTTTTTAGCTTCTGTTCGAACTTTATCCAATTTCTCTGTGCAAAGCCGTAGAAGCTTTCCAAATATTGTCGAGAACACTTCCATATTGGTTAGATTTTTTCTCAAATCTGTGGATAGGAAAATAGCAGCAGCTCCTTTGATTGCTTCTAGTCTGACTCGAGAACCAATATCGCCTTGAGCTGGGTCCGTATGATAGTCATCAAGACCATGAGAAACAATATCCCAGAAATGAATAATATGACAACCGAGTGCTTTGCTTTCTCTTGCAAAGTACGGAAGTAGAGCTAATCGTGTCTTGATATCGTAAACACGTCTGGGGATATTCTCGGTGGAATTCCAGCTCTCATGTATTGTAATAGGAATAGTATTGGTCCAATCATCTCGAGGTATTTCGGACACTTCATTCTTCAGGTCGTTCTTGAACAATGAATATGAGATCAAGAGCATAGAAAAGGTCAATGTACTCTTAGTATTTCCGACTTGAGTAATTCGCTTTAGCATGCGATCGGTCTCAAGACCCCGATAGCTACCAGAGGCCCAAAAGAATGATCTACGATGACAAGCTGATAGAAAAGTCACCAAATCTTCAGACCCAGTATCGATAAAGTTCCCAATGAAGTTTCTAACAAGTGATTGGAAGGCCAAGATGTTACCGTTTGAATCATGGGAATTGGCATCGGTTTGACCATCGGGAGAGTCAAGCACGCCCATGACATTGCCCAGTATTCCAGAGATTGTTTGATGACCAGAGGCGCTAACCATATGTTCTGCGTAAGGTTCCTCATATTCAAACATAATGACCTTTCTTGTCTTCGAGTTACGTAACCACGAGGATTTATCACTATCTGCGGGAGGCGATCCCAGGTTTCCTCCAAGTATTACCGATGTCCCGAATACACGGAAAGAATGGAAAATGACACAAGATAAAGCTTCGGCGATCAACTCAGGACGTCGCCAACCTTGTGGGGTGGTGACATTTGATATATAAGAAGTAAGCATCCTGAGTATTTGGTCCGAATACGCTTGAAAAGAAACATTAAGATCGTCTATTTCGTTAAAATTCGGACATTCAAGAATTGCAGCAGCTATAAAAAGTAGTAGCCCATGTCGCTCATTAACCTGGCGAACAGTAAGGTCATTGAGCTGTTGATCCAATGAACACAGGGTTTCGTAAGAACTTCTATATGTGGTAGAATTGTTGCTGGCATCACTTGGAAAATTTATAAGACGGAATGCTTCAGCACAATTTCGTCTTGTGACAAGATCGGCGTCACCAACTCCACGCCAGCCTCGGAGTGCTTCCAGAATTGCCTCCCCATAGTGATGCCATGATATTTCATCATCGGTTTTATAGGCCAGTGTAGCAGCTGAAACCGCGACCTCTAATATAGCCCGAGATCGAAGAGCAACAGCATGGTAGTCAATAATTTGCACTAATTCGAGTGCTTCAATGATGGTATTTGGGTGACGACCTATCAATTCTTGAAGGGCCGCAGAAGCTCCTCGGCGAATGTTGCCAGCAGGATCCAGACATGCGGAAACAACGAGATGTGTTGCTAGAGTTTGTATAGTAGAGCTAATATTTGTTCCATGACGAAACCCTTCGGATTTTATGTCAATGTCTTGTAATTCAGCCGTAGAGTAACGTCGAGCCAAAGCCCATATTCCAAAGCATGCAGCATCTCGTACATTAGTTCCAATAGAGCTACCTGATGTCGACTTTCCCTCAAACGATAAAGCTTTGAGTAGAGAAACAATCACTTTATTGAGCAGTTGAGGAGGTGCTGCATGTCGATATAACAGATGGGATAGTGTCAATATTTGACCATGCCAATTCAAAACATCGGTGGTTGGCAGCGCTTCTAACATTTCGAAAATTGCAAGCACAAATTCATAGGCTTGTTCAGGTTCGACTTTTAAGATAACAACGCTTAATGCTTTACTAGCGGCTAGCCTTACCGGTGTTGACGGGTCCAATAGCGATTGTAACATAAAATCAACAGAGTCACTCAAAGTATCATCTATGGTTGTGAAAGATGGGCGTAAGTTGAGCAAAGCAATACCACGGAAAATGTTCACGATAAACTTTCGCGCAACAGCGGAGCTTTGGACTTCTTTGCAAGATCGATCTGAGGATTCCACAAAGTTAAACACTGCGTGAAATACTGGCTCTAAGCTAGAGTCCATATAAGGGGTATCCGTGGATGATTTGAGAACCCCAGAAAGAAAAGACAGAACGCCATTGATGTGATGTATATTCCGATTCGTGTTAATCGAATTCAAAGCAGATATTGCCCACATCACCGTAGAATTAAGGAGCCCAAGATCTTGCATGTCCTTAAGGAGAACAACTCTCACTAGTAAGATCTTTGCAGCATCCTTTTCTTTCCCAGAGGATGAGAGATATTTGACAGCTAACGCGATAGACCGTAAAGCTACGCCCGGAGTGTTGGATGGTAATCTAAAATCTGAAAGATATAACTCGGCACCACTGGGCGGAGGACTAGCCGACAAGGAATGGAGAGCGAAAGGGGCCATGATTAATTGTGAAAGCCACAGCAGATTGATATATCGTTCCTCCCAGCCCCATACTTCTTCTGTTGACTTTTCGCATGCGTCATCATCTATCCATGTACCGTTTTCCATAGCAGAAAGTAACAAATCAAGTAGTCTGACTTCAGTACTTAGGAACTGGACAATAACTTTCTCCCCTCTAACCTTACAAAACGTATAGAGTAATCGACAAATCGCTTTTGATAGAGGCATAAGAAGTTGAGCATGAGTCTCAGACTTCACAGGTGGTTTCGATATGGAGGTAATAAAGGCATCAGCTAGTATGGGTACCAGTCGCTGAAGGTGTGGATCGAGAAGTTGAGGAAGCTCTTGGAAATTGTCTAGCTATGTGAAACTTTAGCAGATGGTATGTTGAGAGGTGAAGAACTCATACCAATGCTGTCAATCTATCTGTCTCTCTTATGCGAACTCTTCTTCGTAATTGACCCTTATTAGTAACATTGTAGAGGAACGGGTGGAGTGATTTTTCGAAATCTTCCAAGAGCTCTCCCGACTCCCTTTGGAGACGAACATCTTTATCATCATCTGCGGCATCCATTATGAGTCTCTGAGGGAGAAGCTATGGGCTGCTTCGGGGTGAGCGTGCGTTTTCCTAGGTATTGGAATGTGTCGGTTTTGAATGATGGAGGTAAATCTTTACCACCTTTCGAAGTGCAATCTGATACTTATTCTTTTTGATTGATCATTAATGGGGTGATATTGAGCTGCCCGAGATAGGTGCAGTATTATTGTTCATCAATAGTCATTATTCGCAATATCATATGTTGATATTTGTGAAGATTCGTTTGGAAAGCATCATGTTTTCGAGACGGCCTTGCTCAACTACGACATTGTAAATAAAAAGATTTAGTGGGGTCGCGTTCACGCCAGCGCCAGCGCCAGCGCCAACACCATTGGGAGAAAAGTCTCATCAATCATGTAGCGATGGCTTTTGGTAAGAGAAATTCAATATTAAATAAATCAGTCTTTTTATTATCTCACAACTTTCCAAAAATCGATAATACCTTGTGGTAAAACATATGTCTTGATTTCAAGGAAATTAAAATATGTTTCTGAATTCTTATTGGATTTAGTATTGTATATGTACTGTATGTACTATATTTATCATACACGCGACTTTCATATCTGATTCTTATTCAATCATCTAATCTCTATATAGATTGAAACGAAGTCGTTCTCCATAGCCGGTGAACTACTCGTAGTGGTTCTCTAGTTATCTAAACAGCAGCTACTTACGGAAACTTACTACACCGAGGTCTTTTGCCGTTTGTAGTCTTCAGTCGTCCTACATCTACCCCACCCCTATCGCTGGTCGTTGCGAAGAGGAACACATATCCAGTAGGTTGTATCTCTAGTTTTTATGCATCATCTCAATTAAACAGCTAGAGCGTGAAAACTTGAGATCATCAACCAACATCATTCATCATGGCTCACAAATTTCACATCAACACGACACATATCCACATGAAATGGGATAGATCTCTTACTCCCGCTTTAACGGTTGATTCTGGTTCCGAGATATCATTTGATCTACTCGATGGCGGTTCCAATCAAATCACCGACACCTCAGACATCACCGCAGTTCAAAACTTTGATGTCTCAAAGGGCGATCCTGCATTTGGCCCCGTCTACATCAATTCCGCGTCTACAGGCGATGTTCTAAAAGTCGAATTTCTCTCCCTCAGACCAGCTGATTATGGCTGGACAGCCTGTCTACCCGGCTCATTCGAATTTGGTCTTCTAGCCGACGAATATCCAGAAGCGTCTCTCAAGATATGGGATCTTTCAAAGGGAGAAGACTTTGCGGTGTTCAAAGAAGGAATACATGTACCCATTAAACCGTTTTTGGGTGTAGTAGGGGTCGCACGTGGAGAAGAGGGTGAATTTTCGACAATTCCTCCTTATGAAACTGGCGGGAACATCGATTGCAAATATATTACTCAAGGGTCTGTTCTTTACCTTCCAGTCAAAGTTCCAGGCGCTTTATTTAGCTGTGGAGATGGGCACGCTGCGCAGGGAGATGGAGAAGTTTGTGGAACGGCTATTGAGACACCTATGAAAGCTACGATTCGGTTGACAGTTGAAAAGGGCAAACCGTGGGTTCAAAGTCCTCATTTCTTGATCCCCCCTCAGCCAGTCACAGTGGACAAAGGTGAATATGCTGCACTAGGGATTGATAGTGATCTCAGAGAAGCAAGTAGGAAGGCATTGAGAGGATTGATAGCTTGGTTGGTAGCAGAGAAAGGTCTGGATAGCCAGGAAGCATATATGCTTAGCAGTGTGGCTGCGAATCTGAAGATTGCGGAGATAGTTGACATGCCAAATTATGCGGTGGCTTGCAGTATACCTTTGAGCATCTTTGTTGGTGCTCCGTACGTTTGAAGTTGGAATGGAGACTTTCGTATTAAGAATATGAGAAGATGTCAATACGGAGTAGTTATTAGCTATTTACTGCCGCTTATCCCGTTAACATTTCCCCACGTACCGAATCTTCCGCCTCTCAGCGATTTTCGGACTTCATATCTCATGCATACAGGGCACACAGTACAACTACTAATCCATTTGAGGAGAGATGGCACGCGACTCAATATAACCAATCAAACATCTCCCATCGGTTTAATTTTTGAGTCCTCTCAGATTGATAACAGAACCGCTTAGATTCGGGGCAGGTAACATCTAGATATCGAGATCAATCGTTCACATGTTTTTCTACACTATCACAAAAGCCTAGGGTTGACGTCGCCCAGACGAATGATACATCTAGGTATACATCTAGGTTTGATCTACCAATCAAATATTCTGGATAGAATGATGTGATTGAAAATCTCAAAAACGGCCTCTTCGGGTATGTGGTTAGAGAAAAGTGGAAATATGCATTATGCATGCACCTTGTATGTACTTTCTGTACTCTTGGGTAGTTTTTATATTTGTACATCTAGGTTCCTTCACCGTTCTGATATCCCGCTATGCTAATTATATACGTTGCGAATACCTTCATATCTACATCGAGATACCGATCCCATTCCAAATTTCTCGGGTCCTTACTAATTGACAAAGTAGCTCCCCCTCCACAACTTGCCAAGGCCACCTCCGCACCTGAGTTGAGTACTGACATAGCTTCTCGCGTGGTTCCCCTGTCTTGTCATGTCCAACCATTCTCAACCATTAAGAGTTTGCAAAGTACAACAGTGCTTTTCCCATCCCTGTCTCAACCTTAGTTAATCCTGATCCTCGGAACTACACTTGCATGCATGCAAGAATTTTTTATCTGTCACTGGATTCCTTATCATCAACTCATTTGATATCCATTCCACTTTTTTCTGGCTCTTGTGAGTCTTGTCCTCTATATAAGAAGAGGTAAATGGATTTCCCTTGTAAATTCATACGTGGGGAATAGATGCGGGAGAAATGTCGTATGATTGTAATGTTATGCCGCATATCGTAAACGTTGTGATGTCAATCTTACTTTTACGAACCCGAGTCGAGAGCAATGTCTCATATTATATACAATTTCATTGTTTACCAGTCGATGTACAAGGACCTCCAGATCTTGAACAACGACAATGAGTCTCAGCTCTAGGCATCACCTTTTGTGTGAATTATAATTGATGTTTTGTATAACAGATGCTTCTTGGTTCAAGCCTCAATGTAGAACTGTACGAGGAGTTAGATCCAATAGTCTAGGGGCCTCAAGAGTCACGGCTATTATAGTTGTCAAATTTCACCGACATTTCATTAAAGCCATCCTGGAAGATCATGTAGATCATCATAGCATTCATGCTAGATGACCTCAGGTACGAGAATGATACGTACATCGATATATTTGGAGGATACAGCGTCGTGGAGACACGATAACAGGCCGCATTTTTCTTCAGAGGCTTCATCAATAGTCAGCACTTGGCTGTGTAGTAAAAGTCCAAAGTTTGTATTGCTATCAATGCTAGGTTGGAAGCTTTGATAACTAGCGAGGCGCCTCATGGTGAGATAAATATGAAATGATTCGATATACTCCTTCAGGCTCGGTGCCATGCGTCAAACTTTGCTATCAAAATTGTCCATTCATCACTCCATTATCGAGAATTTCACCAGCACTTGACTGTGCCTCGAGTGTGCCTCATTTCAACATGCCCTCCATATCAATACAAGTATCAAGCGAAAACCAACGACTAACCAACGACTAACCACCAACCACCAACCACTTCAATTTTAGACCATAAACTTGATAAACCCGTCAAATTTTAATCCTATCCTGTGGGTCGGTGGCTGAAAGAGTTCTTATCTTTTCACCCTGTAATTCTATTTTGTACCCCCATTCTAAACTGATATGATAATGGATGATAATAAACTCCCCGGGACGGTGAAAATGCCTTGGACCTAACAGCTTTTTGGTGCCTTACCCGAGTGGATGAACTCTATAGGCAAAAGCTCCTTCATCTCATCCCACACTGATGAGTTCCCAAACTGCGGGTTGAATATTTTCTGACCGCGCCACTTGATGATGACGAATTAAATGATGGCTATCCCAATTGAAAGGATTGTGATTATGATGGCAATGATAGTCGAGTAGTTCTAACGGTTTCAAGAGTCTGAATAAGATGTGGTTACTGACACGGAAGTCTATCCATCTAATTCTCCTAATCTTCTCGATACGTTCGTGTCAGATGTTCTACTTGATACTATTAATTGCTATCCTCTAACCCTTCCAAACTCAAACTTTCCAAATTCTAACTTGTACCTTAACTATTCCTCGATTCCGCATGGCCCCACGTTTATCAAAAGCAAGCTGCAAGCAAGACACCAGAACCATGACCCATTGAGCAATTATCATCCAAAATCACACCAAGCCCTTCAAGAACAACGACTAAATTTCGAGACTTCCTGCTATTTGTTCCATCCAAATAGTCTACCATCGAACAATTCAGAATATCAGAATAAACTTTCTTGGCTTCAAACATATACACATATCTATACTGGAAAGAGACAACATCTCTGCGGGAAATTCCCATCCAATACCAGCGCCATTCATCTAAATTCAGAACCGACCCCTGAGTCTACGGAGCATTAATCGAAGGTTCTATCAATCACAAAAATACCCAGCCCTGTGTGTACGACGAGTATGAGAAGGGAATTCAAGGAACCCCATACTAATTGACATATCCTTCACCGTCTCACCCAAATCATCTCACTCGTATTAACGCCAATTCCATCCACTTCTGCGAACAACCCTTTTACAATCTTTTCGCTACTTCAATCTTCGAAAATCTTATCACTTCCTTACTTACATCTTCCTCTTACTAGAAATAACCAATTCGAATTCTCACAAACTTAAACCCTACTTACATACGAATATCATCTGTCACATTGAACTATCAATCTCCAGGCCTTCCGAATAATCTCCGCCATTATTGCACATTGTATTGCTCAAAAGCTTCCAGAACATCATTGAAACGAGGAATAACTAAAAGGAGAAGAGAGAAAGTACCTCGCGACCATAACCCACAGTCCGACATTTCCCAAAACCTCTGAAATAGAATACTCGACTTCGAGTCCAATTCCTCTCGTTATTGTCATGCAACGGTCCATGCGCAACAATTATCGATACGATTCGCGACGGAATTTAAGAATTTCCCATTCCCATGGAAATATATGCAATCGAATATCCAACCACATCTTCCATTGAATTGAACACTCGAAAACACAAAAGCTGCGAAACGAAATAGACCCTCGCTCGTCCCCTCCACGGAGGTAGACGGGCGTGGTACTCAATTGCTCCGGTGGTCCCTCGATTTCTAATATATATATATATCATTCATTATGACCATATATTCCAGTCCACCACCAGCTCGAAGCTTCTACGACGATAAACCCACACTTCTTGTTTGTTGGTGGTGTACGTTATTCTCGGCCGTCATTATATTGTTCAGAGTTTGCGGACGATATATTAGGACGGAGAAACTTTTTAAAGAGGATTGGTTAGCTTTTGCTTGTTTGATCCCATTGTTTTGTCGCATGGGCCTTGTTCATGTTATTTTGTTATTCGGTACCAACAATGCGGTGATTGTGGATTTTGATGAGAGATCGCTGCATAGAAGAGTGATTGGGAGTAGATTGGTTTTGGTATCGAGAGTTTTTTATGCGGCGACGTAGGTTTATTTTTACTTGATCTCAACTTGCTTGCTTATTTCATTCCCCTCTTTTCTTTTCTTTTCTTTTCTTATACCCATTTAAATTCGATTTAATTACTAACCTACCTACCTACCCATCTCTAGACTCTGGATGCTTAAACTTACAATTAGTGAATTCTTCAAAAGGCTCACAATCAACATCTGGACAAGGTCACACGAAAGAACTTTAATCTTCATCCGATGGTTCCTCCTTGTCACATTTATCGCAGTAATAATAGCAGACATCTCTGAATGTCAACCCATCAATCATTATTGGCAAGTCACCCCAGATCCAGGAGCAAAATGTCGTCAAGGATATGCACAACTCCTGACTATGGGGACCGTCAATGTATTGACTGATCTTCTCCTCGTTTTATTTCCCGTTCCTATCATTATTGGTTCCAAAATGAGGATCAAGAGGAAAATTCAATTGGTGTTATTGTTTGCAGGTTCTTTGATTCCGGCAGGAATCACACTTTACAGAATACCGCAAATTATCGATAGACATGGCATTCAACAATATCGATCATTATTAGCATCAGTTGAGATTCTCTTCGCAACAGCTGTTGCCAATGCGCTAATCCTAGGATCTTTCGTCCGAGACCGAGGTGTTAAGAAACACAAATTTAAATTTGGTTCCTTAACTGACACACTCGATCGGACTACTTCTCGCCGTGGAACCGTAGCTCGGCAATGGGGAAGCGATGAAGATCTCGTCCGAGATCTAGGCCTAGGAGTAGATCCCGAACTCAGAGGGGAAGTTCATTCACCTCCTCGTCCCGCCCCAATGGCTGTAGCTGGGAACATGCCGGTAAGAAGTCATCGATTTGGATCAAATAGTTCGAATGATTGGCGTTTTCCAAGTGACACGAGTGAGGAAATCGATTTTGTTAAACCAGCCCCTTCGAGACATGTCTCTGAAGATTTAACATCAATGATGTCACCACGCCGCGTATCATTTTTCGACGTCGGAGGATTGCTCGATCAAGAATCTCCGAGAAGAATTAGTTCGACGAGAACGATGGATTCGGAATACACTGGTGAATCCAGTACAGCAGGCGAAGGTCCAGTATCCACTACTTGGTCTTACGAAAATGGATTAAGTCCTGCTCCAGCACGACGCGGTTCTGCAGCCCTTCTGCAAGATATAGGAGGTTTATTGGGACCCCGAACGAGACTCCAAAGAGCGAGTATGGGATATGAGCTGGAAACAATTTTGCAGGAGAGAAATAACGGGCCTACTAGTCATCCGTCGCTCACTCATGCACACTCGATGCCCCCGCCTATCGATCATTTAGGGAGACAGCAGACTAATCTGAGTTTGCAAGATGTTGGGGGGCTTTTGGAGAAGTAATCATGGGTTCAAACACCTACCCACACATTTATATACATACTTGTCACGGAGGACATCCGCATGTCTTCCATATCATATTATATTTACTGTACCACTACCATGTTTTCTCTTTCAGCCTTTCTCCTTTTCAAGATTTATACTTGAACACTATTTTCTATATTTCTTTTTACTTTGTTTTACTTTGTCTTTTACCTTTACTTTAAACTTTCCTTTGTTTGGTACACATAGCGAACATTATGAGATTATGAAAATTGGGCGGCACATTAGGATCTGGATCCGATTTGAATCTGGATATGGAGTGGATTAGTGATTTAATCCGCAGGTTTGGATTGAATATAAGGCGTTATGGAGTATAACTTATACCACAGCTGGTTGTGTTGTCATGTTTTTGGTTTATAATCCTGCGTGGGGAGGTCTTTTGTTGCTGCGGATGGATTGGAAATGAAAGATGGAGATGGCGATATGGATTCGGAAACGAGGGAGCTGTTTTGAATTAACGATTCGCGGATGTGGACGGGTTGAGTGAGAGAATATCATATATATGCATACCAGCGTCTTATTCGGGTGAACATCTTTTGGTTTTCATCTTCGAGAGATAAGATGACACGTCGTATTATTATATCATCGAACCACACATGATAGGGCGGTATGCGAGCTGAAGAGTGAAGAGAATAGTTGAATAATAATAATGACTTCAAATCCAACCATCTTTGGGGAGGGGACGAGGTCACGATATTCGTTAATCCCTTCGTGATCAAATGAACATACCACATTGTTTCATTTCCTACGATAGCGTAGTTTTGTTAACTCCCCGAAACTTTCACTGCTACCTTGAAGTAGATCTGCAAACTCTTCATCATTCCAAGCGACGTTCAGATACCATCCCCTTCAATTCCACCAAAAACTCACACTAAAACTCGCACTCAATCCTCTTACATAATGCCACCATCCAACCGGAATATACAACACTTCTCCTCCTTCTAACACACAATCCCAATATTTTGCACTTTCCGCCTCTGGAAATTTCTTCCTCTCGTCCTCTTGCTCTTCGACAGTATCATCCCATCTCTCCAAGACCCCAATATCCACCTCACTCGTATTACTCATATCTATCCCCCCATCTTCTATACCTCTCGCGTATAATTTTGATGTTTCTCTAGGTGGATAAAGACGCAAATATTTCTTTCCGACGACTTGCGCTAGGATATTATGATACGGATCAGTATGCAGCGGACTAATTGTACCGGCTGGTCCAAACCACGCGTTTATGAGTGGCTCTTCCAATTCTTCCATTTGTGCATATTTTTCTTTCAGCGCGGGAGGACACGATGAATGAGGTTGTGGTGGATAAACATAACAATAATCCGGTATCGTTATATCATTTCGTAGAGATGGGATTTGGGAGAATAGATTGTGTTGTGCTAGATAGCCTGTTTCTTTTGCTTCTCCGTCGTTGGTGGAGCGTAACATGTATTTGGTCATGAAATCTTTGAATGGGACAATCTTTTGTCCCCATCCGGAATCAACATAACTTCTACCTACTTCTATGGGGACTAAGCGTCGACCGCCAATGGTTTTGGATAGTAAGTATGAGGGACTAGACCATGGTTTCTTGTTACGTGCAGGCCATGAATCGATTGATCCAGTTATGATGAGAGGTTCGGCTCCGAGTGTGCAATCCTGCGGTTGATGCATATGCTTTGAGAATTTGTCCATATTTCCGTCATCGTTATCGTTATCGATGTTGATTTCGTTGGAAGTTATTCGAGAGATAGGATTTGACAGAGAAGGCGATGTGATCGAAATTGATGGAAAGCGATCTTGATATGAAGATGTGGATCTTGAGGGAGAATCACTGCACGAAATTTTCTGACGTTTCGTGGGTGATTGTGTGGATCTATTATCGTCTATCATTTCTTCATGAATCTTTTGTAAAAGATCCATCGCACAATCAATTGCCAATCGCAGTATTTCTGATGCTGGAGCTCCGACCATGATCAATGCCATATCCATTGTCTCAACCATTTGGTCGATTACACGATCATCTATGACATCCAAATCTGAATCTTCGTCCTTCTCATCCTGAGATAAGGATTTCCTAGAGGCAAGAGCAGAGAACTTCAGCAAACTTGCCTCGAGAAACAATGCCCTCCAACATTCTGGTACATCCTTGAATGGGAATGCATAAAATTTCTCCTTAGCTAGAGCGAGTAGATCATCAAGCCTTTGGACAGTCAATTTCTGATTACCTGTTTGAGTACGAATCGAGGTACTCAGATGAGCGAGTAATTTCCCAATGGAACGACCACATGGCGCAAGAAGTTTTGGGGTATTATCTGATGATTCTGATGATACTCCAATGGTTGATGGATCCTTTGTCCGAGATGGTGAACAGAAGGTTTGAAGACACCAATCAATCAAAATTTGTTTATTGGAAACCTGCATGTTTTCGGTATCCATCGAGGTTCTACAAAGCTCTTTTGATGGATTATTGTTGTTTGATCTCTGAACCTTTTGGTAGACAAAATATTCGCAATTAGCGGGCTACTAAGCTCCTGCTTGCTTGTTTCATTCTCTCCAATACTTTAAGCGATTCAAAAAGATCTTGTCAATGATGGAAGAAAGGGACGTCACTCCAAACTTCGCCTATTAAATTGTTATTAGTCAAGAATTCATTAATTTGAGACCACTCCGTACTTTAAAGGATGCTTTATTGTGTGGAACTTCGACTCCATATACCCATGCCTTCTACGTCTGAGTTGATTCGTAATTTGATCTGGAAGCTTGTTTGGGAAAAGAGAAGACTTAGAAAGCCAAGAAAGGCACGACATGGTAGAAATAGAAATTATATACCCACAGTGAAAAAGACAGGAAAAAATGGCGTGAATTATGATGAAATATGACCAAGGGGAGAAGACTTCCAGTTGAATGGCAACAGCACCATTCCCGAATTTGCAGTCACTATAGAGACTTGAGAAGGAAAATGGAAAGAAAAGAAGATCCCGTCGTGCCTTCTGAAAGTCTAGAGAACGAGAACACCTTTTTGGTTCTTCAAATGTTTTATCACTAGATTCAATGTACGATAGAAGCTCACCGCGTCGTCGGTATCCTCTCAAAAAGTAACAAGAAATCGCCTGTTCACGTGAGACTGGTGGACACATCTAACGTGATTAGTCATCGCGGAAATCCTCCGGGCGCACCTTGGTACCTCGGAGGTTGTACGATACAGCCTCAAGTGTAACCTAAGCGAAAGGATACTCAATAGCTTTAACACGACGACTCCAAAGGTCTTGAAAATTGCTCACTATTTCCTTGACTAGACCTATTCATCTTATGAAACATACTATTCGATATCGAGAAAAACAGAGCCATCAAATGAGCTACATTATCTAATATATCTCACGAAAGGTATGATAGTTACCCGAGCCGATCGCAAATCCCCCTAATGTAATTCGCTACCGAGCGGCCTACGAAGCTCAACAAGATAAGATACCGGTACCGCCGGTACCTATCTCCAGCACCTACCCAAGTAAATAAGCTTATCACCCCACAAATACCCCTCATTCACGTCCTGTATTGTACACAGTCATCTTCAAAAATGCATGTACGTACGAGTAAGTCTGAAAGAGATCAGACCTCAACCAACCAGCTGGCGTCAATTAACATAGTCGTTACTTCCGCATGATTATCATAGGCTCGGAGATTGTATAAAATAGGGCGTGTGGTTGTACACTTGTTATAAGAGAAGCTCCGGACTTCCCTCTATTACAATTGCCACTTCTGCTGACTATCACATCACTTATAACATAACATTGTCTGGTTCCAATTCTCACACTTTACCCTCAATCCAATATTCAGCAATTCATATTCTCACAATCCCAATTTCAAAATGACTCCCCCTTCAGCAACAACCCCATCCGAACCCCTCAATACCGGCGCCGCTATCCCCACAACCTCTGACTCTACCCTCTCAACCCAAACCCACGAGCCTGGTCTTTCAAAAGAGCAAGCCCAAGCTCGTACCAAAAGTATGAAATTGCCATTACGAACACCGCTAGAAGATAAATATGCAGAGAGGGAATATCAAAAGGGGAGATTGGCATTGGCTTTTAGGATTTTTGCCAAGTTGGGGTATGATGAGGGAGTTGCGGGACATATTACTTTGAGGGTGAGTGGGATTTTTCTCTGTCTTTTGGGCGGGGGAGGATGGATGGATGTTGACGTTTGCGGGTGAGGGGGGTTGGCATATGAATGGAAGTTGTGGATAGGATTTGGATATGGAAATGAAAAAAAATTGAGTACAATATGCTAATGAGAATAGGATCCCGTTGAACCAACTAGTTTTTGGGTCAACCCGTTTGGTGTAGCATGGCCACTTCTCCGAGCATCTGATTTAATCCTCGTCAACAAAGACGGAGACGTAGTTGACGGCGGTCCATGTCGATTATTAAATACAGCTGGTACATAACCCTCTCCCTCCCCTCCTCGAAATTCCACACTAACATCTCCTCCTCAAGCCTATATGATACACCACGCCGTGCACATGGCGCGCCCCGAGATCAACGCGGTAGCCCATTCACATTCTATCTACGGCCGCGCCTTCTGTTCCCTCGGCCGTCCCCTCGAAACTATCACCCAAGATGCCTGTTCTTTCCACAACGATCTCGCACTCTACTCATCTTTCCGCGGAATCGTCCTCGCATCCGAAGAAGGCCACGCTATCGCCTCCGCTCTCGGTAATAAAAAAGCCGCATTACTTCAAAACCACGGTTTACTCACCTGTGGAGAAACAATCGAAAGCGCAGTCTTCTGGTTTATGAGTTTGGAAAAATGTTGCCATGCGCAGTTACTAGCTGATGCGGCAGCAGGGGGAAGGGGAGGAGAAACAATTAAAATCCAGGAGGAAGACGCGGCGTATACTTATAAGACGGTGGGAACCGAGAGAGCGGGCTATTTTAGTGCAAAGCCAGCTTTTGATATGATGGAACATGAAAGTGGTACGGATTATAAGTGGTAGTGTGGGTGTAATGGAGGGAGCTACGGATACCTATTCTTTTTTACTTGAGCATATTTTTATGAACTGGGAATGGTATTATTGCTTTCGCTAGATGTTCTTCTCATGGGGGCGAGCCCCCAAACCTCCATTGCTCGCTTCGCTCGGAGGTCTCTTACTAATTCAAGGCCAGTCGGTCTCCATGACAATGGCTCCCAGAGGGCCAGCGGAGCGTCATTTTAAAGAGTAAGAAAAGTTTCAAACTTTATACTGTTTACAATTCTACATCCATTGCCTGTAGCCACTTATCTATGAACCATCTATACTTCTCCCACCCCCTGAAATCTCAAATTATCTTGGCCAAATCTCAAATCCCAACTCTCAAATCTTAAACCCACCATTCTGCAATCTCCGCCAAGTACCGTCCGGATCATAAGCTTCCTGTACTTTTCTCAACCGCGACAGATTCTCCTCTCCATATCCTGCGAATACATCCTGATTTGCATCTGCGTAGTTGGGGTAAATGTATTTATGCAGGATACCCAATTCTTTAGCGAACAGGGTGAGTTGGGAGATGAGGTTGTGGGTGGATTGCTGCATTAGAGGCGTGTAGGATTCGGAGGCCTGGGAAGACCACCATATATTTATGTTGAATACTGTGCGGGAAGATTAGTTGTTTGGGGGAGGAATGAAGGAAGCAAGATGCCAATTATTGTATGTTGTGAAGGAGGGGAAAAAGGAAGAAAACGAACCAATGAGCGTCCCATCATTTCCAGATAATCCATTTGGACTCTGACTCTCATCTGAATGAACGGAAGGAACTAGCGGTTGTATCACAAAACTCGGGAGAAAACCAGGGACATGTTTTATAGTTTCTACTTGCTCGAAGAAGAGATTGAGGATTTTCTGGGAGAGCTCTGGATGAGGGTAGAGAGTCATGGTTGCCCAGATAGTTCTAGAGTTCAGAGTAAGTTACAATGAACATGGGCTTCGAGGTACCAAAAAAGGAGATTAACTCACCGGTCACCCCAATAATCCATACTCGTCAACTCCTTCGCCAATTCTCCCATACTAGCATTCCGATTCGTGCTGTAGGCCCCCAATTTCCTTACTCCTTCGAACGCCAAAGGATTAGCCACACCATCTGAATTCGTTAGACAAGTAAGTCCAGCGAATAAATCGTATTGGGCGAGGTAGCCGATGGAAGCGTAGAACTGGCTTGAGGTGTCGGAAGTTTGGTTTGTGATAAGGTCTTGGATGGTGTTTAGGAAGGTGGTGGTGGAAGTGCAGTAGGAGAGGAGACAGGCAGTTTTGAGGAAAAGGTTGGTGAGGGGAATGGTTAGAGATTGTAGGGAGAAAGGGAGGGAGGAACGGGGAGGAATAGAGAGAGTATTGCGTTGGGTTGAAATGTCGGAGAAGAGGTAATCTGTTTAGTGTCAGTAGAACCGTGAGATTCTAAGAAGATATAGAAGTATCGGGGAATAACATTGTAGCAAAGAGAACAAGGACAAGAGAAAAAGAAAATTGATATCAAAAGACATAGAATAATATCAAAAAGCACGTTTGTACTCACAATTTTGGCCTCCCCATGCAGGACCCTGCGGATAAGTCTGTAGATCAAATCTCGTGACGATACCAAAGTTATTTCCTCCCCCTCGTAACGCCCAGTACAAATCTGGGTTATCATGAGCGTTTGCATTTGCTATTGTTCCATTGGAAAGGACAATCTAAGGAGACATTAGTCTGGTGTTTATCATGATGTAACGAAATAAGCAAACCTCGAAATTTCGAACGTTGTCAGAACCCCATCCATATCTTTGAGATAGGAACGATATTCCACCTTTTATAAAAAAAACTTAGCATCTCATCTCCAGTATCAAATTTACTCTATTTCTACTTCACTTACCACCCAAAAGGAATCCTCCCACTCCCACCGTCGAATCCCTTCCCCCAACGACCATCAATCCCCTCGGCTCCACTACCTCATAAACTTCCCCCCATCTGCAACCCGTTCCTACCTTTACAATCTTCTCATCCTCCGAAATTTCAATCTCCTTCATCTTCACCAAATCAATAGTAATACCGCCCTCCACATTAGAAAATCCCTGATTCATGTTGTGTCCCCCACTTTTAATAGCAAAATGACAGTCAGACTCTCGGATGATTTTCATAGCGGATGATACTTCAGAAGGAGAATGAGGCCGTATCATACAGGCTGGCGTAACGGATGCTTGTTGGAAAGAGTAGTAGGTGGATGTGAAGTCTGGGGGAATGGATCCATAGTAGGTTTCCTGAAGGGTTTGTTGGAGAGCTATGCACTACCGAGTTCCGTGTTAGTTAGGAGGGATATTATAAATTTGGACGATGTGAGGGCTCATTGTATTACCGTTTGATGGCAGCTATCGTCCTCGAGAGAATCTCCATACGTAATTGGCTGTTGTTCACTCAAATCAGGCGAAGACGCGATAACGAAGGTAAAGGCATAGCTTAACAAAAAACATAGTAAAGGGGAAAACATCATTCTCGCCTCGCAATAGACGTTGATGATGAATTTTGATTGTGATAATTTCTACCTCATTTTCTTATTACAACTTGTAAACCTTTTAATATATTATTAATTTTCGTTACAACATTTCTGTTACAGTATCTCCCGGGGTCATCTCCACTCGGAAATGATATACAGAGGATCTGACCAACTGTTGTCTTTTGTCATCGGCTACTTGCATTCACTTCAGTCCAAATTGACCGACTTATCATTATGGATAATGTTGTGATGATGATTGCAGCTGAATGGATCAAATGAATGTCAGTAAATGCATACAACAGCTTGTCTCATGAGTCGGTGAATCTGTGCATCTGTAATCAGTGCATTAGGAATCTCCACCGTTATACCACCCTAGGTAGTTATGACGATGAATCTTGATATCAAGGGTCTAAGGTTCAACGGTCAACCCCAGATTTTTAAGACATTTTCACCACAATTCACTTCCCCAACGACAACATACATCTCTCCACATTTTGTATCCCAGCCCAGATATACGATAAACACCTCTTCATGTAATAGATTGATATCTTGACTTCAATACAATTAATGATCCAGATCCTGAGCTTGATCCGTTGAAGTCGTGTTGAATAGAAAAAATGTTCAATGAGGGGCTTTGGATAAGATAAGAGCCAACAAATCCAAGGAACTCGAAGGATTCCAAGAATGGCGAAGGAATTGATGATCTCATGGGAATTTTGTGGATGCTAAGGTTGTCTATGGTATGGCTATGGGTTGAGATGAGGGGCTTGACAGGTCTGACAAGACCCTTTCGACAAGACCCTTTATCTTCTCTTCTTTTTTCTTTTTATATTTATTTACATTCACACATTCACATCTATCTGTATGCGCGAAAAACAACATCAGTAACTTCTTATCGAATGCTGTCTGCAAGAACACATACCATCTACAACTCTACGAATATGTGCATAGAACACGATCTTTTATGATACCTTTGACCATCAGCAATATACGCAAATACCGATAAATACTTTCCCAATTATGACGAATCTCGAACCATCTCATTCGGCTCCTACAAGTTCAATCAAACTTACTCAACGACATGATCGATCGACTTTGAGTGTTGTGGCACAGAAAGCAATCAAGACCTTCTCCGAAACAATCCTCAAAACACATCCTCCCTTTCCATCCGGATCTCCTCAATTAACCCCTCACCATTCCGTCAAGAAATATTGTCGAATCACCGAACATCATATCGCAGATACATATATCTACACCTTCTCATCCCTCTCCACCCCGCCACCGTCTCCATCCACCGAGCAAAAACCCCCCGTGGTTCTCGATAAATTATATTATTTCGCAGGTGGAGGATTCAGAAGTGGCGCTCTGAAAGAACATTGGACTCTCTGCGCTGAACTATCCAAGAAGCTTCCCGAATACGAAATTAACATTGTTAGTTATCCTTTGGCGCCCAGCTCCCCAGCTGCCCAATCATTGCCGCTTTTGAGGAAATTCTATGATGCTCTGGCGGAACAGGCAAAGAGGGAGGGATATAGAATTACATTGATGGGAGATTCGGCGGGGGGAAATATTGCGTTGGTTCTGGGACTTTATGGAGCGACTTGTTGGTTACGGGATGCTGGGTTAGAAGGAGCTGGGAATGTGTGTCCATTAAGAAATATAATGGTCATGTCACCACCCACCGACATGCGAAACACAAATCCGGGAATCGACGCAATAGATTCTCACGATCCCATCCTTTCGCGAGCCATCATCACCGAGGTAGCAGAAAGATGGCGTCAGGATATACCAGCAGAGGATCCAACGGTTTCGCCTCTTCTGGCCGATTTAAGCGTGTTTAAAAAGGCAGATGTACAAGTAGATGGAGTGGTAGGTTTATATGATTGTTTGGCTCCCGACTCAGTGGAGTTTAGAAAGAAATTAGAGACGGAAGGAGTAAGAGGAGAGTGGTTGGAATGGGATAAGCAGATGCATTGTTTTCCGTTGACATTTTCATATAAGATATCCGAGGGAGTGTTTGGGAAGGATTGGATTATCGATGTTTTGAGGCGCAATTTGGAGCAATCGATAGAGAAATAGATTAATCTTAATCTTGTGTTGAATATAGTACTGTGTACGACCTAGCTTTGAATCTACCCGGAGATGTGTAAGGCTATGGGCGTATGAAGGAAAGAGGTTAAAGCAAGTGCTCCTCTTTGAAAGTATATTGAGCTATGCGTTTTTTTTTGCTGGGCTAGCACCCAAAATTGTACGAGTTCCATGGTGCGAGTGAGATTCTCATGGCGTACAACTTTCTTTCATTTCCAAAAATTCTTCTATCAATACAATTCCCCGTAAATGTACGATATACAAGCAGAAAAAACATCGGCCAGGTCGAATATTCTTGAAATAGCCTCCTCGTCTTCTATGCTTTACCATTCCCCTCACCATTTTCATCATTGCAAGCGAAAGACCGCTGCACCATTCTCTAATCCACTATTGAGTCACTAACCATCTCTGGCTACTTCAGTTCCTCTAGACTTCATTGCAAAACAGCTTCTTCGTCTTCCTCTCTCACTTCACCCTTTTTGTCTTCCTCAATCCAATTTTTGCCCTCTCATACGATGCCATCTAATTCTGGTTTGATTTCGTTCTTCTAAAATACTCATTCAAATTTTAGAACTCTCCTCTTCCCCCTTTCTCTTATACTCTTCCCATACACTCATCACATCCTTATTAGTTTCTATCTTGCTCTTCCCGTTTTCAATTATTGCATTCCTCTCACCCGTTACGATGCCTGAATATTGGAAAAATGTCAATGACGATAACGATGTTGAAAAAAGAAAATCCACAACATCATCCCATAATTGGAAATCCAATGAGATAAACCAACACATAGACAAACGGAAAGAAAAAAAGAATCAAACATGCGAAGAAGGAGAAAACACACCAGTTTTTTCTATAATCTTGACATGCTCCGAAGCTTCGGAAACCAAAAGTTTTAGTTCGTCAGATACGATTATGTCGTGATAATATGCTGCTTTCCAAGCTGGTTCTGGTGTAGCCTTGGATGTGTCTAAGTTTTGGAATGGTCAATTTCTTCTTCATCTAGGGATGTATACTATATTGGATCGGAACGAGATGGTATCCAATGGTCTCCAAATTGCGTCCGAAGGATGAGGAAATTAGGAAAGATGAAAGAGGCATGTTGAATATAGCAAGTGAGAAGTGAGAAGTGAGAAAAGACATACCAGGTGGACCAATGAACTCAAAGCATCCATCCGATTCTCCAGCTTCGATTTCTTTCTGTAGTACAGCGATGGGATTGTTGGGATTAGAATCTGGAGGCGCGGATGATGACATTGACAGAGGGCCGTGAATCTGCAGGTAGAAGGATCTTGATTAGAATACATAGAAAAAGGAAGAATAGATTTCTTTTGAGGTCCAGCTCTTAATTGAGAGATTTGCAGATCTAGTTCTTGGATTTCATAAATTACATCTCACAGGAGGATGGGATGATAGATGTAAGTTCCGGGAATCAAGCATTTACAGAGGGCATGGCGAGATAGTAGTAGAGAAACTTCACATACCTGTACATAGCTCTCCACGCACGCATCCAGAAAATAAGGCAAAACAACTTGTGCGTGTTCTGTCACCCAGTGCTTTGAGAATGCTTCTTTTGACATTGCGGGGTTGCGTTTTAGGGGGGCGAGGAAAGATCGTGGCTTTGGTTTAGAGTTGGGAGAAGGGGAAAACATTGTGATTTTGGGATGGTTGAATGGATGATTGGATGATTGGATGGATGTTATGAAGAGAGCGAGAAGATAGCGATAAACAGCTTTGAATTATTATACAGATGGAACTCAAATGATTATATACGAAATTGAGCATCGAACGGATGCACTCGGATAACAACCCGAACCATTGGTGGACATCCGAGAGACACTGTAAAATCGAACCAAGTATCTAGCATACCTTACGTGTACCTACATCTAAGGAAAATGATGTAATATAACTAGACTTGATTATAAATCAATTACTTGAGATTGATTACAGATCCTGGGCACCTTTCCTAATATGTAGCTTTGAGCTTTTTTCAATCGTCAATGGTATGTGTCGAGTTTAACACGATTCGATATAAGGATATTCATGGAGATCTGCAATCCGAGTCTCTGAGAGATGAGGAAACCTTGGAATGATCCATGTCCTGGATATTCTAGATATTTGACGGATTTTTCGGTGTTTGTTCTGCTATATGTTTGCTTGTAAGGTAGGGTAAATACTCTGAGGGAAAAGGATGGCCCAAATGGGATACAGATACTCAATACTGGTTGTATTGATACAATGGTAAAATGGTAAAGGATTCAAGAGAGAATGTTGACGAATAGCACTAAGCAAATTGGAATTAACCATCCTTATATCCTCGAAGAATCAAAAATGTAGTACGTATGCACATGGTTTACTAGGTGTATAGTGCATTGTAATGAATAAGTAAGTTGTGTGCTGACTTCTCGACACCCGGAACGCATTGTAGACTCGCAGTTGGTCTCAGCACTGCAAATTATGTGGAAGTGAATTGAAGAGCACGTTTTGGGGTAGAGATAATGAGTTTAGGAGGGTGATTGAAGATGTGATTCGAACATAGTGGATCATAAATAGTAAATGATTTCTTTTCTGAAATAAACTTTGGTTGGGAAGTGTGGATGTTGTATATGTGGTTATGGGATGAGATGGAAACGATAGCATTATGCGGATATGAGTTGTCACTCGTGATACTAAAAAGAAGTTGTTTAAGACGAGATACAATGGACTAAAGTATCAACTCAGCTCCGGTGGCAGTGAAAACGTATGAGAAATTGTATTTGTATTATCAGAAGCCATAGGTTACATAATAGACCATACCATGAATGGCAGACCAAATAACTAACCTATCTGATCTATAATGGTGAAAATGAAGTTGTTAAAGTAAAATGGCATGCTCCAAGGTAAAACCATACCAGCCATCCTTACCAGCTCCACGATCTAGAGAAACTTTTCATCCCCATTGCCAACAACCATGGCAAGAACCACTTTTCATAAGAGGAGAAACTTTTGAACCAAAAGATCAGAGAAAGAAACTCATCCCTTAATACATCTTGTCAAGTCCCTCCATCTTACCATCAGCACGCCAATCCTCCAACAAATTTCCCCACGCACTAGCACCCTGTCCGTAAACAGCAGTTTGTCCACTAACCTCTGGATGTTTGCCAACCATTCCTTCACCATTGAAATAACCTGGTGTGCATTGAGTGAAATATTGCAACATAGGTGCACTTCCCTGCAAGATATCGTTGACCCATTGACCCTCGGCTTCCTTACTAGCTTCAACAGCCTTGATATCCTTCTTCTTGCATTCGGAGATGATATAGGCGGTATGCATTGACTGATTAGTGAGTGTATACATGAAGTTTGCAGAAACACCAGATTGGGTTGTGCCGAAGAAGAAATAGTTTGGGAAGCCGTGGGTTTGGAATCCATGGAAGGTGGAAGGACCCTTCTTCCACTTGTCATCGAGGATGAGACCATCGCGTCCGGTGACAGTGATACCTGAGCGGCGTTGATAAGCGGTTGTAACCTCGAAACCGGTAGAATAGATGAGAACGTCAACAGGATATTCGACACCGTCTACGATAACACCAGCTTGGGAGACACGGTCAACGCCCTTTCCATTTGTATCGACGAGTTGAACATTCTCGCGGTTGAAGAGAGAGAGGTATTCATCGTGAAAGCAAGGACGCTTGCACATGGATGAATACCATGGCTTAAGCTTCTCGGCAGTCTCCTTATCCTCAACTAGTTCATCGACACGAGCTCGAATACGCTCCATGAGTTGGAAGTCTGCCATCATCATCATCTGACCCAATTTAGCTTGACCGGTACAAGCATCTGCCTTGCCCAAAATAGACGTAGCAGGGTTGAGAGTCCAACCATCGTTAACAAGATCTTCCTTTTGACGACAATTGGAGATCCGATCATTGAAGTTCTCCATCCGATCTTGTTGCCATCCAGGCTTGAGACTTTGACAGAAGTTTGGTGGAGTAGGCTTGTTATTTCGAACATTGATTGTGGATGGTGTTCTCTGAAAGACGTAGACGTGCTTTGAGGCTTTAGCGAGATGAGGAAGCATTTGGACTGCAGTTGCACCAGTGCCAATGACACCAACACGCTTATCAGCCAACTTGCTAAGATTGCCGTTGACATCACCGCCAGTAACGCCATAATCCCATCTAGATGTATGAAAAGATTTTCCTGCAAAGAGCTCCATGCCTTCAAGGCCTGGAAGCTTGATCTTGTGGAGGATACCTGTAGCAGTAATAGCGAACTTGGAAGTGAAATGATCGCCACGGTTGGTCTCGGTCTTCCAGGAAAGAATGTCCTCATCCCAAGTCATTGATTTTGCTTCGGTTTGAAAAATTGTCTTTTCCTTAAGATTGTAACGTGTGACGAGCATCTCAATGTGCTTATGGATTTCGGTAGTGCGAGCATACTTCTCAGTTGGAACGTAACCAAGCTCTTCGAGCAAAGGAAGGTAAATGTAGGATTCAATGTCACATTGAGCACCTGCAAATTGACAATTAGTAAACATCAACAAGTTATGGAGGTGAGGTAATTGAAATGTTAGTTCATGCGGATAAAACGAACCTGGATACTGGTTCCAATACCAAGTTCCACCATAACCGCCACCCTTTTCAAGAATGCGGAAATTGGTTACGCCCTTTTGCGAAAGGCGGGCAGCAGCCAACAAACCACCATAACCACCACCAATAATCAGTACCTCAGCAGAATCGATGATTGGTTCACGTGGGACAATCTCGTCAATGAGGGCATCATCTTGGAATCGAGCAAAGTTGCCAGTGGGTTCCTTGTACTGAGTGAGTCCATCCTCACGAATACGCTTCTCTCGCTCGAGAATGTACTTTTGTGCAAGAGCTTGAGGGTCAAATGGGGAGGAAGATTCAGGAAGGACTGCGATAGTTGCAGACATCTTGGAGGATGACAGTACAAACTAAACTTGCAAGAAGAGAAGTGATTGTACTGATTTTGAAGTAGCTTGATACTTTTTTGAGAGAATAGGATTGTATAAAGGTTTGTTTGAGTGCATGAAAAAAAAAGTTCAAGTTGATGATGTAGGTCGAGAGCTGTATTGTTTGTGGGAGGAAAATATTATCCGAAGATAGGACCGAGAGGGACTTTTATATCTAACCAACAAGGACGATGACGATATCGGAGTAAACAAAAGGAACTTTACTCTCGACACACCTTTGTCCAGGCAGCCCTTTTAGCCCATTATGTGTTCATCCGTTCTCAATAAGGTAGCTATCAATGGTGAATGTCATCACAACTCACCTTTGAGATACTTCGACCACGCATTCACTGTTTCACCATAAGAGTAGTCCTTACTATATTCGATTGATTCAGTACTCATAGTGGTTACAGATCGTCTAGTCTTGCGGGGAATTTTGTTGGAAGAACAAAGTTCCATCCAGCGTTTCGTGTATGGATAGCTTCGAATCATCGATTCTAGAATACAACTCAAGGGGTAAGAACGCCACCGACGGGAGGTTTAGACTTTGAGATCTGAGACAGGAATTTAGGAAGAATGTTCCTTCCTCCCGCCGACACTTGTACAAATCAATTCATCTTATATTGGGAATCGAAAGGTTCGTTGGAGTTGAAGAAGATGGTATCACAGGAACGGGCCACAGCATCACTACCGCTCCAATGTCTCATCCCAACCGTGAAAATTTCCCGATGTGAGTGACGAAAGTACAGATGGAAGCATAACTGGAGCTTAAACCCCGCTTGGGATCAGACCATACGCCACTTGTGACAGATACCAAGTGAAAGTAGCCGTTAGATATACCCCACTATGTCAAACGTCAAAGATGTATGCGGACAGGAACAGATGTATATGATCAGGTTGATATTGATATGAGAATAGATAATGGGAATCAATAGAACTTTGTACATGAATTGATCATTAATATGCACCATAATATTATACATGCCTCTATCCGTAAGTACTTCATCCGTCAAGAAGACCAATGGTCCATTCAGTAATCTTCTCAACGCCATGTCCGTTAATCGCACTGATGGGGATGGCCTCTACTTTTCCTTTCCATGGATTATTCTGCCTTGAAGGATGCTCTTCGTTTCCCGCTGCGACTTCCCTCAAGTACGACTTCAACTGTTGAAAGTTGTCCTGAGTACCAGGCAAATCTGCTTTGCTAGCAACGACAAACCAAGGTTTGTTGGAAATTGACGGGAGGTTAGGTGCGAGGGGGTTCTCGAAGGTAGGTCCACTGTTCACCACGATTGTTTCGGATCGATTTGCCACTGCATCTTCGACAGAGGTGAAGGGAGTCCATTCGACAACTGGATTGGCCTTCTCTTTCTCCTCTTCAATCTTCATCCGTTCATATTCCGCAAGCTCTCTCCATAGGCCTTTCAAAGCTTCGACAGCATTGCCTCTCCCAAGATCCACAACAAACGCGAGAACTCGAGCTCGTTCAACATGTCGAAGGAAACTTATACCAAGACCTCGATCCAAATGGGCATCTTCGACCAAGCCAGGAATATCTGCAATGGTAAAATTTGTTCTTGGTTCTCCGGTTTCGTAATGTGATTGAGCCAAAGGTCTTCCCTTATTGTCATCAATAATTACAGTACCAATATTCGGCTCCAATGTGGTGAACTCCCAGTCTCCGACTCTTGTTCGGCTGTTGCTCATAGCTCGTAGTAAAGTGCTCTTTCCAGCGTTAGGAAGTCCCACGAGCCCAACATCGGCGAGAAGTTTAAGTTCGAGCTCCAAGGTAATTCGTAGTCCAGAGTCACCCTTGGTTGCGAATTTTGGTCTTGGTACTTGTTTTGTGACAAAATGTGGGTTTCCCAAACCCCCTACAGCACCTGCGGCCAAGAGCAATGGTCGTTCCATGGGCATGGAAAGATCTAAGGAAATGGGACCCTTCACTTGTGCGGCAGCTAAATTTGACTTCCTTGCCTTTGGTAATGAAGGGAATTCGGCAGTAGAGATCTCTTCAGGTGTAATAGCTGGGTATAGTAACCATCTTTCTCGATCCCATTTATAAGGTCCATCTAAATCATGCCCATCCAATTTGCCTGCCTCCATCTTTATTCTATCCTCCTCAATGGCTGCAGGATCATGTCGATCTAGCTCTCGTACAATAGTACCTACAGGAACTTCAATGATAATATCAGTGCCCCTCTCTCCACCTTTCGTTTTCCCTTGACCATTTTTTCCCCTGCCAGCTTTTAAATTCCTTCTTCTTGCAAGTTTATGTAGACTTGTTTCTCCCCGCACAGCTTGTATATAAATGTTTCCACCGGTACCCCCATCACCTCCGTTCGCAGGTCCCGCAGCTATGTACTTCTCTCGCAGAAAAGAAATACATCCATGTCCACCAGCACCTGCAAAGACATCTATTTTTGCTTTATCCGCAAATATTGTTCGAGAATAATCAGAGGGAGGAGGATTTAGTCGATCGAATTCTTCGGCCGGGGATTCGGCGGCGAGTTCTTCAGATAAGGTACTTTGTCTTCGGACTGCGTTGATGTATATTCGAGGATTGCGGTGGATCAACCTAGATGTCTTCGAAAATAGGAATGGGTACAGAAAAGGTGTCAACGTGCCTTGCACAGTCGAACAACGTGGAGGCATAACGAACGATGTCAATTACTGGGTTGCAGATATATGTATGCAGCTGTGCAAGCTGGAGATCTTTTTTGATATTGTGATGCAAATAATGAAATTTTCGGTCACCGTAACACCAACTTACCGGTAAATATTTCTGACTTCCCGATATCTATTGAAGAAGCGTGAAATGAGTGAATGTTCAGAAAATACATACTGGTACCTACCTAGTAGGTAGGTACTTTAATCTTTGTGCCCCTTTAATTCGATCTCGGTAGTATTCGGACTATTCATATGATTTCGTTTGACATCGTCTGATGATATATATCTTCATATTAACCATTCTTGACGTACGGTACCTCGGAAACATAATATACCTTTAACATACGATACCGGTACGAAGTTCGAACACACGATTGTACAATCTAAGAATTTAAGCTTCGTCTTTCCTCTTATCCCCCACCTTCGATTTCCCCTCTCTCGACGCAATTCTGCGGTTCTGCGAACAAGCGGTGAGTGCTCTGTCTGTAGAGTGTACCTATGTACTTCGTAGATGTGACTTCCAGCAGCCCTCCATCTTTTTACCAACCACCCAATTTTTGATCTGCGCCCAAAAGCCTTAGTTGTGAGGGAAGGAATGAAAAAGACTTGGGTTGCATGTATGCAGCCAAATCATATAGTCATCTTCTATTGGCTATGCTACGAATTCAAGATAGCCTCATAATCTTTCTGGTCCAGAACCTCCGAAGTCCCAAAGCAAAACAACAGTATCAAATTACTATCAATACTCACTTTAATGCTTACCTTATCTAGCTACATTCATTCAGGTTCTTCCTTTCCTGTCCACGGGTACCCATTTTCGAGGCATTATCTTTTATCTATATACAAAGGAGTTGTAGTTGATGACATTGGCAATCGGATATCTCGTCATGATTCATGACCAACAACCCATGCATTTCGCCTCTGGTTCTCTAACCACGAGATGCAAGTCACCTCAAAGCATTCGAGCCACGACAACTTGCACACTCCGCTGAAATGTTAACACTTGGAACACTTACTGACCTACGGATATGCTTATTCGAAGGACACTTACTATATATGATCCAACCTACTACTAATCAGGATGATTTACCTTACATTCTTTTCCCGGAGTTGGTATGGGGTTGGTATGTAATCAAGCAAATGTAGTCAAATCATCAAATCAATGCCTTACTTGATCTTGGGTTTTGAAGGGTTGAAGGTATCCTCGCGCCTGAGTCGCCTCTCGCGTATGATCCACATATGCCACTCTGCGTTGGTAGTTTCTGGGGGCGTCGATTGTGTGAAGTGGTACAAGTTAATCTTTTTCCAGGTAGATGGTAGGTGATCAGGTAGTAAAAGGGCAAACGGTGATTTTTTGTGCAAGTGGTGATATGTGGAATAAGTGGCATTATGTTTGTTATACTCGGTATGTCGTAGACCTAAATCAGTATCAGGTATACATACGGTTTCATACGAAGGAATCAGGTAGCTAGATAGCAAACTAGTTCTCTTTTTCATATCTTTCTTCATGGTCTTCATGCACCTCACGATTCTCACCCAAAATGTTCCCCACCCAAAAAAATCGAAACCACACGCACGACCACAACCATCAACCGACACGCCGAACTTGCAGACAAGCTTGCACATCACTCTAATAACGACATCTCGCTTTTTTCCCTTTCCCTTTCTCATTCTCCTCCTGCTCCTCCGTTTCCGTTTCCTCTTCCTCACTCGCCCTTCCCGTTTAGCATCTTTTTGTTGTCAAATCTCGGTAAAGTCTCTCGTCGTCTGAATTCTGAATTCTAAAAAGAACTCCCGTTCTCTCATGCCAACTACCCGTCTCTTCCTGTCCCATCATATCTAATCAAAACCACCTTTCCTATCTCCCGTCCGTCACTCAGTACATACATACATACCACATACCTTACCCTTCCCCCGTCCGTACACATCTACTACCTGATCTTACGATTTCACGATAGCAGAAGTGTTAAGCGTGGGGATTCTCTTTTTGTTTTGGTTTCCTTAACACCTCATATCTTTACTATTCTAATCTTTTCATTTTGAATGGTGCAGAAATTTGCGTAGCGTGATCTTTCTACCGTGGAAATCTGCAGTTCCGGAGCCAGCAAGCAAGCATAGCATAATATAGTATCGTTTCAGATCGTACACTACGATCCGGACTCGCTGCATCAAATTGAAGAGGGGAGCTTTAGAGGGGAATACACTTACAAAGGTTAGTTTAACTTTGAGATCACTTCAATTGATTCGAATATCATTTTCCCTACATTTACCCCACACGAACTGCACTGCAAAGCAAGCCAGCGAGCCAGAGGATACGATATTTGGATAGGTATCCCCATTCCCCCAAGATCTCGACTTCCGTCTTGTCAGTCAAGCGACCTATACCTATTACAATACCTACATACATATACACATACATACAGTAGGATACAACACTGTTCGTCCCCATATTCTCAACCCATCATATAGCATGGGATCATCTTCCCCCCTCCATCCTTTCAATTGCCTCCCATTTCTCTGATACCAAACATCTACTCTTCTTTCTTTCCTCATCCCTACACATATACCCTCTTCTCTTTGAGCCTCAATCCCCCCTCACTCTTCTGTCTCTCTCACTTATCTTCACTTGAACATTGGTTCCTTTATTTGTCTACTGTCCCTCACCCAAACCAGATGATACCCCTTCATAATGTTAATCAAGAACGCCAGAAACAACAAAAACCTCAAGATCATGGATCCCGATTGCGCCATATGTTCTCAGCCAGCTATCGCAAAATGCGAGTGCGAAGCGAATGGCCTTACCGTCGCTGTGAGGCAGGCTGAACAGAGAATGATGACTAGTGTTTACAACGATATAAGGTACCGTCTCTTGTCTCCTCTACCTCTCGTTCACCATCTCACACCCCTCTGGTTCATGCCCTACATCATTGTCATCTCACAACATCCATATGGATCAATTGTTCACCTCCAGTTCACCCATTAACTCATCCTCCAAATAGAACATGGGTCCGCGGCCACGCACAAGATTACATCCTCTCCTACTTCAGTGTCCTCACCACTCGCCGTAAAGACGAACATGCCGCCCAAATTCACCGCATAACCGAACGAGCAGCCTACTACTACAACGCACGTCCGCACCCATCTGAAATTGCAGCAGCCGATTCAGAACTCAAACGCGGCATTGACGAAGATTGGCGCGCAAGCGTACAACGCTACCCGGAAGTCCTCGAGTATTTCTTCAGTTTAGTTGAATTAACTTTACCCAGCGATGAAGAACCTGGTGTTCGTGACCCACCTTTATCAGCATTGGGTGGTGGTGGTGGAAGGAAAGTCAGATTAAGTGAGCCTGGTCCACCAAGAGGGTCAACGCCTGCTGTATCGGATGGAGGAGAAGAAAGGGAGAGAGATAGGAGGAGAGAACAGAGGAGGATTGGCACGCCAGCTAATGACAGAGAAAGACATGTCGAGAGACAGAGAAGAGATAGTATGAGGGCTGAAGGAAGAAATAGACCGATGACTGCACCGCCGCCACCAGGAGGTCCACATATGGCGCCTGCACATAATCCACATAGAAACTCGAGGGCTGCTCCACAATATGCTCCTACGCCAGGATATGCATATGTTGCCCCTTATTGAGATTGATGATGATGATGATGATTAGTTTTCAAAGGGAGGAGAAAACAAAATTGAAGAAAGAACAGATGACTTCAGCTGTGCGTGTATGATTATTACAATTCCATGGGTAGGGATTAATGATACCAGGCACAGCTGAAGTTATCGAGGCCAAAAGTCAGGCCTAGCTAGCATAGCCACTCTGGCATCATCTCCTGGTTTCAAGCGGATGATCATCATGGATTCCTGGATTTTAGTCGAAAGTTTATCTCGACGTCTTATTATCCTCAGGTTATCAAGTCTACTTATCTCATTTGTACATACCATCTCACGATTTCGGAATATACTCTGTTGGATATCACATTACACCTCAATACAATTATATCATTTTATCTCATCACCCATCAGACCATACATCTCATCTCAACTCATCTCATCACGATTTCACACTTCTCACAATCATTACGACTACAACATAACATGACACGACACGTCTCTACGAACCTTTCATGAAATTTACGACGCAAAGATCGGTACGGGTCTGGCTTTTCTGCTTTGGTGCATTCATTTCTATCTAGTTGCAGCAAATTATCTATCTATCTCCTTCTAGGCAAGGCATTATATCTTATCTATCTATCCAGCATATTAGCGTCAGTCATGGTTATGTTACCCGTCTGCTTTTGGACCTTGGTGGGATAAGGTGGATCTTTGTCGGTTTTTTGGTGGTTTGCATTTCATATGCATTTCGTATTGGCTTGATGGACTGATATTTTTATGGATTCGGGAGGAAGCTTGTGGGATTGGATTAGTTTGTGCATTTGTTCATTCATTCGTACTTGTACATATTATCAATGATGAAAAATTGTCAAAAGTAAATTGTACTGGCTGGCATAATCGGATTCTGGTGCTTGTGCTTGTACTCATGTATCGTCCAATCGCCAAATCACTTCCGAAATCTTCACAGAGAAGAAACACCTCCAGCTCACGCACGAACGCATCACGGAATAACCACGTCACAGATGGCGACTCTTCAATGCTACTCTGATAGGTGACAAATATCAGTATAGTATAGATTAGATACACCATTCTTACCTCTCTATTCTTTCTGCTCCATTCATTTCTACCACCGTTCTCCATTCATCAATGATGGAAGATCTTACTTTCTATCCAAGATCCACTTCTCCGGATCGCCTCCACAGGTTTGTCTATCACTCCGCAGCGCTAATATATATGAAACGGCTTGGGGAACACATCATCATTATTTATTTCTTAGTATTTTTACTTTTCGATAGGTAGGTAGGTAGGTAGGGGGGGAGGGAAGCGTGGGCCCGTGGGGTTCTATGCTGCAAGAAGCAGGAAGCAGGAAGCATGAATGATATTGTAAAGATTGTACTATGCCATCAGGTTTGATTAGCCCATCTCTTCTTTCGGGTTTGTGTCAGAGTGTTTAGGGGTTTGAGATTCTTGTTCAGAGCATCTCTTCAAGCTAACTTGCCTACTGGGTATCTACCTACCTACCTATAAACAATTCTCAAACATGTAAATGAGATGTAAAATCTTACCATACTACCCAGACCAGAGCAGATAAAACACACTGTCAATTTCTCATCTACATAGGTAATATGATTTGATTTCTCCATCCATAGATTTGAAGCTCCTATTCCATTCCATATTCCTTGCCATACTTTGTGGACTAATTGTTCGATAGCCAACATCAAGTTTTCTATAGCAGATGAACTCTTAATTCTTTCATATATTCTCTCTCCCCTCTTTCCTCTCTAATTTCTATTTCTTGTCTATTCTCCCTCCTCACGCACTTCTCACGCACTATTTGAGTCTCGCTCTACGACTCAAGACCCAAAGATATCGCTTCACCCAACTCCCCGAATCGGATCAAGTACTATCAACCACAAGCTTTTCATATTAATCAAGCACACATCTACATCCATATTCACCGCTGTAGCCATATCCGCAGTGATTCCATCTATCCATTCATCCGTTCGCTCCATACTCTTCCATTCCGGATTCCTTCACGGCCCCATCTCCCAATCCCTTCATGCTGTTATGCTTTCAATTTTTCGCTCTTATATAATCATCCAATCATCCAATCATACACACCAAAATAACAAGACAAAACACAATTCTCTCTATCCATCTCACATTCTTCACATCTCCAAGTCTCAATTTTATTCTCATCCTCTTACCCTTTCTCTCCGATCCCCACTTCCTACTCCCCTCCTACTCCCCCCTTCCTCCACCTCCCTTCTTCACCCCTCAACAACATCTTCTGCTCCGTATAAGGTTATTCCATTCTGCAACGAATTTCCAATCCCTGTTTGAATCCAAATTCATCAGGTGACATTTACAGCAAAAGAAGGAAGGAAAGAAGGAAGGAAAGAATGAATGAAACAATGAAAGGAGGTCAAGAGAGAGCAGAATGATAATATTGTATTGTGTAGCACGATATAGTATAGTGTTTGTATATGTATATATTTTATATAACTCCATTCTATTCTATTCCGTTCTCTTCTCTTCTCTTCTATCTCTCGATTCTTTATCAAATCGTCTCGTCTCGTAGAAGTTGATGTTGGAGGTGGAGTATGTAAATATAGAAATACATTTAGATATAAATAAGACATTAAATTGAATGAGAAACAAACAACAAGAAATCAGAGCAAAGAATTATGTAAGCAAGGTAATGAGGAAAAAGATTAAATATTGATGTAACGAATTTTACTTTTGTTTCGTATCAACAACTTCCGTCTATCCTTAACCATCCATCCACTAGTTCATCCACGCATTAGGCCATCAAATTCATTAGATCAGACCTGTGTATGTTTCCTTGCCCCCTCCCAACTATGCACTTCCTCCAACTCCCAACCCCAACCCTCAACCCCTTGCCACCCCTCACACATTTAAGTGCAGTGATATAAGACAATAACTTATTTGTAGGTAATCTAAGAAGTTTCCTCAGCATCCTCCTTAGCGGCGGCAGTTGCATCAGCAGCTGCATCTTTTTCACCCTCCTTGATCAATTCGACTTCGTTAGCTACAGATCCACCCTCATCTGCACCAGCAGTAGCCTTAGTTTCACCATGACCATGTCCATTAGTAGCTGGGGTTTCTGAAGCTGGAGTTGCAGCTCCTGATTCTTCGGCTTCAAGTTTCTCAACTTCCTTTTGGGCTTTCTCGATGTTCTAGTACGCTTGTTAGCTTATTGTCAAGTGTTTAGTGAAAGAAAACTTACGCGCTTAGTTTGAGCAGCTTGGTCCTCCTTCCAGTGAGCCAACTTGGCCTTGACTTTCTCGGTAACAGCTGGAACATCAGCAGCGCTGAAAGGTGGGTCAATTCCCATCTTAGTGAGATCCTCCATAACAGCTGGTGGGCAACTGTATTTTGTTGAAGCAGGGGTAGAAGTAGCTGCAGCATTTCTCTTATTACCCTTCTTTCCCTTCTTGCCTCCAGTTCCCTTCATGAAATCTTCCTCACGGTCTTCCTTCTTCAAGACTCTAGTTCCCTTGAGTCCAGAATCATCAACAGTACGTCCAGCGGCGGCTTCAAGTCCAGAAGGAGCTTGTAAAGGTGCCTTGGTTGTGGTGTAAGTTGGGTCGAGATATCGGAGAACTGATTCGGCGTTTCTAATTTCGTCAAGGTAGGCAGGGTCACTGGCCTCTGCGAGCATCTTCTGAGCGCGTTCCTTCTTTGCCTCAGTTTGTTTTTTCTCCCACTCAAGCTTTGATCTCTCGCGAGCCTTTTGACGTTGGTTGTAATCGTAGTTGCTAGCAGCTCGGACGGCTTGGTAGTGATCATCCTTGATCTGTCTCAAAGCGAGCCATTTCTCTTGTTGCTCAGCTTGGAGTCTATCCTTCTCGGCCTTGAGGGCACCAAAGTTCTTGAAAGCATCATCTTGCTCGGCCTTCAAGATATCCAATTCACCTTGAAGCTTCGAGTATTTCTCGGATAATGCCTTGCTTTCTGGATCGTCGAGGGAGTCTTGGAGATTCTTTCTCTTGGCCTTTAATGCTTCAATTGACTTTTCGGTATCATCGAATCCAGCGAATCCCTTACGTTGCTTGCGAAGGTTGGAGATTTCGGTAAGAGTCTTGCGCTCATCAACGATCTTCATGGTGGCAGCATCAACTTGCTTTTGTAATCTGTCGATTTCTCTGTCCAATTCATCGACATTCTTGAATCCGACCTTTCCCTTGGCAACCTTCTGTTCGTTAACCTTGGCCTTGATTTGTTCATCAATCTTCTTGATTTGATCAAAGACTTGTAAACGGCCAGCCTTTCCAGCACCTTGTTGTTCCTTGATTTCCTTCAATTGACTGATTAAATCATTTCTTCGTTTGGCAGCTGGAGAGTCCTTGTTCTTGTTCTTGTTTGGTTGCGCAACGTCCAATTTTGCTTTTGCGGCAGCCTGCATGAACTCATGTTAGATATTTTGTAATGAACAATGCAATGCAGTATGCCGATGCGCCAAAAGAAACAATGTAGGGTTTTTACTTACAGCCTTTTCTTGACTCTGCTTGTGATCCTTCTCGGCTTGAGCTAACTTTGCCTTGAATGCAGCCTCATCTGGCTTGACTGGTCTGGTTTGAACATCTTTCTTGGCTCCCTCATCGACCTTGGTCGCAGGAGGAGAGGATTTGGTATCAGCCATAATTTTTTTTTTTTTTTGGTGGGATTATGACAAGCTACTGGAAATGGAATGAACAAGTAAATGCTCAATTAACTCGACACCAAAAGAAAAGAAGAATATGTCACTTTGGGGAAAAGGACACAGTTTTATATCTGTACTTAGGTATAGAAAATAAGTATGAATATAAGAAAAAGGTAGAGGTTATTCCGGTAGACAGTTTATAAGTTAGTTTGACAAGGTTAAGGGAAAGATTTATATTAGTAAATTATTCTTTTTTTAAGTTGTGGGATGACAGGTAAGCTTTTAATTGGCTCTCGGGGTTCTATTGGCTGTATTAGCTGTATTGGCTGTATTATTATTGATTGTGCCCGGAGTGTTGAATTAACTTGAATTCAGATTGGGGGAATGATTAGTCAGGAATGAGTATTGACTTCCGAGTCGATTCTGTCCAGGTCCTCCGTAAAAGCATAGGAGCAATTGAGGATAGTACGGTGACCTTGAAGGTCATAGTTGTCTGGTTGTCTGGTTGTCTTTTATTGTCTCATTGATGTCCACTGGTCTTATAGAGCTTGTCTACCAGGCAAGGCTACTCAATTGAGGATCTATACCTACTGGTAAGTAAGTAGTCTAGACCCCCAGTAGTCAAAGGGGGTCTAGTCGAGGAGAACAGATGCCAGAAGAAGAAGAGCCCATTCAGAATTCAACTACCTAGTACTTTAGAGAATCACCCAGAGAAATCACATAACTCATTCCATAAGCAAATATGAATCAACCTGTGTCCAACAAAAGTTGAAAGTTCAGTAGAGACAGTACAGAGACAGTACAGTTACAATACTTTACAATATGGTACAGACCTCGGGATGTCTTTATAGTCTGTATAGCACTCGAACAAGCCACTCAGCCACTCAGCAAGTCGCTTCAACCCAGCCTCATTCAGCCTCAAGCATCATGTGACTTCCCCATACATTTGCAGTTCACGTCTGCTTGAACTTTTTTTGAGCCACTAGCGTCAAAATATTTACAAAGGGCCCTTGACTGAATCTGAACTTCCATCAACAAGTCAATCTACAATCAACTTCCCACAATCCTCTTCTTGTCTCATTCCAGAATCTCTTGTAGGACGAGATTCTTCTTCTTTGCGCGATTATCTTGGGATCTTGCAATTTAATCTTCCTTCCTTCTTCTACCCACTACCTAAATCTTCAAAATGGCTGACGACGAAGATCGCGCGCAAAAGCAACGGGATGGAATTGATAGAGAGGCCGCAAAGCTATGGAGATGTTATAGAACTGTACACGAGATGGTTCAGGATCGGGGTTACCTTCTCGCTGAAGAGGAAGTCAACATGAGCTTTGATACATTCAAGAGCAAGTTCACCAGTAATGATGGAAGTGTTGAGTATGCGCCCTTTTATTTCTCATCTCAGTAAACTTTCTTGACACATACTGGCTTTTCTATCTCCGTCTGGCATGGCATATCTTCTCTAATCTTATGGACTAACAATTCACCTCCTTAGTCGTCGCCAAATGAACTTTTCCGCAACCCCAAGTGAAGCTATGATTGCCAAATACGCAGTTGCGCCCACCGCAGAGAACCCAAACCCAACTACCTCAGAAATTGGTACTATTTGGATTGAGTTTCTCATGGTAACTGATGTTTCCATTGGAATCAAACAAATGCGAACATTCGCCCAGCATCTTTCTCAGCACAACTTCTCGGCTGGAATTCTCATCGCACCTGTTGCACCATCAGGTCCCGCTCAAAAGATTATTCCCGCTGTCGCATCCGAGACCAGAATCGAGACTTTCGTCGAGCAAGATTTACTTGTCAATATTACACATCATGAATTGGTTCCCAAGCATGTATTATTGAGTAGAGAAGAGAGGGCCAAGCTGTTGTCAAGATATAGATTGAAGGATACTCAACTTCCACGTATTCAAGCTGCCGATCCAGTCGCGAAATATTTGGGATTGAGAAGAGGGCAGGTCGTGAAGATTATCAGAAAGTCGGAAACTGCTGGTCGTTATGCCAGTTACAGATTGTGCGTTTAATGGAGCTGGACAGATGATTTGGTGTTAATAACTAGGGAGTTTATTGGGACAATTGCATATTTGGGGAAGGCGTAATAGGACGGAAGAAAGACTGAGGATGAGATTGTCTATTTTGGCTTTCCAGGAGGCAGTACCTTTAGACACGAAATTTGATATCAAATTTCTTGTTCTGTATATTTCTGATAGTTTCAGAGCTTTGCAATAAGATCTATACTACAGTTTTAAGAATTTAGGCTCACTCTCTGACAAGCTTATAAAAAGCTCCTTTCTAGTCATTCCCGAGCTAGCCTAAGGGCTGATTATCAATATCATCTGTGTTATAGGTTATCTGGAGAAGCGGGATACAAACATCCTGAAACCTTCAACCTCATCATCGAGACTTCCCTGCTCCCACTCTCATCTTCTACTCTCCATGATTCACCAGTCTGTAAGTTGTTCACCACTGATTTCCGCTTCAGTCACATACCAAGTGTGTTCCTCACCTCTGTCCAGGTCATGACTCTTCTTAATGCCATGTCAAATTAAATTATCGATCATATATGGACACTAATCTTCTAGTTCACCAGTACCACTTCCCCCTCTCTTCTTTCTTCTTTAGCTCTCTCTGTGGGATGTGATATAGCTTTGAAAAGTGTTGAAAATATGATTTGATAGGAGTATCCATATTTGCTTTGTATTTTGAATGGATTTCTTGTTATGTTGTTCATGTAAGTTTTGCCATGCTGAATGATCTTACCATGGTATAATTGTTATGATGTAGTCTTGATTGTGGACTTTCTTCCTGTTCAGGATGAGATGAAGGGACTGTATGAATTGCTCAGTAATTAGATGAAGTCAAACATGTGAATGTCAGATGAAGAACTCTTTTGAATATGAGTTTGATTGCAAGGGAGCCTCAAATGCCATGGCGAGCATCTATCTATCTACTCACCTTCCAGCTAGGACTCGACTTCTAGCTAGGTAACTAATTATCAACTTTACTACTAAGATCACCAAGGAGTTGATGTGAATAAATATCCATGTATATGATTGGTTTGTCACTAGGGGTGATCTCGGATGTTCGGATTATCAATTGTTCCGCTGACCTTCAGCATTTAATTTTTATCATTATTTGCGACTGAAAGACATAGCTTGATTTTGCGCAAATTCAATATTTTCCATAAATCCATTTTTCAATCAACCCAATTAATTGAAAATGGGTCAACGTGGAAAGGTAAGCTTTCAACTCCCACTTTTCAATTGATACAATCAAAATATCTAATGTTTAACAGGGAGGTCGTGGCGGCAGAGGAGGACGAGGTGGTAGAAATGGTGGAAGATCAAGAGACAATCAAGTCGACACTCGATGCAGCTTTGAGAAAGTTCCAAAATCCAACGAGAAATTCGAGAGATATTATAATGATCTTTTGAATTTGGAAGAGGCAGAGAAAGAAGAGTTCTGGGGAGCGTTGAAGAGAGAATTGCCAAATAGTTTTCGATTTGCGGGGTCAAAAGGGTATGTTAATCAATTATTTGAATATGAATTCATGAAATTGGTATGCTTGACCTGGTACACTTTTCTAACATTTTATAGTCATGCAATAGCGGTTCAAAAACAATTGAAAGAACGATACATTCCCGAAATTTCGGAAATCAAGCAATTCGATGGTAGTCCGGTTGAACCTCCAATGCCAGTTCCATGGTATCCTGATGAACTCGCATGGTCGATGAAGACTTCGAAAACTGTCATCCGAAAATCTCCTCCTTTTGCCAAATTCCAGAAATTCTTGGTTTCAGAAACCAGCGTCGGAAATATCAGTAGACAGGAGATTGTCAGTATGATTCCACCTTTGGTTATGGACTTGAAACCTGGCATGACAGTCTTGGATATGTGTGCTGCACCAGGAAGTAAGGCGGCTCAATTGTTGGAAATGGTACATCATGGAGAGGAAACCAGAGTTCAAGCAGTCTTGAAAGGAGACGGAAGCGCAGACGCAGAATTGGAGCTTGATCCAAGTGATGATGGAAGAGCTACAGGTTTATTGATCGCCAACGATGCCGACTACAAAAGAAGTCACATGTTGATTCATCAACTTAAACGACTTTCATCCCCCAATCTTATCGTCACTAATCATGATGCTACTATGTTTCCATCAATCAAGCTTCCACCTACGCCAGAAAACCCAGCGACCAACCGATACCTCAAATTCGATCGAATTTTGGCCGATGTGCCTTGCTCTGGAGATGGTACAACTAGAAAGAATGTCAATTTGTGGAAGGATTGGAATCCAGGTAATGCACTTGGACTTTATGTTACACAAGTTCGCATTTTGGTTAGAGCTCTTCAAATGCTCAAGGTTGGCGGACGTGTTGTCTACTCTACTTGTAGTATGAATCCTATTGAAAACGAGGCAGTCGTTGCTTCCGCTATTGAAAGATGCGGTGGACCTGAGAAGGTTAAATTGGTATCTAGCGATGATCAATTACCTTTACTCAAGAGAAGACCAGGTTTGAAGACTTGGACCGTCATGGATAAGAAAGGTCGTGTTTGGAAATCCTGGGCTGAATTACAAAAGTTCATTGCAGAAAATGGTCAAGATGACTGGACTGGTAGATTGGTTGAGGGAATGTTTCCACCAACTGATGAATCCATGTCAAGTGTTCCTTTGGATCAATGCATGCGTGTTTACGCGCATTTGCAAGATACTGGTGGTTTCTTCATCACAATTTTGGAGAAACAAGCAGAGTTCAAGGCAAAGCCAGAATCGGAAAACAAAAAAATTGCACCAAAACCTCCCATCACAGCAATTGTTGATGAGATCGAGTCTGCTCCTGCTCCAAAGGATGGTGAGACTGTCGCACCAAAAATTGAGGCAGCTGATGAACTTACTCACCCTACCACATCCACTCTCGACGAACTTACACCTGTAGCACGTCAAAACCAAGAACAACCTGGATCTGACGCAACACACACCGTTGGTTCTAAGCGTCCTGCCTCGGAGATCGAAGACATTGAAATGGATGCCGCTATTGAGAACAAAAAATTAAAGACGGAAGATACCGAAATCCATGCACCCACTGAGGGTCGTACAGAACATTACCCACCACCGCCAGGTGCAGAGCTGGACCTCACAACTCGTCCAGGCGATCAACGAGCCGATGCTCCACCAAAGAAACTTCTCAATAAGTACGGTCAAAATCAAGCATTTGAAGAGGCATTCAAATACATTTCCGGTGACCATTCTCAAGTTCAAGATATTGAATCGTTCTACAAATTGAGTGAGAAGTTCCCAAGAGATAGATTCTTGGTTAGAAATGCAACTGGTGAACCAGCCAAGACCATTTACTACACAACTGCGTTGATTAGAGATATCTTAAGCGAGAATGAAGGCAAGGGAATAAAGTTCATCCATGCTGGTGTCAAGATGTTCATGAAACAAGATGTACAAGGTGAAGGTGTTTGCAGATGGCGTATTCAATCTGAAGGTATGCCAATTCTTCAAGGGTATGTCGGAGAGGGAAGAGTTGTCAATTTGTCTAAGAAAGAGACTCTTCGTACTCTCTTGATTGAGATGTTCCCTAAAGTATCAGGCGATTCGTGGAAGGAACTTGGAGAGATTGGAGAAAGAGTAAGAGATATCGGAATGGGATGTTGTGTTTTGAGAATTGAGCCAGGTGAAGGTGAAGATGCTTTCACCGAGAGAATGGTCCTTCCTTTGTGGAGAAGTATGCATTCGCTTAATTTGATGTTGGCAAAGGAGGATAGAAGTGCTATGTTATTGAGAATTTTCAATGACACCACACCTTTGGTTAATAATTCAGTGGGAGCTCAAAGGGAAGCGGAACTTAAGAAGGAAGGAGAAAACAAGACGGAGGTAGCTCCAGGATTCAAGATTGAGAATGGAGAGATCAAGGTTGATGTTGATGGTGGATTAGAGGGTGCGGCTGCCACAGAAGTAAAGAAAGGAGATCAGAGAGATGGAGATGTACAAATTCGAGAGGGACCTTACGATACCTTGGTTGCGGGTGTAGAGCAAGTAGCTAATAGAGGTGTGGATGTTAAAGCCGAAAAGATTGAGAAGGGTGAAGAGACTGGTGGACCGGAAGTACAAATGGGTGGTATGGGTGGAATCGAAGGACAGGAAGGTGGGGTCGCTTAGCTTTTGAGGGGAAGAATCCAAAATGAGTAGATTGATTTATCGATCGATGGCCGATGGGGTGAGTTTGGGATGGATGTAAAATGGCGTTATTAGTTTCACATGACGTGTTTATTCACGAGCCTGGGAAAAAGGAACTGTTGTGGAATCTTTAAATAGATAAATTGAATTAAATTGCACATAAGAATTTTTTTTGGCATTGGGTAATATCACATCTCTGTGGCAATTTTCCAAACTTCAATGAGGTGTTGGTGGTCTCGACAGCTGGTTTGGTATTCTATGCATATATCGCATTACATTTGGTCGGCAAAGATAGTGGACATTGGACATAGGGAGCGAAGGATTCACGGGTGCCTATCTGTAATTTCATTTGTCTGGGCAGCTGAGCATTATTATTCGTATTAGCATTATGTGGTACGTGGTATGTGGCATGTAGGTATGAAGGTAGCGGGAATTGTGAAATCTGGGGTCGGTAGGATTGTAGGCGGGGGCGGGGGCGGGGGCGTAGGAGTGAGGTTTGAAGATTTTGGGGGCCTTTTTTTTCCAAGTACAGAGAGAGATTAGGTACGCTGATTTAAGTATATAGTTATGTTGCGGATGAGAGGTATGGTGGGTGAGTGTGGTTGGTGAGTAAGTATGGTTGGTAGGGGAGAGGAGGGAGGAGGGCATTGTGTTGAACTTTGAGAATTTGAAAATTTGGATTTTTGGTATGCAGAGGGAGATGGAAATGAAATGAAATGAATCGGATTGGATTGAATTGAAAGTTCTTGTGCATGTGTGTACCTATGATGGACCGGGGAAACTTTATATTGATACGTGAGGTAAGATTATATGTATACATATATAGGTACCTATACATACATATACATACATATATACATACATATACATACATATATACATACATATACATACATATATACATACATATATACATACATATATACATACATATATACATACATATATACATACATATATACATACATATATACATACATATATACATACATATATACATACATATATACATACTGATAAAGCTACTACTACCTACCCACCTTCGAAACAAGACAAATACCTATTCATAGCTACCTTCAAAGCTGGGCTACGCCATCCGTTGTGGAGATTTCGAGGAGTAACTTACTAGGTAGGATTTTGTGTGCGATATAACGATGGCGTACCGCGTGTACGAGGCTGAATGTTTTTGGCATCCTTTGAGGAGGGGGAGGGGATGTTCTGAGATATTAGGAGATTGAGTGGGTGCTTGATGGCGAGGGTGTGGATGCGGATGAGGATATATAGTTCTTTGTGATTGTTTATCATGAGGTGAGTAGGGAAGATTTTGTTCAATATACTTTTTTTCTCATTCATTCATTCATTCATTCATCCATTTTTTAGTTCTAATCTTACCTACTCTCGAGTCTCTAGAGCAAAATCTCTTAAAAATGCTCTCTCAACTCCAACTCAAGCCTCTCATCACATTCCTCTATTTTTCTTCTTCCGTCCTGGCCATTCCCGTTCTGGAGGAAAAAGGCACATCTTGCACTGCACCTGTACATGTACCTTCTCTTTCCCTCTCGCGACCTCTCCCATACACACCCGAAATACCACCCACCCCACCCACCTCAAACACCCACACAAATACCATCTTCCCATTCATCCCCAACGCTCAACTAACCCCCCCTAGGAAGGCACCGGAACCTGTCAACCCACCTCAACCTGCACCAGCAACGGCTTCCACATCTCCGGCTACTGTCCCGGCCCCACCTCCACACAATGCTGCATCTCCAAAACATGTCAGCCCTCTACGGGCGCAGGAGGTCTCTGTCTCAATACCGCTGGTGGTTGTGATGGCGGATCATTCATCGCGGGTTTCTGTCCCGGAAATAGCGCGGTACAATGTTGTGTGAAGAAGAGCGATACGAGCGATAAAAAAGATGCGGAGAAGGGGAGTGCGAGTGGGAAAGATGTGGTGCAGGCGGCGGTTGCAAAGGAGGGGGTGAAGTATGTTTTTGGTGGGGGTGGATGTAAAGGGGAATCAAATGGAGGATTTGATTGTTCGGGTATGTGGATTCTCAAGTTGTTTTTGTGTAGATATGTGAGGGATGAACTAACGATTTGGGATAGGACTAACACAATACGCGATCTGCAAAGCAGAAGGATATACCATTCGTACGCCCTCCCTTGCTGCCTAGTCCCCCTCTCCTGAACTAACACTCTACCTCCAGCTCGCACAGCCCAACTCCAATACCACTCTTCCCTCGGAAAACGCATTCCCCGCGCCCAAGCCAAAGCAGGCGATTTTATCTTCTGGGGCACCAATGGTGATTGTATGAATAAAGTTCATCATGTGGGTATCTTTATGCGGAGTAATTGGATGGTCAACGCGCCGCATACTGGAAGTGTGGTGAGAGAAAGTACGTTTGAGGGGAGTAGTGAGTTGTGTGATTATGCAGTGAGGTTTTGGAAGGATTAGATGAAGTTTTGGGGGAGGGCAAGATCTCGTCCCTGGGGGCTGATTTGTTGAATGGTGTATGTGTCAGTGTGAGTAAGTGTAGTTTGTGATGGTTTGTGGTGGTTTGTACGGATGAAAGATGTAATCTTTCTTTTATTTAGATACGCTCCTTTCTGCATTTGAATTCTTCACTTGTGCCTTTTCCTCTTCACAAAATTTGAATGGAAATGATCTTCAATGGCCAAGTCAGTGATAGAATCCGTGCCATCTACAGCATTTTCAACAGTCGAATTTTCAAAGGCACTACTTCTTTCTGTCATTCCTTTGCCATATAATGCATACACATCGTGATTTTCATAGTCTATCCATCTAAACAACATATGCATATAGTATTGAAGATGAAAGTTAACAATCAAATCCCAACCATCATATGAACACCACTCAACAGCATAGATTCAAGCATTCAACCTCCATATAAAAAACATATAAGTAACTGAACAATGCATCTCCAATCTTCATCCAATCCCCGTGCAACATCAATCTTAAAGCACAAAAATGTCCAACATAAGATTACTTTGCAACCACAAATGGCTAACAATGCGATACACGAAGGACAATCATACAAATTTCGAACCGGTAAAATCATCTGACGGTGCACATTGATGCGGATATCAAATCCCACGTCTTGAACAGCTCTTTGATAAATACGAAGTGCCTCCTCCCACTCCCGCCCACTTTGGTAGGATTTGAGGCTGAAACGCAGATACATTTGACAGTTTGAAAATATCTACAACCCAAAACAAGCGTTTTCAAGCTCAGAAATGACATACTAATGTAGTGTAGATCCGATAAACATATAAGCACTATCGGCATCTGATAGATCATCACTTTGCAAAATCTCGGCACTAGCTTGTGGTGATTGGATACTGTAACGTCTCCGATATGTACCTAGGTAGTGAGAATGAGTTTGATATTCCCGTTCTGAGTTGCGTAACTAGTATATCTCATTGCATAGTTTATCCACGGGATAACGTGGCTCACTCGATTTGAATATACATTCAAAAACTTATGTTACAAGCGATGAATTTCTTAGATCTTTTTTCCATGTCAAGCTGAAAGCAAAAGCGATATGAAAAGATCAAGGAAGTACAGTAGTAAACCCGAGACTACCTCGATATAAACATGCCTTCTCACTTTGCATATCCGCCTCATTAGTTGAACTGTTGTAGACTGGTCTATAGTTTCATTTGTGCTCTTGGACTGATCACTGGAATAAAGAATGAGACAGCGAATAGCGATGCACCCATAGTACAGAAAACGAGTTCAACAATGTTGCACAATATAGGCTAAGCCAGATGCGATGGCATTGATACATCTCATCTACTAATAGGCGACCTTCTAAGAATTTTTAACTCCCACGAGTGATAGATAGGGCTGAAAGAACAGAGAAGCAAGAGAAAAGTATTAAGATGAAAAGATTGGGACAGAATGAAATACACACCTGTATCATCAGCCACGTACCTTTCGCATTCGCTTATGAAGACCACAGAACTCAAAAACAGCGTCAATCTCGACAAAGTATCAGCGATATGAAGTATGGCCGAGCAAATGTAATGGGGAGTTTTTAGCAATACACTCAGAAATGAGATTGATTAACAATTGGAGCTTGCCACATACATCATGCCTTCACTATTTGCCCACAAAACACACAACCAAAGTGGCTCTCGGAAACGAAAGGATAAATGACGAAAGAATAGATGCGATGTGTTACGAGGCAGTTTCTAAAAATTGTACAGTTTTGATAAATTCGTGCCCCCCACGGCCGAGGGTTGGTGGGTCAGAGAAAGATAGGAACTATTGAGATTAAACTTAAATAGAGGTATGGGGTGTAGCTGGAATATCGAGGCGAAATCTTCTATAAGGCGAAGACCTTACACCGGTCACTCTCCTGCGTATTAGCCCTGTATGGGGCATACGATCAAAAGCCCACCCCAACGGCGAATAATCATTGGCGCTCGAAGAGTAATCTGGAGATAATTTATAGTGCTTATTATATTTTTCCCGTCCCTCTTCCCACATTTGCTGGTAAAAGGCTTTCTCGTCGTATAGCGCAGGATCCTCAATATCAAGACCAAATGTGTTGATCCCAGTCTTCTGGACAAAATCTTTCCACATGTATGGACCACTGCTAACCCATGGATCTGGGGTGAAGCCAATAGTATCAGCGATGTGCATAAAATCTTCCTTTATGATGCGTCTACCCCAACCATTAAGACAGGATGAAGGCCACCAATGTGATGGGTGCCATTTGGTTTCCGTTAAAAAATGTTGCAAAGGAAGAGTGAGCATGGAGTTTGTTGCAATAAATTGCCGTATGGAATTCGATGAATTTGAACAAGGGGTTTTGTATAGCCGTACGATTTTTACATTGTGCTCGAGTCGTGGAGGTAAGTCGTGGTTGCCCCTCTGTTGTATCTCGAAGTGTGTAGTATCAAACCAGTCCAACCCAAGATATCGACACTCATCTTGATGCTGAGAGTAGGATCTAATTATTGCCACGATGACTGAAGCTTCGTTAACACCTTTTATATCAACTGCCAACACTACGACAGGATGGCCAGCCATGCCAATCTTGCCATCTTTTTCGAGTTTTGCGCGGGCCGCTGGGTCCAGCTTTTGTGCACCGGGCAGAAACAGAATGCAGCCAGGCGCAATGTCCCAAAGCGGCACAGGAGTACTTAGTTGATGCAAAGGTTGAAACTTTTTGGGGTCATAGTATGGACTGAATATTTTGTTCCATACTTTCGATTTCTGCCATGCGCTTATGGGAACGTGGGTTGTATTTGTAGACGTAAGATTCGATTCTTTATCTTTCCTCAAGTTCCTCAAAGAATATTCAGATATCCCTGGGGCCACCGCATCTCTGCCAGTAGAATACGGCGATCTCGGCACATATTGAAAAGCGTTTCTGGAGTCTCTCAGGATAAACGGTACACCATGGCCAATGTTTGTATTCGGGGCTCTTCTTCGAATGAAGGACCTTCGAACAAGAGGTCGGGTCATTGGCGAGCCTTAAATACGGTTATGATAGGTTCAACGAATGTGTATATTAGGAGGATATATACGTTGCGCATAAAACTCGTTCAGATTTCAAGGATGGAATCGCATAGGACGAACTTGTTTAAAAACATGGTCAAGGTTTGGCCTAGAGAGGGTTCGGTATAAGGACATATGTTACAGGAGGAAACATTATGAGGTTTGAGGAGCTTACCAGAGAATTGGAAAGTCACTGCGACCGAGGGAGGTTCATGGGAGTGTCGTTGATGGTTTCGAAGGGAGTGAGAGTGAAGACGAATAAATAAATTAGATGATTTGTAATCAATCTGAAGTTCAATGATATGATAAGCGTGATTACTATCAACGATATGATATTTCCTATGCGATAGTAGGTATGCATAAGATATATAAGATAATTACAAGGCGACAACGACCATTCGTTCTCATTATACTGCTGTGATATTTGAATATTGAGCGAGTGATGTATGTGATGCGAATTCTATTCACTTATCAAAATCCAGAAAACGTTTGAACAAATCTAGGTTTGATCGCCTTAATAAGTTCAATTGTATGGTATCTCAAGTCTATAAATTCTTTTCCTTCCAGCCAGAATTAAAGAAATCTATCCCTGCCAACGTTGTATTGGCAAAGTACCTCCCTGATTCCTATTCTCTTTCCTCGACGGCGTCACCCTCCTTTGTTTCATTTTCCATTCACAAGGTACTGGTTCCATTTCCATTTCTGGGCCCCTCAGTCGAACACCTTGTTCATAGCTTGATGCGCCAATTCAACACCCAAGAATGTTGCCGCGTTAGCAGGTACAGCTCTTGCCAATGCTGGTCCAAATCCAGGGAAGAACGCCTTGAATCCTCCATTTCTATATAATCCTTTTATAACACCCCCAACAGTTGGTTTGCCTTCCATAGTCTGTAGCCTCGATTTGACTGTATCAACTGGGAAGACTGGAATCCACATTGCTACACCTGCGCATGCTCCCGCTCCAGTGATGGCCAATAAACTCAAGTCCTTCCCTGGTTTCCCGGTGACAGGGTCTATAGGAGTTAGACGACGCTTAATGTATTCGTAAGTTGCAAAGTATGCGGCACTTCCAGGTCCATCTCTTGCTAGTGTAGCAGCTGATCCTCGGAAGACTGATTTGATGCCACCTTCTTTGTACAGTTGCTTCACGACATCGACACCACCATTGTATTTTGGCTTTTCTCCAGGCGCAAGTTCTTTTTGACCTTGGATTTGTAGGAGGACCTTGACACGTTCAAATGGGGCGGTAATGATAGTTTGTGGAATGGCCGAGAAGAAGCCAGCTGTACTGATTTGAGCGATTGTGAGGGGTTCGTGAGGGGCAGTGGAGGTAAAGTTGCGCACAAGGTTCTTGCCGACATCGAAGCCCCAGAAAGACACGGCGACTGTTGAGTAGAAAGATTAGTTAGTTGTGTGGTCAAGGAACTTTGACATCGAAGCAAAGACAAGAAGAATCAATGTAAGAGGAAGGAAAAGGAGAGAGCATACACATAGGAGTGACACCCACTAGCGGCGCACTCACACCCGCATATAAACCCCTCGCAAGACCATCCTTCGCGACAGATTTCGTAACCACATCAATAGCACCTTTATAAACTCCTCTTTCCGCAGTTTGTAGACGGACTTTGACCAAATCAAATGGATGGCCAACAATGACTGCACAAACACCACCGAACCCTCCAGCAGCCAGTGACCGTAATCCTGCGAAGGATTTTTGAACGACAATTTCGGCGTCTTGTTTTAATTCGGCTTTAGATTCTGGGACGTGTGGCAGATGAGGGTTGATGGTGTCAATCTTTTGATTTATTTGAGCTCCTGTAGAGGCAGAAGAAGTAGGAGCCATGATTGGGAGAAGGGTAAGGCAAGGGAAGGAAACTTTGAGGGATTGTGAGAAAATCTATCTGCGAAAGGAATGTTTATTGGAGGGGAATGTTATGAATGAAGCTTGTGATTGTCAAGAGGGAGCTATCCCGCTACCGCGCTTTTCATATTTAAGCCGAGGCAGGCCAAAATCAAGCCAAAATCGAGTTGATCGGCTCGCGAGTGACACGAAAAATGGCACACGTGTCCTTTTAACCTCAATTCACGTCAATTACCACAACTTCAAAATTAATTATTAAATCACAACATAATGGTATCAACTCGCCGCGATCGCTATGAGGATAAAACGTATCCCCAACAGCATAATAGAACCCCTGTTAAAGCTAAAACCCAGGCTATGCTTGATGGAATAGCTGATGGAATTGTCACTACTTTCAAAGCTCGAGTATTCAGGGCCTACAATGTCGCACCTCGCACCGGATATCGACATTGGCATGATCGCGATCCAAGGCGTCTACATGATTCTACAGTACGTAAAGAGACTAGAGGAGCAAAAAAAACCCTTACTCCTCGCGATATACGTGCTATGGAGATCATGATCCAAACGGAGGGTTTTGAGGCTAGATCCCTCAATTGGAAGCAATTGGGAGAGGCATGTGGATTAGACCAATCCGGAAGGACTATTGCACGAGCTATGGGATCTATGGGATATCGAAAATGTATAGCTTGTTGCAAGGGATGGGTTACACAGAGAACAGCTGCCGCTAGACTCCAATTTGCCCGCGATATGCTAGCTAAATACCCTAATCCGGAGGATTGGAGAAGAGTTAGGTTCTCTGATGAGTGTCATTGGGGTTTCGGGCCTGAGGGAAAGTATAGGATCATTAGAAAGCTAGGCCAGAGGCTCTGTCCTGAGTGTATTCAGCTCAGAGGGGTAGAAAAGGAGGAACACCGCAATAAGCAACACTGCTGGGCGGCAGTGGGCTACAACTTTAAGAGCAATCTTATATATTACGATGTTCCTGGGAACCGGAATGGCAAGTTGTCCCATAAGGTTTATGTCGATACTATATTGGATGGGGAGGTAAAGCGATGGTTAGCTGTATCGAAGGATTTCGTACTCGAGGAAGATGGTGATTCAGGACACGGCTATGGGGGCAAGAAGGACAATATAGTGAAGAAATGGAAGAGAGATCATAGTTTAGAAACCTATCAAAACTGTCATGATAGTCCTGATCTCTCAATCATCGAAAATATCTGGCAAATCCCAAAACAAGTCGTTCGGAGGCATGCCCATTGGGACGATACAACCATGCGGGAGCTTATAAATGAGGGTTGGGAGCAAGTTACTATTGAACATATCAATAAACTAGTAGATACTATGCCTCAGAGGCTTAGGGATGTTATTAAAATGAAAGGACAGCTCACTGGGTGGTGAAAAGGTGGTCAAAAGGGTGGTTTTTAGAGTGGTTTCCCCCTCGAAACAACTCACTTTCAGAGGGAATTGAACCACAACACTACCTTATATCAATTATATAATTATATCACTCAAAACAGTACCCTATATAGCATCGATATTAATTTTTTTATCTTATACTGAATCTTAAAGCTCTGAATATAGCGAATTTAAAAGTCTCTGTCAATGGAAGCGAGTCGATCTTCCGTAATGAATTATTCTACGAATATTGCACTTAGAATCATAAAACTTATATAGAATTAATCTCTGATATCGAATTAATAAAACTACCATATTATTCTTATTATAAATATAAAAAGTGGTGGTGTTGAATCAATTGAAAGAGAGGTGTTGTTCCATTGAATGAGAATTACGAATTTGTGTGTGCCATTTTTCCTGTCACCCGCGAGATCGGTCATCGGCATAAGATATTACCCGAGTTTCGGATAGGAGGTGGAGGGACATTCGGGGCAGTGGAAAAATGTATCTTTGTTGAACATTTTTCGTGTTGTGGTACATATCAACCTCTGACATGCTGTGTTGTATTTTGGAGGATATAGTCTGATAGTGTCGGAGAATATAAAGGATGGCAAGAAGGGTCATATGATAGCATGAACGATTATGATATACGAGCATGAGAATGAGAAGGAAGAAAAGTATTGGATATCAACTTATGTTGTAATCCGGATATATTCGTGGTCTTACTACCCAAGACCGCCCTTAAGAAATCCTTTGCAGCTATTCATCAAATTCTTGATAATTTGATGGATATATGGCAAAGGTCTCGGTGACGACGAAGTGCAAAAGATATTTTTGGAAGGAAGCATTAAATCCAATTAGACGTTTTGGTTTAGACGATGACCCCTGAACCATCCCACACAAGTTCGAGACAACTTAGACACAACACAACTTACGAGTAGACAAGATCCTATTCCAAAGTAGAAGAAGTAATTTGTTAACCTTGTATCAGATTCCCAACTAAGATACCCTTGGCAAGCCCTATGAGAGAACCAATGACGCTCTCTTGATGCATTTTCCAAAGTTTGAATACTTTGCAGGTATAATATACCTTCCAGCGAAGCACCAAGCAAGGTTGGAGCTTGATTGTCATTTATTTATTCTTCACCAGCCCAACAACAAACAACAGCAACGGAAGCTAAAATGACATGTAAGTCTTACTATTTTCTATTCGGGTAGTCAGTCATTTTACATTTACTCCGTAGCTGTCGTGACGATATTAGGTCTTTTGGACAATTAAAGTTGCCTTTGCTGCCAATGGCTGGGAATTTCCCCCTCCAAATGATACCCCTCCGTCCCCTCCATCAGAATTAGACATACAGATCTAATTGTCTACCTAAGAATTTGGAGGTCATTTTTGGAACTACCAGACATCACTCATTGCTCTTTTATTTATTGACAGCTTTCATTGATCAATCAAGTTTTTCTCAATCCGAACTTTTCATAACAATACATTTTGCCAACGTCTAATCACAACCTTAATCGTAATACGTGTACGGCATCAGATGAAGGGATGATCGCTCGAGGGGAGAAGGCCGGCATTGGGCTGCACCCCAGTTCCCGGTGAAGTACCAAAGCACTGCAAAGGTAACTTGGGTAAAGCGAGAGCGCCTAAAGAAACATCATTCATTCATTTGACTCCACTCGAAAACAACACATTATTTGCTCTTACTTCTCTCACCTCCTTTCAACCACTTAGTATCCAGTTCAACGTTTAACTGCGCATGAATCAACAGTCATCCGTGCTATACAACCATGTTTTATATATTCCAAGTGTTCAAATTGATATATATGCGGACTGGGGACATGGTAAAGAGGTAAGATTAATAGTAAGGCAGCTCTCTAATATTATTATTTCTTGAACGTCAATCGTCTCAAGTGTTCATCTTTAAGTTTGTTTCGTTCGTTTTACTATTTGTTTAATTTTTCCAATGCCAGTTAATCTTCAACCTTCTGCTGGTACTTCTGGTAGTCTCAGGAAAGAAAAATCACGAGGAGAGGGTACACGAAGAATGCCGACTAATTCGCGACCTCCCCTATCGCATCGGATACGGGCATCGTTCGAAGGAAAGAAATCTCAGGATTCTACCAGTTCCAAGCATGCAAGCTTCTCCGGTGGCAGTCCAACTGATCCGGAACTCCTCCGACGGATAATCGATGAAGCTATCTCTGGAGATGTTTTCCAGGCTGCACTTGCTTCACACATAGCCAAATTGCTCAAGCCCGAAATTAAAACGGCTTTAGATACAATCGAGCCCGTTGTTAATGCAGTTCTACAACATGAGCTACTATTGAAGAGGACCAACAATAGTGTGGATCATGTTTTATTAAAGTTGGAGTCAATGGCAGATGAAGAAGGAGCAACAACTCCAAGCCAAGCAAGACTTAGTATCCACGGCGCCCTGACTTCACACCCGGTAGCAGACGAGGGACCACTGCCCATACCAGATAATTCGGCCCCTGGGACTGGTACACCTGTTTCAACCTCCAACCAGGAATCAAGACCCCTCTTCAACCGAGGCCTCACATACACTGCCGGAAAACTAACTGAAATCTCGGACTCGTTGGACTTGAATAATCATAAACTAGGGAAAGTGGTAGAAGGAATAGCGGAGATAAATAATTTATTGTCATCGAACGAACGCTTGGATAGTTTGAAAGAAAGCTCAGACAAGAATGATACCAAGACTTCGGTGATCCAAACGCAAATAGATCAATTGCAGGAAAATGTCAGGGTAGTCATCACTCGAATTGGTCCGGATCTAGGAGTAAAGGTAAAGGCGATCAATGATCATCTAACTGGAGAAATGCCCATTTTAGAGACGAGGGCTGTGGCTTCCAATGGTAGTGGGGGTGATGTTGAGCTTCTTCAAGCTATTTCTTCTAAATTAGAAGCCTTGAAGGATAGTTTGGAAACAGGAACTTCGTCACATAATGATAACTTGGGACTATTGAAGGAACAAATCAATGCTCTACAGTCAACACTCGACGCCCAGAAAGAGATATTGGGAGAGATCAAGGAAGCTGATAACAGTACTGAAATATTGGCTGGTATACATAAATCAAATGAGTCACATGAGGCACATGCCATAGTTTTGGGAGAGCTCAAAGAGAGAAATACACAACCTGTGGATCTATCAACCCAACCAGCTCCAACATCAGCAGACGCGGAAACACTACAAACGATCTTGACGGAAGTACAGAAATCCAATGAGGCACATGGGAAGCATACGGCTGCGCTCGAGAGCATGAAGGAATCGGATACAAGTGCAGCCATATTGGCGGAAGTTCAAAAGTCGAACGACTCGCATGTTCTTCATGCAGCTGCTCTAGAAAGCCTCAAAAGTACCACCCCGCCACCAGAACAATCCACCGCAATCGATCTAGCACCCTTTGAGACAAAGATGGACAGCTTAATAGAAGCAAGCACAGCAATTCTCACGGAAGTTCAAAAATCGAATGAATCACATGTTTCACACGCAGCTGCATTAGAAAGCATCAAGGCCCTGCCAACTCCACCTTCTGAATCTCCAACCGCAAGTGCAATTGTTGATTTGGGAGGCTTGGAGAAGGATATAGGAACTGTTATCGAAAAGCTGGATATGCACGCTGCTGTTCTGGAAGAAATTAAGACGAAGGATGTTTCTGGATCCGGAGGAATTGACGCTAGTGCTTTTGATAGCCATTTTGGTTCCATTACTACTTCCTTGGAAGCACATACAGTGGCATTGGATGAGATTAAATCGAGAGATTTAGCACCTCCTGATTTCAGTCCAATTATCTCGATGCTTGAAGCTCACACTGCAACCTTGGAGGATATTAAATCGAGAGCTGCAGGAGGGGATCCAGATTTCAGTCCAATAACTGCTTTGTTAGAAGCTCACAGTGCAACCTTGGAGGACATCAAATCGAGAGATCTGACACCTGCTGATAATGCTCCAATTATCTCAATGCTTGAAACCCATGCGGCAATGCTGGAAGATATCAAATCAAAAGACGCAGGAGGAAGTCCAGATTTCAGTCCAATAACTACCTTGCTCGAAGCTCATACGACAACTTTGGATGAGATCAAGGCTAGGGACACTACAAACAGCATTGATCTCAGTCCAATAACTGCTTTGTTAGAAGCTCATACTACAACCTTGGATGAGATCAAATCAAGAGATCCAGCGCCTACTGATTTCAGCCCAATAACGACCTTGTTAGAAGCTCATACTATCAGCTTGGATGAAATCAAATCGAAGGATTTACCATCTACTGATTTCAGTCCAATAACTGCCTTGTTAGAAGCTCATACTATAGCCTTGGAGGATATCAAGGCTAAGGACACTACAAACAGCGTTGATTTAAGTTCAATCACTTCGACTCTAGATGCCCACCGTGCAGTTTTAGATGAGATCGTATCAAAGGATGTACAGTCTAGTGGCGCACCCGCAGCAATCAATATGGATGCCTTTGACACAAATTTCGGTTCAATCACCGGTATATTAGCAGCACACACAGCCGCATTGGACGAGATCAAGTCCAAAGATGGTGCTTCCAATGCTTCTATATCCGCAGAAAATAACATCGAAATCCTCGACAAACATTTTGGTTCTATCACTACCATGTTGGAATCACACACTGCAGCATTGGAAGAAATCAAGGCGAAGGATTTCACACCGACTACGGGACAAATGGAGCTGAATACAGCAGCATTTGACGACAAATTTAGCTCTCTGACACGCATGCTAGATTCACACACAGAAGCTTTGGATGAAATCAAATCAAAGAACAATGATTCCGCTCCGCCTTCGACATCAAGAGATAATGTTGCCCTTGATTCATTTGAACCACATGTTACGGCGATTAAGAGTGCACTCGATGCTCACATGGGTGTGCTGCAAGAGATAAAGTCCGAGGCTCTTGCCAAAAATGATATGGATGCAATGGTAGTAGACAATTTGCTGGAACCACACATCATAGCTATCAAGAGTACACTGAGTGCACATACAGAAATTCTGGATGAGCTCAAATCCAACATTCTTACTAATACCACAGATTCCTCCGAAATTGCCAACGATTCTTTACCTAAGATATTGACCACCCTTAATCGCCACACCAATCTACTCACAGAAATCAAGAACGCGGATGTTAGTGATGAGATATTGACAGCATTGCATGAATTACAAGAAGGTAATTCTGCAGCTTTCAATACCCTCAAGGAATCGGATGTCAGTGATGAGATACTTACTGCGTTACATACTTGTAATGATTCACAAGAAAATTTGGATAGATCACTGCTTGAACTCCAGACAGCAGTGAATATTTCTATTTCATCTGAGCAAAACAGGAACAAGTCAATTGACCCTGTTGAAGCAGTTCAAGCACCGATCGCTACTGTTGACTTGAGCGGATTGGAGACCCAGATTAACGCGGTCATTGCGACGCTTGAAAGCCAAAATGTAGTTTTGGGAGAGATCAAACACACTACCAATGCTGGAATAGAAGCACATGGCTTGCACACCACGACGCTGGGTGAGATCAAAGATGCAGCTAGTGCCTCAAATGATTCTCACGCGACCCATGCGGCACTTCTTGGAGAAATCAGGGATGCAGCCAATGCTTCGAATGAATCCCATGGCACCCATACTTCTACATTAGGAGTCATTAGAGATGCAGCAGCCTCCTTGAGTAACGCACACGCCACGCAAATTGCTACTTTGGTCGAACTCAAGCATGCAATAAGCGCCTCTAATGAATCTCATAATACTCACACCAGTACACTAGCAGAGATACGAGATGCAGCCGCCAACTCAAATGACGCAATTCTTACGCACACAGCTACTCTTAGTGAACTCAAAGAAGCAATCAATGCATCGAATGACTCTCACACTTCTCACGCTGCTGCTCTGGAAGATTTGAAATCCATACATCCAACACAGTCGTCGCCAGATGCTACCTCTGAATCAACATCGCCACCGGTGCTTGATACAAGTGCACTAGATACCCAGCTCACAACCATTATCACAACTCTTGAATCCCAAAATTCCACCTTAGGGGAAATGAAAGATGCTCATGCCTCTCACACGATCACTTTGAGTGAAATCAAGGACGCAACGACAGCATCTAATGAGTCACATACTTCCCTTGCAACTGTCTTAAGCGAAATTAAAGATGTCCATTCCTCACATACAACAGCCTTGACCGAAATCAAGGACGGAACAACTGCATCTAATGATTCGCACAATTTACACACGACAATTTTGAATGAAATCAAGGAAGCAACAACGGCATCGAACGAGTCGCATACTTCGCACACAACAGTCTTGAGCGAAATTAAGGAAACAATTGCTCCTATCCATGGTATTGCTGAGGTCATAAGTACACATACAGGTCTGTTGGAAGGTCTGAAAGAAGACACCGGATCACAGCATACTGAAGTAAAAATTGATATTGACGGATTGAGGAAACTTGTAGATGAAAGTTCCACCAAACACGAGGAAAGTCTTTTGAAACATGGGGATTTGATTAGGGAACATGGTGACTTGGTTAAAGAAAATCACGATGGATTGAAGGGAACGATTGCGGGACTTGCTTTGGGCGGGATTGCTGGGGCGGGCGTTATGAAAGTTATGGATGAAGTGGAAGACAAGAATGGTGAGGTAAGTGATGTAGTTGAACGGGATGTAGAAGTGCTGGAAGCTTCGGTAAGTCATCCACGTTCCTGATGTCTCAGGAGAGATAGAATGCTGATAAGATCACACAGGCCGAAGAACTTGAGGTTATTGAAGAAGAATCACCGGTATTAGAACCAGAAGCACCTGTAAGTCATGGTGCTAATAGTAATTGAGGATATCGTGAGATGCTAACACAAAACTCAGGTGGAGGAGGATGCAGCTTCAGAGTCTAAAGAACAAAACCTGGAACCTCCAGTAAGTCTTAGCTTTTTGGAAAGCCAGATTGTATAGTTTATTGACAATTTAAAAGGTCGAAGAACAAGTTGTGCCGGGATCGGAAGCACAATTGAAGCCCGAATTCCCTGTGAGTTCATCATCAATCCTACATCCCTGTTGATGAGTATGTCAAATTAGAGTATTTTACTAACAAAAACTTCAGACGGATAACGAAAGGACCACCAGTGAGGAAACGCTAGTAGAGCCAGAGCTAGAACCAGAAGCTATTGTGACAGATACTGAGAATACGGTAAGTTCTAATCAACGACCGTGTGTTTTATAAAGCTCATCTGATATTCTTTGTAGGTCGACCTTAACGAAAATCCAGACCCTACACCAGTAGACCAGGAACCAGAGCCAGAGCCAGAAGCTGTAAGATACTATGAATCTAATCTTCAAGCCCATCTCGTGAGATGAAAGCTTTGTCGTAAGGCAAGCAGCTAATTACCTGTGATTCAGGTTGAGAAAGAAGTTCCAATCGAGGAACCGACACCCATCGAGGAACTGACAACCATCGAAGCGGAGGCTCCAACACAGGAAGCTGTCGTTGAAAAGCCGAATCCAACAGAAGAGGAACCGGAACCAGCTGTAAGACTCATATATTGCGGGGTGGTGGCGTGACTAACAATACCTATAGACTATGGAAACGACGGAAGATACAGCAGCTATTGAATCCCAACAGACTGGCAAAGATCTCTCTGGCGAAGAGACACTTCCTCAAGAGGAATCTGAGCCCGTAGCAACCTCCGAGGATTCTGTAAATTTCCCTATTACAAACATAATTGCCTATGTGACTAACCAATTTCTCTAGTCTGAACTCAATCAAGAAGTTGAAATTTCAGCAAGCAACGATAATGAGGAGTCCGAAACTCTTGCGAAGGAAGCAGAAATTGATGGTGTCACACCAAATTCAATTGAACAATCGGGTTTGACCCAGGATACGTAAGTTACATCAGGATAACTTTAGCATTGCATAGTACTAAGAAACTTAAAGTCCCGAAGATGAAGCGCCTCAAGTAAACGATACAGCAGAAGAACCAATGTAAGTCAAAAAAATTCTTGAAATTTCACAAAACATAATTGAGGGGAATTGACCTGAAGATTCGTCGATGTAGACCTGAAGAGAGCGATGTCACAGAGCTATCCAAGGACGAATTGGCTCCCGAAGAACAACTTGCCGTTGAGAAGATACCTGGTGAGGAAGAGACTGTTGCGGTGGAAGGGTAAGTTTCTTTTCGTCTGATTTGGGCCATTGGTGATTGAGTGACGATTGGAAGATTTCTTTTCCAGGTCTAAAGTGGGACATCAGAGGAGGTGGGCTAACACAACATCATCATAGGTCTGAGGAGGAAGCATTTGGTAAGAGTGAGAGAGCTCAAGTACAGCAAAATGAAGATTTAGGCGATGACGATTCGAAGTAAGTTGATTGTTTGAGAATAAATTGGGAGCTAGGTACAAGATTCTGACGCACAATTAAGATTCACTGAAGAGACAGCGCCAGTTGCTGTGGAGGAAGAACAGTAAGTTGATAGCTTTGGACTGATCAATTTGATACAAACACAATTGTGTCGATACTAATATGATGATAGACCAGCGAAAGACATAGTTGCAGACAATGCAGTTGAGGATGTGAGCCCTGGCGAGGAAGCTTTAGAGTTTGTGGAAGATAAGTAAGGCATCTTTGATATTCTTCTATGATGAATTAAGCTGACAATCGAAAGACTTGTCGAAAAACCTGTTTTACAGGAGTCAGATGAAAATTTGACCGCAGACTTGCAACAGACACCTCCGGCGGAAGAAGAAGAAAAGCTCCCCGAAGTCAAGGAATCTAGTGAGCCAAGTTTAGAGGAAATTCCCACCGAAACTCCTATACCAGAAGCCTTCATTGATACGCCTCCGGCACACTCGGAGGATGCTTCTTCTCTGGAAGCAAACAAACCTGTTCCGGAGTCTGAGCAGGCCAACGTACCTGATTCCGCTGATCCTCCCGTCGAAATCGAAGAAACACCCGTTCTTACAGATCACAATGTTGAGGCAGTTACTCAAGTACCCGAAGCAAGTCATGAAGCACCCGCGGATAGCTTGGAAATCTCTACAGAGTCTGAAGTCATTGATCCGTCCAAAGAAGAGCAAAAGGTTGATGAGGAAGGGGAGATAGAAAAATTGGCTGAAGAACATCCGGTCGACAGTAATGAAGTCAATTTGGAAAAGGACGATTTGGAACCTAAGGATGAGAATCTTCCCACCGAAGACGCGGAAAGTACTGTTGACACGTCGAAAGAGGATAAGTCTTCAGAGTCAGCCGCGGAGATCGAGACACCTCTTCTAGATTCAAACGATATGAATGAGGTTCCTGCCGAGATTGATGCAAAGGATTTGGAAACGGAGGTTGCGGAGCCTAAAAATGAAGAGACACCGGACCAGGCGGAGGAAAATATTGAGTCCGCTCATGATCAAAGCAATCCCGATACTCCTATCGAAACCGAGGTACCCATTTCGGGTATGAACGACCAAGATGAAGAGCCTGCAAAGACTGAGGTGAAAGACTTAGCAGTGGAAGATGAGGAACCTCATAGCGAGGAAGTACCTGAACAAGCTGTCGAGAACCTTTCACAAATCGTGCAGGAAGAAAACTTTTCCGAGCCGGTTGTCGAAAAAGAGAAGTCTGTTCCTGATTCAAACTCCCACGACCAACATCCTATTGAAACCGAACAAGAATCAGTGGAAATTCCTGCTACCGAAAATGCCACTGAAGAAATCTCCAGCGAGCCCACAGAAGCCATTGAGCCTCCACACGAGGAAGAAATCCCACAATTACCTGTTGAGACTGAAGAAAACGCTCCCGAGTTGAAAACTCAAGATGAACCTCCAATCGACAGCGAAGAAGCCCCCGAGGAACATGAAAACTTGGAAGATCTAACTCCATCTGTCGATAATAAAGAGAAGACTCTCGAAACAGACAGCCAGGAATCCAGCAGTGAGCATGCACCTCTCGAGGCTGAAGAGATACCCATAGAAGTCTCTCATGAACAAAGTCCAGATTTAACTACTGAAACCGAGATACCAGCAATTGAGTCAAGTGATCAAACGCAAATCCCATTCGAGAGTAAAGCGAAGTCCGTGGAACCTCCTGTTAGTGAACCGGAAGCTGCAGGTATGGATAGTGAAGAGCTGCAAGCGGGTAATGAAGCTCAGATTCCGGAAATATCACTGCAAGAAACTGTTCAAGAGCCGGTGGTTGAGGATCAAAGTCCTGTTGTGCCAGAATCGAGTGGGGAAGCTCAGGAGTTTACCAGCCACCATGAACCTCTTGAACCAGCTGAACATCATGCTATTGAGGTGCCTATGGAAGAATCAGTCATTGAGAACCAAGTTCAATTCTCCGCTGAAGAGGAAAGTGTCGACAAAGCTCCATTAGAAAGTAGTCCTGAGCCAGAAGTCGTGAACGAGAATATCTCTGATGGCTTAGGATCAAGCGAAGAAGGCCAGATCGTAGCCAACGATAGCGACAAATCTCTACCGACTGAGAGGGAAGTTCTCGACACTCCCCTGGGAGAATCAGTTTTCGGAAGCGAACCAACATCCGAAAATATTAATCATGAAAATTTCGAAAATATCAGAGATGCAGAAAAACCAATACAAATCGATGAGAAGATTGCCGAGACACCTAGCCAAGATTCAGTTCTTGAAAGCCAGCCAAAATCAGAGTCGGTTATCTATGAGGATCCTGAAGATATCAAAGCCCGTGAGGAGATTGCTGCCTTGAACGCGGAGATGGATAGAATTTTAGCTGAGGCTGAGGAGGAGGAAAGAAGAAATGCTCCTATCGAGACGGAAAAAATTCACGAGGATCAAACCAAGGAAATAGATGTTGAACAAGATGCCGAAGAATCAACTCAGGTCGCGGAAGCACAAACACCAGTCCAAGACCAGGAAACTTCTAGAGCTCGAATTGAGGATGAGCAAGCCCAGGCTGATGTAACTGAGCCGGAGGAAGAGCAAAAGGTTCCTGTGACTGATGAGGACCTTTCAAGCGACACTAGCCCGGGAGGAAATCTAGAAAGACATGTCGTATCATCCAACGATCTCGAAGAAGATGCTATTCCTGTAGAATCTGGGAGTCATGAGGTAGAATCTACCAATATCTTAACCGCAGACGAGTTGCACTACCTCGAAAAAATCCCCCCAGCTACCCACGAGGATGTTATCGAAAGTCAGAGCCAGATTGCGGAGGATGAAAACGTACAAGAAAACCATCCAGTAATCCCTTCCGAGGATGAAAAAACAGATCTTGAAATTCCGTTAGTAGCCGAGCAGCCGGAGAATGAAATCAAGAGCAACGAAAGTGCGCCTGACCAAGCTGCAGCTTCATCTGGAGAAGAGGAACAGGTGTTAGACATGGAATCACTAGCTTCCGAAGCTCACGTAGAACCCGAGATGGAAAGCTTCGAGAATACACAGTCGAGTGACGATGTTGCACCTTCGTTGGATAATGAGGAAGATGATTCTTTGCCTATTCAACTTGAATCAGAAACAGGCATTGGAGAATTTAGACCAGAGGAGCCAGAATGGAAAGGAGAGATGAACCATGAGCATTATCTCGGGGAATCTGAACAGGAAACCCCAAGAGATGTAATGACACTCGGAGACTACCCTGCCGAAGACTACCCTGCCGAAGACTATCCTGCCAAAGAAAGTTCACTCTCTAAATTGGATTCCATTAATCAAAGCACCCAAGATGAGGAAAGTGGAGTTGAGGAAATAGAGAATGAAAGCCCCTCAGTGGAGCATTTCGAGATCGTTGAATCAGAGCCATTCTCAGAAGAAACCCCAAGAGACATCGATTCCAAAGTTGACGAGAATGCTCACTCCGTGGATCGTGAAATCGACCCAGAAAATGTTGAAGATTACAACGAATTAGGGGCTGATCTTTTGGTCCCTGAAAGTCCTCAATCTGAAACAACCGATGATAACGAATGGGATGAACCATATGATACTCCCGATGACAGATTACAAGGATTAAAACCTTCAGCAGAATTCTTATCAACTACGTCGAATTACGGAGAAGCTCCAGCCATCGAGGAAAACCAACATGATGGCGAGTCAAACCAAGATGAAATCGCTTCCGAGATTCCTCTCCCGAGCCCATCAGTCCAGAAAAAGCAAGCTATCCTAGAGGAGGACTATCCTGCTGTCCAAAACTTTCCAGAGCAACATGAAAGTTACCAATCCTTCGATGATTTTTTCCCAATCGAGAATGAAGCTGTTCGAAACAGCTCCCATGTTTCAAATGAAGATACGGTAGAATTCGCGGAAGACTCTAGAGAAGCTCCAGTCATGTCTGATAACCAACACATATCGGGGAATAAATTTGCCACCGGATTCGAGGATGACTTACAACCTGAAGATACCGAATCCATCTATTCCCAAGAAAATGAGCCAGCGATCACTGCAGAACATCACAGGCTAGAGATAGATGATTTTTTCAACCCAAGAGCCACTGTCAGTCAATACGTGGCTACCGAGCAACTAGAACCAGAACAAGAGTCAGAAACTAGCCCTATCATTACCAGAACTGACTCAACTCACAAGGCCCAGTCCAGTCAGCCTGAAATTTCAGCGGAGCAAAGATACACAGGCTATGGCTACGACTATGACTATGAAGAGCCTGCTCTAAATACACAGACGTACTCCGACTCGGAAGATGATATGGGGTCATTTCAACCGGGACCAGCAGCTTCAAGCTATGAATCAAGGGGCTCTTACCCCTTCCAAGGAACCAGCTTTAGTAGATCTATACCACAACCAAGATATTCAAGCAATGAAGAAGTTGCTCACGATACACGTACTTCATTCAACGACCAAGATGACATCCAAGATTTGAGATCAATGCCTACATATTCTGGCTCAAGCTATTCTCAACAATACCCCTCAGAGTCCTATCCAACCCAAGAAGTTCACTACGACGAGCCTGAGCCCCAACAAGATCAGCCAATAACGCCCACATATCAATCGTCATATCAAGATACCATTCCAGCAACTCCATCAACAGCTTTAACGACGAAAATCTCCACCGAAACATTTCCTACATATGATGAGTCCCGACCTGTTTCCCGGGGTATGAATTTCGGGTTGCCAATAAGAGGAGCAGAACGTGTTGAAACGATTCGCGAAACTCCCGAGACCACATATCCTTCATATAATGAGTCAATGCGATCTCCCGCACCCTCGCGACTACCAATCGCGAGCCAAAGATCGTCAGATAGTATGCGTAGAAGTTGCAGCCCTGAACTGAGAAAACAGAGTAGCTATTCTAGATATGGACATGATGAGCCTGGGCTAGGAAAATCTATGGGTTCTTCACAGGGATTCAATTTTGGTCGTTCCCCGACTAAGATTCCGGGTTCTATTGGGAGGTCAAGCAGAGTTCCAGATGTTGGAAATGAGTATGGTCATTCGACGAATAGATATGGTGAGCCAGTGCGCTCTTTGGGGGCTTCGCAAGGATCTAGATTCGGTCTACAGGGTACGCATCCAGCTAGAGAGTCTCATGAGGAAGTTCCAGAATACGGAAGTCAAAAGAGAAGTAGTAATGTGAAGGATCTTTTGAGTCGATTTGAAGGTGGCGAATCCTCATCCTCAGCCCCTTCTCAACAAGAACGTTTCAATATCCCGACATATCAAGAGCGTTTCAGTACTTCTCTTCCTCGACCCGCTGAGCACAGATCGATCGGAAAACAGCCTCAATACGAACAAGAAAGTCACTTTGAGGCTGTAACACCACTTGATCATAATCGATTTGATTTTGTGAGTGAGGAAAGTAGTCCGGTTCAAACACCTCTCGAAGAGAGGGAACTGCAGCTCGAGAGCGGAGAAAGCAGCGAGGTACAAACGCCATTGGAGGGAGAATTTAGACTGGATGAGGGGATAGGTGGAAATGTAAATGCAGGAGTACCGAAGAAGAGGAGGAGTAAGAGGGGGAAGAAGAAGGGCAATTGAGGGACAGGTGGAGGTCAGGCTTGAGTTGGAGAGAAAATGGGATTGGAAAGTGTGAGATGCGGTTGGAATGAAAATGTGATTGAACGAGCGATGGGCAATGAAGGATGATTGACGCTTGATGGTAATGAAAACGGTGGATGAATTTCGAGAACTGGACGATTTTGGTTGGGTTTTGGTTGGATTTTGGTTTTTGTAAATAGGGAGTTTGGGATTGTGTCGGAGTTTCTGCTTGTTATCCATAGCGATGCTGTCTAATAGTCAGTTTTATATTTTCAAAGAAGGACTTCAACAACGAGCATTTGTCAATATCTCCCGGGATGTGAAGAGAAATTTTGTGAGAACCAGAGAAGTTATTTACATTGCAATTTCCTTCCATCATGCAGTGACTTGGCTTCGAGTGCAAACCGAATATCATCAGAACTACACTGCAATCTCGTTTCTTGATTGATTTGAATTAGAGGGGAATCTGTCTTTATTCTTGGAGATGAAGATCTATATTGTTTTGAATCAAGTATACTTGGGTACTGGCTATGAATTATGAGATAAATCCTTGAAATGTCTTACGTGGTAGTTATATGTGTAGTACATTGATCGAAAGCTTAGATAGCTCCTTCCTGATCTCTATACTAGATTCGGACATTTAGCAACGATAAGCTGGAGCTGTTGAGAAGTGTATCTATAGTAATCGGAGGGATCTTAGAGTTTTGAGATATACCGTTTGAAACATTTAAGAGGGGTGATCGAGTTCACTAAGTCTGTACTTGATACTTCGAAACTGTGCTCGAAGAGAGCATGCGATGAGTTCTGACATTCTTCAAAGTGAATGAAAGAACATACATAGCAAACTTTCATGATCTTCAAATGGGAGCCATACACCTGGATTATGACATGCAGGAAATAAGAGATGAGTATCTTCAGTTCATTAATCAAACCTAATATTGCTGATATCTGACTGAATATCACCAGGTGGGTGTTTGTGATTGTTTGTTTGTGTCAATATCTCTTATTGTGTATACTTCATCAATATTAGGGAGAAATTATAGAGAGCACATTCACCTAGCAGCCATTCATCAATGAAGGATATTAAAAACATAATAGTGAATTATTTATTTGCCATACTACAGCCGAGATACAATAAATTAAAAAACCATCCTAATTAACCAGCTTGTTGAACACATTCCTTAACTAGACCATAAAGAAACAAGAAGCAGTAATCAGCCGATAATTATCAGCTGAATACTTCATAAATCCTGACCTGAATCTTAACCACTACATAATTTTGTCCCATTGTTGTAATCAATTGTCAATCTAATGACAAAATCTAAAGGATACCTCTTCTAGCAGCGAAAACAAATGCTCCAATAATAGCAGCAATTGAGCCGGCAACGAAGCAGGTCATGACAATTACGAAGATCTAGAAGACACATAGAATTAGCAATGAACAAGAATGTGGCAGTGAAGTGGTATAATGGTAAGAACTTACGATGAGGTAGGGGCGCTCAACTCTGCGACGGCTAGCACTCTCCAAGTCTCCCTCCTCGCTGGCGATAGGTGCATCTGCGTGATCGTCCAGGCGTTGGTCGAGGGTTGCTGATGGATTGGGGCCAGTATATTCAATACCTGTTGCAGCTGGAGCAGGACCAAGGTTGATGACGGGCGAAGCAGGGAAGAGGTTCGAGGGAGCGGTACACTCGTGATCATGGTTGATGAGTGCAGAGCAATTGCTGATAACGCTCTCTGAACGACCACGAGAAGTCGATCCAGTCTCATCGTGTACGATCCACTCGTCCGAAACGTTGAGGTAACCGTTTAGGACATTCGAGACCCATTGGCGATCTGAAGCAGTGCTACTACCAAAAGTGGGTGCGCGCGTGAGTCTTGCAGAAGTGCCCTCGCAGCGAAAAGCAGCAAGATCACCTTCCGATCCCCAGCTTCTCAGGCTTGGCTCTCGGGGAATAGGACGAACCAAGTGGCCAAAGACTGGGTGCCAGCTTTCCTTAGCAGGATGATCTTCCATGGAACTGTCTCCGCATTTTTGAGATTGAGGAGAAGCTTTGAGGTATGTCGCATCGGGTCGACGAAAGTTGAGAATTCCACGCCAAACTTCGGTCTCAGCAGTGTCATGCGCAAGATTGTAGTAAGCAAGATCGGATACACGTAGTCGAGTTTGCTGGGGAATGCCCTTGAAAGCATGGAATTGTGTGATGAGAGTTGCGCACCGAGCTTCCATCTCCAATGGGTCAAGGAAGGTTTGAATGCAGAATGTCGGGTCATCTTGGAGTTTTTGAACTTCGAGATATCCTGCAGGAAGAACTGCACTGTAGTGAGCCGACTTCAACTATAATTAACATCAGGAGTTAGTATAGGTTTCTGGGACAAGGGAAAAATAGTTGAATTCTGGATTGGATTCTCGAATTCACTTACAAAATCCTCCCATTCAGCAACAGCACCAGGATTCTTGTAATCATCATGGATTTGAATCAAATTTTGCTCCTCTTTGTTTGCAATTGTTGTCTCTTCTTCCTCCATGGTTACTTCGACTTTGTCCATGTTGATTGCTATCGATCTATCTTATTGATCAATGGATGAAAAAAAGTTGTTATTGTTCGAAGTTGTTTTGTTGAGAAGAAGAAGCTGAGTCGAGATCTTGTTGGAAGAGGATCGCTTCGGAACGGAATATTTGTTGTTGACGCGACGCGACAGCTTCACCTTCGGATAGACCAGTATCTTCCTGTTCTATCTTCGGATAGGAAGGGTGAAGATTGCAAAGAAAAGTGAAAGGAATTCGAAAGGAAATGCCTCTTGGATTGAGATTGTGTAGTCTTACAGGATAATTCTTGAACGAACCCATTGATAAGTGTCAATTTTCAATTAATGGCATAGCCAGAACATACATGATACAATCTTCTGTCTGTGTTTGATTCAAGAAAGGATGTATATAATGGAAGATATTGAAGGATCGGAAGAAGATGTCTTATGAGGACCAGATGCTGATAATAAAGAGTTGTAGAAGAAATAATAGCAAGGAGCTGGAGAAAATATTTTTTATAGATAGAATTCATCTGGTTAACATGATCTTGAATGTTGTGGTATTCACTGACAATGTCCACCTCCAGAACATGAGTGGAACAGCCTTTGAGCATTCCCCGCCATTGTCAGCTTTTTAAAATCTACAATATATATATATATATATTTATTGATAGATAGCCGATTATGTTGATGAGGATAAATATAAGTGAGAGAAAATAGGTATGTACTACATAGAGTAGGTTACTCAATGTATTCCTTTTTCGTGTTTCTGAGTCACCAGATTTGATATCAAACATAATCACTGCCACAAGCACAATAATGAAAATCAGAATTGCTCACAACTTTCTTTTTGCAAGTCCTTGATAGTGAGAGTGATGTGAGAGAGAAACTTGTTAACTCTGCCTCTTAGCTAAATAGGTTGTTGTCTCACAGAGGGACAAGAATACTCCTCCCTAGTGTACCCCAATGGAAGATGAAAGAACACATCAACCAACTATGACCTTGTGTATTGGTGATTGGCATAGTCTTGATATCATGGACACCTGATAACCATAATGCTTGTCAGATTCCAAAGAAACTACCCAGGACTTTCTCCAATAAGTAGCTCAGCATCATAAGCGCATAGCTCAAACAAGATAACTTTTATCCCAAACGCCTTTTTATGCATCACTTCCTGCAAGTTGTCTGCGTTTCAATCCATCCTCCTCCCTTTCCTTCCCAACCCCAAATCTCCCATTCTTACAAAGCCTACAAGTGGAAATATAGCAAGTTGCGTCTTTCCCATATAGAGAAAAAACATGCTGTGCCAATCACCGCGCAAATGAGTAGCATCACTGCAGACTATAGATGATCTGATTAGAATACGAATTTGTGCCATGTCTCCAGAATGACTTACACCGCCGAGGTCCGAGTCTTCAATGAACGATGGATAAATTGTAGAATTCATCGTGCGTTTGAGGGTAGCACTGTGCTTAATGTGAATGCGATCGCGAGACGAAGATGAATGTGATGTTTTGTGAAGGATTGTGGTGGCTGTGTACTTGTAACAATCCCGCCGAAAATGAAGTGCTGTGTTGAATTTTTGTTATTGTATGGAATATCGTGAGTATACAGCTGTGGCAGTATTTGGTGGTTGCAAAATACGGCTGCCAAATTTCATGAATGATGGCCTTCGAAGTGCCGAAGAGACCAGTGGATGAGAGACTCAGCTAAAGATCGCACTTGACGTCGTGGCGGCACAATGAGACCTTTTGATTAATTGTTTTTGATGATCGCAGATGATAAATTGAAAAGAAAAATTCTGTTACAAATTGTTGAGAAAGCGAGATGAAACGTTCGAGTAGTGAATATGGCTTGGTATTATGAGAAATCCTTTTGATCTCTGTCCATCATCAATATCACATCTTTCACATTACCACTTGGACCCAGTCTCATAGCATACTGGAAAATTGCAAATCTTCAAAACTTGAGAAAAAGTGGGAGTGATCAACCAGACAGCAAAGCTGTAGTGGTTCAAGAGAGACCCCTTCAGATTGAAACCCTTTGCTGCATGGCGTGTCAAGTACAATCTCAAAGGCATATACTTACTTGATCTCAATATAACTATTCGTATTCTCTGTTATCTGGATGTGAGAGGCTTTGACATCAATAGCATCTACAAATGCCGTGGTGCAAGTGATCTTGCGAAGAAAATATTCACCGTTTCTGGGCCGCCTATTCACTGCACAAGCTTTGTACAGTATTGAGTACGATGGCACTGGACTCAGTACCACCATGGGATTCAGTCTGCAGTCATCCATTGCTTTTCACTGTTTGAAACTGAGAACTGAATCGGGTTCCGTCCCTTTGGGAAACACAGTGTCGTCGTTGTGCCATTAATCACGTGATATCAATATGACTTTCTCACGTGATATCTATTTTCTCAAACAATCACCAAATATATGGACATTCTTGAAACATTTGCAGATCCCGTTGTATCCGTGGTATGTTATGAAAGCCTGCAATCACGTCAAGCGCATTACTACCCTTGCGGGGGATGTTTTCAAAATGCTCGATGTCATTGGTCAATCAGTGTGCGGAAGCGAAATATGGCGAAATGGCTGCAGGCATCACACAATATTTCAGGACCCCATTAAGAATAAGTGCAAAGCATAAAGATATCAATGCATGATCGCATTCAAAAGGGTTTACTTCGCATTCTGATAGCGGCGTCAAGGTACGTTTCTCGTATAATAATCAATGGTGCCCGCGTAGATAACACGAAACTTTGTCAAATATATTTTCCTGTCATAATTTGAATGTGGGATTGGATTCACTTCGACCTGGAAGCATATAAACGTAACATGGGCTTGAAGTTTGAAAGAGTTGCTGTGATCGGGGCGGGTGTCAGTGGACTAGCGGCTGCGAGACATCTCATAGATTATGGACTTGACGTGACGATTTATGAACGATCTTCAAAACCCGGAGGCGTTTGGTGAGTTATGATTCTATATCAATTTCTTTCTAAAGCTTGCGAGGAAAAGACTGATATTAATACGAGGAGCTAGGGCATACGATGAAAGGAAGCCGCTTGAATACAGATACCCATCAGTTTTACCATCGGTTGCAGGCCTCTACCCAGAGGCGGATTCAGATTGCGAGGATGTTACGTCGCAATCAGAATTTTCCCAGGAAGAAATTCTTAAATTGAAACACGCACCACCAGGTCCTGCATATTTTGGTCTGACAACAAACATCTCAACTAAACTCCAAGAAATGAAAGACCATCCGTGGAAGGAGGGCACAGGTGATTTCGTCAATGTGAAGGTTGTTGGTGAATATCTGAACGATTATGCCAAAAGATTTCACCTAGAACGTTTCCTCAAGTACAATACGAAAGTCGAAACGATCAGGAAAGTAAATGGGAGATGGATTGTGAAATCAAAGCTGTTAAACAAAACTCATGACGGAAGTGTGGAGTTCTTGGAACATGAAGAGGTACATTGCCGAGTGAGCATCTGCAAGCGAATACTGACTCGTGGCAGGCATTCGACAAAGTAGTTGTGGCAAGTGGACATTATCACGCCAATAGAGTGCCTGACATCAAAGGATTGAAGGAATGGAAGAGAAATCATCCTGGAAGGGTTATGCACTCAAAAGCATACAGGAGACCCCAAGAGCTTGCAGGCCAGGTAAGTAATAATACCTAATAGCACTACCATTGACTGACTTTTAGTAGAACGTTCTTCTAATTGGGGGGAGTGTTTCCTCGACAGACATTGCTAGGGAGATCAACGGCGTAGCCGAGACGGTTTATCAATCCACCCGAGGTGGTCAATTTGACCTTCCACTCAGCTTTTTACCTCCAAGCGCAAAGAGAGTTGGAGAATGCGTGTCTTTTGAGTTTGAGACGGGTAATGAAGGTCGAGGGGTCGCTCACTTGAAAGATGGGACAACGCTTAGTGACATTGATAAAGTGATAATTTGCACAGGATATCATATTTCATATCCGTTTCTTGATCCGTATCATAACGATTTGTTATCCCCAGCCGAAGCAGATGACACAGTTCTTGTAACTGACGGAACGCAAGTCCACAATCTCCACAAAGATATATTCTATATACCAGATCCAACAATTGCATTTGTCGGTACAGCATATTACGTATCGACGTTTTCCTTGTTCGAGTTCCAAGCGATTGCACTCGCAGCTGTATTCGCTGGCAAAGCATACTTACCACGCGAGCAAGAAATGAGAGAAGAATATAGACTTAGGGTAATAGAAAAGGGGTTCGGGAGAGCTTTCCATGCTTTAAATGAAGGACGGGAGCCTGAGTATGTTCGTGAATTGGTAGATTGGATCAACGCAGACGCTGCGTCGAGTGGGGGACAGAAGGTCGAAGGTCACTCCGAGGAATGGCTGAAAGAAGATGAAATCAAGATGGGAAAACTCCGCGAGAGGTTCGAAAAGAAGAAACAAGAGGAGAAGCAAGAAGAAAGTCCTCGGATATATAGTCTCAGGAGCGAAGGGAAATTTCCTCATTCCGGAATTCATTTGTATAATGGCAGTGGGAACAGCAGAGCATTAGAGGAGCAGACAGTCGGATGAGAGGGCAATTACCTTCAAGATGTCCTCATTATATGAAGAATGATTGTGGTGATAAGTAGAAATGATTAGAGTCAAAGCGGAAAATGAACAGTATATTATCACTCACTGTGTACCGTGATGAATACGATTGATCTGACCAGAACGAGCAAATCATTCAATCTCTACCCACGATGTATGCCGTCTGAAATTCGCGATTCTCAAAGTCATACTTGTGAACGCAGTGATGGATAGGTAAGTTACTCTACGTTCCAGACGATTGTTTATGATATTCTCACTCGCACGATGAGCGACGAATTGCGACGATTGAATCAAACGATTCACCGTATATTCTTTTGAGCAGGTAAATGGGCAATCCTTTCTCCATATATAAGTAAGAGTACCATGTTGGATGGAGAAGATGATACTGCTGCTGCTGATGACTGTATGAAGTGAAGGCATGTTGTCTGAGAGATGAGACGGAATGAAATGAGTTGAGCGGTTGGATGTGAAAGAATAATCAACCTTGCATGAAATTTAGCGAAAGCGCGTCCAGGTGAAATCGCGACTTTCTCATAATTCAATTACGGATACACCATACATTTCAAAACGCCCACAATTTTTTTAACAACCAATATAATTCATGATAATACATTTTATTTTGATATCTGAATATACGAGAATTCGATTCTAGTACTAAATACAAGATTCACAAAGTTTCAATGTCGTCTTTCGCACAATAAGTCCAACCAGTTCCGAATATCGAAACGCGTCCCTAACTACACTTAAAGACGAACCGCAGACTTAGAATTTGACTCCAGCAGAGGTGCAATATAATCTGCCATAATTGGCACGTTATTTGACGCGTTCTGCATCTGTCAACATGTATTTACCACGCTCACAACTTGCCACATTATATCTCCACCTTCAAAAGACTCATCATCCCTTATCTCCGCCAGTCCTTATCCTAGTTGCTCTCGAACCTGACGCCCTATGCGGATGTCGAATCCTCACCCAACTTCTTAAACGTGATTATATTCCTCACAAGATACAACCAATTGCTGGATATGGAGATCTGGAGAAAGCGGGGAAGAATGTTATACAACCCATGATGGAAAACCATGGAGGTAGTGGGGGTGTTGTGGTTTGTTTGGGTGTTGGAGGCTTAGTCGACTTGGGTGCGTTGTTGGGTTTTGATTCCGAGGCAGACGAGGCTAGTTATGGTGGTGTTGAGGTTTGGGTTGTGGATGCAAGACGGCCTTGGAATTTAGGGAATGTCTTTGGAGGGTTTCCAATGATATCGCATGAGGTAGAAGGCGGGGAAATTATATCAGAACCACCTAAGGGTGTAGTTGGTGGGATGATTGCAAGAAACTATAAGCCAGGCAAAGGAGGAATTATTGTCTTCGACGACGGGGATATTGAAGAAGATATGAAAGCGGAGAAGGATGCATACTTGGCACTGGTGGAAATGCCTGAGATGGAAGATAATGAAGATGATAGTGAGGGCAGTGAAACGGAAGGTGAAAGTGATGGCAATGATGAAACTCCGGTCAAGCTGCCGGGGAAAAAGAGAAAGTCTTGGTCGGATCGAGATGAGGAAGATGATACTGACGTCGAGGATGGTAGACCACGGCAGAGGCGGAGAAGCAACTCGGTAGGTATCATAGAATCTAATAATCTATACCTACTAACAATGATACTAGTCAAGTCCAATTCCAGAATTTCCAACTCGTGCTCCTCAACGTGGACTACTATCACTAAACGATCCGACAATATTCTCAGATTCACATTCACGGTCCGTATCGCCTTCGCCAGCACAACTCCCTAAACCACCCTCCCCGAGAGCATTGCGGCGAAGATTACGAAAATTACGTCGAAAGAATGAAATGGTTCTCCAAACATACTATAATCTCGGTGCATCATATTCCGAACCCATATCTTCAATGATGTATTCCTTAGCGTCAGAATTGGGGAGAGAAGATAATGATCTACTTTGGATGACAATAGTTGGAGTCAGCTCTCAAGAATTATATGGTCGATCGGCAATTGGAATCGCAGTAACTACAGAAAAGTCGTCGCCGTCGGGATGGTTAGGCTCCCGAGGATCACGAACACGACAGCTTCTGCGAGACGAAGTACGACGTCTTAACCCCCCAGAACTTTCTGATTCGGCTTTTAATTCGAATCGGAATTTGTCACCAGAGAATAGTGGCGTAATACCGACAACAGCGCGTAGTCCAACGGATACAAGTATTCGTCTATCGCCAGAGCCAAAATTTCTCCTTATTAGACATTGGAGTTTATATGATAGCATGTTACATTCTCCATACTTGTCAGCAAGATTACACATTTGGTCAGATAGTGGGCGAAAGCGACTACACAAATTACTTGCAAAGATGGGAGTGAGTCTTGTTCAATGCAAGCAAAGTTACACTCATATGGATATGGAACTTAAACGGGGGCTTCGAACAAAATTACTAAAATACTCGGAACTTTATGGGCTAGACGATCTTGTCCCAAGTGCAGACACAGATGGAAGAGATCGCGGAGGCTCAAAGGAAGGATGGGGTTTCGTCAGAAGCTGGGGTTGGAAGGCGACACTCAGTGCTCAGGATGTTGGTGTTGTAGTGGGATCTATCTTGGAGGTTGGGAAGAAGGCAGTCACTACTCCAGAGAATGGTGCTTGGGATCGAAGTCGAGAGACCAAGGAGACTAGTGATGAAGATGGTGCTTTGGAGGGTGAGGAATGGGTTGGGAGGTTTTGGGATGCTTATGATGCCCTCGAGAAGTAGGTTTCCCCCTTGTTGCTTTGTTATATTCCTCCATTATCCCCAAATGCGAGAAGACAAGATTTCAATATTAATTACACCACCAAAACAGAATCGAGGAACTCAAACTCGCCCTTCCCATAGCTCAACATCTCCACCGGGCAATTCTCCGCACAGGAACCTCACTAATCGAAAAACGACAAATCAAACATCTACGTGCCTTCCGCATGGCCGTAGTAAAAGATGGTCCAGATGTCCAACTCTTCACTCATCCAGCTGCGCTTACTAAACTCGCGCTCTGGATCGGTGAAGCAATTGCGGAACAAGAAAGAGAAAGTAAAGGAAAGTTGGGAAATGGTGGGAGAGGTACCCCGTTGGTCGTGGCGGGTTTAAACGAAGCCAGGGGTGTTTATGTGGTTGTTGGTACTGGCGGTGGAGGGGGCGGAATAGGTGGATGGGGATTTGGCGATAAGAAAGCTGCGAGGGAAAAGGCGAAGAAGAAGGAAGAAAAAGAAGCAGCAAGAGCTTTGAAGAGGAAAAACAAAGACAAAATTCGCGAAGACAAACGTGCGGCAAAACAAGCAGCAAGAGCGGAGCGAGGTCAAGAAGAAGATGATGAGGAAGACGACGAAACGGAAGAAGAATCTTCGGAATCAGAATCAGAAGAAGAGGAAGAAGACGAAGATGAAGATGAACAGGAGAGAGGAAAGGGATTTGGGAGGAACAAATTCGGAAATGCGTTCCAAGAAGTTGTAGAGGAAACGAACGCGAGGGTCAGGATTGATAGCTTTGAACATTGTGTTGTGGAGGTCAAGAAGGAGGATTTGGGGGGCTTCTTGGAGAGTTTGAGTTTGAAAGGTGTGGTTGGTTAGGGACTGGTCGGGGTATGAATGGGAGGTAGAGGGTGTAAGAAAAATGGGAACGGAAACAGGAGTGAGGTGTAGATAATGATTACGAAAGCTTGACTAGGCTAGGTTCATATGGGATGGGAATGGATTGCTAAATACATTGCATGGCATTGCACGGCATGGCGGATGAAAGGGTCGGGTCTCTTTGTTCGAGCACATTGGGGTTCATGTATTGTATGAGTATACTCGTTTTTATGGATAGCGCGTTGGATGGATGGATAGCTGGTATGATACTCCCGGGATTAGTGATTGCATAAACGAATGAATCGATTCAAAACACACATACCATGTCTTTATATCATATTCTGATCAGTGTTGATACATGTAAGTTATGCAGTAATGGAGTAAGTAAATGGAGCAAGTAGAATCGAATCTTCTCATCACATACAGGCCCAAGAAATGAATAAAGGCCACGCTCAGCCATCCCCTCCAACTACTCGTGAAAGTCACGAGATATTTCATGTCGCACGGGCCAACTGTGTAACCGATATCCCTACTATATGCACGGCCCTGCTATGTATACACTCTTATTATTTATATAAATATTATATTAAATTGAATTAAAAATTAAAAAAGTAATGAAATTATTTGAAATTTAAAATTGAGATAAATTGATTAAATCAATATAATATTTTTAAATAAAAAATCTGAAATTTTGAAAATTTATAATAATAATATTAATAAATAAGATATTGAATTTTTATATAAGAAGTTATTTATTTATTAATATATTTTATAATAGAATCGAAAATATAAGTATTATTTAAGGAAATTATGAGTTTTTTTAGATTATAATATAAAGTAATTAAAAAAATTAAACTTTTTTTTCAAAATTCTGAAATTATATTAATATTAAAATCTAATAGTTTTTAAAAAGAAAATTTATAAGAGTTAATTATTAATAAAATAATGAATTTATAATATTTAATTTTATTTTTGAATTACATAATAACAATAATCTTTAAATATAGAGAAATATATTAAAGTTTATAATTTATTAATATTTTATTTAATTAAAGATTTAAAAATAAATATTAAGAATTTGATTTGATATAATATTAATTATATATAAGCTTTTATTAATTATTATTGAAAATTTGATTTTTATAATCTTTAATTATATATATTTCCATTTTAATATTAAGAAAAAAGTTATATTAATTAATTTTTGATTTAATAAAGATTTTAAATATTTGAATTTTTAGGATTTATTGATATTAAAATGATTTTTGTTTAGATTTTCTTTTTTTAAAAAATTGATTTAATCATATTTTGATTATAAAAACCTTTTTTTAAAAAATTATATATTATAATAATAATTTTCTAATTAGAATTTTATTATATATTATAAAATCAAGATTTAAATAATTTTAAAAATAGAATTTTAAAAATAAAAGATTTATTTAAAGAATTTCTTTTAATCGAATTAAAATTTATATATTTTAACTTTTAATATAATTTATTTCAAAAAGATTATAATATTCAAAATTTTAATATTCAATAAAAATTTAAATTTGTTTTAAAACTTATTTTTTAATTTTTTTAAGATAATAAAAATAATTAGAAAATCTAATAATTTATATTAAAATCAATTCTTATTACTTTTTGATTTTTTTGATTTCTTTATAAGAATATTAATATCAAAAAATCTATTAAAATATTTTTTATTTTTATAAATAGATTTTAATACATTTTTTATTGAAAATTTATATATTAAAATTATATATTCTTTTTATTTTATTATTTAATTGTTTTTTGTTTTAATAATTTGAAATATTGAAAAATCAAAATAAATAATATTATTAAATTTTAGAATTAAATTTTATTTTATTTTAATAATTTTTGAATTTTAAATTGATTTTTATTTTAATTGAAAAAAATGTGTATATAATAGGGGCGTGTATGTAGTAGGGATATTGGTTATATAAACAATGAATGTATGTTGTTCTCGTCTTATCCAGCCATCATCTTGTTTATTTTATCATCATCGTCTCTACATTCGATGATTGTATATTTCCTTTAATGGATAGTCTTGAGATAGCATGATCGGGGATAATCATGTGCTGGTTACTCACCCAGCCCCCTTGCGTGGCTGTGAGATGGCAGCAGTCTGCCTCTGAATTTGCCTCGCAGTGCATCAGGATGCCAAATTGTTGCAGCCAATTAAACATGGTATACGAGTAGATATATGTTTGATCCCGTCCCTTCAACGTCCCGTGTCTCAGTAAAATATTCTTCCCTGGCATTTGCAGCTCCAGCAGGGCGTACATGACAAGTTCCGTTGTACTATTGCACTGAAAAAGTTATGCGAAACTCGCAAAACTCATGGTGGCAATGCTGCTATTCACGAATAGTTAAGATCACAATCGCATCAAGATTATCTTTTATACCCAACAATTGTTTCTTTTATTGCACTTCTCGCATGCTCATTTGATACTATATAGGTATTTCCCCCAATTTCGTTCGCGCAATACTTTTACTGAGAAATACCTGACAGTTACGTAGGTTCCTCCTTAATACCCAATGGCAGAAATTACAGGCTTGAGTCTAATCCATCCAGGTGACGAATTTGGCAGTCAAGCTCATAGTATCGTCGATATAGTGTTCGTACACGGACTTCAAAGCGCAACCACTGCTAGGTCTTGGGACAATGAGAAGGGACCAGAAAGGCTCTGGTTGTATGATCTTCTTCCTGAAAGCTTACCCACTGCGAGAATTTTTAATTTTGTCTACCAAAGTGACGCGGTTTCCCTTGTCAACTCGAAAGGGTCTGTCATCTCAACTTATGCTGAAAGCTTGCTCGAATCTCTCACAGCCTTTCGAGCCCCACACCAAGAGGCTAGTCTATTTCTATCTCGCGTTGTACACTCTATCTTTCTAAATACCTACGAAGCTTCTCTTATAATTACTTGTACACTATGTCAAATCTAGACATTGTGTAACTAATACTCCAAACAATTTTAGGCTCCACTGCGACCTATTGTATTTCTTGCCCATAGTCTTGGGGGCCTTGTCGTCCAGAAAGCCTTGATTGCCGCGTCAACAGGGGCTCGAGCCGATTTTTTCTCCATCGAGCGTTCTACTGCTGCTATACTGTTCTTTGCTACACCTTGTCATACAGATCACAAAGGTATCATCAACATCCTCCGCTATTTCTCGGGTGTGAGAAAATTTCAGGGAATCAGTGAAGAATTCGTATGCGACTCTCAATTTCAGCACAATCTAAACGATACCTCTGCACAGCTAAGACAAGTTCAAGAGGACTTTAAGCACCTTCGGCTTCAGGAGTCCTTTAAATTCAACACTTATTCTTTCTATGAGGAGCTACCTGTCGCGAACTTTGGAATGGTAAGTAGCAAAAGGCCTTGACGGGGATATACTGATTAACCAAACAGGTGGTTGACGGTACATCATTGAAAAGTTTTTCAAATAGCGCTCTGCTTCATTCAGACCATCAAGTAAGATCCAGAGCTCTCCGAACGATTGTCCTGGTATCACAACGTCTAATATGTATCTTAAGACAATCTGCAAGTTCACAAGTGTCGGTGAACCAAACTTCAAGCGAGTATTAGCAACACTCAATATAATCCTCAACCCAAGCGCAGAGTGCGTACCGAACCTGCAAAAACATCAGCAAGGTGTGTAAATTCGGATTGATTTGTTGAATATTGTATAACTATGACAGAAATACTTCGTTGGCTGGCAACAAAGAGATCACAAATTGCCATCTCTACAGCACCTGGATCCGGCAAGTGGCTTTTGGAAAATCGAGAGTTCAGGTCATGGCTATCGAGTGACCAAAATTCTATCTTGTGGATCCAAGGAAGCCCTGGTGCTGGCAAATCAACACTCGCTGCCAACTTTGTGAAAGAATTTAAAAATCACTCTTTGGAAGACCGGCCCGCGATTTTTCTCTATCATTTTTTCCATTACGGATCCCCTGAAACTTCCGCGAATGACCTCCTGCGCTCTTTGATCTTCCAAATCATGTCAAAAGATTCGAGTTCCTTGTCAGATCTGATTTATTTGCTTGACCAAAAGCGAAATTATTATCACAAGGTCGAAGAGCCCCGCAATAGCTGGGGAGAGTGGATTTCTCAAGCGGTACTCACAGAGGAATTTCTAGCAACATGTTTAGAAGCAGCCGCCAAAGCCCATCGATTATATATCATCATTGACGCCCTAGATAAATGCCCCAACGGGGAGATATCTTCCGTTATTTCTCTTTTGTATTTTTTCAGTTCGATTGTCTTGGAAAATCCAATCAAATTATTCATTACAGGTCAGCCTGGTTTGATGTACGAAGAAGCACTCTCCGATTTACCACATCATAAAATCGTTCTAGAGAATGAAAACCAAACCGACTTACAACAATTCGTCTCCTACAAAATGTTAACAAAATTTCCAGATTTTCCCAATCAGAAGCAGGTCTCCAATACATTATTAGAGCGAGCATCTGGTACTTTTCTTTGGGTCAAACTTGTCATACATAATCTACGAGAGTTTACACATTACGAAGAGAATGACACCAAAATATCAATTTCCCGAGTTCCCACAAGCTTAGATGATGTATATAACGCCATTTACGAATTTGTACTTCGGGCGGAGTCAAGGGCTGCACTGAGACTTCTAGGTTGGGTTGTGTTTGCTAGACGGCCGTTTTCGCTGAGGGAATTGAAAGTTGCTTTGGACGTCTATCAACGGTCAATACCAGCATCAAGTCAAAGCTCATGGCATATTACTCAAGATCAATCACTATCGCCATACCGAGCTAGTATTGATGTTCTAATCGCAACCTGTCATGGACTATTAGAGGTTGAAGGACCGGATGGAATTGTTTCCCTTGTTCATCTAAGCGCTCGAGAATTTTTGATATCAAGAGCCGCCTCGGAGACTTCTCAGCTAGGGTATTCTGATGGCCAAATACTTTAACAACACGCACATTTCTATTGCCGAAGTATGCGTCACCTATTTGGCAATTAGATCTCTCGACGACAAATCAGGTGTAAATTTTGATCTCGACAATTCCGGTTTCTTGCAATATGCGGTCGTTCACTGGGTCGAACATGCAAGAGCAGCTGATCGCTCTGGCGTATCGTGTCAGGTTCTTTTCAAAAGTTTGGATTCGTTGTCCCCAAAATTTCTGAAATTTTGGATTACCCAATATCAAATGCATGTAAACTCAAGGAGTTCCTCGAAGTACATGCTAGAAGGATGGACAGCTCTCCACATTTCCGCTGCTTTTGGAATTTACAATCTTGTTGAAACTATTAAAGAAGTCGGAGAAGTACAGAGCTTTGATACCAGAGACGCGTATGGGCGTACTGCCTTATCCCTGGCCGCTGAGAATAACCACGTATCTGTTCTTCAACTTCTCCTAGAAACAGGAGCAAGCATCACCACTCGAGACAATCTTTATGGTCTTACTCCACTGGAATGGGGAGCTTTACAAGGCAATGTTGAAATAGTCAAGATACTTATGGAAAAAGCGGTTTCTTGGTCCGGCGCTTCCTTACTTTCTATCGCGGCAGCAAGAAGACACGTGTCGCTTGTAAAATTCCTACTGGAGAAAGGTGCCAATATTAACTCCATAGATCAGTATTGGGGATGTACGGCTCTTCACCTTGCTGCCGGGTATGGGCATACAGCTATTGTATTTCTACTTCTTGCCCGTGGTGCCGACCCGAATATTATCGATAGGTCTAAGGGGCACACGCCGCTATACTATGCGATATACAAGGGTCGACACGAAACAGTCAAGGTTTTGCTGGATTATGGCGCCAGAATGGGTGAACCATCTAAGAAATCATTTGCATTGACTGATACACCCCAATCTACTTCTTGGCCTGATAGGGTTGGTAGATCAATTTTGGGAGATCTAGCAATCAGACTACGCACTTGCACGCAAGGGTCGGAGGCTAATGGACAGTCAAGTTCTGGTAATTTCAATAATGGCACTTCTGGAAACTCTGGTAATGGACGTAAGAAAAGATCACATCAGGACTTTCAAAGTGACGGTTCTGGTGGAAATGGTGGCTTTGGCGATGGACCCAACAAACAACCTGCGTTAGAGCCCACTTCTTCAAAAAATCCTGCTATGAGTGATCTTGGGTTAAATCTTGCTTGCCCCTACTTTAAGCATGATCCGGGAAGATACGGAGCCAGCAGGGCTTGCCGTGGGCCTCCGGGCTACCCAGATATCAACAGACTAAAGTAGGACACGCTACTTGTCATAGATTCGGCATGCTAACTTTGAGCTAGGCAGCATCTGTACAAGGCACATTCACTAAAGATATGTCGAAGATGTCATTTGATTTTTAACGATGAGATTGAGCTCCAAAACGAGATTGAGCTCCAAAAGCATTATGATTCTCTAGTATGCGCTGCGATGTTTCAACGGGACTACGCCGATGGCTTTGATGAATCTCAGCGTGATAAGCTCAAAAGGCGAACCGAGAAGAGGAACCACCCGGACAAGGCGCAGTATTGGGCAGCGGTGTACAGAATACTATTTCCAAACACCGATGATGCAAACATGCCAACACCATGTAAGTGACTTATAGCGCAGGAAATTTAAACACTACCTGATTTCTGAGTACAGGGCATGAGGAAAACATAAACAGAAGGCAATATGACGAGTCTTGTGCTCTTTCGCGACTTCAGGATCCCACCCTCCGGAACGAACTTTCCCAACATGTTCAAAGCCAAGACGCAATCAGTGCTATATTAAACATCATCAACAGGCATCAAACCGAATCTTCCAGGACGATCACTATTGGAACGATTCCGAGAGGATCTTCGCAATTTCCAGAGCGACAGCATCCCAGGACTTCTCAGAATGACTTGTATCCACAACCACCTCTTGGACGAAATCTACTTGGTCATGACAACATTACTATGATGCCTTTCGATTCCTCGCTACCTGACTTCATGATGGAGCCTTCCAGTGACTCTGGCTTCTACGAAGGCTATTCAATTGATGATGAATTTATCCGGGGTACTCTAACGGAGGCTACTGGATCCATGACGGGGGAGCACGAAACTGCGATAAACGCGACAATTCTGACCCAACACCATTTACGAACTCCCGGAGCGCGGATAAATAGCGAGAATACAACTCAAACTCAGCAAGTACATGCCTCAAGCGAAAATCCTTTAAGTGCGTCCAGCCTTCACAATATCTTTGATCTGGATCAAAATCAGTATTTGCAACTACAAAAAGATCCCATCTTTAACAACTACCAAGAACAAGACCATAACACAGATGCAGAAGATAACAGCACCTGATAGGGAGTAGGTTTGATTCAGCAGTATCTTTAGCCAGTGTCGTAGTGCCGACGATAGAAAACTCCATGCGACGGGTATGAAGAGTTTTATAGTAACAAAAAGCAGATTGCAAGATGAAATTTTACACTAAAAATTAATAACTAATACAACAGCAAACAAAATTGTTTTAAAACATTCTCATGTGTCTGCCAGCCATGATCTCTGAGGAAAAGAGATAAAACCATTGCGATGGACTAAGTGACATCCTACAATCCCAAGTATTTCCCACTTCTTCTCCTTGACGGTTTAGTTCTCCTCCATCTCTCAATTCTACATCTATCAGAGAAAAAGACATCGAGGGAGCTTGGAATAGTAGTGATAGGTTTTACTTCTAATATGTACTGGTCATAGTATACATTCCGCTCTCCCATGCCCGTACCTCACAAACTCACTTCCCACTCTCTAGTGTGTGCTTCACCCCTTCAATCCTCCTCATCGCTATTCTTACTTATGTGATTTCTCAAACACCCCCATCAGATCTTTCAACACCCCTTCCATTTTCCTCTCACTCCTACTACTGGAAGAGGCGGGCAAATTGTTCGCCAAACGCTCGATGGCGGTACTGGGACTATGAAGGTAGTGTGATAGCATTGGCGTTTTGTTTTCTGCTGGGAGATTTCTGTGATGATGAGGAAGGGGTTAGATATCGTATTATTTGTTGCACGGTGGTTTGACAAGGGGGGTTTATCGAGGAGGATGGTATTATGTGGAGATTGGAGCGATGAGGATTTCTTACTTGATAGAGCTTTCCACGCTCGTTTTAGTCTGGGCTGGGAGTTCCTGCGGTGCCATGGTAGGGATAGGAGGGGTAGCTAGCTACAAGCTGTATGATGTAAATTTCTATATTGGAATATCAGTAATTGATGAATCAATTGGCTATTCTGAAAGTGACGAAAACAGACCTCGCGTCAGGGCAAGTTTTTTAGTGTCTCTTTTCACGAGTATTTGCGACAAGTATAGAGTGTTTGATCACATTTGAAATCTGATATTTGTCTCAAGAGCGTCTTTATGTATTGGGAAATATCGATGGTTAAAAGTGCGGAGCAATTTACATGTTGTGCAACTCGTCGCAATACTGAAATTTCTGTTATAGTATATTTATATTGCAAGTTCGTGGAGAAGCCAAGACTTGCGCTGGATGAGTTATATCAATGGAGTATGATGGGGCTAGCGAGAAGAAGACAAGACGCAGAAATTCTTAACTATCCAGTAATTGTCGCTTTCTCCAAGACTTGTAAAGTGTGCGCAAAGACCTTTTCTCGCCAACCCTTTTCTCGATAGCAATCTAATGCATCATTCGAAGAAGTGATGACCTCGCTTTTGTCATCTATCCTCCACGTTTTCCCTCTTTTAAACCTACCACTTGTCAAGAGAAACGCCTGCCTGGCACCACACTCTGCTGTTGAGATACCAAAGATCTTCTGTATCACACTGAAGAAAGTGCCAATGAGCGGCACCAATATCTTTCCTAACAGACCAAAAGAGTCTGGTGCAGTTAAACGAGAAAAATTGTCGCTAGCTACCAACCCAGGGAATGAGTGTATAAGAGTGATATTTTGGTTTGCGTCACTGTACGACAGATATTCCAATCCTAGCGTCATCATCGTGGTAGCGTGGTTAATAGCTACGCGAGGGCCAAAGTTTTGAGGATTCTGAAGACCGATATCTTCATCTTGCATTATCTGCTCTTGTCCCGCGTTGAGGACGCTCAAAACACGCGCACGTGGAGAACAGCGTAGCAATGGGAGAAGATTAGTTAGGAGTCGCATGCGTGTATAGTACGACAGGGCGAAGGTTATTTCCAAACTTTCCTTCGTGTCTGTAGATTATTAGATACAGATAGCATAGAAGGGAAGAGTTGATGAGGTTGCATACATTGGGGTACATTCAAGGGAATGCATCCTTGGCTCATATACAAATAATCCACCCTCTCTTCAACATCCAAGATCTGCTTACACGCACCATCGATGTCGGAAATCAATGACATTTCGACTTCGAGAAACACAAGCTTCATTTGAGGGTTTAGACTGAGGAGCTTCTCGCGTTGAGTAGCGAATCTCGTCGCTGATCTCCCCAGTACGTAAAAAGTGGGGGATTGCAACATCTCTGCTAGTGCCTCGAGAGTAGAAGCACCGATGTTGCTTGTTGCTCCAGCAAATACACATATGAGACCTTGGGGACTGTCATTGCTTTTGCCGAAGCTAGCGTTTGCTTGGTAGATTTCTGGAATTTTCACCATCTTTGGTGATTTGAAGGGGGAGAGGGATTTGATTGTGGTGGACTTCCTTCAGTAAAAGAGCTCCAGAGCAGGAAATCAAGGCTGCTTGGAAATGATCGGGGAATGTGAGAATTGCCATTTAATATCATCAATGAATCTCCGTCGTCCGGGGTGTATCTCCGTCAGCTAATAGCATCCATTCACTGCGACCCTTTCTTCGGCTTTCTGTCTCGTCATTGAAATAGAAAGGATATACCTCTATCCTATCCAAAAAAAAAAATCGATTAGAAGAGAAATTTCTTTATTTTAGATCTCGGGGTTTTGGTCGACCATACAAAAATTCTACATGGTCGACCGTGAGCTGTGAGCTGTGAGCTGTGGTGCCCAGCGGGTTGCTTTGGTCACTACAAAACTATGCTTATGTAATGATGAGGTCGGCATTTCTATGCCGATCCTCCGTCGATAACCTCAAGCGAAACAAACCAACTTCACCCAAATCATCTTCATGAACTTTCCGATTATGAGTTCGTCGATTATATCTTTATCTTGAGAATTTACACTGATTACCGTTATATCGTACTTATACACAACTTCGTTCCCTGAATCGTGATGTTCAACTACATGTTCAAGATGCTTCCTGGCGCCTATCTGATCCGTATCGTCACCTATTATCGATATACATATTCATCTGCTATGTAGACTTCCTTCAACCGAGAGCCAATTCGGTCCTCAGTTATTGTGGATACCAGGGCGCCTAATTTGTTCTATTCGGAAAGTATTTGAGACGCCAAACTATCGAACACGGATACGGCGGTGTATAGTGGTGGCCGGCCATGTTGGCCACAGCCTGCCTTAACCTTTAACAATATACATCATCATTCGTTATTGCCTTCGGACTCTCTTTGCCATGGTCGTCTTGCAGGTCTTTATGCAAGAAGTTTTTCTCGTTTAGGGTGGCGGTCATGAAGGCCTGGTCTTGATCTCCAGCAGTTCTTTCCGCAGTCAAATATTAATACAACGAAGGATTCTCTCTGTTGGATTCCTAACATTTTCCAACATCAACTTTCGTTTGATTTCAAGGTTTGTACAGCTTGTTCTATACTTACAACATTCTTTTTTCTATCTCCTGGCAAGACTTTCCAAGTCCTGTTTTCTTTTCTAGGGCGATTTATTCTAGTTGCATAAGTTGAGGTTAAAAGTACTAATCCAACTCCTTGGCCCAGTTTTCTTTCATTTCTTTTGATTCTTCTCTTTGTTTCACTGGTAAAAAGGATTCTTCTGTTCCCATACGGGAATCATGACGTGTTTTCGTCTTAAGTAGATCGAGGTAATATTTTACTGCCTTATGACTTAACGATCGCATGAACCGCGATACACTAACTTGGAATAGCTCTCACATCTCGGTATGGGGTTTCTGGACTTTGTCTTACGCAAAATAAAGGGTTCCCGCCATGAGAACCATACCAGTCACACACAAAAATCATCGAAGAGCAACAAGACTGACACAAGCTACCAGAGTGAAGTGACGAATAATGGATCTTCAAGAGGTCATCCACAGGATCCGCAAAATGCAAGAAAAGTTCACTCACCACGCAAAATTGAACATCGAAATGAAAACTCCGGCCAGCCCCATCACGTACATAAAACACCTTATTCGATCGAGAAGCAAATCAAATACATCGAAAAACACATCTATGACTGGAATAAAGAAAACCCCCCTAGTCGCCACGTTAAAATCGATATCATTATCCTTCAAGGTCTACTCGACATTAACCAGAATTTGACAGAACCAAGATCCAGCTCTCAAATTAGATTCATTTGTAACCCTGAGAAGGTCTGGGGCAAATTGAATTCAGAACTACTACAAATTGCATGCAAGGAAAGGAAGTGGCACCCAGATTTTTTGTGGTCTCCTTATGATTTGGATGAAGATGTCCAAAAAAGAATGTTTAAAGAAATTGCTAAAGATGACCCGGTCTACAAGACGAATAAGAAAGTCATGATAATACGAGGACCCCCACGGGATTATCGGATATGTCAGCGCATTGATCGTCTTCGCGGTTGGGAGTCGAAACCTGATCTATACAATTCCAAGTTGAGTAGAATAGTGGAAGATATTGAAAGTTACATCAATGAACAGTTGGAAGGCGCACGGTCCAAATCGAAGAAGGGCACCATCACACCGCGATACTTGATTAAAAAATGGCAGAAAGATTATCATTTCGAATTTAGTAAGGTGCTGCGATCGCTAAAGAACAACAGTGTGGAACGATCGAAACCGAGTGAACATAGCGGCACAAAAAGTCATGAATCTCACAAGGTAGATGGACCACGTGATTCTGCCATTTCCCTTCCAAACACCGGTCGACGAGCTCTATCTAAATCAAAAGGACCAAAGCCATCAAATCATGGATCCGAAAGTGATACATCTATATCTACACGTCCGCGCCGAGTGCATCAGCAACACAATTCTGCTGTATCACCTTCAGGCGCCGGTGAACGACCTCCGTCTAAGTCACGTGCACATAAACTATCAGATGATGTTTCCGACAGTGACCCATCTATACATCCGCGACGACGTAAACCAAAACCTTCCCAGCCGCTTATTCCAAGTAAGCCTCAAACCAAGTCAAATCGCGATAATTTAGCAAAGACCGCTCCTCATACACGACCGTCAATAACGATTCAGTCGCCAAGTAAGGACGGAGGAAGGTCCTCTAGTAAATCTCCACATAGAAAACTTCATGGACGCTCGCCTCGCACCCCTCGTACACCTCAAACGCCTTTAAATAAAAGCCCAGGAAAACCATCTTTGCCTCCGTCTTTATATCAGTCAGATCATGGCCGTCAGAAATCTCCTGCACGGCCTCGATCTAGCGACCGCAGAATTATGACTCAGGAAAGGAGTCATCGAGACTTCCTAGATCCTATTACTAGCCAATCGCAATCACAATCTTACCCTCACGCAAATAGCAATGAAGTGAGGCCAAGGAATAGTTATCCAGATCTATTCAACAATAACCCTAATTACTCTCAACAGCAACAAAATTCGAACTCACAACTACTCTCGCCATACGTCAACACGAAATACGGATACCCGAGGCCGTCAAATGAAGATACAAACTTGCCATCACCTCCAGACGCAAAAGATATGTCATGGAAAGATGGTCGAACGCGCGAGCAAATAGAAGAAATACATAGACAAGAGTACAAGAAACTCAGGTCGGAGGACGGCATTAGTTGAATAGTTATAGCTCATGAATCTTCATGAGTGTTTTTATGGTTATTTATTTAGATTTTGTACATAGAAACTTATTTTTCAAGTCACAAAGAAAATCATCTCCCTTTCTACGACCTATGCTAATCACCTGTGGCATCTAGGATTGATGCACGTCATCCAGCCACTCGAATACTTCGAGTCACCTTTTCTGAAATCAAAATTCTATTCTGGCTTTGCTATAATTGTATATCCTTCCGTCTACTAGATGGTCCTCCTTTCTCATATATATTAATCCGCATACAATTTGAGGAGTGGCATTTTCGATGAATATTCCGGTAAATTCCCTGCCTGGTTTTCTCGCCTCTCAATAAATTGTGGGTCTGTTAAATGTTCAATCAAGGTTCGATACGCAGTTTACCTTATGCATCATGAGCGTTAGTTATCTTGAAAAGTACCTAGAGTCCTATCAACATGAAAAAGAAGACGGAAATCCAAGGAAATATAATGCTGACTGCTTAGACTTGATGAATCACTTTTTGAAGTTTCGTGAATACTCCGGAGTTCTTGCGACCGAACGCCAATTTCGCTAAATTTAGGGGCTGTACATAGTATTACACTATCCTATTCCTTTATCGAGGAATTGCGATATTGGTATCAATGCCTCCGAACCATGTTACGCAGTCTTGGACTTCCAAAAAAAATTACCTTCCTAATTAGACGCGATCCACAAATAAATTGCTTATCCCGGCTCGGATCATATCATCAAGCCAATTAGATTCGGCATGAACGAAGCACCGTTCGGGATACGATAGAAACTTTGGTATAAGAATCATTTATACCTGCAACACTAGCACCAATGATTTTACGGCGTGAGTCACTGTCATAGGATTACCCCGCGATCCAATTTTGGTGAACATTGAAATATATATCCACCCAGTTCTATTTCTATAAATATCACACTAATACTTGATCTATCTCTGTATATGCCCAAACCACCAAACTCCCAAGCACACTTACCCTCTATTCAAAAAACATGTCGACCACACGTCTTACAAGTAAAGACATCGGATATGTTCCCGGGCAACTCCCGCCAGGACCCAAAAACTCCATCCTCGATGTTCCAGGTCCGTTACCCTCAAACCTCATGTCACGAGAATATCACCCATTTTTAAGTAGAGCAAAATATTCTAACCTTAATTAGGAGTCTATGTCGGTCAGAATACCGTCGGAAATGATGGCGACGATGCCCGTAAAGGCGTTACTGTTATTTTCCCCCGCCATCCTGATGATATCACTATTCCCTGTTATGCGGGGTTACACACGCTTAACGGAAACGGGGAATTAAGCGGAAACTACCAGATCAAAGATTGGGGATATTCTAATACCGTAAGACTCTTTTTTATCCCAGCCAATGGAAAAAATCAAAGATGTTCGAACAAATAATCTAATACACCAACAGCCAATCGCAATAACCAATTCCCTCTCCCTAGGAACCGTCTACCAAGCTCTCTGGCAGCGCGTTCTGGATCTCGCCGCCAAAAAAGAATCTCCCATTGAAGAAGTCTCTCATAATTACGGTACACCCATTGTAGGCGAAACCGCCGATTTCATCCTCAACGATGTGTATAAATCGCCATTAACTCTCGAAGAAGTAAAACCTGCGTTTGAGAATGCGATGACGCAGGGAGAAGTTCAGGAAGGTCAGTATGGAGGGGGAGCTGGTATGACTTGTCATTTGTTTCCGGGTGGGACGGGGACGAGTTCGAGGGTTTTTGGAGAGGTGCCTTGGGAGAGTGGGGAGGGGGAGAAGAAATTTACGGTGGGTGTGTTGGTGCAGAGTAATTATGGACATTTGAGAGATTTTATAGTTGGTGGTGTACCGATTGGAAGGTTGTTGTTGAAAGAGAGTAAGGAGTTGGAGGAGAAGGAGAGGGCGAGTGAAAAAAACGGGAAGATTGGGGAGGGCAGTATCATCATTATTTTGATGTGGGTTTTCTTCTACAGTAATAGTATGATGTATATGAGTCGTACTTACATAACAATAGTACCGATGCACCACTTCTTCCTCATCAGCTCAACCGCGTTGCTCGTCATTGCGCTGTAGGACTTTCCCAAGTCGGTGGCCATGGCGTTGGCCGCAATCACTCCGGGGATATAATCCTCGCTCTCTCGACCGGCAACAGACCTAACGAGACGGTCGGTACACCACAAGTCAACGGACTCTCAAAGATCGAAATCAACGATATTAAAGTCATCCGAAATGAAAGTATCGAGACACTCTTCCGAGCCGCAAGTGAAGCTACTGAAGAAGCGATTTTGAATTCGATTATTGCAGGAAGAAATGGGAGAACGGGTGTAAATGGGTATAGATTGGAGGGATTGCCTGTGGAGAAAGTGAAAGAGTTCGTGGAGAAGTATAGAGTGAATATTGATGATGAGAGCTGTCTTTCTTCGGGGGAATATCTTACGTTGCCAAATAAGGGTGTGCAGTAAGATTATTCTTCTGTTTGAAATGAAGAGATGAATTGTCTAAAACCTACAGATGAAAAGATAAAACTTATGTACCTGCCTCTCAATGGCATAATGCACGGTTTTATGCTTCTCTCCCTTGATCATTCACGATGTGCATGGTGATACTTTGAGAAGTAATTGTATTATTTGGCCGTATGAAATTTCTATACGGTGATTGCCATGAAAAATGTAGTACATTTAGAATGTGATTTCATGATACACAGATTGTCGACAGAACCTCCTCGTATTGATGAGTGATTTTTATCAGTAGCATTTGAATCGAGTGCCAAAAACTCAAGAAAGTCAAATACCCAAGATATTTTTGATTTCCCGCGACACCCGAGATAGGATCACAGCAAGCCTTTCAATTAAACAAAGAGTTTAAACCCTCCCGTAGCCCCCTTCTGAAAAATACCTAGCGGATCATGCTTCTTACTTGCAGCTTGAAGCTTCGCCTTATTCACCGCTCCATACCCATCAATCGGATCTTGCCAGTTCGCCGCATAGTTCAGATACTGCCAGTCGTTGTAGAATCCAGATGTCTTGGCATACGCATCAATCGTGTCGAACATGTTTTTGGCAGTATTATCAACAACAGTATCATCGGCGATATTGCCCCATGTTGCAGTAAGAAGAGCAACAATTAGTGGACCATCCGCGGGAGTTACACCAAGGACATTTCCACCCGCAGAAGCTGATTTCGCGGGAATATTAACGGGAACTGGTTCAAATGATAGTGACCAGGTAATATTGGAGAGTGATTGAATGGAGGGAAGAGCGGCGTTCCAGGTGCTGTAAGTTGCATTTATCATTTGCTTACTGGCTTTGAATGTTGTTGTTATGAATAATGTTCTGTGAAGATGTTAAAACAAGCTCGTCAGGAAAAAGCCAGAAGTTTGCTGAAAGACAAACCGTAATTGATTAAATGTGCCTCCTGTTTCGCTTCCAATGTCGGTTAAATTTGTAATTCTCAAAGTGTTGGAGTATTGAGGCTGAATTGCCGTGAAGGGCTGGTATACTACCGGATTTGCGAAAGGCTTAGTATATACAATGTTATTCACAACCACGGAGCCAATGCTAGGTTGAAATGCAAAACTCGTGATCAAAGAAGCATACTCATCATAAGCTAGGTTGCTGCTGAAATCTGCCAAAGCGTTGATCTGTTGGTCCGCGGTAGTTGCTGGATACAAAATATTACCGCACCACAACTTGCCTTGTTGAAAAGCATAGAAATCGATTCGGGTAACTACACCTAAATTATTGGAGCCGCCTTTCAAAGCCAGATACAAATCTGGATTCTGATTTGCATTTGCGTTGACAATTTTACCGCTTGCAAGGACTATTTCGAAGTTCTTGACATTGTCACATGTGAATCCTTTCCTGGGAGAGAAATAGGATATTCCACCTGTGTAGGTGAGTTGGTTGATTGATTGGAAACGTAAAGAAAGTGGTTAGCTAAACTCACCTCCAACGGTCAATCCTCCAACGCCAACTGAGTTGACTCGTCCACCAGGAACAGCAAGTTGTAAAGCATCTAACTTGAGATAAACTTCTCCCCATTTTGCTCCTGGACCCACCGATACCACAGACTGGTCGGTGCTAACATCTATGAGATTAAGAGGACTCAAATTTATCGTTACTCCTTGATTGATGTTGGCCTGGCTTACGCCTGGTGCATGGCCCCCGGATTTGATAGCGAATTGACATGACGGACTCCAATTGGCAAGTTTTCCCAGAATAGACAGAATACCGACTGAAATTGAGACGTCTATTGTGGATGTTGGTGATACAATACAACCTGGAGACAGTTGTGATTCTTGATGGGAATAGAAATTGTTCAAAAATGTACTGTACGCTGATGAACTTGGGTCCGAAACTTTCGAACCCAATGCCAATTGGAGAGCTTTGCACTATATAATGAGGTTGGCAATTTCTAATCAGAGTATGAGAGCAGGCAAGATAATTTGAGTGATCTCATATTTATCAGCGATCAGACAAAGCCGTGGAGCTGCTAAATCCAAACAGAGATACTTACGCAAATGTTCACATTTGTAGTTGGAGATTTTGTAACACTGGCAACAGCCGAGTTAATGGTAGCATTCGCATCATCTGCGTTTGTAGCAACGGAGAGAGCATATAATAGGGGCAGGACAAATGTGATGGACAACATTCTGATGAAAGGAGAAGCTTGAAGTATCAAACACCTTCCAGCCGGAAACATCGGAGATCTTATGCTTAAAATCTCGGTATTTAAGTTGAGGAGACTTCCCGCTCCCTGACAAAAGTTAACGCCCTTACATGCTTTTATTATCCGTTTGCAAGGATTCTCCACAACAACTTCGTGTGTCGATCGCTCCCAATGCTTACTTGAATTGCAAAGCAATCTAGATCCCCCTGCAAAACACAAGAAGAGATATCTTGGTAAAAAACGCTGACCAGAGGATGAGTCTGATTTGCAGACATCAATCCGAAAAACTTAAAGCTCTCAGCACTTGACACCGCTTTCCAATCTACACCACGTGTGATGGCCAAGCAGCCATAAGATACGCCTCAAGCTTTTAAGGCTTATGGCTTTTTCCCCCCAGCACATCAGAATTACGAGTGGCTAGATATACGCCAGATACATTGAAACTTGGTATGATTATCTCTGGATGATATATATCTTTGATCTACCCGCAGAGCGGGCTACCCAATATATTTTGCAGCGATATCAAAGGGGTTTGTCTTATCTCACATTCAAACCCTCTTCGTCGATAAAACGTTTTTAATTAGATTCGTATTAGATTCATATTGATCTTTTTGGTGTTGTGGCTTACTAATGATCGAATTTTTTTCGGCCAATCAGGGATCGGGGGGAACGTTTATCTCCTACGGTGAACCTTCGGAATGCCCCTGCCTCGAAAACAAGGCCTCAAGCCTATTTTTATTATGTAATCACCGTGTGGTCGAGCTAATTAGTAAGCCACATGTGACCAATCCCCGAAATTCCGACACATCAATCTTCATCAACATCACTCGTGTTGCTCTGATCTCACATCTTCTATTTTTACGTCAAATTCCATACTGGATATCTTCCTCACATGGTACAACTTTTACTCCTGCACTCAAATCATTAGGATCTTGAAAACTCTCTCAAAGATCAACAGTGACATTCCACACCACATTATCACACTCTCATTGATGGAGATATTAGCCACGATTTCCTCAAGCCCATGGCCATTCTAAACTGTTCAATAAGCCAGATACTTATCGTGGTTTTGAGGAATTGAAAAGTTGCAGTTCAAAAGTCCCTAGCTATCCAGAACATAGGTCAGATTCTTCATGACGACCCTCGACAATAAGTCACTATATATTTTTAATGTTTGGCATGCACTGGGATTGCAAGATTATGGAGTAATCTCTGTTTATTTATGGAAAAATGTACGTGGAGAGGCAAATAAAGGAACGCTACCCCGTGGAATCATACATCTTGAGATAGCCATGCACCTGACTAGTCAAGTAAAAAACCATTGCGATTTGATTCATATATCTCTCCATTCATTGGCAACTCCGTTTCAGATATCTCTTCATGTGAGAATTGCTACTTAGTACATGATATCTGCTTCTGTCTATGACAATTGTTTGTCAGTGATGGTGTACGTCTTTGGGAGAATAGTGCACTTACTAAAATCTGCCGCTAAAATCCAATCTTTCTCTACGGACTACTTCTACAGTAGGGAGAAAATTCTTTATGCCAAGACTTCGCACTTTCTCGCATAATCGCTCAGCTCTCGTATTGCCCGCACTGTACTCTAATCTATCCACCTCCTCGAGCACGATCTGAATTCGTATATTGACCACACTTGAGGCTGCAGCCAGTCGATCGAGCCACTGTTGTAGTGGTTCAGTCGATGTAGCATAAGAAATAAGGTCAATGTTGCCAGGTGAAGGTGTGACAATCAAGTTTCGAAAGCCGTCCATACTCAACAATCGAAGTGGAAAATCTTGACAGTGGTCCCGTCCCACAACCCAAAGAGTATCCTGTTCGATATCAAAGTACACAGGTCGTCCTTGCAGTAATTTTCCAAAGCTAAGCTTGTATCTCTTTTGGGCGATTTCTCGTGAATCATGACAGATATGAAGCAAAGTCGGAATATTGGCTTTGTATTCATGTCGTGCAGTAAGGATAGAACCTAGAAATTCTCGAACTTCAGGCCGATTTACTTTGTATTGCCACCAATATAATTTGAGTTTAACGGTTCGAGGCTTGATATCATCGAGTGCGTACTTCCAGATGGCTAATTGTAGTTCTTTGGGTAGAAACTTGAACAATTTGAAGGCGCGGAAGCTTTTGGGAGGAGAGCTTTTGACAATTTTCCGGGACTTCGCTTCTCTGATGCGAGATTTGATTCCAGAGTGGGCTATTAGGCTCAGATATCTGCCGCTCCAGAATGATGCTACTGGGATGCAACAAACTACACCACATATGACACAAGCTGTAATCTTCGCGGATTCAAGGGCATAGAGGTGTATTTTCGAGAACTTAAAAGGCATGTTGAGCGTTGGTCAATTGACACGTCTATCAATTGACTTTTAGATTGTCTTGAAGGTAGTCAAAAAGATTGTTTTTTAAGGAAACTTGTGGCTATTCTGAAGTCTTTCAGCTTTTCTGCTTCAAGACTTATTTAGAAAAGTTGTAACCGTATGATTGAACTACTAGAAATATTCACCTGTCACAAACCGTTGACTTATTTGTAGTGAATCTCAAATATCTTTCTGTGATTTTTGAGGTAAGGACATTGCAAGATTGTTATTGATTGAACTCTGGATAAATCCCAATTTGCCTTGGGATTGGTGATTGAAAGAAAATATGAATACAAAACTTTCATTTAAAAATACTTCAAGCCATGAGAGCAAGGCTGTACTTCAGAGAGATGTGATGACTGGTGAGGAAGCGATACAGTCAGAACTTACCTGGTTCCAATGACTCGGTACTGTAACACTAAATCACCCCCTTGGTTAATACACAAATAAACAACCTACTTTTGTAACAATCCTCTTGTCAATCACCACTCTTACATCAACACAAGACTATTAGATTCTATCAAGGTTTTGATTCCATGCAGCCAAGATAGCATCAACCTTAATCGTCAATAACGAAAGATACGTCCTTCATCAAAGAGACCAAGGAAGTCTTTCACTACATTCAATCAGACAACCTTTCTCACAAATTGATTGCATTTAAACCAAGAAAACAACATCAATAATCCAACCAATATCCATAATGTCACAAGCTCATTCTCAAGACAAACATCATCCCGATAGCCATGGCCAAGATAGCCATGGTCAATCCGATGCCCAAGATCAACCCCGAAATAGCGATCAACCTCAAGCCTTAGTTCAACCTAACTCGTTTAAATTCCAAGTTGATATTGATGCTGGCAATTTTAGCTTCTTTTCCAAGCTACCTCTCAAAATACAACGCAACATTTGGGAGATTGCTGCTGTCCCAAAACCTCGGGTCATTGAAATTGAAACAATTTGTGAGCGAGATGCTGAAGGAAAAATTCATCTCACTGATGACGACGATGATAATATTGTAGAATGGAGTCCTACACAGTGTTCACCGACACCGTTACTTGAAATCTGTCGTGAATCACGGTCGATTGCCATGAAGCATTATAAATACTCTAGCTTCCTCGATCGTCCTCTATTTTACAACACAGATCTAGACACTCTGTGGGTTAGAGGAAATCCGCTTTTCAGATGCTTCGTTGTTGAATTAGGATTCGAAACGACACTAGAAGTTTCATCTTGGCACAGATGTTCTCCCGAATCGGTGCCATACCTTTTTCGCTCTGTTGCCCTTGACTTTGCGGGAATCAAAGCACATCATAAGATTTTTCCTTGGGAGGGAAATGTACCGCAAGACCCCAATCTTTGCGAGCTTTATGCTGTCTCTAGAACAGAGGTGGAAGAAGTCTACATTGTTTACTCTTCTGGGGACTGCCGGGATGAAGTTGACCAGGAAGTAAAATACTTGGTGGAACAAATGAAATGGATTACCCAACAACCATACATCATTGCATGGATCCAGAAGATGCTGAAAGAGAGGAACGAACGAGATGGCACGAACTTAACGAAGTGGAAGATGCCTACTGTTAAGGCAATTCTGGATACTCGACTTCTTAATCCCGTCGAAACATTCCACAACTTTCCTAATCTTCCTCTCGAATTACGACGCGCGATTTGGAAATTTGCCGCTATCCCGCACTATCGCGCCATTCAAATAGAAACCAAGTACGAAGGAGTCACAGTTGAATATGGCCGCCCCCTAAATGTTTGGAGAAGGCAAGCTGCTTCACCTTGTTACCCGAATGGGCTTTTCGAAACCTGCCGCGAATCCCGTGAGATTGCAATCACGAAACATGACCATAGTAAGGTTCATACTATCTCTACTCCACTTAAAGAAGGGCGTAATATTCCGCGTCGATTTTACTATAACGTGGACAACGATATCATGTGGATGAGAGGAGACCCTTTACGCAAGACCGGTTCACCAGAAGTTGAACACGGATTTCTAGACAAAATTCCTCATGAACAATTTTCAAACATTGCTATTGACGTCGAAACGTTGATGGAGTCAAATTTTCCTCAAGATCCAGCGCATTCATATCCTGCGGACTTTTTCAACCGAACAGAATTCTTCTTTGCCATGCCATTCTTTCAAAATTTGGCCGTAAAAAAGGTGTATTTAGTTTGCTCTAGAGTGGACCAAATCGGCGAAGCTTATGAGATTCTCGAAGATTTGCTCGATTTCATCAATGATCATGAACAAGAAAAATGGGAAATATTAAATTCGAGGATGATTCGCGAGGGCATTACAGGTCGTCTATGGACATGGCCTGTACTCGAAGTTATTTTGGAGTCCGATTTATTTGAAAACACAAAAGATGGGAGCGGTAACATCATTTTGGCTTCCAATTGTCATGATCGGAGGAGTTATCTAATTGAAAATTGAATATATCTGGCAGGGTCCAGGTAGGACGACATCGTGGGCTACGATACGATTTACTTTGTTTGTTTGAGCGATGGATCTTAATAATTCTAAGAATTACTTTTCAATCATCATGTTCTCATTCTATGTGACTGATATTTTCTTCCACCATGCACAAGATGTAGCAATCTCGACATCTATAACCATTTCAAGGTTAGCAATCTGAAATCATTCAAAATTACACTTTCAAGAAACATCTCAACATTCCACGACCAACATTCGTATCTGAAAAGGAAAGTATATTCTGGAACACAGGAAACAAACTAAAGCTAAGCTATGTATTCAAAGTTTCAACGCAATATCCCAAATCTATCTCCTTTCAACCCGAATAAGTCTCCTATTTTTCAGTTACTTCTTCTCTTCCCTTCCATACTCCTAAATTAGATTTTACCCCAATCTTCTATCTTCAACGCCGCAGTGTCACTCTATATCCATGTTGGGGGTTACACCACCTCTAACTACCACCTAAGAACACGACCACCAAACCCAAGTACCCCTCTCGCTAAACTTCTCCACTCCATATGATTCGAGTTTTCCCCCAGAAATGATAGATGCGGAAAATATCTCAGGGGTGGAAAATGGGTTTGTGAGATGATGGTTTCTGCGCGACCTACTTATACTCGCAACTTCTTAACTTTCATATCTCCATATCCTTAGCACAAAAATAAAAAAAAACACTGATTCAGAACTCACATACATATACATACACACAGATCCACTCACACACTCTCCCTCTCTATACTCCCACTCTCGAACAAACTATACAACTCTCTTGACCACCCCACACTAACCTCTCACCTCCCATCTCCCATCTCTCCCCCCCTATACATCTCATTTCACTAACCAATTTCATTTCCTTCTCTTCCCTTCCCTTTCCTTTTCCTTCACTCGACACGGACTGAACTCGGACTGCACACTTACCGGAAAGAGCAAATAGGTATGATTCTAAAATGTGTTATTCAGAGAGAAAGGTAGATACCGATGACTAACTATCTTTTTTATAAAAAATCAAAAATCATTGATATAAGTAAACCATGATTTATTCACACACTGTGATTCGCACACTGTGATTCGCACACTGTGATTCGCACACTGTGATTCGCACACTGTGATTCGCACACTGTGATTCGCACACTGTGATTCGCACACTGTAATTCTCTAATTCTCAAAAGATCTAATACTGGGAACCCAAGAATGAAGAATCAAATTTATGTAAGATCTTACTTACATAGTGGATCGATCGATATAACTAGAAGTTGAACTTCGAGATGATGGAGAAAATGAGAGAGGTTAAAATAGTGTTTAATCTTCTAAGGGGAATTGCAATTTCTTCTTTGGGTTGTGAGTTTTTTAGTAGGGGTAGGGGGGAAGGGATGGGTTATGACATATTTAGGCGGAAAGGAATGAACCAATATCTGATTCAACAAAGATATTCTCAATGTAGGATCACTTAGAAAACTACTCAAACAAGCAGTCATCTCATTACTCTCCTTTTACTCCACCTTTCTAAACAATTTACACGCACTGAAAATTCCTCGTATACGAAAGCTACCAACTCCTCAATTTTGCGGTATATAGTATACACCAGCCCCATCATCTAGCTTTTATACCAACTAGCTAGCTCGCTCGCTCTTCCATCACAATCTGGATATACAAAAAAACCCCCCCAAAAAAATAACCCCCACGCACGCAAATTAATTCCCCACAGCAACCAGTTCAGCAGCTTTGCCCGGAACGTCTCCCATTTTCTCATTTTTCCAATCAGAATTCGATGCCGCTCCACCCGATCGAGTGAGTCTCTCTAATTCCTCCTCGGCAGCTTTCGCTACATCGTGACCATAGAAGTAGTCGTGATAGTCTTCGGGAGTTACTGTTGGTTCGGGATGGTGTTAGCTTGTTCTTTTATTTTATCACGTTCATATATATATGTGCCGGAGTTGGTATTTCTAGTTACGGCTTGAAACTCGCGATTTTGTGTCTGATTATCCTGGGATCCTCATTCTGCTAACATCCTCGAAAATTTAAGGTGAGTGGGAGGGAATTGAAATTTGGAAAGACTCACAAGGTAAAGTTTGACCCTCTTCCATATATATCCTGGCTTCCTCTCTATCTGCATCCGATTGAAAATATCCCCCATTTGAAAACATTTGTATGGCGCTTGCGCGGTTTCTTCTTAATTTTTGGAAACTGGCAAGACGGGCTGCGATGGTTTCTTTTGTGATGCTACCTTCCGGGAGATTGGAAAAGAGGATGCCGAGAGCGCAACCATCTTCTATGGCTTGAGCGCCAGCTTGGCCCTGGACTATAGGGGGAGAGGCTTGTTAGTATGAGTGACTGAGGGTTGGGGATTGAACGTTGGAATGGAGACGAAGACACGGATAAAGGGATAGAAATAATGGTAAGAAGGAAGAATCAGTAGATAAATACATACAAGGTAACATAGGGTGTGCGGCATCGCCTAGAATCACGAGATTTCCTTGATGCCAAGAAGGAAGCGGGGCTCTGAAAAGAAGTTTCCAGAGTCTGACATCTTTTGTCTTTGATAATAAATGCCGAAGTGAAGGATGACATTCTTTGATTTCATCCACAAGAACTTGAGTCGGAATGCAATTATTCCAGTCTAGAAAATTATCGATTTAATTTGTTGAGACACTTGATCTAATGGTTGAAGAAAATGAAACTTACCATGAGAGGAGTCAAGATCCTCTTTATCAGCACAAAAGACTGCGATATTGAGTACTTCATTTCTAAACACAATGTGAGTATTGAGAAGAAAGTGGCAAAAACGGTAAATGTGTAACATACCCTCGACAGGGATACCAAACAACCTTCTGATGAACATAGTTGGGCCAGATGAACATACGAAGCTTTCCTTCCATTTCTTCCATGAAAGAAGCACATTCAGGATCATCTCGAATCTGTTGAACAGGCATCAAGGTTCGAAAACACGAGATACCTGTTGGAATTGCTGGGTTCTCATATCCGACAACTTTTTTCACTGCTGCGGAATGAACACCATCAGCACCGACAATTAAGTCTGCTTTCTTGATGGTTCCATCGGCGAGAGTTACTGATCCATTTACGGTGTCCTGTGATAAAGTTCAGTATAGTTTGTTGAAGAGTTTGGACACATAAATACATAATCAACAACTTCACATCTGTTGTAAATCACGGCTGGTTTTCCCTCTCCTTCTTCTCCTGTGGCAAGCAACTTTAGTTCTGTGTGTAAATCAACTCTATGACTGTAGAAAGAGCTGGTGCCGTATTTTTCCTTCATATTCGACCACTCTATCACGTGGGTATCAACGAGTTCATTCCCCGAAGTAACGGTTACGGATTTAGCAGCAACTAAACGAGCTCTTTCGAAATCGAAGCCCCATTTAGCGACGACTCGAGCTGCATTAGGTTGAACGTCTAGAACGTATTAATTTTTTTTTACAATTTGGTGATAGGGCGGGGAAAATTGCTCACTGATAGCCGCGCCAACTTCATGGGACAGTGAGGATTTATCGAAAATCTTGTACATTTATTAGTATTGAAAGAATATGTCAAAAGAGATCATATGACTTCTCAAAGCTGGGGAAATTTTTTTCCTTACCAACACTTCATGACCGGCTCTTCTAAGACCAATAGCAGCCGCGAGACCACCAATTCCTGCGCCAACGACGATGACCTTCATTTCGACTTTTGTTGATAAAATTCTTTTGTAGGAAAATTTTTGTTCTGGGACGTAAAGTTGTATATATGTAGCTCGGATAGCAAAGATCGACCGAACAAGCTAATTCAAAAGCTAAATTAGACTACCGAATGACGATGACCCGCTTGGTCTAACGGAGAATTAACTGATCTTGTTATTGATATTAATAACAGGCCAAAGACCTCCTTTAAGTAGTCATCTAGGATCAACCACATACAGGGAGAATGGAAGGCGGAAGAAAAATATCTGGGGTCGTGGCATCGAGAATGGATGAAGATTGAAGGGGCAGATGCAGTGTGACACTTCCATCACAAAATTGGAGCCTCGGAGTTTTCAAAAGTGTCCGATTTGCGTGCACTGGACTGCAATATATCATTCATGTCATGGAAATGGCATTGCTGGGGCTTGATAGGGTTGGATGCTACGGACATGTTGCTTCCAGATTGACAACATCATGAAATAAATAACAATTTGTGGTTCAACGACAGACAGACCGTGCGTATATCCTGTTTGACATTCCTTGGGCAGGCATTTCACCAGTACATTGCAGCGATTGATCCTCTAGATTTGGTTATAGTGTCGATAAAATCCTTGGGTGCGGAGATTTCTTATTTCGACGGACATGATCTCATGCTGAGAGCCCACATCGATGGCTGTTTGGAGTGGTCTGCTCGTATGTACCGTGAATGCTCGATGCCAGGGTGGACTTCTCATTTCCGCGTTGAGGTTGTCTACTTGGCATATATTGATAGCTTGAGTGGGTATTTGTTAATGGCAGTCGAAAACGGCATTTGAGAAGAAACGTTCGATATACTATTTCTCTTGATATTGATACCTAGTATTTTTTCGTCAAAGATCTTCAGGGGCTTTTATTTCTCAAACGAAAGCTGTCGGCCAACTATCGTACAGGTAGGTATCTAGTTGAAGACGGCAAACCAAACGAACAAATAGTCTGAGACAAAGGAGACATTGAAAGTTCGGATCACGTCTTTCCACCAAGCACATAATATTCATTTGTGTGCCAAATGTGTTCAATATTCGGAGTGTTGGATCAATATCGTCGTCGTCATCGTATGTCTGAGTAGTGTATGTGGTGTAAGTGGTGTAAGTGGTATAAGCGGTGTAAGTGGTGTGTGTATGTGGTGTACCAGGGTAAATGTCCGGGACCGAAACCTTAACGCCGAGACCGAGCCCGAGCCCGAGCCCAACGAATAAAAGGATCAAAGGATAAAAGGATAAAAGGAGAATACGATGTATTATGCACTTGTATAACAAGGTCTCGACTACTCAGGTCAGGTGCACATACGGAGGTTGACAGCGTAAGTATTGTAAAACACACCAAAAAGCGATCGAGCTTTTTCTCATTTTTATCATTTGAACCAATCATATCATCATACTGATTGAAAATTTATGTAATAAACTCTAGATAGTGAAAGTATTGTAAATTTATCCTACCCCTAGCAAAATTACTCAAATTTATTGAAATTTATATTTTTCTTTTTAAAAATATTATTCTAAGCCTATTTAGAATCTATAGAAAGCTTTAAAAGTTTTAAAAGCTTCAAAATTATAAAAGTTGAAAAAGAGTTGAAAATTTAAATAAGGGGGTTCAAAATTCGAAATTTTGGGGGGATGGCTATTCGTAGGAGAAAAAACAGGCGGAATTTGATAATTTAAATCTTTATTAAAATCTTCTAATTTAATTGAATAATAAATCATTTTAAAATGATTTCTATAAATTCAAAAAGATCAAAAGAATATTTAGCTCTTTATTGTTTAGGTGATATTTCGAAATTTTATTTTATATAATATTAGAGGAAAGTAATTGAATGATATTATATCGTAGAAGTGATCGAATCCCGCCTGTTTTTTCTCCTGCGAATAGGATGGCTGAATATCTAGTAAAATTAGTAAAAGCAGCATTGGAATTTCGTAAAACAGCAACTTTTATTAAAAATGGGGCTTATACGACTTACGCTGTCAACCTTCGTAAGGTTTTCAAATGGATGAAATACGGAGGTCCGTACCGTACCGTTGTTCTTGAATCTTAACTTAATAACGACGCCACATTAATAACCTTATTGAACAAACCTTGGAACCTGGAATGATCCAATCCATGGATGGTCTTGTTTCCCCTTTGGACTGGCCGATAATTGTAACGACCTCGGGACATACCGTATAGCATTGATTACTAATCATGATCACGATTACTCATCATGTTTTCCTATTTTGTACTGCATCGTGATTTATTTTCTGTTGAGCTTCATTGTTGAATGTTCAATATCCATCCCCTCATGGCAGCAAGGAAGGCTTGAAATCTCGGCGTATGCTTATGGTCTCAACAGAAGTCTAACCTGAGCTCACGAGTCACATTTGAGATAATTGACTTCGCCGTTCCTCTTCTGGAAAGTTCTGCCTTGAACATGGGTTAAATGACATGATATATCCATCATGGGAAGGGATTTCTGACAATTTATGTTTGACTTTGGTAGGATTGGAGATATGAGATGTGGAGTTGAGAAGCCATGATTATCGCAGATGCGGGGTTGAGACATACTTCTATATACCTAGTAGGTATTCAACAGAATTCTGTTGACACAAAACCAGCCAGAGTTGATATAAATTATTGCTCTCCCTCAAAGGTAGTTTTTTGGATTCGTATACTCAACTCTACCACTCGCCGCATCACTCCTATCTTTACTCCCAAAACATCACCCCATCATGTCTGAAATTACACCAGAACTCAAAACCTACAATGGAAACTGCCATTGTGGTGCATTCAAATTCACAATCAAGATGCCTGAAATAACTACTGCTACTCAATGCAACTGCAGCATCTGTTTCAAAAAAGGATATCGATGGGTATTTCCTGGTGAGGGTTGCTTCGAGATTATCAAGGGAGAAGGAACTTTGAAAGAGTATCATTTTGGACAACGTACAATGGCTCATAGGGTAATATTGCCATCCTCAATTACGGAAATGATGCTTATGGATCTAGTTTTGTCCAACGTGCGGATCGAATGTACAAGGATTCCGCTACAACACTCCAGCGGGAAGAGATATTGGTATCAATGTGAGTTGGAAGAATTTCAAGCACATGTATATCACGACGGCAAATGACTGATGGCTCCTTAGGTCAATTGTCTCCAAGATATGGACCAATGGTCACTGAAAATTAATCAGTAAGCTGCGCCCAGCAAACTCTCGCAGTGGAGACAAAGTTTTAACATCCAGTCCCCAGATATGATGGTCTTGGTCGCGAACCACAGTATGTGGCAGCTAAATACACTGGTGAATTACCATCAGCCAAATTCGAAACCGAAAAGCTTTATACTGGTGGTTGTCATTGTGGTGCAATAACTATCGCATTCAAGACTCAAGCTCCATTACCTAAGCGTCATGAACATATACAGGAGTGTAACTGTAGCATCTGTTGTCGAGTGAGTACTCTATCGCCAGCTCACTTTGATATCAAACTAATCAACTATAGCTCGGCATCACTGTCTGTTATCCCAGGAGAGACCAAGTATCTGTTTCGGGCATCTCGAACATGACCGAATACTCATTTGGTCAGGGTTATAACATATTTCGGTTCTGCTCAACTTGCGGTGTTACTGTCGATATTGAAAAAGACATGGCTGCAGTGTCTAGATCTCCTAAAACTTGGGAATTGTTGACACCAGCACAACGGGAAAGATGGCCAACTATTCATGCAATTAACTTGAGATGCTTTGAGGGAGTTGAGTGGGATGATATCAATATCTATAAGGCGAACACTAAAGCGATAGATCCGCAATATGTTGTTCCGGAATAATCGACGTCTGTTCATCAAAAATGGAGAGGCGGGGGCGGGGGGACGCATTCGGTTGAATTGTGGAAGGATATTGGAGGAGCTCGAGGGGCAAGTATCTGGATTCAATCTTCAAAAAATGTCCAACGATATCGCCATATTTTCTTCACACTGTTAACAAATTGTTCTCTACACAATTTTCTACTATTCACTGGGAATAGCCTTAATCGTCTCACTCTGGACGAAATAAACGGCACACCGAAAACGCAACATTATTTTCAAAATTTTGTTTTTAAATCAATAATCAATATTTTTGATTTTGAATTAAAATTAATTATTTTAAATCTAATAATTTATAATATATCTTCACTTTGTTTATTTTATTTTATTACTTAGAATTGTTATTGAATTTTGAAATAATAGTGTTTTGAAGGAAGTCTTCATTTTGGCAGGTTTGGTGTGCCCATTTTTCCGTCCAGAATGAGATCGTCTCATCAAGTCAAATTCCCATGGTTGTCGTACCAGAGAATTGCCTCTTCACACGTTGATCTATCATTGGTTGTGTTTCATCCACGTGATTGCTGACCTATTTTAAGCCACTTTCACATGCAATAATAGTTTTTTTCTTTCTTGCGATAGCAACGAACATTCTTATCGTCTCCTAGAAATATTCGTCTCCCCATTTCAATATGAAATTTCCATTCACCCCTCCTACTGGTTCTCTTTCTCTTCAATATATATTCATATTCCAGATTCAATATTCTCTCGATTTCACTTGAAACTACGATAACGGTACAGATTAATCTTGGCTATGAGGGAGAATTGACTGATCTACAACTATTCCGGAAACGTTCGTCCTGGACCTAGACCATCATATTCGACCGGAAATTCTTGTTTGTGTCCAACAAAACATTTGCTTGCAATATTTTACATATATTTCCCGAGAACCTACTTCCGTACATATCCTTTCCGCCGTGATAGATATTTGATGTATATAATGTACTCACGATCTACCCGTCGTTCCAAACTAAATATTTCTCGAGAGTCATATCTTCAAGAAGACCAAACCACATCGTTTGAGGATCCGAAATTTATGATGCAGAGTCAACAATATCCACCCACTTTTACTCCAAATTCAAAAGCAGCTTCTATGCTTTATTCAATGCTTCCACATATCGTGCAATCACGTTTACCTCGCATACCATCCATTCGAAAGTCTGTTGACATATATGGATTTGTGAGTGGCCGAAAATCTGAAAGCACATTATCAGGAGCCAGTACACCAGGATTCCTATCGTCATCGTCTACAATGACCCTCGTCAATGAAAGAAGCTCTATATCTAGTGATGGAGAAACGGATAGCTATTTCTTGGACGATTCGCACTCTTCCGATGAGGATTTCCCTAAACTCCTTAAAAATGGGCAACTCCAGACGATAGGATTGTCTGAGACAAAGTCAGGCATTGGATGGAAATTTGCAAATCAAGGTTCGACCGCTACAATATTTAACTCGATCAAAGATACTAATTGATTTTAACAGGATATAGTCTACTTGCCCTTTCATTCGAGGAATCATCGGCAATTTCCCAAAATACTCGATTTAGCAGTACTTCCTTAGCGAGACAACTCTATGTCCACGCCTTAACCTACTTACTCCGAGCTCTTCCCTCCGATCTTTCGACAGAAGAAAAGATGAGTCTACAAAGTGCTATACCAACAAAAATAGTAGATTCCTTACAAGAAGAATCCTACACGAGTGAAAATAGTCAAGATTCAACTACTGGCGAACCCCCTTCGTTACTTCAAAGAAGCATCGCAGCTTTTATTATTCAATTATTCATATTGTTCCAATTTGTCTTACCATATTTGAAACATATACTCTCGTCAGCATATCAATACGATCGAACTCATAAGATATCAGAAAAGGTTCTGTCCAAGGGTATAGTAACAGTTGATACGATCGGAAAATCGAGCCTGGCAGTTACAGGCGCGGTTTATGGAATGAGTGATGGGAAAGTTGGACAAGCTCTTACGGATGCAGCGGCGTGGATTGTTGAGGGAGTCACTGGGGGTGTGCATGAAGGTGTTAGCGAGGGATTGATAATGTTGGGTGCGAGGAATGGTACTTCGCCTAGGAAGAAGTAGACTCGAGGTAGATAGGACGTTCATGAAGTAAAGTATATTTGGCGCGGTTAACTTTTGACGATGGATGGATGAATGGTGATACCCATGAATAGAACGGAGTTTTTTCGGATATGGGATAAACATTGGTACTTGGAGTAGGTAGGATAGAAGGAGTTGTATCTTTTAATGCATTAATACAAATCAATAAACATGGATTCTTATTAGTATGTTTTGGTGGTGTTGATAGAGGGGATCTAAATTGGTATATGGGGGCGAGCCCCCAAACCCCCATAGCTCGCTGCGCTCGAATATTTCTAATCCGATGATCTACCAGCATCTCCTCTGACCCGCCGTGCTTGAACCCTTCAGACGACCATTGTAGCTTATTTTGAATAGGGAGAATGAGCTACAAGGAAATCAAGATACTTCATTGTTTTTCATCGTCTCTTTCAGATTCAAGTCAGATACCGGTAGATGGTCTGTTCGTCTCTCAGACTCTCACATCCATTTTTCGCTTGGTATCCGATAAGGCCCAGTCACGTGTCTAATAATCTAGCTATCTACATACTAGCGGCAAAAGATAAACTCATTAGCGTCAAAAAAAAGTTCTGGTAGAAGAGAAACTTCAAGTCTAATTTTTTGCAGAGGGGACTCCAGCGACTTCGACAATTTCAATCAATCGCCACTTTGATTTCTACACTGTTGAATTTAACAGTTATAACTTCAATTGAATTGTTATTACTACCTTTTCAACTTTTATCCGTATACGGATCAGTATTTAATCATGTTTTCCGTCTGCAGAAGAGGTCCCGCCTCAATATCTAGAGCCCTTCGCGCAGTCCCTTCGACCATTCGAATTCCTTCAACCAGACCTTCAACTCTTTCTCTCATTTCGCAAAAGACCTCTTTACCAGTTTTGGAGTCAAGATGGTTACATGTATCCTCGGCTTCCCAATTACAAAGTGCTGCCACTCAAGAAGCTGCCGTCGTTCAAGAAAATAAAGTCATTAATCGTTTCGATGAACTCACCAAATACGGTCTGGTTCACCCAAATGTTGTCAATGAAATCACTCAAACCATGAAACTCGAGACCATGACTGAGGTCCAAACTTTGACTATTAACAAGGCTTTACAAGGACATGATATGTGAGTTGTTGAAAAAAAAAACATCTGGACTTGAGAGTCTCGTACTAATCTATTCGATAATAGTATTGCACAAGCACGAACTGGTACCGGAAAGACAATTGGTTTCTTACTTCCTACTATTCAAAATATCCTCGAGAAGAGTCCTGAGCTTGCATCTCGTCAACGTTATTCCAGAGCAAGAGCTTCTGATATCCGCGCAATCATTATTTCACCTACCCGTGAATTGGCAGAACAAATTGCTGTCGAAGCGGTCAAGATTACAAGAAGTACAGATTTGATTGTACAAGTTGCAGTCGGTGGGTCGAGCAAAAGAGAGATGCTTAGAAAAGTTCAACGTGAGGGTTGTCATATCCTTGTCGGAACCCCTGGAAGACTTCAAGATCTTTTGACCGATGAATACAGTCAAGTATCTGCTCCGGGATTAACAACTTTGGTTCTCGATGAAGCCGACAGACTTTTGGATGATGGATTCTCTAAGGATATTGATAACATTAAAGACCTCTTACCTAAACGAAACGAAGTTGACCGACAAACATTATTATTTTCCGCCACCGTTCCAAAAGAGGTTATGGGTCTCGTCAGAAGAATCTTGAAACCGGATTATAAATTCGTCCAAACCGTTAAGGCAGGAGATGTAGCCACACACGAAAGAATCCCTCAAAAGGTTGTCACTGCTACTGGAATGGAGAACATCATGCCAGCGTTGGTCGAAATTTGCAAGAAAGGAATTGAAAAGGCTAATACCGAAGGTTCCTCTCCATTCAAGGCTATCGTATACTTCAACTCAACCGCGAACGTTCAATTGGCTGGAGAGATCATGAAAGGAATAGATTCCCTTCAATCAATTGATGTTTCTGCTATTCATGGCAAGCTCACACAAGAAAGAAGAACTAGAGTTACAGACAGATTCCGTCGTGCCACGTCTGCTGTCATGTTGTCCAGTGATGTTACAGCTAGAGGAATGGATTTCCCCAATGTTACTCACGTCATTCAAGTCGGTATCCCTAGAGACAGAGACACATACATTCATCGTGTAGGACGAACTGGAAGAGGAGGCAAGGAAGGAGAAGGATGGCTCTTATTGACAAAATCTGAAGTCGTAGGAGCTCGTCGAACATTGTCTAATCTTCCAATCACATCTGATCGTACACTCGAGACCCCCTTTGTCGATATGAAACAAGATGCTCAATTACCATCCACTACCGCAGAAATCCTTAATGAAGTCGGTCAAGCAACAAAGAGAGTTGACCGTGAGATCAAAGTCGACGCATACATGGGTGCTCTTGGCCAAGGTCAGAAGGGTGCAAACCCTAGGGCAATTTTGGAAGACATGAACAACTGGACCAAATTTGGTTGGGGTTGGGAGAAACCTCCTATGATTGGCCCTGGCCTTGCACGCAAATTGGGAATTGATAGAATCCCCGGCGTTAACATTGGACATGAACCTCGCGCGGATGATGACGACTTTGGTAGTGGACGAGGATTTGGAAGCAGTGGTGGAGGACGAGGATTTGGAAGCAGCAGTGGTGGTGGTGGTGGAAGAGGATTTGGAAGCAGTGGTGGATCCAGTGGAGGAAGAGGATTCGGTGGTGGCCGAGGTGGTGGTGGCCGAGGTGGTGGAAGTGGAGGTGGTAGAGGATTTGGTGGAAGAAATGGTGGAAGTGGTGGAAGAAATGGTGGAAGCGGTGGAAGAGGATTCGGTGGTGGTGATAGAGGTGGTTCCAAAGGAGGATTTGGCTCATCTTCAAGTTTCTAAACAAGGTTTGATACTTGATTTGTTCGACTAAATCGCTTGTTTGTGTATCACCACTTCCTTTCTGTCTCAGTTTCCTTCCCCTTTCCTTTTCATTTTGCTTTTGTCTCGGCTCATCCTGTTTTGCTACATTTTGTCAGATTTTCGACTGGTACAAGATGACAAGGAGATATGCCATACGCAAGATTCGAGAAAGGAATTTGGGCAGAAAAACGACACTCAAATTTATGCGTTTTTGATACATAAAATTCTTCGATTCTTGTTAGAACATTGTAGCAAATAGATAGGAAGGATACAAAAATGGGCAAACCGGCGGGGAATGGAGCTTAGGCGTTTCTTGTTTGGGAGCGACAATAGCTGTAGTTCATTCAGCAAGCGCAATGCTCCCTTGTATACCTACCTACATACCTATGTATAACTTACGAGTTAGATGGATAACGAGGAGAATCTTTTGAAGGCATTGGATGGGATGGAGAAAAGGGAATGATTTTTTTTTACAGTGGAGAGTTGGGGATGGATAGATTTGCGGTAGGGGAGGGGGAGAAAGGCATTACTGGGTGAGTCAGCAGTGAGTGGATGGGGAATGGATAGGATAGTCATATGGATAGGCATAATTCTACTCTTTATTTTATGAACATTCTTTGGTACTGTGTATATGTGTGCTTTCATCTTCATCTTCCTTGTGATTTTGCTTTTGATCTTGTGATGACTATTAGATGTGTTTTTTTTTTTTTTTTTTTTTTTTTTTTTTTTTCAAAGGATGAATGATGGATGAATGGGGATGCGTGATGAGGTTATATGGTAGAGGAGCTTTGCAGTAATTAAGGGGGGTATTATCAAGTAGCCGCTTATGAAGATTTTTGTGTATATACTTCCTCTCTTCCTTCAATTTATATCCAGACAATATAGTTCTAATCGCAATCAAGAAAAACGTAGAATAAATAGACACTCAGCATATATATGATTTAATTATATTAATCTATACCAAGTTTTCATCGCTTTGAACCCTTCCCGCAGGATAATAAGTGTATATATCTATCTATGTGCGATGCGCCCTCCTCTTAATTTCCTAGTACCCCGATACCCCGATACCCAATATCACAGAATTTTCTATACAATCCAGAACGGAACATCCACGCGTAGATTCTACATCAAGAACTCTGATCTATAAAATTTCCATTTTCATATTCCCTCACACCAAAAGGTAAAACGCCATTCATGTGGTATCATATCGCTTCCAAGGACATGTGATTTCCCAAAGTATGCAGAAAGAAAGGAAATTCCCATTAAACTTCACTAGAAGAAAGAAAGGCGAAGAAGAAGGAAAGGAAAGAGAACTGTGTCAAGAATTATGCGGTCATAACAGAACGAACATCCCAGACCAGTAATCTTTCATCCCAAGCAGTGCTAGCGCACCAACCTTCCCCAAAGAGACACCAATCAACACCGTGTACAAATTCGGTGTGGGCATCCATGCGACCGATTTCACGAGGCATGGTGGCATTCATTGTACCATCAGTCCAGATGCGACAAGACATGTCATAACTGGCACTCAAGAGGGTATCGCTAAGATGTGGACTCCAGACCAATTTTCGAACAGCATAGTCATGTCCTTTTAAAACGGCGACAGGTCCACCACCCACATTGCGAAGATCGAAAGTTCGAATCGCTTGATCGACACCAGCCGTTGCGATAACTCCCTCACGATATTTATTCCAGTCATGGGTGAGAGCTTCGGTTGGAGGTGAAACTTGACGATTACTTCCGACTGCTCCCAGAGTGCCTGCACTTGGTGGGGAACCATGGATTGGAACAAGTGAGACTAAATGATTGGAAGCCGACGAAGGGGTACGTAGGTCAAATATTCTCAAATGCGAATCTGAGGAGACAGATGATATGATCGAGGGTGAATGAGGAGAGAAGGCGGCGCTATATGTGCAAGAATGTGTAGGTAATGTGAGAACTGAGCTTGTGCGAGTTGGGTTCCACTGAGAATAGAAGAGTCAGCAATACTGTCGATGAGACGGTTACACCTAGACACAGGGGATCCTCGTACCAGTTTAATTGTACCATCCCAAGAGCTTGAAACAAAGGTATCTTTTGAGACCAAATTCCAATGAACAGCAAAAACTTCGCGACCGTGTTCATGAAAGTTTGCGACGGGGAATGATTCATGAATTGCGGTGTCGAATAATTTGATGCTTCCATCACCACATGCGACAGCGACTTGGTTTTCGTTTGATTCGGACCATGCTAAATCGTAAATGGAATCTTGAGTATCGAAACTATATTATGAGAAAGAATGATGGTCAGCAGGAGCTATGCAAACGACGAAATTGGTAAAATCCGAGTCAACCCCCGAATATTACCTACGTTTTCTGTACTTGAATACCTTGCGGAGTCAACATCAAGCTATAAAGTCTCCCATTTCCTACCAGCCCATAATTGGCAGAGGCAGTTACACAAATTCGATTGTCAAAGAAGGGAGAGTATTTGACAGCAGAGCCCTTAAAGCCTCGAGTAATAAACTCCATTATTATTATGAAAGGGGGGGATTGTCGCCGAACCTCGACGTTGCGATTGTAATATTTATTGCTGTAATCGTCACAAGTGATTAGCTGAGCTGAATTGTAGCGAAACCCCACCACCAATTTATGCCGAGGAGTTAATCGGCTGAGTAATCGCACACGTGACTGTTACAATGCGAGAAACTTTGAGTTGATGAACCACGGCCGTAGGGGAAAGCCAATTTATATATGTTGGATTTAAGCGATTGTTTTTGCTAGCACCTACAAGCGTTCAAACCCCTTGGCAAGCTTGCCCTTCAGTCATATGGACAGATTGCCGTAAAACACTTTTCCCTAAATCCTGGTACGCTGTTAGCCAAAGAGAACCACCACAGCAGTGGACCCCGATTTCGATCAAACACACCCTGTGCCTTTAAGAGAAATTGGTCAATATGATGGATGCCTTTGTATCAAGAAAAAAGCGAAAGCTGTCTGTCTCTTCCCCGTTACCACTGGAATCAAGCACGATCGATCATATCGAAGATCTCTGTGTTCCAGATGATGAATCAATGGACTTTAAGCTGGCGTTATTGTCATCTCTGCGCCCTGAAGTCGAACAACAAGTCCTTCTTGAGATTTTACTTGAACATGATGGCGATGTTGAGAAGGCCTCTAATTCTTTGTCTAGTACAGACACGTCGTCTTTGCCGATACCAAAGAAGCCATTAGCCACGGTAGGATATCAAAGTTCTCTTTCTACATTCATCTCGAGTGAGAACTCCACAAATCGAGTTAAGTCTTTGTCCAGGAAAGGCAAGACTCTTCATTTATATTCTCCCCAAGATGTTGCAGCTCACACTCCTTGTTCTATCATACATAACTTCCTACCGGTGGAAGAGGCCAATACACTACTTAAGGAATTGTTAAACGAAGCACCAACTTTCGAAAGGATGACCTTTAAACTTTTTGATAATGTGGTTACGAGCCCTCATACAGCTTGCTTTTATGTTGAAAGTTTGGAAGAGCAAAGGGCTCAAAAGACAGAATACCTTTACAATGGTAGTCTACTAACGGTGAGTAGTGCTCAGAATTTGAAGTCTCGGATTGCTAAACTGTAACTTGCAGGATGTCCGTCAACTCACTCCACAAATGAGAAAAGTCTCGCCTAAAGTTCAGGATGCTGTCAATTCAGAAGTCGCAGCCCGAATCAGAACACAGTATCCTAATGGTCAGAAGCTCAAGTACCAATCATCGGACACATGGAAGCCAAATGCAGCTTTCGTCAACTGCTATAACGGTGGCGTAGAGAGTGTGGGATATCATAGTGACCAGCTCACCTACCTTGGACCACGAGCTGTCATCGGATCAATATCTTTGGGTGTGGCACGTGAATTTCGTGTTCGAAAAATAGTCGCTCAAGAGTCAGACTCGAAAGAGAAAAGCAAGGAGTCTTCCGACGCCGAAGGTCAAATAGCTATTCACCTACCACATAACTCTTTGTTGATCATGCATGCCGAAATGCAAGAAACTTGGAAACATAGTATCGCACCAGCACAAGCCATTGATCCTCATCCAATTTCTGGGAACCGACGAATCAATATTACCTATCGAGATTACAAAGCTTCATTACATCCTAAATTGACGCCAAAATGCAAATGTGGTGTACCGACAGTATTGAGAGTTGTACAAAGGAGAAAGGAGAATTTAGGTCGATACTTCTGGATGTGCCACGCAGGAAACGTTCCCGGGAAAGAAGGTTGCACATACTTTGAATGGGCTGAATTTGATGACGATGGCAATCCGACCTGGCACGATAAATTCAAAACTGAGGCAGATATCAGTGACCCGAAGACTGACAAAGAGATCTCTTGATCTGGAGACTTTCTAAAAGTCTGCATTGCAGCACTTCACGCTTCATCTTCGGCAAAATACCAAACCTTAATGTCGCGAATAAGCTGGGATCGAAAAGTTCTAGGATGACTAGGCTTGGAGCCTAAGATTGTCCGGTTACGTTAGCTCCTTGGTCTGATGAAACTACAAGGTAAAGATGCTGTCATTTCAAACAGAATTTCTTAAAATTCCCAAACTTCCACAGATGAGCATTAATTTTTCAAAACCCGAGTGTATATAAATTCTTTTATCTACAAGGACAATCAAATTTCCACATTCCATAAACCTATAGTTCCTCTCTTCTTACCTCAGAATTTAATCGACGCTTCTCATATCAAATCTAGAAGAAATCGATATCTTCGCAAACTACTCTACACAGAAATAGGTCACCTCAGACAGGCCGGAGTCTTTCAACAATCGTAGCACACCGTGATTTTTCTGACCACACAACGCCAGTGGCCATGGACCACAACTCTTCAAAAAGCGTCACAATGACACGTCTCCTACCAGCTATTCCATCTCGTCACTCACTAGACGCCATTAACAATTCTTCGGACAATGCAGTCACTGGACTTCACCAAACGGGTGTATATTCCACACACACAAGATTCTTGGACGACGATGATAGTCCAACTGAGAACGAAGCTCATCAGCTCCGTGTCCAAATCACTCGCTGTCCTGTCGAAGCAGGCAATCGATTCGGTCACCTCAATGAACTGTCCAAGTTTAACAATCTTTGGACTAAAAAGGCATGGACGTCGGAACTGTTGACTCTTCGAAATCGTCAAGAGATCGAATCTATCCCGACTTCGCGAATTCATATCACAGAAAAAACGCGGAAAACACAATTCAAGTTCAACGCCCTTCCTGTTGAAATCCGAGAAATGATATATGAATATACTCTTCTCAGACCTCTTGAGAAGAAGAAGAAATCCGCATCTAAGGCGCCTGTATTCCTCAGAGCCCTAAAGATATACGGCGCGCAGAGTCTTTATCTCGAAGCGAAGACTACCTTCCATTCCATCAATCAATTCACATACAATATTGTAAAAACTCTTAAGTTTGCAGATCCTGAAGTATGTTGGATGTTTCGAGATTTACTTTTGATTATACCGTGAGTTTTCCCGGAGTTTTCCTTTGATAGTCTAGAACGTAGGTGGACAATCGAAGGCTTTCAGCTTTCGAGATCAATTGACCATTCATCACTTTGAATAACTGAATACTCTAGGAATGTCGAGTTGTTTTACAGACACTTGAAGCCACAGATTGTCCATTTACATTTGTACCACAAAATTAGCGACTAATACAGCTCTCAGTACCACCTTCACCCCATTATCACAGATTCCAACCCAGATGTCTATTCTTTATTCTTCTCTCCGTCATTTAACACTTCGTAAGATGTTCTCCTATGAACACGGCGGATTCGAAACGTTTCTCACACACTCATTGCCGAAATTCGAAAGATTGATCAGCGTGAAAGTCGAATGCGAGTATGGGAAATTTCTCACTACATCATTTGTTCAAAATCAGGATAGATGGATATCTCTATTGAACAAAATGATCACGGGGGAGAATGGAGAGTTTGTACAAGGTATACAGATGGAAGAGAAGGAACCCAGTGGCAACGCACCGAGTGCTCCTACTTGGGTTTGGACAGTTGAAAATGGCAACTCGGGAGAAATTAGAACGATGGATGGTATGAAAAGAGAAATAACCTTGGTTATTAAGCAAAGAGTCTCTCATGTCAAATTTTAGTATGATATCCCATGTTGACAGCATTATTTTGGATGTCATTCTGAACTAAATAGGCGTAGATTATCTCATATTGTTCAATAACTTACATTCTTTCAACAATTAGAATAAAATCTAATAATCCAAAAACTATTGCCGGGTGATTGTCTAGAATATTTGAAATTCTCAGGTCGACATAATTTTTCATCTGGCTACATAATGATACACCTGTGTTTAAGATCATATTGTGATGTGCATGAACTTCAGTACTAACCGATGCTTTTGGGCCATGACTCATGGATAGCTTCCTCTGTTTGTTATACGAAGATGTGTTAGAGCCTTGAATTGTAATTTGCAATAACCATTGCATCTAGCAGATAACTTCTTACATTAAGTCTGCGCTAGATATCATCCTTAGATTGTTTCTATACAAAGTCATTGCAAACTTCGAGAAAGAACTTTCATCTCTAAGAGATTTATTTTTGCCGACAGGATAACAACTCCCAAGTGGCATGTCTCATATCATCAAAGATGATTTACTCGCGTATATACAAGTTCAATTGGATGGTCAAACTATTTACAAACACAAACATCCAATTCCATCTCATCCCACGTTTCGAAAACAAACGAACAGTCATTCTGCATCTCCCAATCCTCCCACAACCCATCAATCCTACAACCCCTTATCAAACCCACATCACATTCCCCCACGCATCACCTCATCCACAATCCATCCCTCTTTCCCCATCTCCACAGTTCATATCCATCCCTCATAACTTAACCAGTCCACAAAGCCGGTCCTGGGATGGTATAACTGCTCAACGTTACATAAGGATTGAACAAAATTCCTGGATCAGTCGCCTTGTAAAAGCTTGTTGCTGCCACGCCCGCGGGTTTTGCTGTTCCAGAGCCCGTCACATCAATGTTAACGCAGAAAGGATAGTTTTGTGCGCCGTTGACTGTTGTGGCACCGTGGAGCGCGATGATTTCGTGGCGGAATACGTAGTGTCCTGTGGGGATGTTAATGGGAGGGTCATCAAGAGGGGGGAGAGTTAGTTCACATACCAGCAGCAAGTGTCTTTGGTACAGTGGTCGTCCAGGTATTGTTATTCGCTATTAAGGCTCCTGTGGCCCAGACTTGTGTGTTGAAATTGATTCCTGATTGATCGATCTTCACCCATTTGAGATTGGCTTTGTTGACCTACTATTTGTTAGTAGACTGATTTTCGTTGTATTATCTTATTTTATCATGGGTCGTTTGTATTTCATAAGGACCAAGATACTTCCAAGATGAAAGCGGAAGAGGAAGCAAAAGCGAAAGCGAAAGCGAGATAACATACAGTAGCGCAACTTCCTCCACAATTAGCTACATAGGTCAACACTGGCCCAATATTATGCGGCCAGGTAGTCCATTGAAATTGTACTGTTCCTCCTGCAGCAACAGTAGCCGATACATTTGCATTCACTGCGTTTTTATGGCATATTATATCGGAAGTCCTTCATCGTGTCCAAATTAGCCATTGTCGCAACCGAAAAGAGAGATTCAAGAAAGAGAAAAAGGGGAAAACATACGAATACTGATCAGGCGCAATAAACCCAATATCCAATGCCTCCTCGTACCATCCGGGGGTTTGTGGATAAGGAACCTTGTTTACAACGTCGTACCAGTAGGAGATTTGCCAGCCGGAAGTGTAGACGCCGTTTGCTACAATTCCGGAGACGTAGCCATGAGAGAGGACGGCGGGGATAAGGGAAAGAACGGGGAAGATGGTGGAGAGGAGATGCATGATGATGTAGATTGGGGGAAGGTGGCTGGAAGGTTGGGAATGAGTGAGGGAGTTGGAGAGGAAATGAGCAGATGAGGGAGTTTGAGGGAATTATATATTACGTTGGTATACAGATTCAAAGAGGAATGAGTGATGAAGATATCTTGGCTTCTAGTGTGGTAGTATCGATTGAACCTTGTGATCGTTGAAGAATCACTGACAAATTTTGATATATTAATGAAAATCTGGGGTAATCGGGGCTAAATTCAAGATTCAATATAAATGCCGTGGAAGCATTGGTGCGAATTCTCCTAAATCCGGGGACAATAGATTAAGTGGGATGTTTTAATGTAATGTTAATATAGAAATACCGTTGAGGTTGTTGCCAAGCCGGTCATTATTGTGCAGGTTTCGTCTTCAGCCGGCATTTCGGAACGGCGGGGCGGGTGATATGTTCTGGTGTTTGCATGATATGTCGCAATTAGGTCACTAAAGACTTTGTTGGATTGAGTAAGAGTTTTCGTGCTTCTATGTTATGTATCGTCATTGCTGGAGGAGAGATTACGATAATTTCTTTTGCTAATGTTATATACTCATCCTTCTTGCGAGGGTAATCTGAAGAGATACCACAATAAGGGGTCCGCTTAATTTTATGTTGAAAAATCCAGTGTCATATCATGTTTGCTATTTTGATTCCTATAACCGGTGATTTTTGGTAAGAGGTAAGGATGAGATGCCCTCTGATATAATTCGTCTGGGATATGTATCGAGGTTCTGCATTCCTGCGGTAAAGGGGGCCTTCATCCCGATTCGGAAACTTTCACATTCCTATTGTGTATTGGTCCACGCACACGCTTGTTGTCCTTCGGAAACACCTGCTACTTTCATCTTTTACCCAAAATCATCACATGTCATAGGTTTGCCATGAAATTTGCTGTGAATGATAGAAATTTCAGCTAAGAGGTGACTGAAAACAAGAGAGCTATCCGCCATGTTGAGTGCAGACACGCTACACAATCACACAATACAATCTACGGTCTCTTTTTTGATGTGAACGTTCCAAGTAACAAAAATGTCATCATTATCGAGTTCAGACTCCAATCATAATCCTCGATTTTGACTTGTACGATTTTGCTCCTTTTGACCCATCTTTTATTCGTTGTCTGCTTGAGCATTTAGTAACGTAACACTGCTTTTTTAGCTCAAATTACCTACTTCCTCGAAATGTCATCAAAGACCTCGTTGATAGTTAAACTAAACATATGACATGCTCATCGGTATCAAAACCGTGTTTCTCCCTCGGAACATAGGCAGTCTCTTCTGCATGATTTGTTTCATCATTCGGATCCAACTGTCTACAAGTGAACAACGACAGCAGACCTAGTCTCTCATAAAGTCCTTGGGTTCCTTCAATACGTCTCAAAATTAATGCCTCATCATCAAACAGCCGCAATATATACAAATTGCAAATATCACTGTCCATGTTGAAAGATGCTTTATCTTCTTCACAGTCAAAGGTCAAACTGAGAGCGGGGATAAATTTTCCATCCACGACCATGATATATGGCGGAGTCCCTTTATTGACTAATAATGGGGGACATGATAACCATAGTGCTGCATTCGGCATGTCGCTGAATTGATGTTGATTCGCTGGTTTCTCGACTCTCAAAACCTTACATAACGGAAAATCCCGGGATTCATACATCTCCCAGATGGTGATCGGCGATGCGACAGACGCCCAAGACCATGTTGGAGCTCGTCGGGGTGAACTTCTTCGGCCTACGCAGTGACAAGAGACGTCCCAACATAGTTGCCACATTAGATTGTTGCACCACATTCCGGCAACGTATTCATCTTTTGTCTGTTGCTGTATTTTCGCTGCAATTCCGGCTAGTGCTATGAGTCTATCCGCTTCGTAAGTTAAATGTCGGCTTGAGTAGTTCATAACAATCTTGCTCCATATCCCGATTGAAAGCGGTTCCTTTTTGCGTCTTTCCCATGGATTAGAGTGGGAAGGGGAGCTTTCCGAAACAAACTTGGTATGGCACTCCCAAAATACTTCTTCCCGTGTGAAATGTACGGTTCGTGGCGAGAGAAGGCGCTCCTGCAAGGTCCATCCTCGACTCTCTAACGGACAAACGTTGGGATTGTCTAGAGGATGCTTCGTAACTTGTTTACAATCATACATACTATCGTTCTTTCCAATGATCTTTAGTGAAATACGGCACCTCGGGGCATCTCGCCTATCAAAAAAGCATCCTTGACTTCCATCAATGGAGCTAGATGCAGCAATATTCAGCAAACAGCCACCGTAGACATCAACCATAGTGACAGACTCTCTCATCCAGTCTTCTTTATCATCCTGTATAATGCAGAGAGAGTCAATCCAGATATACCTTATCTTTAAATTCATACAAACTTCAATGGCATCATGAAAGGTCTTCGGAAGATCTTCCATTTCTATTTTCGCCAAGTAATCTTTTAAGGTTGATTTTGTTAATGTCTGATATTTCTTCTCCGGGGTCCCCCAACAATGGCTTAAGGCAGCATATTGAAGATCACGTTTCTCGATCTGGTTTCCCAAACAAAGTCTTGGATGGTCCCCTTGAAGATCTATGAGTCTTGTTGGTATGAACTCTGGCCTTTGAAATTTACATTTGGGATGAAATGTTTGACATGCATTCAACCAGTTTTCAATCAGAGGCGTTGATTGGCTTGTATTCGAATTTGCATCGATGTTCTCAAAGACCTGATTATCTGAACAAATTTGAATTAGCTTCAGTTGCCTCCAAACACTCGAAGATGTACATCGAAAAGAGCTTATTCATAACGTATTCACCTAGTAAGATCACAATAACAAGCTTAATTCAAGCTCACTTGAGTTCAAAGAGACGAATGGATATTTCTAGCAATAAATTTGCTTGCTATAATTTTGATTGGTTCTTCCTGCAGTGCCATGTAATTGAAAAGTACCTCATAGCCACTCGTGATATAACTTACATATTTCAGGCGATATTCCTAAGGATGCTATGAACGAAACTCTCAAACTTTGATTCGTCCAATGAGGATCAGTTGCAAATTCCAACTTAATTTTCGGCGATTCGATTGGAGGTAGAAAATGAATCAAAGATACTCGTGAACATGGGATGGGTGCTTCTCCAAATTTGGCCTTCCATCCATCAATGTGTCTTGAAATTATTGCGTCACGTCCCTTTTCATCATCTGTGCGAATGAATGTAGCACACAAAGAACAACCGTCTTGTGCGGACGTCTTCAGGCTTAGTGGATTCCGTACATGTAGTATTCCCGTATCAGAAGATAAGAGTTTACTTCTTTCTGATCGTTCAAGCCAGTTACCGTGTCCCAATTCGTCAACCATATTCTGACAAACGGCACACAGCTTTGATGGCGGCACAGTACTACTCGAAGGTAGTCCATCCAGAACATGATCGAAGGAGTGATCCTGAGAGGAGCTTGATTCATGTGCTTCTGTATCTTCGGGCTTTGGTCCAGGTATATTGGATCCTTCCTCTGTTTTAGTTCGACTGATCAAATCTTCTTCAATTCTGCTGCCTGAGTCCAATGAAGGAGTGTCTGGTAGACTATCTTTTGACATCTCGCAATCTCGTCCATCCATCTTAAAAAGTCTAAGAGCGCACTAAAATGGGGAGGTGGGTTTGGAAAGAACGGAGTGTGATCAAATTCGTTGTGTCTATGATATAGCTAGCGATCGATGAATTGATGAGCTGGCATTCTGAATAGATTAGTAAGCTTCTTCAACCAACGGTTGAATGTTCCGGGGAGACTTCTTTTCATGGGTCTTCGACTATTTAATTGGTCACAGTATGACTCAGCCCTGCGAGGTCAGAGGGCTCCTCAAACAAATCGTCGATTCTGCAAGAGAATGCCAGAGTACAATACTCATTTGTGTCAAGCATCATCAGGTGATATTTTCTTGTCCTCGATCAATTCAGATGTCCCCAATGCTCATTTGAAATCTCTGGTCGATCAAGTGTAATCCATCTTTCATTCAACTTTACATCATTTCTTACCTGCAACTACCTACTTGACACTACAGCTATCCGCCAATTCCTGCGAACCTATAAACTGCTTCGCAACATTCTCCCCGGTATCATCATACGTACTTCTCCCTCCAAAAACCTCCACCATCTGTCCACTACTATTCCCCCATCCTAATTCCTCCAATCCTCCATCAGGCTTTCTTGCAAATGCTAACCAAGCATCTTGCATCGCTCTACTCGTTTCCCACTCCAACTCCGTATTCTTGCCCCTAAAGTCCTCCGAAGTTCCAAAAATCATAGGCAGCTCGCTAGAATGATATGCGCCTGCCCATGATAATGGTGCGACATTAGAGAAATTTCCTCGGTATTGAAAACGATAGGTTTTAAGACCGAGCTGAGTTCGATAATATGACGCAGCCGAATTTGGACAGATGTAGCGACGAATTTGGTTGATGGAAGCTAAGGTGCGATTAGCCGATTCGGTCAATGGGTCTGCCGGGAATGCGTCCAGAGACATAGTATCGTTATCATTAAAGCCATAAACCACGGGAAGGGGAGAGACTTGGTTGTTCATGAGTCGCTGCGTGTAATTTTGGAAGACAATCTTGTCGTCTTGAGCGACGTTGAACGACAAAGTGGGGGTGGTAAGAGCATCATTGTAAGACTTGAGAAAAGCTTCGATATCGTTGGCTGGAACTTGACGCATGCATGGAAGGAGTTCGGAGCCGGTACAATTGAAATGAGAAGCCACAAATGTGAAATTCGAGTAAGTAGGATCGTTTATCGGCGTAGCCGTGAGTGAAATGCCTGAGTTACATATGAAACCTTTCACGATGGGATCATCCGGATAAGCATAGTTGTATGCATCTGTTGATCCTGCTCCAGCTGACTGTCCCCATAGAACCATCTGTTCGGGATCTCCGCCAAATGCAGCGATATTCTGGTGAATCCATTTCACTCCCGCCCGCTGGTCAAGATAACCTAAGTTTTGAGATTCGAGACCAGGTGCATTTGGAAATCCAAAGATGTTCAATCGATATTGAATACTAACCACGATATGAGATTGTGTTCTTTCAATCCATTTCGCAGGATTTTGATAGGGTACTGAAGAACCCCCCGTTTGAAGTCCACCACCGTAGAGGAATATCAGAACTGGTAGCTTGTCTTCTGGCTGGGAGTGAAGCGGTGCCCAGACACTCAAAGAGAGACAGTCTTCGCCGCTTGGTCCCCAAATGAAGAATTCTCGGACAAAGGTGTTATAGATGGAAGGGATTGCACTTTCGTATTGTGGACAATTCAAAGAAAATTTTGTTGCATCAACAATAGCGGATGACTGGTTGGATGGTAGTGCATTCGGTGGCATCCAGCGTAAGTTTCCGATGGGAGGTTGAGCGAAGGGTACGCCTAGGAATTGACGAACATTTGGCGTGGTCCCGTTGATAATTCCTTGAACTAAGATATGTTAATGTTATTTCTGAAATAAGTGTCAATGAATCCTTACGACGGCCACTCGTTGTGGAAATACTCAAATCTACATCTGATTTTGACTGCCAATGTGATCTCGAGCTGACAGCTTGGATGGAGAGCACAAGTGTCGCTACTATGCCAGAGAAAGCATTAATATACACCATTATAATATTTGATTCAAGATATGAGCAGAGACTGGAGAGATCAGTACGTAGGTGGAAGCGGGGGACTCTATATATAGTTCTTGGGTCATCCCACTTTGCTACTTGTGACGCCTACCGCTTACAGTGGATATTAGCAGTATTTTTTTCTGCATGCTCATTCAGATAGAATTGATATCAGTCGACAAACAGACACCTTAACGCTCAATCATCTCGCGTTGAGCTTACCAGAATGAATAAAACTTGAAAAAGCTGATTGGTGTATGTTATTGAAAGAACTCACAAGGTGGACGCCTTCCAAGGGATTTTGATCCATTATTCAACGGAATTTGAAAAGCTAGAGCTGATTATGGGATAGCTTGGTGTTATTCGGCACCGACATGAAGCTTAGTTCTGGTGGCAGTTGGATGACGCGGGGGAAGGTTGCGGGGTAGTGGACTGCTGCCATCACATTTGAATCTAGCCAAAGTAAGTAGACCGGACGATGATCAATGAACATGGAATGACGATTGCAATGCTTACATAAGATTAATTGAATGTTGTTTCGGTTCCATAATTCACGCCTCTATAAGCGAATCATACTCTGTAGATGTCGCCTATAAACTTGCTCTATAAAAATCCGACTAGATATTTACATCCACCAGATCCTATGACATAGAATATAATTTCAATTACAGAAAAATCTCTTCATAAGAATATCCGGGCTTTATAGTCTTCTAGGGATATAAGGCGGTATCCTTATATAGAGTCATGCGACTAATCCCGACCTACTAACAATTTAGTTCCGCCTAGTCCCCATCAGATCACGTTTCCGTGACATTACCTACTGTCACGACAAGCTATTAAAATCTTAAAAATCAAGAAATTTCAAAAATTCTTCAAATCCATTTAAATTAAAATCCTTTCATTATATATAAAGATAAGATTAATTCAATTAATATATTAAGATCGATTTTCACAATACAATATTAATTATTGAAAATTTTATTGAAATCTTACTTAATGAAGCAATCACTTTATCAACCACGGATTGTGCTGCTACACGGTCATAGAGCATAGTTGATCGTAAGCGTAAGGAGTAATATGCTTCAAAAAAGGGAGTGCGCTCCAAATACTATCTTCAAGAGGTACTACGCATGGTAGGTATATCTCGAATTCACGAGGTTGTGTTACGCTGAAAATTGGCTGTAGAATGACAGATTTTTGATCGTCTGTGAGCATCATCCACCACTCTCGAGACCAATAGAAGAGTTGTACGTGAAGGATTTGCAGTCCTGGTAAACCTGCTAAAGCTTTCCAAGTGTCTGTCCACTCTTTTAGAGTCTCATTCCGATGCTTGGGATCTTCGACGAAGGCTTCTGTGACCCTAGTGACATTCTCGAGATGCAACACGCGTATGCAATTATAGCGCTGAGGGAGTAGAGTCTTTTGCAGATGTTGCGCGCAGAAATTTTGCGTACGAAAGACGTTGGTTGAATAAAGGATGCTGATAGTCTCCGAATATCTAGCAATGTTAGACAATAATACCCATTATATTTTCTTTTAGACTTACATCTGTCGGCAGGTCACAATCAAAGAAAGCGCTTTAACTTTATCTGTACAACAGAATCGCCTATCATTATGGTAACAATAGTTGTGTAATTTCAAAGGAAGTTCTGGACCTTCACGGAGGCACAATCGATGTGTGAAGCGACTATGACGCCCTCGACGGCCGAAACGAAAAAGACTAAGATGGAAAGTATTCCCTCCAATGCAGACTTCCCATATCAACATTCGAATTTCGATTGGCAAGGATGATAAAAGTAAACTTTGGGATTGAGCACTTGTTTTGCGTCCTTGTCCAACGTTCTCTCGTGGGAAAGGCAACGTAAGAACGCTGCTATTCAATCTAGTCTTAAGAGGGTCAGGGGGAGCTATCGGTGTGGGCTTTCTCCGAGGCGTCATGATTTTGATGCAAAACATCGCCATGAAGACAGGACAGCAGATGATTGTCAGGAAAGTATCACAACATCTTTTCGATTTGTTCATTTTGCTTTTCTTCGTTTGGTAAGAGCGTGTCGATAGATGTGTGAAGTAAAATTTATCATGGGAGATTTGAATTGATAAGCGCTGATGTAGGAGTCTCGATACGACATTGCTAAAATTGGCATTTGCGGCACGGCTACGGTCGCCAAAGTGGTTGCTAGGATCGAAATACTCAATTCCTTGATTCTGCTTGCAGATGCTTGCAGAAGTAAATGTAACCTCATCAGACAACGTGAGGATTGTTGTGTGAAACCACGTGGAATGATAATTCAGCAGCACGTGTTATACACGTGACCAGTTCATGTCCGGTCACTTGCAATGACAATCTGCACCCCACCAAACGTCATGGATCCACCCGTGGAAAAGTACATGTGTACATCGGAAACGAAGCTCAGATGGAGTTGACCATTTCTTAAAACTGTACCTTCAAAATGGTAAAAATCGTACTCGCTGGTGGCGCCGGCAGTAAGTTGTGGATAGTATGAAGGGTTTCAAAGTTAGGAGCTGATGCGTGAGTAGATGTTGGACGGGAAGTATTGGAGACACTTCTAGCGGACGGTAAACATGAGATCAAAGTATTTTCGCGAAAAGTAAGCGCAAGCGAGTCCAGCAGGTCATTTTTGGTGCAGACTAATTGCTGATATTCAAACAGGAAGTTCCAGACTTAGCTAGACAAGGAGTCACAGTAAATATTATAGATTATCTAGACAAAGCAGCACTTGTGCATGCACTCGAAGGAGTCGACACCGTTCTCTCATTTATCATTACGTTCAATGATCCAAATAATCAATCTCAGACAAATCTCATTGATGCATGCATCGAAGCCGGCGTTCGTCGGTTCGCACCCAGTGAGTGGGCTACCAGAAGTCATTGCGGAATCCCCGCATATGAAGGAAAAGATCAAATATATGATTATCTCCGAGAAATGAATAAAGAGAAAAGGGTTCGTTGATCCAGACTCCTCATCCGCAATGCTGATTTGGGAACAGGTCTTGGAATTCACCTTGTTTCAGTGTGGATTGTTCTTGAATTATTTCAGTTACCCACATCCCTCGACGAAATTCATGCAAATATTTCCAATGCCGATAGATGTTGAGAATTGTAGAGCTATCATTCTTAAGGATACAAAGGCCAGAATCACTTTGACCTCCGTGCAAGATTTGGCAAGAATTGTCACTAAGGCAGTGGACTATGAAGGCGCATGGCCAGAAGTTAGCGGAATTCGTGCCAATCAAATATCGGTCTTGGACTTCATTGGGCTTTGTGAGAAAATTAGAGGTTCGTCTAATTCAAACTATCCGTACGGACTTCACATTAAAGCTATCATCTGTAGGACAAAAGTTCGTCGTGGAATCTATTGAAAAGGGTGACTTGGAAGAGGGTAAATTTACATCTTCCTGGTTCCCTGTCATCGTGCACCCTTCGGTTCCGGAAGATCAAAAAGATGCTTTCTCACAGAGTTATTTTTCAGCATTCATTCTGGCACTTGAGCGTGGTGGCTGGGATGCTTCTAACGAGTGGAATGGGTTGTTGCCAGACTTTCGATTCACATCTGCTGAAGAGTTTCTGTCGAATATTTGGAAGCACGGGTCATGATTGGTTCATTGACTAGAGATTAGGTCTGATGGCGGGGCATCTGAATTCCTTCTAAATACCTGGGGTTTAGCACAATCCATCGATTGGCTTCTATCTTGTCAAGAAATCAAAAGACATTGAAAGCTGATCTCTGCCTGGATTTCAACCCATGAAATCGTTGCATCGTAATTTTGAACATTGGAGGACCCATGCCTGTATTTGTCTTCTGAATATCGCAACGTCGAATCCTCGAATCAAATTTGTAAGCCCGATGCTCGACGCATAGATCCCTGCCTTGAATTGGACCACTGTTTATGAATTTGAAATGTACTCTAGATCACCGTAGAGAAGCTGGCAGGGTACCCGAGAACCATTGATCTGTTCTTCTGGACAATGTATATCTGCTGCCTAGTCGTACTACGACCCTGGAGCAAGATGCATACTATTCGTCAATATACGAGGTGACGGCGTACCACACGCTTTCCTTGACACAGGAGCATTGTGTTATGATTAGTATTCGCTTGTGGTAAGATATCGAGAAGAGTCGATGCAGTCCACGGTATGTAGAAGATCCAAACACTTTTCGTTAGACGACCAACGATGTATTGTTTGATGTGAGTTGACCTACTGTAGCAGAAGTGGTCACTTCAGGTCTGTTGATATAATTTCTTGAAAATAGCCACAGTGCACCGCCACTTCAAACAAGGCTGATCAACAGATGCGGCCGCTAGTTTATGCAAGACTACCATTGTGATCTCCGATAGGTATGGTTGGCTATAGCTCATCACAGCCTTGAGCTAATACTGTATCAAAACATCGAGATCGATGATAATTGCTTCATTTATATATTATTTAAGCCTCACATAATTGTTTAGGATTGCCAATTGATTCGAAATGAATACGAAGTCGGTGTAAATATTATAGCCGGCAAGTTTGCGCGACAGACATCCTAATCACCGCTGATTACCTCTATCCGTGATATCGAATTCTCAAGTCATGGCTATCCTCGAAGAGTTCCTCGAATCTATCCTGAAATTTCTCAGGGCAAAAGATGGAACAAGCTTACAGTTATGGCTTCGAGTCGAGCCCCCTCTACCCGATCATTATTTCCAGCTTGGTCGAGAGTTGAAAGCGTCATTTCAAAACAGCACTACACTCGAACGCCATATAGCGAAACTCCTGCCAGACGACCCCAACGCAAGTTATGAGGATGGTAACGTTTGGCCGGGCTTTTTGGCTTTTATGAAGGACTACCTGGAGTTCTGGAGGGATGTCAATTTCGAGGACTTGTTGGAAACGCACTCGCAACTCACCGTTTTAGCAAGGTAAATGAGCTCCCTTATTTTCAGACATATACTAACGGGATGCGAATAGTACTTGTCTAGCAGCTTTATCCAATCCGACATATGGAATAGTGATACTCCCAACAGCCATTCAATTATCTACTGCCCTCGCGAAACTTGCAATGACACTCGACAAGAGACCGGATCTTACCAGAAGATTGCGAAGAGTTGCCGATGTCGATGCTGGAGAGACGCGAAAGACTTTAGTAGAAGGAACCGCAGAAACAATACAGCGTGCTTTTACAGTTTGCTTGACGGAAAGGACAACGAATAGGAATGGGGTTGGGTCAGACGGAAAGCCAGAGGGAAAGAAAGTTGGAATATACTCATTCGCAAATCTGGCTTTGAAACTTTTCTTTCAAGTATGGTGGTGGCCTTCAATCGATCCATGGAATAATGCTGAATGGTCACGTAGTGCCGGAAAACGCGATTGGCGAATCAACTCATCACGAATATCACTCAACACTCTCCACCATTGGAGCTTTATCCCGCAAGTCAAAGGGTAACATATCTTTATTATCTTGGCCGATACTTCTTCTCGAATACCCACTTCTACCTCGCGCAGTGCAGTCTTCAAGCTGCTTACGACCAGTGTCATGCACAGTGCATCAACCAGCGACGCCTGATTCTAATTTACTTGATATCTTCAAACATGATACTCGGTCGATTTCCATCTCGGCCCTTTATGTCGCGTCCCGAAGCCGCTGGGGTCCTTGAAAGGTTTACACCAATTGTCAAGGCCATCAAATTGGGGAATCTGGCTGCTTTCAAGCGTTCATTGGGTCCAGAGGGTGGAAATCAAAAATGGCTGTTCGACAAGGGAATTCTTCTGCCACTAATGTATCGTTGCGAAACATATGTATGGCGTTCACTTGCACGGCGCGTTTTATGTTTGACATACCAGTGGCCGTTCGACCCCAATTCAAAGAAAGCGCCTACTCTAAATCTTGCCGATTTAGTCACAGCTGCGCAGTATTGCCAGAAAATCCTTGAAGGCTGGCAAAGGCCTGCAGATTCTGCCGCGTTTATGCAATCGGGTCGCACACACACAAATACAATGTTCATAACAGCACAAGACTTGGTGAAGCCTCCGGTCGTGGTGAAACTTTCGCCAAATGATGGGGTAATTTGGGGAGGCAAAATGCCAGAGATGTTGGATGTCGAAGCAATTGTTGCGAGTTTAGTACAACAAGGACTATTGAGGGGGTTCATTAGTCATATACAGGGCAAGTTTGCGATTTTGGGTGCAAAGCAAAGGGGTGGACCATTGAATGCAGGGTTCCCACCAATTTGGGAAGTTATCAAAGATAGAGCTGAGAAAGACGGGCATGGTAATGATGTACCGGGCTGGGTTACTGGTGATAACGGTGGGTACACAAGTGGAGGAGTCGTTAACCTAACTGGAATTGCTCGACCCGCTGGGGCTACATGAGCAGCAACGAATTCGAGATACCCGAGAAGCCCTAATAAATTCTAGATTCATACCATCTACAAAATCAGGTGCAATTCCTCGCCGTCTCACACCAACCGACCTCGTCTATTGTGACCTTTTCTGTAAACTAGTCCAGGGTATCGGTAGGTGCTGATTCATCTTTACGGCATGTGCCAAGGGAGCCCGTTCAACACAACCAACCTTGTATTCACGCAGGCAAAAGCTTCAACGTCAAGCTCCTGGCTTATCAGTATCAACCTTATTGATTGTACGGATCTATGGCCAGCAAGCGGTTCGATGGAATGATATAACTCTGTTATATTTTAACCTCCTACGAATCGATGCTCGGAAAGACGAAGCATAACCGATCTTCATGAGTCAAACCCACTTTTTTGTATGTTTCAGAACCTGATGCTAAGCATCTGAATACTATTCTTGTATACTCCAATCTCTTCTTGTGATGTCATGTCGTATGAGGAAGTTCGCAAGGTCAAACGTCATTTGGCTCTATTGTTTTGCTATTGCAATGGACAACGAAGTTGACAGTCAGTGAGATGTTCGAGGATTCTTTCCTAATCCTCGAGCTAAATTGCACTATCTTTGAGGAAAATTGTTGCAACGTGTTTCTAGGATCTCAAGGTGTTAGGCTTGCATATCGTGAGGATACGCCAACCACACGTGATACAAGATTTAATTTATTGGATGTTATCCATAGTCTTTAAAGATTACACCATTTTGAAGTGGAATGAAGAGTCCGTCGCGTCCAGCACTTCATTGCAGGTGTGAATAATGACTAAACATTTTCAAATCCGTGCTGTGGGGAAATTACAAGTATAGTTTTTACATCACACTTTTGTCAAGGAGTCGGTGAACGACGGTCGGCTTTCATTTTTCTCGATGATATCATCCTAAGTTTATGATTCACTGCCATAGCAAGTCAGCACGAGCTCCACAGCCGGAAAAAAGGTTCGTGAATGTGACATGAAGATTAACCTAGGCTTCATGTCTTCCTTATGTCACAGTTCTCCCGTTTTTGGAAATATAGTTTCCACCTCCTTCTCCCAAGTCTACAAATAGCTCTGTTTCACCTTCCCTTCGAGGACCAATTCAAATAACAAATCCATGGCCATGCACTCTCTAGATCCTACAGAACAACTTATAGCTGATGGGATGAATCCCGAATCCTCTAGCATGGCTATCATCTCATCCTCCATCATATTATCTTCTCTCCAAATCGTTTTTGTGATAGCCCGATCTCTCTCACGACTGCTAACACAGGTTCCGCCAATCTGGGAATTGGATGACCATCTTATTATTGTATCATTATTTCTCAATCTATCTTTGGCTGCATTGTGTTTAGGTGCGTGGTATCATTAAAATATCTTCTAACAATTCGATCTACTCACATACTCCACAGTTGCGGTATATCTTGCTGACATGGGTCATCATCTCCTCTGGATTCAACCCGTCAAACTAGTCATCGGACTTAAGGTTCTCTACGCCATCGACCTCATAAACATTCTCGCTCTTAGCATCCCCAAATTAGCCATTCTCTTTCTCTACAAACGACTATTCATCATATCCAAGCTGACAAACCATGCGATAAAAGGTGCAACATATGCAGTTTACTTCTTCATCATCGTTCTCGAAGCAATAGCAATTTTTCAGTGCGTACCAATCTCCGACGCTTTCAAAACAGGGCTGAGGAATTCACATCGATGTATCGACAATACGGCTGTATTGACCTGGGCAACCGTACCCAGTATCATGACTGATATTGTGATATTTTTGATTCCAGTTCCGGTGGTTTGGAAACTCAATGTTCCGTTGAGAGTTAAGATTGAGTTGGCGGTAGAATTTATCATCGGTGGATTGTAAGTCTTTTGAATCCTCCCTAAGGGACACAAAGACTAATGATCTCAATGCGCAGTGGTATGGTAGTTTGTGCAGTCCGCCTCTCGGTATTTTTGCGGATACAACACCTGCCAGATTTTACATATGTAGGAGGAGAATCACTACTCTGGCTGCAGTTACAACCTGCTGCATACCTAATTTGCGCGTGTTTACTGCGCTGCCGACCGTTATTTGAAGCGATCATTGAGACGATTTTTTGCAGGTCGCCGAAAATGATGGAAAGTCCAGCGAGCAGATCGGTTCCTATGACTTCAGTAAAGATTGCTATGTCGGAGGGAGTTGCTGATGAATGGACGAATGCTGATAATATTAAAATTACGAAGATGGTAAAGGTACACTTGGGTTAAGCGAGCTAGGTGGGTCTGTGGGTGCTTAAGCGAGAGAGAGATCCTGAAATGGAAGGGAGTTAAGTAAATGATGGGTTTGGATGAATTAAGAGAAATAATCGGATTACTATCGGCTTCATAGCAGATCAGTGCTTGATTTCATGTTCCAAGAAAAGCACGGAAGATTAAGTCTGTATCTTCATTCGATTGTTCTTTTCAGGTAATTCGGTCAATAAGGTAATTTTGACTACTGAATTTTATGTGAGCTCTTAGTCTTCGCACGAGTAGATTGATTTCAGCTTCATTAAAATGTTTTGATGCATCGATTTGACAAATTCGTTGCTATTTTAGCAAGGAGTTGGCTGTCATTTCAATTTGCACGTCCATTTCTGTCCCTCAATTCGGATTGCTTTTGTTCACCAATGGATGTAAGTAAACATCGTGACTTAACGAAATCGTCATACAACAATTTTCAACCCCCTCCTCCCATCCACAGATATTAAAAATTCAAAGAAGAAAAGAGATTTTACTACTTCATTTTCACCATGTTAGGCAATTGCATTTCTACATAATTTGAAGGTGACGATTAGTTCAGCTTGCCATGACGCCAATCTCAGCAGTGAAAAATGCACGTACAGACGTCAATTCAAAAATTACAACCCTATAGCTAAGACTATCAAAATCGATGTTATCTTGCAACAGAATATACACGTCACTATGGCTTAGACACTGGATAGGCATATGCCTCTCGTAGCTAGAATTTGTCAAAATCATCATTATTCAATACTATGGTAACACTACCACGAAACTTCCAGACCGCGTAACTCATGTTGATTTTCATCGTCTGAAAAACATGAATGATATTGCTACGCCTAATGAATATTTGTGCATGCGATGGTCGTCGTCCGCCGACGTAGACATGATCGATGATTGAAGCTTTTTGGAGGGGCCACATTGTGAATGAAAATCTTTGATAGATAACTACAAGAGCATTTCTTCACTAATAAATTTACAGATGCTGTAATTTTCGCTCACCGTGAGCAAAAGTCGTTAGAGAAAGCATTACAATCTTCAACTCTTAAAAACGATAGAATTTCAAAGTTCAATCAGTCTTGTCTTTTATAGTGACAACCTCATATAGCAATATTTTATATATTAATATTTCGACGAGTATAAATGCCATGTGAGGTCTAATATATAGTAATGTAAATCGTTTTATTTTTGAAATATTACTATTCAAGTTCTAATGTGAATATTAGTATTCTAGTATTAAAACTAAAATTCCTAAAAAGCTCTAGAATCAAATCATATTTCTTTTTTGAATTTTTGAATCTTTTGATACAATTGAGCTTCTAGAAATATCAATGTTTTAGAGTGAATTCTTTGTTTTAGAAAAAATAATCGCCTGGAGACTTTGATTTTTTTTTAGATTTTCTGAAAATTTATACGGATTGAATGTTGAATTTTGAGTTTTCTTCTATAAAATAAAGATTAGAATAATACTATTATATTATGCTTAATCTAATCATCGCTTTTTTTTTGACAAGTAGAGAAACTCTTATAGTAACCTTTTAAATAAATCTATATATTAGAGAGGAAAATGCCTATAATATAAGTCTAAAGTCTATTGAAAGCCCAAATATAATTGAGAGACTAATAAATTGCTTATAGATTGAGTATAAGTATTTTTCACCTTTCCTAAAATATCGTTTTAAGGAATGAATATATTAATTATTCTCGAAGACTATATATCACGCTGAGTATAGATCTCTATACGAACGCTTATAGTAGATTATAGTCTGAGTTTCTAAAAAGACGAGGAAACCTCTGAATGCCGCTATATAGAAAAGTCAAATTGAATATTAGAAATGATACTTTAGATTAAACTAGCTGATTCAAATGATAAATAGTCGAGATATTGATATATAAAACATTTCTACAAAGGGTTCTTACTACGAGAAACATTATCAACGTTATACGATGTAATGTTGTCTCGCATTGTCATGCAACATCATCTCAGAATTTAGTTTGAGACTATAAACCACCAGCAGAGAAAATTTTATTGAAGCTGTAGTCTAATCATCTTAAGTACAGATATTCAAAAGCTCTAAACTATCGATTTAGTAAAGAATAATATGATCGAAAGAGTGAAAACAATGACGTATAAAAATTAATTTATTAAGTAAGGTCTCAATTTCAGACAATATCAATATTTGAAAGCTAAGAATCTCTCAATGATTAAACTAGATGAGTGTAAAAAGCTGGTCTCATCTCATTGTTTGTTATTTATTCATCTAAAACCTTTGAAGTTAATGTCTACTTCCGAGACACTCTATAAGAACAAGAGTAGATACCACGCCCGAAAGCCTGAGTATTAGTTCTTGAATTTCAAACATATCTCAAGTATATCTTCAGTCGAATTTTTCTACTTTCAAGTAACATCTTGTTATTAGTCTAGTATCATCCTTTGATTGGCCTTCGAAAGTCTATATTTCTTAATGTTGAGTTCTAAAAAGTATAACAATATTACAAGGACATAGAACTTTTGTACTCGAAGCTTTGATTGAAAGAATGGAGAGGTAGTTGTCGTTCATACAGATCCTAATAACAGTTCATCATACTCAAGTTGAATTAAATCAAGGGGAATAGTAAAGTCACATGACACCAACATCTAAGCGAGATTCTATAGTTCTTTACATTCTAATATCTATTAGTAGTACTTTTTTTAGATAGACTATATTAATAGTAACGTTAAGTATTATAATTAATATGCTTTTTAGTCTGATGAATAATATTTAGAAACTAAATTAGAATTTTCAATAAGTAGTTTGTATATATATATATATAAGATATCTTGTATTTTGAGCTTAAAATATATTAGAGAATAATAAGAAAGTCAGTATATACTACTTGATATTAGATGAAGGCTATTATTAGTCTTACTATCAATATTTTTTTAATCTAATATTAGATAGTTTGATCGCTTTTGAATACTTACGAAAACTCTATTAGATATATTCCTTACTACATGAACTATCTATAAGTATATTACTAAGACAATGACTAAATTGAGAGTATCTAGTACGAATATCAATTATCATTTGAGATAGAACAATGATAATTTGCGTTCTTTCTCAATCATTCGAAGGAATTACATTGAAGTCGGATGTGTTATTTGAGAACGGAGAAGCCTCTGTGTCTAATTCCACTTTACATAAGGGAATGCAAACTTAGAAGACCCAACTAGAATGACCTAAAGAAATGCACCATTTGATTAGCCTATTCTTGGTAGAGCATTATCTAAAATGTAGTAGTAAAGCAGTAAAATACTTATATAAGACTAATTTGCCTTATAGAAAAGGAGGCAAGTAGCGCTGAGAGATTATATGAAACGTGCCGATGTTCTTTTTGTTTCCTCTCATTTTGACTTTTATTTTGCAAATAAAAGAACAAATAATAGTCAATAGTAGACATTGATTTCATGGTGGATATATGATGATATGAAGTTAATCTAAAGCTTTATATCATGCGTAATATTTAGTCTCAATGATTTTAAAGTACCTACCGCACTTATAGCAGAGAATAGAGAATCATAGAGGGAGATTGTAACGGGGAAACTTGCAATTAGATTACCCAATTTCTTCTAGGACTTCTATTGGCGAACATGAGCTCCACATGACGCGATTCCGAAGCAAGATGAGTCTGGTAACTATAGCTACGACCGATAAGAACCTTGTTGTAAGAGCTCTTTTTAAGCCCCAATTACCAAAATTTTACAGGTCTTCAAGCCTTTAGTCTGCATATGTGGCCCCTCCGTAATATACATAGTACTACAAGTAGTTCCCTTTTTCGTCACGTAGTATAATACAGCTATAGTACTAACAGTCTGTAATAACCACTGTGTTCAGGTATATGAATAAGTTCTAGTCAAATATAACCACATAACTATGATTACTGTACAACTACTCCTTTAATTTTTTATGTGTAATTTCACGCTTTATTCAAGTATTGTGTATTATTTTGGTAAAGAACATTCTGTCAAATTAATTAACGGTTTCCGGTTCTTCCTTCCTTATTTGACTATAAATTAGCAAATGCATCATTGATAAGGTTTTTCATTCCCCTTTATTACTCACTAGCTTCGTGTGTAGCATGCCAAGAAAGGTAGCAAAGCTCAGAACAAGCATGTAATTCGATATCAGCATGGCCCTTCAAGTCCACGAAGCTTCGGTTTGCTGTGATATCTTTAGTTCTTTATCAATATTGGCAGTTTTTTAATGTGCTTTGCTTGCTGACCTTCCATTGAGCGTTGTATCAGTTTATCTCGCTTTTCCAGGAACATCCTGGAAGATTTCGCAAGGTAGACCATCTAGAGCGTGTTCCTCACACTACTCATCTGCCGCTAGTAGTCTCAGCTGTCATTTCAAACCGTAAGTGAGTCTTTTAGTAGCGCGATATGTTGATGGTATAAGGATTCATAATAAGTCCACTAAATCACTTACTAATATCTTATCAAATAAGGGATATATTAATGACTAATACACATATAATATAATCTTATATTATAAAATCATATTATTATATAGTTGTATAACAGTATCTCTTATTAAATTGATTTATAATAAAATAGAATAAAATGAAACTAGATGGAAGTATACAGGAAATCTCGTTAAATTGATTGGTTGTACTTTCTTTTTATTATTTAAAATGATTCTATAAGATATGATTTAAATCGATTTTATTTATAAGTATGGAATATACTGGAATTTCATTATAAACTATATAAATCTAGAATATTCTTTAAAGAAACTTTAGGAAAAAGTAAGTAATTTCATTTCAATTCAGTCTAGCTTTTCTAAATTGATTTTAATTCAATTCTTATTCTATATATTCAATTTATTCCTATAGTTTAAATTGATTAGATTTTTTATTATTCTTATAATAATACTATTCCTTTTTATTATAAAAACTAATCTTTAAGAGGTTATGAGTCTAACTAATCTAAACTAGCTTAAAAAGGGAATTAGCTTAATTTAAGACTATATATTATAAATATACCACTATTAAACTATCGAATATCGAATTTTTTCAAATTAATTCAATCAAATTTA